GAAAAAAAAATAAATAAATAAAACCGTTACACTATTTTGTGATAAAATATGAATTACTCTTCACATTCAAAGAAAAAACAGTTTATGTTTTGTTTGGTTCAAATTGAATCAATCGAGAGTACTATTGAGTATTAGACGTAAATGATTTCAGAAGAATTTCATATAGATCGTACATTAACTAATCATTTCACAGTGATTTGTTATTTTTAAATACTGTAATCCCAACTTAGCTAATTACAAAACTAAATTTCACACACTTCGATTCAATGTTTCTCTTCTTTTTTTTTTTTTTCTTATTTTGATTATTACAATCTCTATTTAGTAATAACTATTTATACTTACACGTCAAATTACGTCAAATTGCCTTTTCCATGATGAACCATGCCCGTTTTGTAAAATGAATTCTCCTATTTTTCTTTCGAAGGACCAGTTGATTTATATAATTTAACACCACAATTAATTTAAATAAGAAATTTAAAAAAAAAAAAAAACCCCCAAAGCATATGGTCATGCCAATTGCCAACAAAGTAGAGATTGCATATAACCCAAAATATCCTGTACTTTCACATAGTTCCACATGGGTAGGATATTAGCCATCAACTTTGAGAGCTCAAAACACCCATAACAAATCATTTGCTACCAAAATAAAAATAAAATATAAAAATAGATGGATAACATAATGGCATTCCCGTAGCATTTGAGAAATTGAGTGGCAATAATCTAACCCTTCTTTACTTAAACCGAAAAACGCGTTGAGAACTCCGTTATAACGCCGAGGCCCTCCCAGCCTTTTTTTTTAAGCCTTCATTTCATTCATTCCCTCACAAACAAATTAATTCACTCTTTTTTTGGCCTCTCTGGCCTTTTCCCTTTTCTTTCTTCTCCACTTCTTCTTCTTCTTCTTCTTGCTCTGTTTTTTTCCCGGAATTTTTTTTTAATGGGAGCAAGGCCGAGAAGCTTTATGGGGATAAGAAGAACAAAGAGGAGGCCTAATAATCTTCAGAGAAGATTCTGCAAATCATCTCAAAACAAATCTGCCGCTTCAGCTTCGGTTTCGGACAAGTTGGAGGCGCTGAAGAACCTTATTCCAGTCCACATTGATGGCGGGGAGATCAAAGCCGACCAATTGTTCCAAGAAACCGCCGATTACATTGTTCTGTTACGAACCCAGATTTCGGTTTTGCAGCAATTGGTCCATTTTTATGGCTCCGATGCTGCTGCTCCTTCTGCTTCTTCTGCTCAGCAACAACAACAGAGTCACTAGATTTGCTTCCTCTTCCTCATCCTCTGTATAGTACTAGTTAAATTATTATTATTCTAGCAAAATGTCATTAAATTTTCATTAGAAAAAAAAAAGCAAACGTTACCAAAGGGATTTCTCTTCTTTTGTTTTCTTCTTCCTTTTTTTTTTGGGTGGTGGTTATTATTTTTATTTTTTTTCTTCTGGGCTGGTTTTTTTTGAGGCAAAATGTTAGAGTAATCAATGGTTTATTATAAGATTAGAAAGGAGGTAGCTTAGCTATAGTTTCAGTGTCACAATGTTACCATCTCTTGATATCGAATCTCATCATCTATATCTTCAAATGTCCATATCTCTGATTCTCTTTTTGACAAATTTCTCCGGTTTTGACTTGTTTCAAGTTCCAATTATAATTCTTTCCCCATATTTGTTACCCTGTTTTTTTTTTTTTTTTTAATTTTTAAGCAACTGCATCTGTATGCAAGGGTCACTAGATGAGATTGAGTAAAACCTCGTGATTTGCCTTATAAGGTAAAGAGGAGCTTTTTTTTTTTTTTACACGAAATCTGCACTCTGAAAGTCAGAGGATTTGTATGAGATGAAGAAAAGGGCTAATGATTGTTTCTCATGGCTTGGAAATGGTCATTTGCATTGGGCATTTGCCTTTCGATTTCAATCCAATTAGTAGATTGGGCTATTATATGTTTGGGGTCCAAAATGCAATCTCGTGACCTTGAAGAACAGCTTATTAGCTTTTCAGTCTCAAATATGGTTGCATAACGTAAACTGTTGGAATCACGGCAATTGGTTTTCAGGCTCCTCACGTCCAAAATCGCTCTCAATTGTTTCTCCTGTCACTGTTAAATATACTGTGGACTGTTGCTTTAGAGGCTAATAATTGACATTAACAACACCTATTACACAAAAGGCGCATTCAAAATCAAAAGTTAACCAATTGTCCTGTTGGTGTGTCGTGAAGACCAGTAAACGTGTCAGATTAACAACAAAGTGATCTTGTAGTTACTCACTCCTACGGAGACGAGGTTGGGAACATAACCGCAGATAATTCGATGAGTAAAAACCAAACAACCTATTGTAACACATTTAAAATTGGTAGTAACATTTTTGTACAAGAGTATGTATGTATGTATGTATGTATGATATAATAAAACAGAAAATACGACAAAATTGGGGTGGAGGAATTAGTGTCTCACTTATACGCAAAATGACTGAGCATTGACAGAAGGAGTAGGACACAGTTGGTCTGTTTACTGAAACACACACAAACTTTGCTGCTGCCTTCAGCCATGCGCTGTTGTTGTTGTCCACTAAATTAACGTTCATCAGATCATTATTATTGCTAATGGAAACAGGTTGTGGTAGAGTAGATATGGATTTTACCCCAGAACCAAATTGTTCAAACTTTGTCATAAAATAGAACAATTTTAAATCTTTTACTCCCGCTGTTCCAAAATTATTGTCCAAGTAAACTAAAAATAAAAACCTAAACTGGACAATAATTATAGGAGAGTGGAAATAACTAGTTATCTTATTCATCGAGATGCACGTAACTCGGCAAACGGATTAATCATTGTTATCGACATTAGACACCAACTGAAACAGAGTAAGAATTAAAGTAAAAAAAAAACATAAAGTTGAAGAAGGAGAGTAGTAAGAAAGGTAGAGGGAAGAGATATTTCAGATGAAATCTGAGTGAAATGGACAGCAGAGCTTTCATGTTATGGAAATCACATGCAATGTTATGGTACGGCAGTGACAACTTGTAAACATTGTGCATTTAACAACACGTGCACCTCTTTTATTACTTCTTCTTCTTCCAAGTCTTTCTTTGCTTTGGGATCTATATAATATACTCCTCTATATATATATATCTGTATTATTATTATTATTATTATTACTCTACAAACTCTACTTAAGCTATTATGTAGGCTACATGTAGACGGACATCTTCTATCCAGTCTAGATGTTGTTCGTACGGTTCATGTTCCGTGGCTGCCATCCATTCTTTCTCCTTCTTGCTTCCCTACTTTATATTCAATTAAATTTAGGCTCCTTTCTTTACTAATGATTTCCCATTTTTATTCGTCCCACTGAATCTCTTTAGTGATTCGAATGATTAACAAAATGTGAGATTTTGATCCAATAATAATAATAATAATAATAATATTTTTAAAAAAATATAGCGGTGTTACCATAGCGGTTCATGTTGAAATACTTCAAAACAGTTTTCTTAACTACTCTTATCACATTTAGAGTTAATATATAGAGTGCCAACGTGTAAATGGAACTGTATAAAATCATACCTTTTGTTTTTCAATGTGATTTAATTCACTCTTATATGTAGAATTTTCAAGAAGAGATTAGATTGTTGAACTCAGACATGAATTTTGTGAGTCGAACTTTGCTGCAAACGATATAACTTTTAGCTTCTTTGGTTGTGGAGGACTGTGGTTGCTTATTCAGGAGTTACGTCGTGGTTAGAATATGGCTTTTTATATATATATATATATATAGTTTTTTATCCACGTGGTTGGTGTTAATTTAATGTCCTATTTTGTAAAAATTTCAAGAGTTTTTTGTCCAACAAGCATATCAACCGGGGGAACATAGTTGGCATGCATACACGTAATAGTAGTATTAATTTTGGTTGTGGCCACAAATTAACCTTTGAGAAGAATTGAGAAGAAAGATACAACTTACAACATGGAAGGGGGGGTGTGTGACCACTGCCAGAAAATGCTCATATTTTTCTTATTGAAACATCCAAAAAATTTGCATATGGGAAGTTGGACCTCTCCCACAAATCAACACCAATTTTAAGATGGGGAACTCAATCATTGCACATTCTTTTTCCAGGCTAGAGACTCCCGCGTAAACCTCCATGTACGTATCGGATTTTCCATTTCCCATTCTCGGGGGAACCTAATGATACATGTAAACAGAGAGTTGGTAATGAATTAAACATCCGCGCGCGTCTATATTTCAGATACAGAGTCACGTTTGTTGAAATGAAATTGTGCAGTAAATAATATTCTCGTCTCTTCTTTTTGACACAAATGGAGTACTATGAGTTAGGATTTGGTGAATTTCAAATTTTGGAGTATTTACATTGAATGGTTCCCTGAAAGAGAGAGATTTCTCGCTGATTTTACGAGTAAAATTGTGCGAAATAATACACCATGATTTGTACCATGTTTGGGGGTTTGAAATCTGATACTTGCGTTTTCTCTTCAAGCTTTATGAATTGATTGGATTATTGCAATACTATGGTAATTTTGAACGAGAATGTATTGAAAGAATTCCTTTTCTTTTGTTACCAAAAAAAAAAAAAAGTATAAATCTTTCGGAAATACGTCTACCAAGCAGCTGATTATGTAACAGGTGATAAAATCATATTCGTTCTCAATAAATCTACATAATAATTCTTCAACAATTTAAATTCATTATTATATGTTTACTCAATATATTAGATTTCAATCCAAAAGGAGCACAACTGCATGTTCAAATATTATGAGAGTAGACATAACGATTGAAGACTTTTTGTTTAATAATACCGTCATACACGTCACACTTTCATCTACATGAAAATTTCAAAAGATGATAAAATTCAATCAATATATTTTATAAAAATTAAACTACTTATTACAACATCAATACCACATTTTACTATTATTACATATTGTTATCGTATAATCTGGATCGTGCTTGATTACAATAATAATGAAGATTTCCATGTTTCTCATCGAGTCTTCATTGTAAGTTCAATATATCTCTCCCTGTATCCAATCCATGAATCACCCCAAACGCTTAATAATCTTTCCGTTGTCTTTTTTATTTCGTCATCTATTGGTGGTAATCCAGCCTGAGCAGCAACCCAGTCTATGTATTCGAACTGTAAACAGTAAAAAAATATGATCATTCAATTTTAGAATTTGCATATAAACCCCCCCCCCCCAACCAAATAGATTAACCCTTTCGTTTGATGATTTATTTATACTTTGCCTATTGAATTAATTTTGGTTTGCTAACATTTCAAAAAGAATGTATATATGCATATAATTAATTTACCTGGTTTGATGGAAGTTTATGAGTGTGATGCCCTGGAATTCCCTTATTCTTCATCTGTTTGTAATGTTCTTCAACATCTGCCAACATCTCTTCTTCGGATGGCAAATTGCTCTTGCCAGATAGAACAGATACTATCCACTTTGCTTGTATTTCCATCATAAGAAAATTGTTTGCCTGATGAATTTTATTCAAAGATTTAATATAATTATTCCCTCCAATCCTTAATATAAGTCATTTTGATTTGTCCTAAATTTAATCTAGTACGTATTTTTAAAAAAATCTTAAAAATATTTTATAATAATCAAGAGAATATAACAAATGTGAAAATATATTTAAATTTTTTTTTGTCAATTAAAAATGTGTACTAGATAAAACTTAGGACAAAATTAAAATATCTAATATTAAAAACCGGAGGTAGTACATCATAAATAATCCAAATATCACTAGTTTACGTGTGTGTGTGTGTGTGTGTGTTGGCGAGTGGGGGGAAATTCTTACATAGACTGAATAAAATATAAGAAAATATATGAACGTTGCTTAGCACTCACCATGTTTGGTATTCCCACAAAAGAAAGTGAAGGTGCCAATTTTGGAGGGAAGATGTGCTTATACAAAGGTCCGACTCGATTATCATCAATTGTTATGACACCATTTGTTCTAAGAAAAGGGAATGCATACTTGTATCTGCAGTAATAATAAACATGGAATATATGCAATTAACATATGCATCAGAGATCATATAGTTATTATAAGTAGATATTTTTAAATGAAAAATAAACTAGATACCCGGTACAATGAATAATAGCATCTGCGCGGATCATTGTTCCATCTTGAAAAGAAATATCACCATTTTTATAACAATATACTATCTGCGGAACAATAGAATGTTATTGAGTTGTCAGTAAAACGAACTAAATTTATGAAATATGATCATAAGATTAATTCTAACTAATCATATTCTATGAGTAACCTTTGGATGCAGCCATATGTTATGGTAGTTTTCCAATTTCTTGGACGCAATACTAGGCGTTCTAGACGACATATGAACTTCTTCTGCCACTTTGGAAATTTCCAGCAAGATATCGTGTGCACTTGGTCCATAACCAATTACAGCTACAATCTGTGTTATTCATGGCCATATTATATTAAGGATAATATGTAAAAAATAAAAAATAAAAAAAAAATCAATTTTGCTGATTTTCTATATAGCAAATTTTTTACCTTGTTTTCAAATGGCTTTGGAACTCGATAGTTATGACTATGGATTTGTTTTCCGGGCCATTTCTCGATTCCTTTTTTAAAAACAAAACAAACCAAAAGTCATTACTTTATAAGCAATCATCAGAATGGACAGAAGAAAAAAAAAATGTAGAGATTTGAGAACATTCCTGCATGTAATATATGCGAACCTCGTTTAGAGAGTGGGTGGAGTTTATGAACATTTTAATAAAAGATTATGGCCTCTTTTATATTGTCATTTATAAATTAAAAAAAAAAAAAAGCAAATAAAGTTTATATACGTAGTACCTTGAAGTTGAGGTAGTTTTGGTTGTGTGAAATGGCCGTTACAGACCACAACTGCGTCATAGTATTCCTCCGAACTGAAAATCACTCCATTGATTTCTTGTCTCCCTTCAACGATCCAAGGTCCATACTCCATTACTTGCTCAACTCGAACCACTTGTGTACTAATCCGAATCAAATCCATAAGCCCGAAATCTCGAACAAAATTGTTCAAGAATTGTAATACCTCTTCATGGCTCGGAAATTCCTTAAGAATACCACCATTTACATCGCTTGTTACGTTAAAGGGATAATCGGAGAATCCCATAATGTCACTAGGGATGGTTGTCCTAACGGAACCATAGAGACTACTGTGAACGATTTCTCTATTCGGGTCGCAACCTAACGGATCCTCCTCAACCCTAGGATCGTACACCCATACTCCTCCAATCCGATCGGATTTCTCATAAACCACAACCTTGTGACTGTCTTTTTTAAGCTCGCGCGCCGCCACGAGGCCGCCAACACCTGCTCCAATAACTGCAACCCGGAGAGGCCTCGCCATTGTTTTAATTTCTTGGCTCAATCTTTATGCATATGGAGAGGAATGGTTGCATCTACAACATATGTAACTTAAAAAGATGCATTTTTTTTTTTTTTGAATTTGTCAAATGGAGCTCAAGGCTTCCCTCGTGATATTGGACCACGTATATTCTATTATATATAGAAGATACTAGTTGTGCATGGCTTTGGCCTATTAATTACTGTCAAATTACGTAAGAATGTAAATTCGTTGTGTTTCAAAACAATTCTTTTATTTGAATATTTAATGCTAATACTATTTAGATTAAAAATAATTATTTAAAGTGACGAAGAAAGTAATAAATAACCTAAAAATCAAATTTATGTATTCTCCATTTCATGTTTCAAAAGGAAAAGAAGAAATTCTATCCAACCTTTTTTTTAAAAAAAAGATCATACTGATGACTAGAATGGTATAACATAAAAAATATTTATTTTGGGACGGAGAAAATAACATAAATATAGAGAATTTGAAATCATCGTGTAGCAATACCGGAACAGTTATAAACATATATCAGTAATGATAGGGAGTGCGGAAAAAAATAGTAAGAATTAATAGTGACTGATGTGTAAGGGGGCAGAAGTATAATTTTTTGGTAAGAATAAAATTTTTAACGGGAAAATATCAAAAAATAGGGAGAATTACTATATGCCACATCAGTCACTGTTCTTTTTCACTATTTGTTTTCACTAAATACATCATTTTGCAACATATATATGGGATTTTCTGCAACTGACTACAGTACCTTTTCTAGCTGGACTTATCATCTTCTCCATATTGTTCTTCACGAGATCCATCTTAACGCTTTTTGGACGTTGCCGCCATTGTACGTATGGCTCTTGCTAATGATCTTCATCTTCTCTCTCTCACAAGACACATATTTCAAGTTCAACCTAACCCTTCTCTCTGCAAGTTTTTATTTATTTATTTTTTCCCCTCTATGGCTCTTCTGATACATGATACATCACTTTTTATCAACTGCCATCACTCTTTTATACCAAACGTAATCCGGGTATTATTTTTTAAGTCTAGTTAATTTACTATTAAAAGCATACAACTTCCTGAGTGTATCCATTCTCCCTAGATCAGAAAATTCCAAGGGAAGTCAGAATCTGTTTTTTTTCATATATATGCCTTCAGAAAAGGAAAAACAAAGGGAAGATGAAGCACTATATGATAAAGGACTGACTATAAAGCACTTACATGAAAAACTCTACAACGCCAACAGAAGAGTGAAACTATAGCATATCAAGAAACTTTTTTACTATCATTTATGCAAGCAAGTAAATCGACTTATCAAACTTACAGAATACAATTTTTGATATCAAATGAGAATGATAACCGTTTTCAAGAATCCCTCATCATGAATTTTAGATATAGCAGATTATTGCATCTATGCTTTCAACCATGAAATGAAATCTGTGAAGTTTTTGTGGGAGCTTCCTCCTTCACTAGAATTCTTCATCATAATCTCTTGAAGCTGCAACGCTCTTTCCTTGTAGGCAACATTTTCCAGGAGCTCATCAATCTTTTCCTTTATCTCTTCACCCCTGATCGTCCCAGTTGCATCTCGAATGAATTTCAATCCGACCTTCCAGATATCACAAATGTAGCTCTGGTTAGTAAACTGATCAGCAAAATACGGCCAGCATAGAACTGGAACTCCGTTGCCTACACTTTCCACGGTCGAATTCCAACCACAATGACTCAAAAAACAAGCCACTGCTGGATGACTCAGGACCTTTTGCTGTGGTGCCCATCTTACAATTTCACCCTGACTCGCCATCCGGCGGCTTAAGATACCTTCAATAGCACCCGAATGCGAATTAGTCCCGCCGGGCGGGACAACCCACAGGAATGGCCTGTTGGAAAGCTCCAACCCCAAAGCTAATTCTTCAAGTTGCTCATTGCTGAGCACAGAAGAGCTGCCGAAGGCGACATAAATCACTGCTCTACGCGGTTGTTTATCGAGCCAATTCAGGCAAGATGAGACCTCCTGGCAGAACTGTCCTGCTGAATTTCCAAGACGGTTGCTCGCCAGGAGTGGACCAATGGGTACAATTTCTGGAGCTAAGGAGAATGCTCCAGGTTCGAGATCATAAGTTGAGTTGCAAATCAGCCAGTCTGCTAACTTCACAACCTGATTGTTTTGTACCATGGCCTGGAATATGACTTTCTGCATCATAGAGTTTCCTAGACAAGCCCAAACGAATTCTGTTGAATTCATCAAAGGCATGCCGGGAGCAAGTTGTACAACCTGTTCCTTCAACTGGGTCCCTGGAATTAGATATTAATTCTGGGTTAGTTTATTTCAGGGAAAAAAAAAAAAAAAACATGATGATGAAGAATTATAAGAAATCGCACCATCTTGGTCTATTATTCCATCTTCAATAAGGCGTGGAATGTTGAATCCTAAGACCAACGTTGCAGCTGCTGCTGGCAGAAACGCCACTCGTCGGATTCCGAGATTGCTGGCTAATTCTTGAGCCCACCCGAGACTCTGATCTGCAATCAAACAGGTGACCCTGTCTTCCTCTGTTGATGATGCATTCATGGTTTTTATTAATTCTTCAAGCTTTCCAGGCATGACTCTGTAAATGGCCTCCGATAACTTTCCAGGGATTTTCCTTTCCTCATCCGATTCCAGGCCATCCGGGATTGCAACCAAGCAAATACGATCATCTAACGCGACGAGATCTTCAGGATCTGCCAATGAACTTAGGATTCGTTTATGTGTGATCTCGGTATTCACGAATGTGACTCTGATTCCATGCTTAGCTATGCGCTGTGCAAGTTCCATCAAGGGAATTACGTGCCCTTGCGCCGGAAAAGGTACGATCAGTACATGCGGACTGGCCATTCCCAAATCTTCTGCCATCCCCAGTGATCGAGATTAATTTGTTGATTTTTGTGGTATACAGAATAATTTGAAACAGGGAATCTACTTTTATTTTCCTTGTCATTTTTCGTCCAGGACATTATGATGATGTTATAGGATAACACAAGAACAATTTTTTTATATATAATGTTTGTAGCAATTTGGTGGTATTTGATCCAATCATTTTCAGTTGTGGTTGGTTGTGCCTGAGTGGCCACATTTAACCTTAATAAAATTCTTAAGCAGACAAGATTCTTATTCGGCAAGCATAGTTGATAGCATGGTCCATCCTTCCTGCAAGAAAATCCAAATCAGGTTATGTCATTTTTTGGCATTGCTTTTTGCTCGAGTCATTTGATATGAAGTGTAGAATAATTGCTGCAATAATTTCTTTACATCGGGGCGAACGATGATTTCTTGGATCATTGGGTTGCAAGTAGTCTAATCCTGCTTCCAACAAATTTCAATTAAGTGAAACCTTGGAAACAAATGCGGAAAGTTTGGATTTCACAGTTCCTAGCAATTGAAAGTTTTCCTTTGGGCTCATTTCTAAGTCACTTTAACACAGAAGTATTTGGTAATATGGCCCATTATAAAATGCAATCCCCTTTCTATTTGATTGTACCTTCTGAAAACAATGGGTTTTATAGCCCAATTAAGTGGTTCCATCCATATTGAAGATTCCCAAAATACAAGAAAATAACATATCAATGAAAAAAATTGTAAATCATAATAATTTGGATAATTAGGTTGATATAGTTGAAATAATCGATAGTATACAACCGTTTGCATGGATAAATTAAGAAAGACGACTTAAAATAATCATTTAATGATTTGCCGCTATGATATTGTCACCAAACAACCTATCAAAATGTTTCTAAGTCCCAAGTCTTACGGGGATATTTGTTTAGCGATGTTGATATTTGCTGGGAGAGTTTCTTGAAAAGGATCTATCCGGCTCGAATCCGATTAGTCGGAGTAATGACTTCAAACACCGAATGTGTAATACACCAAAAAAAGAAAAAAGAAGGAAAAAAATTTCCTAAGAGCATTTACATGGGTGTCGCTTATCATCTCATTCAACATATACCACCATTAGTATTTCTACGGATCCTCTGCATGCACTAACAATTTTTTGCTAAGAAAATCTAAAATTTTGTGGGTTAATCTGTAAACTAAATAAAAAAATATCCAAAGACTGGGTGATAGCAAGGCCACTGTAATATATAATCTATGACAAATTCATTGGAACACAGAGTTGAACTAGACGTCCGACAAGGTTTGACGTGATGAGACATCAATTTGGGTCTACTTATTCAGCAATTCTAGTAAACTCAATGAGCTTTGTCCTAATCGAACTTGCAGTAAAATATTTAACCTTGCAATGTTCTCCTTTAGTAGCTATAAATACTAACTCAATAATGATGTAAAGTTGCTTATGGATCAATAATTAGGTACGAAGGTTAGTTGTTGCTGCTTACAGTTTGCTTAAATTGTCCGACAAATGAGATCTATTTTATTGGTTTACTGAAACGACCTTTCCATCCACTTTTCTGTTAGAATTTTATAAAAAAGTTAACGTTCAACTTTTTTGCATGAACGTGAGTTAATCGCAAGGTATCATGTGTGTATGTTGATATGTCTTTGTTTATTAATTTATTTATGTTTTTTTTTTTTTTGGCTCTAGATAATATAGATTGATCTAAATCCAAGTTGAACCCAAAGGCACCTTGTTAGAGATCAGTTGATATATAAACAGTTTTGATAGACACGGTATTTTCTAGTTCGTAACAAGAATAGAAGAAAATTAGGGCAGCAATATTATAACACGATACAACAAGTGTTTTCACGTCGGTTCCACATTTCAAGATATTGAAGTGTTGGGAGAACTCCCAAGAACCCAGACATGAATTATCTTATGGATAACGAGCTGGTGTTGGATTGTAGCGACAAGAAGAATATAAAAATCCCTTTTGCTAATACAAAATCTAGGTTGATTAGAAATTAAATAATTGTATGATTAGAGAATCCGAAGAAAATGAATGTAGCACCCCTAGCTCAATTTGTAACACCACTTAATAATTAATCTCCATGGTCCACCTTTGCCAAGAAAGTCCAAAATCAGGATGCATTACTAATTTCTTTATCTTTCCTTTGGGAATTTCAGAAAATAAAAAGAATTTCCACAATCTCAGGCTTGGAATGATTGGGGTCCACTAGATCCTCACAAGCCTACATCCGAGGTGAAAGAAACTGAGAAGAAGAGAATAATACCAGTAGTAGTAGTAGTAGTATATGTCACGTGATAAAATGAATGGATGACGGGATTGTGAGCAAATTGGGAATTGGGACGAAAAGAATCATCAAAAACTGCTAAAAAGTGACAAAGAAAATGAATGTTGGAATGTTCGGAGACACTACAAAACCAGAACACTGGCATTGGTGGTCAGCAAATCTCTTTTGATAGTTTTGGACAATGCTGACTGCACTGACGCCCTTTCCTCACGGAATCCTAATATGCCATCTGTCTTTTCTTTGTCACATAAATAAGTACTACTGCAACAACTACTAACAACGTTTTAATGTGCAAAAGTACGTACGAGGTTTGTAGATAGTGCGTGTGTGCGTGTTTAATTTTTTAGGGGTTTTTTTTTCCCTCCTTTTTTTTTTTTTTGTTGTTTAGCTCTTTATTCTCTTGGGGACGTGATCTCAGATGGTCATGGTATGATATGAATGGTGCTATCTGACTTTTATTATTATTATTATTATTATTATTCTATTTTGCTTCATCGTACATATCACTTTCCCACGCAATCATATTTGAGTGGTCACACAGGACAGGAGATTGATTCGTCAGTTAGTTGAATGAATGAATGGAATCTTCAACTTTGTCTTGTGTAAGCAGGATCTCCATGATGCCGACCCTTTTTTGCTTTAGTCAAAATATCTTGACAAAGTGTTAAAGTTTTTAAGCCAATGGGTGTTATCCAATTTCCGACAGTACCCTAAAGGTTGGAATAAATTGTGTTACAAATTATCACTCTTACAAATTGTCACTATCTCGAACGTCCTAATAAATTTTCAAGATGAGATGTCGTAGCAGTTTGTCTTCGTGTTACATTTTGTGTCGTGTTACATTTCCCAGAATCTAGTTGTTGATTTTCAGGATGCAATGTTTGCTGCAACAAAAGAAGGGCTACAGACGACTAGAAGAGTTTATTTACCTGCCTTATGTTTGATCTTTAAGATGGCAAAGCATTTTATCCTGAAAATGGCAAAATTAGTGGAGAAGATAAAGTACAGTGAAGGCACATGGAATATCAGATGCTACATATATGAGTTAAATTCTAATCAGACTTAACATTACATTCTAGGCAGAGATTAGCATCACCTGGTTAACCATTGAGAAGGTGATGGCCTTGTCATATATACAGAATTAGTATACACACGCTAAAATCAAAATTTGGTTGCGGCAGACTGGTTTCCTATCTAAAAGATCAACCAGCATTCTTACCTGGAGCGCACGGCTTTGTCTTGCAACTCCAGTTTCCTATTCCAATTTCTAGGGTTTCTTTTTTTCTTTTTCCTTAAGCGTACTTTTTCGCTACTCCTTCAATATGGTTAATCTATGATCTGAGTTATGGGAAAACTGCCTGGTCAAGAAAATTTTTGTTCACAAGGAAATACAATTCACCCCTTCCGGCACCACCTTAGGCATTGGGTGTGCTACAACATATCTCTGAGGTTCTGGTTTAGACAAAGCAGGATTTGCAACAGAATTTGAAGATGTATTCACTGAAACACAAGGTCCCTTGCTGTGGAACCTAGCAAATCTGTTTATGACTGAGAACTTCTCCAGATCTTGATAGTCCACCTTTATTTGCACAGCTGATGCCGTCTTGTCCATTCTGCAAAACCAAATTTCGCGAGAATAAAGAAAAACATCAGGGCTATCACTTCGCTGAAAGAGCAGCAAATGCAATGCTGGTCCAGACCTATCTGGTTCACGTCACACTTCCAAGAACTTTTCGAACTTGGAACTTTTATGGGGGGGGTCAGAAACTAGTTTCTTTACCTTAACAAGTCATTTTCAAGTTTTTTGGCTCGATCATTGAAGTTTTCCACAGTCTTTGAAAAATCCAGCAGATCACCTCTCTCAGAGTTTCCCAGCTCCTCAGGTGACCTAAAATTTAATAAATAGTTAGTAACAACATAAACATACCTGATTCCAAGGCTAAAGAAATAGAGGTCACCATATTAACCAGGTTACGATAACTATTTGCAATGCTTGATAATGAATGGGAAACAATCATCTTACATTGCCAAAATTCATAAAAATAATTATCTCAAGGGAATTAAAAACTTTACATGTCACTGGTTGGAGGGTTCTGAGAACCACTGGTCAGGCCGCATGCATCCCTCAGGGCTAATCTAGCAACAAAATACACCAGACTCTCACTGTTTGAAGAAGCATCTGCTGATAGAATGACCGCTGGTGCTGGTTGAAAGACCTGTTGCATAAGCTTAGTTGTTAAGAGAAGTCTTTTCTTAGCATGAGACCTTGGCAGCACATCCTCCAGCATTTCAGCTTCATCTTCCACCTGTGATATTTAATCACTCAACAATAAGCTCTTTAAGTTGCACCCAATTAAATCTCTCAAAACGATTAGAGAAAACTGAAGTGAATCTTCGTTTCTGAAAGTTCAATAAAATTGCACCTTTTCAATTAATCTGTTTGAAGCCAATGCCCATTCTGATTCAGCCACGCAGCTACTGCAGAACCCATAAATAATTAATCAACCAAGTAAAGTGATTCAGAAAGAAACTAATTGCAAAAAAAATAAAAGTCGGGAATGATCTTCCACATGCATTGTTTCTTCATAATATGGGAAAATAATGAAAACCCATCAACTGTGCCTTTTTTTGATCAGCTAACTGTTAAATAGAAAAATAAAAGAATAAAAACAGTATACATTATACAGAATGAAAAATGGAATAGAAGTAAAACCTTAATTTATGGAGTGGGATCCTCTGAGTTACTTCTTTGTGCCATGGAATATTATCAAAGACAGGAACTTTTCGCTTCTTAGGTCTCAAAGCAGCTAAGTTTTGTTCATTGTTGCCCAATGATTGTTGAGCCGTGGCATTCTTGATAATTAAATAAGGCGAAATACCTCTGAGTTGGCTGGCATTTGATGGATCCTCTAGCACAACTCCTTGGAACGTTTCTGACTTATTGGACAACTGTTGAGCAGAAGGAACTGTGTGCATTGAATTAGAAATTGCCAACATCTGTCCATTTTTCATAGCTCCATACTGTTTAAACCAGGAAGGCCCAGTTTGAACATTAAAAGGAGATTGATCCTTTGGAAGATGGTTGACAGTTTCAACAGACGGTAATCTCTTGCTACCCTGAATCGAAGTCTCAGAAAAATGTTTTCCGGGCAGATTTCCACCAGATTCGGAGGGAATAATTGGCTTATTCTCCGCATGCAAGTTGGAATTGAGCTGAAAATTAACATTGGTGTGTCCTTGTGCCACATTCTGCAGCCCTGACTGAAGCCTCAACAATAACTGCTGCCGGACATTTGCATTTACCTGCAAAAGGATTCAAGCAGAGTGAATTTTATATTTCACAAGCACCTAATCAGTAATGTCAGATTCCAGTTTCCAGATATGGCAGACCTGTTGCAGCAGAGGAAATTTTTGCAGTAGGCTATGAGGCTCCAGATAACGGCCAAAAGCATCAGATCTTTGAACATTGACATGGGCGTTGTCTCTCTGCTCCACTTTTTCAGATCCCTGTTGATGAAAACTTGTTGAAACAACATTTGTAACATTTGGGGCTGAAAGATGGCAAGCAACCGCTCCGTGTGCATGACTTGATCTCGTGAGTGAAAAAGGGCTGGACGCTTTGCATGGGTTTGGATGATCCACTTGGTCCACCTTCGGATCAAAACCTTGAGTTGTCTTTGGAGAGACATCAACCTCTCTGGAAATATCACCAACTTCAAAACAATTTTGACCATGCTGTGGATGTACAACCATACTAGCACTGTCCTTGTTGCTATTGTTCGTATCTGATGAAGGTAATAAGAAGCACAAATTAGGCACAAGAAGTTAAGGTGCATATTGCAGCTCTGGTATTTCTTCAGATATATTCAGAATTTCAATTAGAATTCCAACACAATCAGTCAACACTGAAGTAGAAAACCTCTCACCTTCAACAGTATTTTGAAAAGGAACACGGGGGTGCGGAGAGGTAGCAACTTTGGCATGACTGTTTGTAGCCAATTGAAATGTAGCAGGGGCATTGTGGTTGAATGAAACAGAATTTTGCTCATACTGACGCTCGTTGCTTTGATGCCAAGGATAGGAAGTGTTTATTACATTTGACTGTGCCTGCATAAACAGACTTAAGGTTTAGAACCCTTTGAATATTTGTTTCCACCAAAAACAATGAGCATGCCAATTCAAGCTTAAAAGCCACCAAGATATAAATTCTTCACACTCGTCAGCACAAGGATTACCTGCGACGGGGAAAAATAAGATCTTGGTATCTGTTGAGATGGAGGGACCATTGAGCGCATGCCTGGTGAAGAAGATGATTCATGAAACAAAACATCATTTTGATTTTCTACGTGGGGTACTTGTGAGGATGAAACTGTATCTGGAGACTGCACCTGTGTTAAGAAAGATGTACAGTGTTAGCGTCACAAATATAGAACAGAAAGACAAGTGCACATCCAGCCTCGATAAACTTAAGTTCCAAATACCTTTCCAGACTGTACTCCAATATCAGCAATATTATTAACGTACCCTTGCTCCTGATTACTCCAGGGATGAGAGACCTAGAGAAACAACTTTAATCAAAATGGAAAAATAATCTTTTTAGGAAAAGCAAGTAAATATGCCATCCCACCCTAACTAACCAGATTGACTGGTGCGCCGCTGCCAGCAACCATGTGCTGAGGTTCATTTTCATGCTGCCACATGTTTGCTTTCACTTCATTCCCTGAAACAGAAACTATAATTTAAAAGTCAAAGCCTGAACTTGCAAGTTAGGTGCAGCCATTATGCTTCCTCCAAAAATTTTGGAACCACATTATCAAATTGTAAGAAGTCTACTATTTACCCATTTGGCTATCTTAAAGTTGGCTACAAATGGTATATTAGCTCACCATGGTTGTTTCTTGAAAGCTCATGACGTTGATCCTTCCAAACATCATGCAACTGGGGAGAAGTTTGTACCAGTTGACATCCTTCAACAGATGGCTTCGGTTGGCTGTTACGATCAAGCCACTCACTGGCATTTGGCATGGGCTGCTGATTTGATTCATACGAAAAATCAGAATGCATGCCATCATGCTGAAAAGTAGGAAATCCGAAATTCATATTGGATTGTTGACGCACAACCTCAGGTTTTGAAGGTGGAGAAGTTATATTTTGCAAACTATTGTCAACCCAAGTTCGCTGTTGCTCATCATCAATATAATTTGCATGATCATTATCAGTTGAGAGTTCTGGGTTCTGAAAGGTTAAACCACTCCATTCTTCTTGTTGCCCGGTGTCGCTGCTAGAAGCCTCAGCGACAGCAGACTGCATAAGAGCACTCCAGCTGCCACTGTGGTTTGCAGAAAAAGAACCCCCAAAATCTGCTTGACGGTTATTCTCAAAGCCCATCATCACATTACTAAGCTGACCGGCAGAAGACTCCCAACTACTGTCATCGGAGTTGAACAATATTTTCTCCTCCAAAGGATCCAGGGAAGCAGTATCACGAGAAGGTTCAAGTCTTGCTGTTTTTTCCACAGACTGCAGCGGCCACCCAGCTTGTCCTTGCCCCATTGCTAATATCTTTGAAGATGCATTCTTTTGGAGGGAATCAGATTGCTGGAAGTTGGTAGGTTGAATTCCCTCTTCTGAAGATTGCATAGGAAGTTGTCCATAGAAATTCTTATTCCCAAAATGTCTTTGAGCGAAATCTTCAGTTGTCGTGCCAACTTTGTCTAAGGGAAGGTTGAACCGTTCATTCACAAAGGAGTTGCTGAAAGTCGATGGCTGTATCGATGCCATCTCCAACTGGCTATTATGGCCCATGTTAAATGCATTCGCATAATCCTGAGAAGATCCTTGAATTTGGCCAAAAGCATTCATATCCTCTCCTGAGTTTACCGGATTTCCATATAGAGACACATCCATTTGTTGAGGCAATCCAAAGGAATAAATAGGCTGATTTTGAGCTTGTGAAAAGACGTATCCATTTGGAAACCCTTGAACATTTGGCGTCATGCCACGCTGAGCTGAGTAAGAGTTTCCGCCCATAAACATTTGTGATGCATCTTGAATAGGCATTCCATTTGCTGAAGAAGATTGCAAACCAGAAGTCTGTTTGTTATATACCGATAGCTGATTTAGGTACTGCTGTTGCCTTGCATCATTTAACTCCTGAAGTTGCTGCCGCTGCTGCATTGCTTGCAGCTGTTTGAACATGATCTGCCTTTGCAACATGATAAATGAGGTGTTGGCATCCACAGCTTCTCAAAACCCCTATACAGATTACGAAACGATAACAAATTATCAAATGAGAAGGATATCTAAAAGCTTTTCCTTTCCAGACAGAAATCATCCTGCTATAGTTCTAATGAGAATGATCTTTCCTTGGATTTTTGACATTAATTAGACAAAGCAATCAAGGCTGTCCTACTCGATACTACTTTTCTGAAACTTGAAATTAAAACCATCCAATCAAAAATCAGTTGTGCACAATCTTAAAGCTCTAACTCAAGTTTTCCACCAAAAATCATAGTTACACAAAACAGATAAAGCAAAGATGAAACTAATATTTCACTCAAATTCCAAATGCTCTTTACAGAAGCAGCTGTGCATCAAGACTCAAGAGCATACCAGTTCTCAGCTATTCGAACTTCTGACGGCAAATATTTCAACTAGTCCACAAACTTATGCAGTAAACTACCAAGAGACAACTTAAATCGGATTATAAATTGCTGCTTCCTAAAATAAGTCAGTACTATTCAAAACAGCAAATTATCAGGAAGGACAATCTGTCAGCAATTACAGCTACCCAGAATAGAGGACAAACGAGACCAAAATGAACTCCACAATGATGAACTTTCCAACATTGGCACCAAAAATGTTACCCTCCAAAGCACTAAAGAAAACCCTACACAATTAACAACTTGCTCATGCAATTAACAAAATTCCCAAAATTTAAACTAACAAGTTCCCATGGATAATCAAAGCATGACACACAAACCACAAACCCCTTCAACCAAAAACCACTATCAAATTTAAACACCCTCACACCAAAAATTCGAACTTCATGCTACAGTAATAAACAACACCAAATACAAAAGGGAAACCAAAAAAAAAAAAAAAAAAATTGGATAAACATAACTTGGATCAAGGCATGTGACTACCAATTCTGCTACCCAGAAAAACAGAGGAAGAAGGGCCAAAAACCCAGAGCTTAAAAAATAAAAACTAAAAATTACAAAAAAGCTCAAAACTTTGGATTAATTTCAGTAACAGCAACACAGTAGGTGGCAGTGTTTTTGTGAATTCCTACACTGTGATCTGAGTGGAAAAAAATTCAAGTGGGCTCAGTCACAAATGTGTGTAAATTAACTTACAGATTGAAAAATCAGCAAAAAAAAGCAGACTGAGTATTTTTTTTTTTTCCCTTCCTAGCTCCAAAACAGCTACCAGAGAAATGCTTCTTGCTTTTCCTTTTCCTTTTCCTTTTCCTTTTCCTTCCTCCTCCAAATTATATTTGTAATAAATATATAAATAATATTATCTCATAAGAATCACAGAGCTTTCTCTCTCTCTCTCTCTCTCTCGTTTCTTTCTCTCTCTAAAAGGATTGGGAGTGTTCTTGTGCTAAATGTTTCTAAAGAGGGTGCGTCACAGTGTTGAGCTCTTCCTTCAGACAAAACCGGAGATAATGGGATCATTGAACACTGAAGTGGAAAAATTTTGTTTTCTATTAATAATTATTTATTTATTAATTACTAAATTATAAGAATCTGGAAAATTAAAAAATTACAGGCTCGGAACCGGCGAGGCTGCGGCTTTCTGGGACCGAACCTGAGGTTCGGAGTTAGGCGTGGGTTTTGGAGGCTGAGGTAATAAAGCGTGATTAAATGTCGGCGCGTTTACATTGTCATACAGACGGACCTGTGTTTCTGGCCGTTGGATGATATTAGAAGGGGCTTTGGAGATGAAATGATTGAGATTAATGTACACCTGCGGAGTAGGTGATTGTTACCCCTTGGGAATGGAAGGTAAAACGTGGGAAGTAGGATGGGGTAGTTGCACGCGCGTGAGTCAAGCGTGTGGCGCGGTGCTTTGTTTCCAAGTCTACTTGAAAGTCCAAAGTGCTCTTTTCCTCTCTAACCTTTTTCTTTTTCTTTTCCTTTTCTTTTTTGTACGAATTTTTTTATTTTATTTTATTGTTTTGCTTTTCATAATTTTTGCCATCATCACATCATCATCTTGGCTATGAAAATTCATACTCCTTTCGGTCTCCAAATTAGATTATTATTAGTTCAAGAATCAGAATTCTTTGGTTGGAATGAAAATAGTACTTTGTCGATAGTATTAGTATTAATGTACTCATGAAACAACTTGAATTATATTTCAAGCATTTTTATTTAAAATTTCTATTCACTCACAAGAGAGATAGTTAACAAAAAAGAGAGTGAATTAAGTAATTGGTAAGAGAATAATAGTGACAATAATGAAATGGTAAACAAACAAAAATACTATAAAAATGGTGATATAATAATATATGAGAGAAAATGAGGATTACATTATTTATTTCATATCACATCATATTTTTAAAAAAAAAAAATTACTCCCTTTGTCCTAAATCATTTTTATATTAAAAATAAAAAGTCTAAACTAGATAATTATTTTCGAGACGAATGAAGTGTTATATTATTCAATGGCTGTCGTACTTTGGGCGTAGCTAGCCATGTAAATATTGTATCCTCCAACTGTGATGTTGTAGCTCGTAGTCTCTTATTGGTGGAGGAAAAAATTTACTCCTTTTGTCTAAAAAACAATAATTTTCATTGAATTTAAAAATTTACATTAATTAAAAAAAAATAAAGCTCAAAATGTGAAATATTTTTCGGAGGGAATACAAATTATTTTCCACAATAGTTATCCATAAGAATCGAATCAACAACCTACAGTCATTGTATTTTGTGATATGATATTTATTTTAATGTGTTTTTGTTTGTACTTCGGATATCCTAGGATAAACAAATATATTAACGCAGGTTCATGCACTGAACGAGTTAATAAAATATTGTTTTCTTAAGATATGGACTAGTCCATTACTATACGGAACCCAAAAGGATCAAAGCCCAAATCCAATAGTAGCTGCCCTTGAAAATTATGCCACCCCTCCTCAGCAAATGTTACGATTTTCCAAAAACATTAAAAAAAATAATAAATAAATAAATAAATTATTTTTTTTTTATAAACAAACAAACGTTACAAAATGATTATTTCTGTATTTTCCAATAGAATGATCATGAACGAAAAAGGAAAAAAGAAAAAAGAACAAATATGACTATGAGATCAAATCCTATATATAATTCTTAATTTGAAATTATATGAATTTGTAAAATTTACTTTTGCAGTTGTTTTATTTTAAAATCATAAAAAAAAAATTTAAAAGGAATAACAGTTTGGAACTGGTGAATAAATCTAATAGAATCGCATCACCTTCCTTGATTTAATGGATTTTATTTTATTTTCTTTATTCCCCTTAATCGAATTGTGCAAAGGCGGAGATGTATAAGAGTTTTATTTGCAACGAGTCGAAAAATCCCGACGCAAACTTACTCTTAAAAATTAACCATCAAAATTCAGGCAATATATAATATTCACGATACAGTTTTCATTTCATTATAATTTATTTTGTTGAATCAGAAAATCCGAAATAGTATGTCCTATTATATTGCCAAATACTAACAATAGGACTTGGGAAAAGGGGGAAAATGCAGATTTGGAGATGTTGATTTCTCACAATTGACAAAAAGCATAGCTCTGTTTTATCATTGTTTGGAGTCATAGGTTACTTACAGTGGCAGTGGCAGATGTCACGAGTTTTAAATGAGACTAACGGAATAAACTGCCCACCTACACAGCCTTTTTTCAAACTGTCACATTTGTACGACTTTCTAAAAATGGAATGTCACTTACCTATGTTTGATTTCGTAAACAGAATCTCTCACATCGTACGATTACGTACACTTGTGTGTACTTTTCTTAACAAAAAAAACAATTTACTGTGCCACTTTATATCTATTGCCTTTAATAATAATTATTATTAGAGTATAAGAAGAATCATTGGCAATTTGTCATGCATATGCCCCGTTAAACTACGAACATTATTAGTACGTGAAAGCGAACCACTTGCGAAATGCTCCTGTACACCGGATATTATTATTTATAAGTAGCTTTCTTCAAAAAGTATTTTTTTGAAGAAATTTCCCAGCTGTTATCTAAGAGAAATGAAAGATATTTCTCTCTTCGTCCCATAATTATTGTCGAGTTTAGGTTTTCATTTCTAGTTCAAATTATACTAAAAGTGAAATCTCAAATTAGATAATAATTTTAGGACAGATGGAGTAATATATCGATACAATGATAAATGGCTAACTACTTCTTGTAGGGAAAGCTATTTAAATCTTTCATTACAAAATTAGGTGAAAATATTTTATACAGTTGTCGTGGGACCAAATTTTAAATTAACATCACTTTGGTACAAGTAGTCAATAATTTTTTATTTTATTTTTTTAGCTTTTAAATTTATAATGGATCAAAATATCATCAAAGAGGAGATATGTATCTGACCCGATTAAAACATCACAGGATCATTCAATTCATAGTGGAGTGAATTGTTTCAAATTGGAGGAATTACATGGTGAAAAGGTATGTATCAAGAAGCATCAATTATCTGTATCACAACAATCTTTTAACCATTTCCCTACACAATCTCCTTGCATCTCATTTTAACAATAAAGTCAAATCAGCTACTTTTTGCAAAAAAAAAAAAAAGAGAACTTGTAAGCATGGTTTGTAAAACTTTAAACAATTGCATATACATAAACTTCATATGATAACAAAAATAACAACAGTATGTTAACCTTGCTATATCAATGGGACTCTTATCTATTTTTTTTTTTTTTTTGAAAAGTGACTCTTATCGAAGTGGCATGGGAAGGATTTTGATAGAGACGAACAACGACCACAATAGTCTGCTTTATTTCTTCCTTATTTTATCTCTTCAAAGTTAATTAGTGGCGGGATATGAAGTCTTGGTAGTAAAGTTTTAAGTAACTCTCCGCTAAAAAACGAGTCATATTGTAAATTATAAATTATACTCTTTCTGTTCTAAAATGATTGTCCAATTGACATAAATTATATTAAAAGTGAAATCTTAAACTGTACAATTATTTTAGAACGAAGAGTACTAGTTTTAATACAATATCTAGTACTTTTTGAGACTAGGGAGTATAATATCATAAAACAAAAGGGTAACAAAAAAAACAGAAATATTACTGGTTTAATTTGCTACATTGGTTTTCAGTTTTTACGGGTAGTTTAGTGAAAAATCAGTTGAGACTTGAGATTGGTGGACTCTTGTTCGAGGGTATATCAGTTTGCTATATGTGTAATTCTGACGTTTAATTCACAAGATGGGGATGTAGCTCAAATGGTAGAGCGCTCGCTTTGCATGCGAGAGGCACGGGGTTCGATCCCCCGCATCTCCATTTTTTCCTTCCTTTTTGCTTGATTATGATAATTTCTATTGACAACAAGAACACATTTTTTTTCCCCTCCCGAATGATAATTTTTGGTGATTGCTCACTCACAATATAAGCTCAGACTATAAGAGCACATTTTTGTGCTTTTTCTTTTCTTTGATTCAGGTGAAGCAACAACATTCTACAAATTTAGATAACCATGCTAAAAGAGAGTATTAAAACCCTAACAATCTTGACTAAAAAGAGAGAGTTAACTGTAACAGACGAATTTATTATCTTATACCAAACAAATAGTTGCTTTATTCTTCAAGTTAACAGATCTAATTTGCTTGTAGCTTATTTCCTGCTCCTCCAAAGAATGTGGCGGCCAGAAGAATCTCTCTCAACATGGCACCAGCAGGGCGTGTTAGTTTTTTCTAGTTACTGCCGTGCTAATAAACTTACTCCCTCCAAAACTAAGAGTCTCAATACGGTTGCAAGGGACATTAGGAGGCAGATTTAAAGTTTGTTTGGTTGAAATGTCACTCACAAAACTGGGAAATACATACTTTCTCTGTCCCATAATTATTGTCCAGTTTGAAATTTCACTCTTAGTACAATTTGAACTAAAAATGAAAACTCAAACTCGACAATAATTATGAGACGGACGGAGTAGTTGTCAACCTTTTTCAGGAAACAATTGCTTTCATTTCAGTGTATCTCTTTCGCTACATACCGCGGCTATTCTGCTTCTGTATTGAATTATACACCACAAAGAAGCTGTTTTCAGTTAAATCCAGAATTCCGGATTTCCTGGAAAGAATAACATGGTGATTTCTGTTTTAATATGTTATTTTTTCAATGGTAAATTACAGTGACTCGACGCCAAAAAAAATGCTATTGTCTCAACCACAACTGGTAATCTGCCCCTTTATCAACGAATTTCTGCCAGCTGCCATCCAAATGAACTTCCTTGAAAGGATTCCAGTCCAGGTACCCAAGCTTCATGACTAGCGTATCTCCAATTTGTGCAACATATCCATCGTTATTTGCATGGAGTATCTTTACAGGACTACGGCAGTGGATTCCAGCCCTTGTCCGAGACTCGATCAACTCCGTTATTATTTCCCGTAGGCCAAAATCATAAAAATGATCGTAGAATATGACAGGCTATTCACCAAAAAGGAGGCAAAAAGGAATTACTTACAATTCGTTCAATCAAACATTTGGGATATACAGATTGCCGATATAGGGAGTAAAGAATTTACCGTTCCAGGATGGGTTAAGATGTATGCATACCCCTGCGTAAGCTTATCCCTAGGAAATGGCCAATGACCCTGGAAGGAAAAACATTCTCAAGTTTTGCAACAGCCCATACGAAATAGTGAATGGAAGACCAATTCAAACTAATGCAAAAAGGCAAAGGGTTTTTCTTATGTTGTATAACCAGTGATAACTGAATCAACAGATTAGACACACCAAAAGAAAATGAGGAGCATCATAACGTCACCTACATAGGCTTATTCATCAGTTCAAGTGGAGAGACAAGACAAATAATAATGTACAATCTACATTGATATTTTACGCCAAATGACAGCCAATACATGTAGTTTGTTTACTGTATGCCTGAATAGTTACCTGTGTAGATCCAGTATCGTGATTCTCTAAGAATGTTACAGCACGAGAGGGCCACCATCCCATTACTCCAGTCGGTTTTCCTTGAGGATCAATCAACCTCCAATATTGGTTATGCAGAGCAGAATGAAGTATGCCCTAGGGGGGAAAAAACACAAAAAATGAATTTTAATTCAAATTATCCTGACAAGGCTCAGTACATGAGTAGTTATATGTCTAAGATAGGAGCTACAATTCAAGATATGATGGTTTCAAACGAGGCAACAAGGTCTCAATTGTCATTTATCAAAAAAAGGTCTCCATTGTCAAATTTAAACAGCAAGTGCACGCTATCCACTTCTTGATAGAGCACCAAACAGGTGTCACTTGAATTGCACTTGCTTAACGAATCTCTTTATAGAAAATGTTTCTTTTGACTACACTTCCAAGTCTCCTTAAATAGATGTCGTGCTTTTCAATTCATACCTCTTCAATAATCCATGCAGTTTTGAACACAGGGTAAATTATCTAAGTTTTTGAATACTTTATCAGGTAGGATATCATGAGTGTAATATGGTAGCACTTTTTCCTCTCTTCTTAAAGAAAAGCACAAAGAAAAGTGATGCCTTAAGCTATCAGCAAACATCTTGAAGCATAAAACAAGTTAGCAGCATCTTTTCACTAATATTTTTATCTTGTTAATAGATAGCTAGGCCTGAAAACCATGTAGGAGATTCAGCAACAGAACCTTGGTTGTGACATCAAATGCTGAGGAGGTACCTCCAGTTGCATTGATCCAATTAACTATACGTTGCCGATGTGCATCTGCAGAGAAATGTAATGTTGAGTTTGTAGTTGAAATACAGAAACAGAAAGATTTATGAAGATGAAGAATACACAAATCAGATTAAGTAGAATATGTCATGCAGTATAAGAACGAGGAAATATCATTATCAGTTTAGATTCAATTGAAACTTCACTTGAATCCCTGGAAGGAATTCCGTGTTTTCTGAACATTCAAAAAAATTTACAGGAGAAGTTTCTCTTGATAGGACTAGTCACAATAACATAAAACTATCAAAGCTGAAGCCCACATTCAATTGTAATTGCTTACCCTGGTTATAACATAAGTTACCCCCTTCATAAGCCAAGCTATCCCAATATTCTCCGATAGCAAAAGCAGGATTTGAAGCCTCTATATATTCCTTGACATATTCACCTGCAAAGCCCCTGCAACAGGATAATATGTATCAACTCCTGTATTTCTTTCGTGGAAATAGGATGTATTTTTGTGTGACAAACTAATGGACTCAAGATACCATAGACATGTTAAAATCAAAATTATTCTGCCTAGTATTGGAATATCAGGCCTACTAATTTTATCATTCAGAAGTTGCATTGTGGGGGCTTTGACATATGGCCTTTAGGGACTGCCAGCAGCATCATAAACAAATGATACACAAAAATCAGCCTGCAGTTTGAGTAAGTAGGAGATGTGCTGGTCATAGCCGTTGTCCTTGAACTTGGAATGCAAGTCAGGCACAAAACTGGATAAAGAGATCTGAAAAAATCAACTCTCATCTCTGATTTGGTAAATCATACCCACATGAGAGAGATAACAATTCGGTGCATTCACCTTACAAAGTCGAGACGCCACCCATCAAATCCAATATCATTCCGCAACCAATTTAACCACTCTCTAATATCTCTTCGAACAAAGTCTTGTGAATGATCAATATTTGGTGCTGCATGAAAGATATCACCTGCTCACCCCAAAAAAAGCAAATGCATAATAACGATTAGGTGTCTACAATGTGATCACAGAAATTAGATTGTTTAGAATAATGATAATAAGCCCTCCGCGAGCTTTCTTTAAAGCTAAAACCATTTACTCTTTGCAAGGCAACAAAATCAATATGAGCTAGCCAGGTACTGAAAGTCTTGAACAAAAGGCAAAGTAATTGAACAATTTTATCCTGTAAAAGGTATTCATACCGCTTGAAGGATTTCCACGCCCTTGGAAGTTTGGGTCATCACAAACAATAGCTTCAGGACCCCATGCAAGCTTGCCTCCAAATATATTCCAGACACCATTTGGACTCTGTAACCAACAAGTACAAATATTAGACATACTTACAACCATAAGTAGCTCAAAGAATTGCTCCACCTAAATAGCTGCGAAGAAATCAAGGAGAGAGAAATTGTTGTAGGTTTTTTAAACTTCGCATTTGGGAGATCAGTGCTTCTAAAATTCTAATGTGCAGAAAGTAATATGCTACCTGGCTGACACCTAAACCTAATATTATATACAAGGCTGAGGATTGATCTGGTGTTATGTATCCACAGAAGAAGCATTAAAATTTCTAGCATGTAATCTAAAGATTTTTAAAACATAAATCAATTATTTCTCACCAATGGCTTCAGTTAAATGATCTTAGGACACCAAAAGAAAAAGGTGCTCGTCTTCACATGTTATAAGTATATAAAAAGTTGCAGACACAGAGCAGAAACCAGGGGAACAAAGGGATTTATGAAGAACTTAAATAAATCCCAGATCTTTAAACAAGAGTTACCTGTTTATGAGCGCATCTGTGGTTCAGTACGACATCCCCCAAAACCTGCGTAGCATTCCCAGAACATTAACTTCAGCAGATAGCAACAAAATACCAGAACTTAAGCTTTTTTAGTAGAAAGTTTAAATAAGGATATAACTATCAGCACATGCATGTAATTAGCTTGGGAGATATGACATTAACTTTCATGTTCAAATCCGGACATTCCTAGAAGTTAAGTTACACCTGACTCGAGGCAAGTCATCATGCAGAATTTATTACATGAGACCTTTAAATCAGCCCCTGGCATAACCAAAGAGAACCCTAGTACTACTGTGATGTGCAAATAAAAATGTGCTCAAATTGAGTCTAATGAACAAACCTGGACACTAATAAAGTCTAACAACCCTACTTTCCCCGACACCATTAAATTTTTTCATGATTATTTTTACTCACATAAATTTCAGGATGGAAAATTTGCGGAACTGCCACAAAGAACTATTAGCTAGACATTTTTCTGCGTACCAGAAGATCTTGACTGTGCATTTCATCGATACAAGACTTCAGCTCTTCCACTGAACCATAGGCCGAATTCAAGTTGTAAAGATCAGAAGGCATATAACCTGCAGTAAGTTATAATGTCTTGAGAAATGTAGTACTTCTTTAGAGGAATCAATCCTCAATTATGAATTTCCTATCTGATTAACAATACTTGCACAATTACTGGATAAGAGAGAAGAATTGTCATTTTTCACAAGTTCAAGATACTTAACATATAGTATTACTATCAAGACAGTACTCCATTTTAACAGTAAGGCAAAGAAGCTGCAAAAAAACCGCATCGACCTCTTTGCACAAATATACACAAATCCATGGTTTTGCAAGTTTACAGTTCATTTAGCTAAACTGAAAAGTTACCCTGTGGAGCAACAGATTCTGTTGGAGGTGGTAGCCACACAGCTGTAATTCCACAGTGAGACAAGTCAGCTGCTTTAGTAGCAAGTTCAAGGTACCACTGCCTTCTCCAGCTTTCCCAGTTGAAACCTTGGAACTTCAACAAATAGAATTTATAAAGTTAGAATGAGCCAGAATTCAAACATTACCAGCTGGAAACAGAATGATTTAGTTGCGGAATCAAATTAATCGTAAAGAGTGAATTTACACGTCAACTTAAAATAGGAACATCTAGGCATTCTGTTTCTGAAAGGTAACTATTGCGTGCAGGTACCAAGTATCCAGTACAGAAGTACAGTTCACGAAGGGACATGATAGAGCAGAGTTCAGAATATGACAACTGTAAAGAAAACAAATCTGAAGCGGTAAAAAAGGAGGGAGGGAAAACATCATTCCCAAAAATATTCCGATAAAAAAATTGATGGGATTCACTAGTGTAGGTAAGAAAAGACCACAAGCCCACAAATGGAACAAACTATACAGCAACATAGACTTTCCACCAAAGCTCATGAACTGTCACTAGAGAAGTAATTATCAGGAAGAAGAAGCGTAGATTGAAAAGCTCCAACACAACATATAGCAACAATACATCAGCTAGTAAGAGTATATGACAATAGATCAGCTATACTCACCACAATCTCACGTCCAGTGCCAGTTCCAGGCTCTACAACAAAGAAGTCATATTATAAGGTTTTCCTGCTTTTCTGTAGGATAAACAATAAAACAAACAGTGAACAAGTTGATAATGAGGGGCTTGAAATTATACCTAATTTCTTCTCTTCTGGAGTTCTCTTCCATTTAATTGTCTTTCGCTGAAGAGCACGCTCCAAAGCCTTCCGCTTCTTCTCTATGACTTCTTTCTCAATCACATGCTCCACAAGCATGTCCCCTTCCTTGGGTTTTACTTGAGAGATTGACCATACTTCGTCTAGCCTTGGCAACTCCAAAGATACAAATCTTGATGTGTCAACTTCTGTTATATTAGTCTTTCTGGGTGGAAACTTGGGAAATATTGACTGTATTCTTCGCGACATCCAATCTGGAATTTCTCTGCGAGGACCATCACTTAGTAGTTTCCACTTTTGTGAATCCTCATCCATCAGAAGATCGATGCGCCCACCATTAACAACATATGTTTCTTTTTCATCTTCCTCACTTGAGGATTTTTGTTCCATTAAATAGGCCTCTGCTAATTCTGCTCTTTCTCTCCACAACTTTGATGCAGCTTCAGATGCTCGTAACGATCTCTGAAGTGCTTCACACCTTTTCAGGTAAGCTTCTTCTTGTGAACGAGCAGTTCTTTTTGCTGCTTCGGTGGCAGCCTTGATAGCATCCAGCTCGGCCTTGAATGCCTTTGAAGCTGCCCGCTTCCTTTCTGCTGCATCTTTCTTAATCTTTTCCAACAATGATTTAACTTCCTCCTCCTGCTGTTGAGCGGCTTTTTTGCTTGCCTCCTGAAGTTCAAGCAATGCTTTCTCTGCATCACTTGCCCGAAGTTCAAATGAGCTACATTGTTGGCGACTATGTTCTAATTCCAACTGCAACCTATGAATTTCGTTGTTTGAAACCAATAATTTGGCCTCTAAATTGTTAATATCATTTTGGAACTTTATATTTTGAGATTGAAGAAGAGCAACTTCGTCCAAAGGACTCATGTCATCAGCAAATGCAGCAATAGCTTTTGTCGACTGATCACCAGCAGCTTCTGCCACAGCTAATGCTTTTTCTATAACATCTTTAGCTTGTTCCACGATGGACACTATGGTATCCTCAGTAGCATGCCGGATTCGTTCTTCAATTTGATATGCTGCATCAGCAGCAAAAGATTCAGCTGCTGAAACTTTCAACTTGGCATCTTCTAATATGTGAGAGGTCGCTTGTTGGAAAGCAACTTCTGCCATCTTCTCAACTTGCACAGCAAGCTCAACAGCATCCTGTTTTGCAAGGACCAACTTGGACTCCAAATTAAATCTATCCTCCACAGACTGCTCCAACTTCTGATCAAACAGAGCTTTGGCCGCCTCAAGTTCTGAAATTGCCACTTCTTTGTCACGCATGATGGTGGATACATATTCCTTCTGCTTAGCCTCAGACCGAGCTAAATCCTCCAGTAACCGATCCCTCTCCTGCTCGATAGCTTCCTGTCTCACTCGCAGCTCAGCAAGCGCTTTTTTTGTAGCCGAAAGTTCATCTTCTTCAACCGCCACACCTCCTGACGTGATACTATCCCCTTCATCAAGAGCCATAGAGGCCTCTGAAAAATCATCACCCTACCGATAGAGACAAATTTTCAATATTTAAGCCATTAATAGTTTGAAAAGCCACCGCATTCCACTTGAACAGCTCTTAGAAACACATATTCGGTGGCATGTATCTTTTCCACTAAAGAATCATAGTCTAGAAGATAGTTCTCCCTAATAATTCGATAAACCCAGAGCTAGTTCCCTAACAATGCAAGTGTGAATATCTCTCTCTATGATGCAAAAAGTTTTAAGATTTTCAGGACCACACATGAGTGAACTAGATTGAACTTCCATGGAAACCCATTTAATACAAATGTCATTTCGATTTGTTAAGTCAATCAAAGCGATCGCAGATGAATAACAAAGGATAATCAATGGCATTTCCAGAGACATACCGTGGATGACAGAACACAAGGCCTTAACTTGTGATAACCATCACCAAACAAGGATTTCCTGCAACATGAAAAACATACAGATTACAGAAAATGCAGAGCTTGGACGAAAGGGGTCATTCAAATAAGTGTTTAAAGTGATGCAATAAATCCATATACCTATTTCTATTGACAGAAATTTTGCGCTTAGAAAACGCAGTAGGGTGCTTCCTGAAGTCAAAATAAAGACTGCGGGAGTAAATATTATCCCCTGAAGAAGCAGTGGGGTTTCTTAAAAACGACCTCAAATAAGCTGATTCCGACACTGATGATACAGCTTCCATTGCTACTACTTCTTCTCCGGCTAGAATTCACAGTAACCAAAAAAAAAAATAAAAAAAATCTGGACCATTCCGAATTCCGGACTGGTCGTCTTTTTTATTGAAGCCGCCAATCTGAAGCCATGTTTGCAAATTCAAAACTAACCCAAATGGCCGAATGCCATTGTCTGATCGTTGACAATGAGAAGATGCAATGGAAGCAAGAAAAAACTAGAGAACAAAAAGGGGGGGAAAAAAGAAGAAAAGTGGCAAGGAAATGAGAGAATTGCCAAGTGTGGTGTAGAATCGAAAGAGAAGAAAAGCGACACGGGGTCAGGAAAAAGCACGTGTCTCGGGTTTTTTCTCTCACGGGGATTTGCGCCTTTTTGATACTAATAATACCTTTTTACTAATACTCCTCTTTTCCAAAATAAGTGTCGTTTTCGCAAGAAATTCTAAAATAAGTGTTGTTTTCAGATTTTAATGAATTTTTTGTCAAAAATTTTCAAACATATCCTTAAAAGAAATAATATTATTAATAGCATTTATTTTAATGGGATTGGTTGAGGATATTTTAGTAATTTAGTTACCATAGTTAATGTTTTCTTAAATTATGTGCAAACTCTAGAATGACACTTATTTTGGAACGGAAAGACTACTACATTTTTGTTGCTTAATCATTTTTCTTCCTTTCAATGATCTCCGATCTAAAAAAAAAAAAAAAAGAAAAAAAAAACGAATCAAATGCTAGAAGTCAACTGAAGGATTCAGGTCACTTTTCTTCATTCCTTCAAAAGTACAAAATCAGGACATTTACAAGTGAAAAATCAAGTCTTTCCAATTCCGGAGGGAAAAAGGTGCAATTTCGGGGATCAAGTCGCCTGTGCTTCGTAGGCCGGAAGGGCAGCTTCAATTTTTAAGGCCAGATGGTTCGAAAAGCTCAAATGGAAAATCTAAAGACATCTATCATCGATAAAATGATTACGCTCAAATTAAAGCCCTACATATTTCTCCTATCATACAACTTAAAACTGAACTTTTATTTTTTTTAGAACGAATGTAGTATTTTACTTATTAATATATTAAGTTCAAAGAGATATGTACTCTCTCACAAAAACATGCAAGTTTTTTTTTTTTTTTTTGGTAAACCACACAATTTTGATATTGGCTGAATTCAAGACGGATTCATTAAGAAGTTATCAAACTTGAAACTACCATTTTAGTATGTCTTAATGAATTCATCGAAACTATGACTTTACTAGGTAAAATACGTGCAAATTGAGGTATGGAATCAAGATCAATTCACATTGAGCTTTGATTCACCCTTTTGTTTGCCTCCCAAGAATTGAAAAATTAATTTCTAAACAGATAGATATTCATGTAAACGTCTAACAGTTCGGTGAGCGATCGTATTGTCAGTCTGTTCAGTAAATTCGACACATTTAAATATATCATCTTTTTTTCAGTGAATTCGATGAATTGTTAAACTGACATAATTTTCCTGACTCGCTACAATTTGCCAGTGGATTCTACGAGTCATCGAATATAAGCATCTAACGGTTTGATAAGCAACTGTATTATCAGTCTGTTTGGTAAATTTGACGTATTTATATTGTGTTTTTCAGTGATTTCGATAAATTGTTAAATTGGCGTAATTCCACTGACTCGCCATATTTGTTGGTAGGTTCTGTCAATCACGCATTTAACATCTAATCGTTCAGTGAGTGACTGTATTTTTCACTCTATTCGGAGAATTCGACACATTTATACCGTATTTTTCATTGATTTCAATAAATTGTTAAACTAACATAATTTCACTAAATTGTTAAACTAACATAATTTCACTAGTTATCAGTGATTTCGATAAATTGTTAAACTGACATAATTTCTCTGACTCGCTACAATTTGCCGGTAGATTCTGCCAGTCACTGCATATAAGTATCTAACGGTTTGATAAGCGACTGTATTATCAGTCTGTTCGGTAAATTTGACGTATTTATATCGTGTTTTTCAGTGATTTCGATAAATTGTTAAACTGACGTAATTTCACTGACTCGCCATAATTTGTTGGTTGGTTCTGTCAATCACAGCATTTAACATCTAACCTTTCGGTGAGCGACTGTAATGCCAATCTATTCGGGGAATTCGCGCATTTATACTGTATTTTTCAGTGATTTCAATAAATTGTTAAATTAACATAATTTCACTATTTTTCAGTGATTTTAATAAATTGTTAAAGTAACATAATTTTACTAACTTGCCACGATTTATTGGTAGATTTTTCCAGTTACCGCGCTAAGTAACTGGCGAGTAGCCTACAGTTAGCGAATGGGGGAACTTCCGGTGAATCATAATGTTGTATCGTTTGGGTGGACAATATGGTTGATTTTGGGAAATTGTTGAACTGACATTGTAGTTTTGATGACTTTGGAATGTCACCCAGCTGCGAAAGGGAAGCCGAAAAGGAAACCTCCTGCCAATAGAAGGAAATCTCACAGAGTAGTTGAAGACAGTATTAAAGCAAAAATAACATAATTTCATTCATCACTTTAATTTCTGTTCACTAATATTAGCAGTAGTATAAACTACAAGGCATTTTGTTTTCTTTTGAACCCTTTGCTATTACAATGTGGGGTTGGTTTGAAAAGGAACGGGGACGATCAAATGATAGGAATGTCAGCTGATATGCAAAGCTTGGAGTCAGCTCCACCACTTACAACGCAGTCACCTCTCCACCAGTCGGCACATAAGACCTGCATTGAGCACCAATATCGAAGCAATACTTGTTAGCTTTGCACAAATAAGATGGAGAATTTAAGAGAAATGGAGGACGCAAACTAATAAATCACCTTATCATCTTTGTGTGAATCGATAACAGCCAGAGGCCACTGCAAGAGAAGACATACGTAATCAGATCAAAATACAATCTTGAGCGGTCAGCATGCATAGATGAAAAATGAAAGGAATTAAACTAGATACCGCGGTTCTCAGATCCCATAGCATAACTTTCCCATCATAAGATGCTGACACCAAGTGATACCATGATTTATCGTGCCACTTGCAGCTAGATATCCATGAAGTGTGAGAGGAGAACTGAAAGGTAGGGGCCAAAGTACCTGCCAGGAATTGGTATCCCAGAACAATATGTCATCATAAGTAAGATTTAAGATGTAAATTGATACATTTTCCTTTTTCTTTCCCTTCTGAGATGTGAATAAATGATCAGGAATACATCAACAGACCTGGTTTTCTAGGATCCCATATACGAAGAATAGGGTCTGACCCGCCAGCAGCTAGCAGACAGGAACCTTCACCTCCAACATCCAAACAGTTGAATGCTTTCCCACAAAACTGTGGAAAGATGATGTTGCCAACATTTACTCAGGATATAGAAAGAGAACATATTGCAGAACACAAAAAAAAGGATGTTCAAGAAACATAAAAATTTTCTGTTTCTAATAAAGGGCAAGAAGGAAAATGAAAATTATCTTTGTTACCATGTTCATTGAATCTTTTCCTGTTTCAACATCCCATCTTCTGATCGAATGATCCCATGAAGCAGAATATATAGATTCACGCTGCGGCCAGACAACTGCAGAGACAACTTGTGTGTGCCCTACAAGTGTAGATATTGCATCCTCCTGCATGTAATTGAACATGAATTTTTGAATCATGACAGCATTTCCCCACTATGAAAAGGAATCTGCAATAAGATATATAGCAAGTCCTAATGAAAAGTGAGTTTTCTTATATGATTCAAAAATGGCTAATGGCCAAACTCATTCAAAATAGGATTCGTTTCAGCTAGACCAACTCAAATCAATCCAGGAAAACTTAGCTCCATACTACTCAAACCTTGCCACACATGTTAAAGTCCAGATTCTAGATGCTGGTGTGACAAACCATTTCAACGGAAAAACAGGAACTCAGGAACATCAAAACAAACTGTACCTTTTTCTGCAATTCCTCTTGTCCTTCTTTTTTCCTCTTCTTGACATAAATAGCATCTCCTTCAGAACTAGTTTCATTAGTCTGCCATAAATTAATCCTAGAATCCCAAGAACCTGAACAAATCTGCCAAGTACATAATAACAAAGACAGATGAAAACTCAGTAACAAGAAGATGCTCAAGGGGCCCGTCCAGGAGAAAGAAATCAGTAAAAGAAACTTAAAAAGGCACCTGATTGCCGGAAGGCTCAGCAGCAATGCATTGAACAGAAGCACTATGTCCGTGCAAACTCTTAAATGCTTGAACCCTCTTTGGTTGATTAAGGGACTCGTCTGCATCAACCTTCAACCAAAACAAGAAAATGAGAATTGCTGTTTAGAAACTTCTTTTTCTCCTCATGGGACATCAAAATGTGCCATCCTGCACTTACCTTAAACAACCTCAACGTCATATCTTTAGAAGCAGTGGCTACCACTTGATCAACGCGACTTTCAGCTAACAAAAACAGAAAAGTTAATCAGGAAAAGAACAATGAAATTCACCATCTTAATCCCATTATTGCCAAAAAAAACCTTCAGAAAAGAACTCCTGAAATATACCTTCATGCTTGACGACACACACAGAATTTATGGCACCAGTGTGCCCCGCCAGGATGTGTGTACACAATCCTGCCGCTTTCCATATCCTTCAAGTTATTTCATAGTTCTAATGTGAGTTTAACCACCAGAATCGCGGGTACATTCAAATTACATGACAACAAAACGTGTAAATTACGTAAGAGTTTACCTCCCCAAACCATCATAGCACCCAGTCAAAATGAACCTGTATATAAACATCCATGGAAGGACACCATTAGAACGAAAAATAGCAATCCAAGACTAAGAATACTACAACACAAATATTTCAATGAATAGCATACAGAACTTGGGAAGAGAAGAGGCATACTTGGAACTTGAACCATCAACCGCACTAACCCAATCATCATGCAGAGAAGGCTCCTCTTCTTTTCTTGGGACCACGGCCTTGATGTATTCAATCTCGAGAATTTTCTCCTGTAATGTGCCAAAACTTCTGTAGTTATAAACCAGTGAACAACAACACAAAATAGCAAAAATGGTACCTTAACATTGTAAAAATTCTTGACAGCTTATAGTTTCGGGAGTTGTTCTTATCAAAATGTACCAAAAACTCGACAGAGCAAATTAGGCTCACTGAAAGTTTGCTAAGAGCCATAAAAAGCCACAGCTACAAGATTTTTATCACAAATAACATTAGTGAAAGTAGCAAAGCTTTCAAACATCATGACTTACAGCTGAGATACTTTTGGCAATTAGAAACTCCTCCAAGGACATCCGAACAAGCTCCCCATCAATAAGAAAATCGAAAGCTTCAGTCTTCCAATCATCATTTCCTACGAAATAATCAGCCAAAAGCCACAATAACGTCAATTATCACAAAATCAATTCGGCAACTTGGACAACAAAATTTCCAAAACCTACTATTTTAATTCTGCAATACTTTACAAATGCTACTAATAGTACCAAAAGGAAAAATCAAAACCAACAGTTGTAAACGGAGAATAACAATCAGCTGAAAAATCATTCTAGAATAATTACCAGCTTTAAGGAGACTATTGACGATAGTGGAGAGACCCAATCGGGTGAGGTTGGAAGGAATGGTAATGGAGGTTGGTGGTGCTTTGTATGGAGGTTTCAGCTTCGTCACAAACCGCACCTGAACCCGCCTTGAAGCTTCATCGGTATCACCGTCGATATCCATTCGGAATTGAGGCAGACAGCCAGGAGCGGCGGTGAACGGCGGACAGAAGGGGTGGCGCACGTGCTTTGGGGGCGGAGGAACACTATTTGACTCCTAATTCCTAAATCGTCCGAGGGTTTTAGGTGGCAGAATTAGGGTTTAAGTTTGCGGTATTTTCTTCTTTTCTTTCTTTTTTTTTTTTTTTCTCCTTTTGTTTTCCTTCTTTTCCCCCTTTTAGAAAGTAAAGACCGTGTATTTCAATTAAAAATTTTTGATACTATGAACTTGCACAATTGATAGTGTCAAAATTGTAAAAATTGATAGACTCTACTACGCTTATTTATCAAATTTTTGCGCTTCCAATTCACTGATAAATCGTTCCATAAATTTTTATTTTTTATGTAATTTATCTTGAGAAAATGAAAATTCAAACTGAATAAATAGAGAGAATATAAAATATGTAAAATAATTTTCAACAAAAACTATACAATTTTGTGATTGATTTGTTTTATGACAGGGATGGAGCCTAGATTATTGAATTGGAAATTTAACACAAATCAAAATAATATGGGAAAACAAATTGTGTAAAAAATTACCCTCTCTGTACCCAAAAAAATAGTTCATATTATGTTTTGAGACGTGGATTGTTTTTTTCTAAAACTGAGGGAGTACAAAAATCTGCAAGCTATGAGATTATAGAGAACAAATGTAGAGAAAATATATCAAACAGCGCCTATGATTTTATTTTTCATCTTTTTTATTAGATAGATATGATATATGTAAATCTTCAAAGAGTAATTAAAAAGATTCTATCATACACTTTGATGTGTATTTAGTGTTAAATAAATTTTTATAAAGAAATACTAACATGCAAATAGGTAGATAGTAGCGAAAGAAAAAGAAGAAGGTTTGATTTTCATAAACAAATCCAACAACTCCATTTTCTTTCCTCTAACCTTACAGGCATGTTATTATCATTTTGCTCTGTCTAATTAGTGTATTTACTAGGAACTATTAACAAGGAATGTGTTCTAGCTCAAGACATTGGCCGGCTCTTCTCATCAACAGCTTCCAGATCGAGCAAACTCGGCAATTAATTTTGCAACCGCATCCGGCTTTTCTACATGGGGGAGATGACCAGCATCTGGTATCAGTCGGACAATTGCATGTGGCAACTCATGGTGTAACCTCTGCATTTTATGCACAGTTATAGAACTACATGTGATCAATGTCAAAAAGAATTGCCAAAGAGCTCTTTCAGGTACTTGTTAGAATAATAGCTTCACATAATCACATCAGTCATTGCGAGGGGAGAAAACCATAGCTTCTCAGCTCATGATTTTTATAGATTAGAGTAAATTGGTTGAGGAATGATGAAAAGCGAAGACTAAATAATTCAGCTGAGATGCTATTGTCTAAAGCAAATTTATACTGACCATTGCAACCTTGCTGCTGACAATGTTATCACATTCTCCCCAGATGATAAGAGTTTTCGGCTTCACCTGAAACAAGCAAAGTTCTCACCAGTTATAGTCTTTTGCTCATTTCAGTTATTTAAGGGAAAAATAATGAATCTGCCTTGAACATTGTCACACATGTAACACTTGACATTTCTTTCTCCAAAAAAAACACTTGACATTCCAGTAAGGATCACACCAAGGCTTAGGCACAGACATGAGCGTAGCATATGAAAGCTGGTTATCCAATATCCATAGCATGGACGTATTTGGAAGTAAGGCAAAACAAAATCGAAGTAATCCAATGAAGATGCAGTGATGTTATACCTGTTTTATCTTGTCAACCACGTTATAGCCACCGCTGAGCATGTAGTCTACTGTAGCAGCTTTCCACCAAGGCAAAAGACAATGCAAACGACCTATCTGAATTGTAAGCAGAAAAAAAGGATCCAATTAGTCAAAATTTAAATTGTAGAAAAGAGTGTCATGAATCAACATTATGATTTCCAGTTAGATCAAGCCAAAGACTCACATTGGTCCAGTCGAAGCATGTCGATAAAGAAATATCATCAAAAGCTAATAAGTTGGCATAAAACCGCAGTGGAATGCTTTTCAACAAAGAGACCTGAAAATGGTAGGTAACCAGTGAAAGGCATCACTCAATATAGTTTCTAAATGAGAACCAAGTTTGGGCGACACAATATATACACGAATGATATCTCCAGTAGCCCAAGCACCATTACTTAAAAGTACATATCACTTAAAAGGACTTCATAACTTAGCTTCGAAAAGAGAAAGCACAATCAGTTCCTCAAAAATTCATTGACATAACTTGCTCCCCATTCACCAATCACACCATTCAGTAATTTTCTTTACCCCATTCAGAAATGCACCATGCACGAAAATGTTCTGGGATGTATCTTTGCTTAACGTATACAGGTATAAAGCACTGTCCAAGATGATTGCAATCTATGCATGTTCGAGAAAGTAAGGTTTGCTAGGCATAGGGGTTATAGAATGTGGTTTCTAATTTCTAAGATCCGGAAATGAGTTTATACGTATGCTTTGGTTCGTATACATTCCTTTCGAATGTAAATTGGGGACAAAGCAACAAACATTCAAAAAAAAAGAATCACAATTACCCCTGCAAATGCTAATGGTTTTGGTAGTTTTGTCAAAATCCCTGTCCCTTCCGCATAAACACTTGCATCAATCAAAATCAACTTCGCAACCTGCAACAGATAGCAGATCAATTAGTGCATGGTTCTGATTAAACATCTACGAAAAGCATTTATAATAATATCAAAAGAAGACTCTAAATAATGGTACAGTATTCTGAACAAACTCATCAAAAGGAATTAAAGCCCGACATTGCAAAACACGTGACAGATGCCCAGAAAGAACTTGCAAGTAAACAGATGATAGGCAAAAGAAAGAAACAAAACAAAAAAAAAAAAAAGGAAAACATTTTGAACTTTGAAGATCATACATATCAAAGTGTAATGGGGAAGTATAGTCAGCATTTAGCTGAAGAAAAAATCAGATGAAAAGGAGCTCTTACGGCTTCTGGAAAATTGGCAGCAAAATCAATGGCAACTGCAGCACCAAGGCTTGGTCCAACCAGTATCATTGGTCTTCTTATGTGAGTCTTCCAGAGCTGTAAAGGCAACCGGCAAAGCTCAATCATTAGTTAGTAGAATGAAATTCCCAAAACCAGATCAATTTGGCATCAGTATCATCAATAAGCAAGTTCAATCAACAATAGAATCGTTATGTTCAGAAAAGGAACCTGGTAGAGATGATATCTTTTTGATACTGCATCACAGGGAGGAAGGCTCTCTACACCAATTAAGAACTAAATCGGTTAGGCCATTCACAAGGGAAATAAAACAAAAGCAATCATAGAAGTGCAAAAGTAGCTGAAACAAGAGCTAGAGTTAGAAGATGACCCAAGTCAGAGAAACCCCATCCAAGAACATCTACAGCCCATGTTTCTAGAGCAGCATCCTCGAGTAATGGGAGCGCGCATCGCCATTCTAAACAAGAGCTAAGCAATAGAATCCACACAAACAAAGAAAGGAAAAAAAAAAAGAGAGATTAGAGATGAGGGAGAACAGGTCAACATCAACTAAAAGAAGAAATTTCAGCTCCAAAGAGAAGTATTTCAATGAACCTGTCAAAGCAATGGAGAAGAACCACAGGGTTGTTTTGACATTGAATTAGCGGCTTCACACAGCTGCTCATTATACAACCCTCAGAAAATTCCACCTGCTCTACCAAAACCAAATAATGGGAAATCAAAACTAGGACTTTCAATTAACAACATGAACTAAAGTTAAGCATACCAAATTCTGCTTATTCCCTTTAAAATACTACAGCACAACAGTAGTTCTATTAAGTGATGATGTCAACCATATATATATGGAGAGGTGAAATCTCATTGAAAAGAAGAAGGGTTGGTGAAATTGAAGCTTCCAAATCAACATGCAAAGCAATTGGGTGAAAGGAAAAAGTAAAAAAAAACACATTACCTGGACAGGAAGCCTTTGAATCCTCTGAGCCAAAGCTCGTGCAAACGGATCTTTAATTTCGTGAACCTCCTTGGGCAGAAACGAAGGGAACTCATCAGTACCCCCAATCGCAATTGCATTGATTCTAAGTCTACTTCTTCTTCCAGAGAAAAACCTCCAGCCCATCTCATTCATTGAACCATTCCGACCTTTAGTTCGTATAATTGCAGGAGTTCCCAAAGATAAAGCTGCCATTTTTTTACTTCCAATCGAACAAAAACCCAACAAAGTAACAACAGATAGCCAGTGAATGCAGCATCCAACTAACCATTTAACACATAGACAGAGTGATGATTTGGGTTTGTTGGGGGCGACATTTTCTAGACAGAGTGATGTGTTTAAGCATTTGGGGTGACGGTGGTGGAAAATGGAGAGACTTTGGTGAGCATACAAAAAAGTTGAAAATAACAATAATGAATTGAAAATGAAATTGATGATGCTGATAGATTAGTAGAAGGGCTAAAAAGCTACTACCGCAATAGAATTAAGAAACGGACAAGAAATTGGTCCGGTTTCCATTTCTGGGGGACTCGGGTTCCTAGTTCGGAAAGTGATGCCAGTTACTGTTGACCCATCAACTCCATAGTTTCCCATATCAAAAAAAAGCTCATGGGTCCAAACTCCAAACTCCTAGGTCGAGAATTTCTATTTCGGAATATAAAAGTACATAGGTACGTTATGGAATTTAGGAATTCATTAAACCTTGGTCGGTTGTGTTGTTCAAGAGGAAAAGAAAGCTAACTTCGTTTTACTACTAAAAGATATTTTAGTTGTACTATAATATAACTGTTCATACTCTCAAAAAGACATTGTATTTGAGTTGCACACTTGCACCCCATCAAAAGAAAAACTTACTATTCCCATTGTTACAACCCAAACAATAATTCTAGCACACTACAATCACATAATGCTCAGATTCATTCCTTAATACATACTATATCTTAGCAGATTGTCTTAGTATGAGCCCATGAACAGCGGATGAAATCAAATCACATCCTTTTGATCCTTCCCAACTACCACAAGTTTGTCCAATTTTAACGCATGACATTTGATTTCTTTGTAACCAAAAAAAAAAAAAAAAGAAATTTTGATTTCTAACTCCTGGCCTACTGTCTAACATAAACAGTAGCCTACTGTCTAACTCAGCGTCGTATCACTGGTTTAATTCGCAAAGAGTTCATATCGTTTGATGCCTTTGGGGGGTATAATGAAACAGGGGAATGGGGGTCATGACTCGTGATTGTGTACTGTATGCTATTTATGGAATGGGTCTAATGAAAGATTGAAAGGGAAATATGGGTCCTAATTTTACTGACTTGTTTATGAAGATATTAATAGGATGTAAAATTGTAGTGCTCCTTCTCTCCCAAAATTATTGTCCAGTTTGAGATTTCACTTTTAGGTATTCCCTCTGCACGGGTACATGATGAAATAACGTCTTTTTTGTATGGGTAAATTCAAATAAAATTTTTTATTTCCATCTAAAAATTTTTAAATAGAGTAATAAACATGTAAAAAAAATTGTATTTTGTTCATATTTAAATAATTTTAAACTGAGAAAAAGAAATGTAGCGACCATATCATGTACGTATATGTTATCGCTTTAAAATAAATCTTTCTTTAATGTATTTTAAAAGACAATTACATTATCATATTAACATACATGTACACAAACTATATTACTCATAGTACGTATAAGTTTATAAGTGGCAATGTAATTAAAAGGAAAAACTTCTTATTTTAAGAAAGAACAACGACGTGAAAAAAAATTCATTACCACTTCATAAAATGTAGTTACAATTTTATAATATCTAAAGCTATGAAGAATGATTTTAGTTTATTTTATATAAAATTTTTTAATTTTTTAATTTTAATTTATTGGTGATTTGAAATGGAACAACTTTTATGGATAGAGTGATACTTGGAATTTTGGATAAAAATAGTTTTTGTTATAGATGGGGGTTATAGATTAATCACTCTCGTACATTCTATATGTCAATCTTCAAACTAAAACTCAACTTCTAAATTCTACTTCAAATCGTATGCTCTTGAACCTAATCCAAGAGCCTAGTGCCACATATGCAATAATTCACTTTGATGGGTCCTTCCATCCGCAAATTAGGATTGTAGCTGGGGCGTGGAAGATCACTTCGGTACTGGATATGGTTATGTAAATTAAGCCAGTTCCTTTGCAGGCACTCTCACCTTTTCAAACGGAAGCCATGACTTGTCTTATGGCCCTCCGGAAAGCGTCAAGACTTGGCATTACACGTGTTAAAGTGTATACTGATTGCGAAGAGTTGACAACTAATCTGTGAAATGCTCTAGTCCCGACTGAGGCATAAGAGATAGTTGTGCTACTATTAGCTCTATTTCCAACCTTCGAATTTTGCCAACTGATTAAAGTTAGCAGGAATGAGATTAGAGAACTATATAACTTAACATATAATTTATGTCGTAATAATTTAGGTATTTCTTATTAATATACATGTACCATTTTAAAAAATAAAATAACGCAATGTTTCATTCTCGGCTCTATTGAAATTTGTCAAAGTGATTTTTTTTTTTTTTGATTATTATGAAAAAAAGAAAAGATTTAGAGGGTGTTGAAAATGACGTAACAGGGAAACGGCACACATGACACGGTAACGTTTGAGCCTGATATTCAAAACAATCATACAAGAAGAGTAGTTTTTTACCGCATGAAACTTGTGACGGTAGTAAATAGGGGGGTAAATGTACTCAAATGAGGGAGGAAAATTTTTGGTGAGATTATTATTAATACGATGGTGTCATTCAGTCCATTGACGACCAAGAATGTGGGAACTCGATCGGCATTGAATGTGGTTGTACGGACTGACAATCATCGACTCGTAACTAGGAAAAAAGTGCATTGAAGAAAGGCATCTAATGGGAATGGGAAAAATATCTTGTGCCAATTAGTTCTTCCATTTTTTTTTCTTTTTTGTTGATCTACAATGTTACTACTGTAAAATAGGGTATTAAAATAAGATGGACAAAATAGTATGCGTTAGTACTTACATTATTAAAAGTTTGGCTTTGGAGAATGTAGGAATTGCTAATAATTTTTGTTACGATTTTTTTTTTTTTTTGTGGGTACAATATTTTTGTTACAAATTTTAGACCGTGAATGTTCTGAAATTAGTAAATCCATTGCCTGATGACGCAAGGAACATGTTCTTGTCCTTTCCCCACATCTGGTAAACATGTGCTCCTGGCTGAAAAGTTTTTTATTTGTACATTAACAGCGCTTTCCATCAACAACCAGGGCATTTGGTCTAGTGGTATGATTCTCGCTTAGGGTGCGAGAGGTCCCGAGTTCAATTCTCGGAATGCCCCTTCTTTTGTGTTTTTTGTTCTTTATTTTTTACTTTGGACCGGATACACTTTTCGTTCTCTAACTTTTAACAGTAGTGGTTTTTGTTCTTTATTTTTTACTTTGGACCGGATACACTTTTCGTTCCCTAACTTTTAATAGTAGTAAAATCGAGTCATCATAAATTCTCAATCGGCAAAAACAATTCCCTAAAATGTTTTTCTCGTCAATTTTAGTTAATTTAACAGAAATTTTCAAAATTTAACTGGAGAAATCCACATTCCGTCAATTTCTCTTATTATATTCATTTACATACTTGTTGCGGGATCCACTGAGTTTGACCAGAAAAAAAAAATTAAAAAAACAAAAATGAAATAAACAAAAATAAAAATCTTCATCTACCTTCTCTTCCTTTCCCGACGAACACCACCGAAATCCATTTCTCTTCATCTTACCCCGCTGCTGCCGCCGCCACCAACCGCCACCACCAACCAAACCTATATAATTTCTTCTTCCTCCTCCTCTGTTCTTCGCACTTTTTACCACCATCACTTTGTTTGCTTTTGCCTCGATTTCATCCCACTACTCGAATTCTTCTTGTAAATCCGGCATAAAATCCAATCATCTAACTATAGAAACATTTAAAACAAGAAAACCCAATCGATTTATTCTTGGTATTTATTTGAACTGGAGACAAGTCAAAAAAGATCAAAACAATTAGATTTGTCATCATTTTTTGCACTTTCCAGCCAGAAAATGTGAGATAAGTCGGAGGTTGCAATCGCTTGGGACGCAGCCGAAATGGGTTCAGAGTATGTACCGTAAAGAGGCCATTGAGACTGCTGAGACGGCGGGATCTGAACGGCACAAAATGAACCCCATAATTTTTCTTCGGTGAGGGATTGTCGATCGAAGAATTGGTCAAAGAACCATCTGGGAATTGATCGTAGTGATTTTTTGTGGGAATTCGAGCAGAAAGAGTCCGACCCAGACCAGTAGATGGTAGTGGGATTTTAGTGAATCTATTTTGAAGGAGCTGGCCGCCGGAGGAATTGGCGGGCGAAGGAAGATGGCTGGTGCAGGGTGGCGGCCCTTTTGAAAGAAGGGGCTCTCTGCTGCAATGCTTTTTTTTTTTTTTTGTGGGAATTGTGCTCTTAAAATTTCTATGGAGAAGAAGCTTGCATGATTTGATTTTTGGTAAAAACTTGAAACGGCATTTTTTTGGTGTAGGCTAGATTGTTGTTGTTGCTGAGATTACAATTTACAAAACGAGCTAAAATTTTAGGAAGGTTACAGAGTTACAATAGTATGTAGAATGCTACTTATTAGATTGTGAGTTCATTTCATTGATCCTTTTGGATTTTATTCATTCTCGTTCATTCATCTGTCATCAAACGCGTTCATTCATCTGTATTTTTGGATTATTTTTTCGTTTTCGGTGGTGTTCTTCGACGGGAATATCTGATTTGGTTTGGTCAAATTTGGCCATTTATTGTTCACATTTAACACCAATTTTTCCCTCTCTTTCCCTCCTTACTCCTGTCCAATCTTATTTTGGAGGATCTTACTACACGTTTGATATTAGAGCATCTTTACTCATAAACTCCTCCATTTTTTATAAAATGTGCAAAAGACAAAGTGGTCAGCCTTTCTCTTAAAAAGAGAATCAAAAAATAAAAGTGGACCTACAAAACCCCACCACATCCAAAGAAAAGAGGAGTTTATATTTGTGAACTCTGTTTATACATGAACTGCCTACAATGGTATAAACTAGTTCATGAAAAATAGGTGAGACCATGTGCATCAATAAACTTCCCATGAACGCACCGTTGAGGGTGCTCTTATTCCTCATTGATCCATAACTGTAATCAAATTGAGAAAAATCCCGGCCGGCGATCAAGCTTTTTGAAAAAGAAATTTTTGATTTTTTATAATAATATTAAATCGTAATAAAAAAAAAGAAAAAAGTTTTTTTTATGGGTCAAATTAGTGGACCCACTATTCATAAGAAATTAATAAGAAACTAAATATTTAACGGAAAAAAGGTTTGAGCCGTTGACTCCTTAAAATTCCTGTTAAAAAGATCAAAATTGATGAGAAAAATATTTCAAGGGACTATTTTTATCAATTGAAAATACATGGTGACTTGATCATGCTACCCTCAAAAGTTGGGGGACGAAAAGTGCATTTTGTCCTTTTACTTTTATCTTCTATTTTCTTCAAATTTATTATTTTCCTTTGGACCTTTTATTATTCTGTATTCTTCTTTTTTATCCGAGCATTTAATTTTCACGTTTTTTTATTATTTTTTTATTTGTAGTGATACAGTAAATACTTTTAAAATGTTAGGAAAAAAAATTGAAGAGTAAATCATAATGTGGTGTCAATATATTGAACTTCAAGCTGAGATTTTATATAAACGCATTTCCTATTAATTATAATTTATAATCCGTATTGAAGCTGTTATGTGCACGGCACACCTTGCTTGTATTTTTTTTACTATTGCTTTCTCAACGTAGTATGCATTTCCTTCTAATCCTTTTAAACTTATAGCTTCAATCATGGTACATTGATACGATTTTGAGGAGCTTAGTATGTCAACTTTTTGCTGATGTGTGTCTCAAATTAAGTTTGATGTGCTTAAAAAAAGATGAAAAAATTATAATACTAATTTTTCACTTAGATTGAAAATTAAAGTATTTAATTAAACTACGTAGGCATCTCAACGCATAACTAGTTTTGTAGTTAGAAAGAAACCCTAACCTATCTATATGCTTTGCAAAAGAGGCCACTATATCAAGATGCAAAAACATCTAAATTAACCCTCATTGTGAACTTTTTCCCGTCAGTTGATAAATGTAATTACATTTCGTAGATGCACAAACAATAATACACATTTCTATATTAGTTTTAGTCAAGTAATTAAAGTAGTTGTACACTTGTAGTTTTTAATATAGTACTAAGAAATGTGTTACTAAGATGTACAATATATAATATGGCCAACGCTTATACAACGTCATGTTTTTGATAATTAAAGATTATGAGGAACTCATGTTTTGTTTTTTTTTTTTTCAGAAAAAAACAAAAACAAAAAAACAAAGAACGCATTGGATTTATGTATAAACTAGTGAGCCATTATAAATTAAGCAAAAAAAATAGAATTAGATGATGCTAACAAGATCACTATCTAATTATATTTTATGATGAGTTTCTATTTGAGATTAAATGGTAGTATAATGCAACAAAATACTTAGAAAAAGGGGAAAAATAAAAATGAAGCAAAAATAAGAACATAAGCCGCTAGAAGGAGGGCTTGAACCTCCGACCTTGTGGTTAACAGCCACACGCTCTAACCAACTGAGCTATTCCAGCTTGATGGTAGATTAATATCTAACATTTTTCAAATATATTGCAATAGACGTTCACCCTAATATAAATTTCGCTCGATTATCCGTACTACATAACGACGTGGTGGATTTTCCCGGCAAATTCAACCGGTATTTACTCGTCGGAGAGAAATCAGCTTCCCTGTACGGCCGTAAATCATCGACATCAGCAGGAGATAAGTAAGACGAAGAAGGTCTGCAAGATAAGAATTTGTATCAATGACGGAGGATAATATCCCTAGGGTTTCATCTTCGGAATCTGCGGATTCTTCTACAACGAAGCAGAGGTAGAATTGAGAATCCCCAAATTCACTCTTACTTAGATTTCATGTAGCTTTAAGATGATTTTTTAACTCATAAAAGTTTGTTCACATTTGTTGATGCATTGGTTGTTGATGTGTAATTGAGCTAAGAGGTTTAATGGACTTGAAAATATTTGCTTGGGAACTTTTTTATATCGAGGATCCCCGATTTCTATCTATTTGAGTAAATATTCGTTTTTGGGTGGATTGGGCAAGAACGGTGACTAGTGTTGAGTTCTGGGGTTACTTGTGGTGCTGAAATTGTATCAAATTGTTGGATTCCTTTTAGCTTCCACAACAATGTTGGGTGTGTTGGAATAGAGAACTTATTCAGGAAAATAGAAGATTTGATAAAAAGTTTATCCTAAGCAATCTACCTTGGAATTTGATTAAATTGTGTCTGGAAGCAATGAGCTTGGAATCTGTTTAAGTATAAAGTCACTTGATGAATCCCCAATGTTCTTCTATGGCCTTGGTGGAGATGAGTGACTTATATGATCATTTTTCTGTTCCTTTTTTTGGGCAGAAAAAAGAGGAAGTGGGATCAGCCTGCGGAGTCAGTCGTATCTGGAATTCTCCCTTTGTTAAAGATGGGATCTCTTCCTGGAACTTCATTGCCTGGTATAGCTACAATGTCTGGGGTTGTTTTCTCAAATCCTCATACTGGCGCTGCCCCTACCCTTTCGCCGGCTGTACCATCTCTGTTGCAACAACCCGTGGTTGCCATTTCCCAAAAGTTAAATCCAGTAAGTCAAATGGAGAACTTCAGCGGATGATTTCTTTTCCTCCTTTGATCCAATTTGTTGTTGTTACCATGATCATTGCTAAGTTTTTCTTTTATAAGGGGATAAAGCTTTTTGTCTGTTGTTTCTTAAGCTCTAACTCTTTCCTAGTTTCATTCATTTGGAAATTTCTGTACGTTAATATCCTTGTTAATTAGGCTAATCCCTGTCGGGTGTAAGTTTTCATCAAGTTGTGCAAATCATCCACGACAATTGATTGTTACTCTTTTATCTCAAGTTCTCAACCTTTGGAAAAAGAGTAAAATTTTGTTGTCCAACTGGAACTTCTGTCGCTACTTGCTCATTGTTATTTGATTCATAGCAAGTTGCCACTGCTGAACTGTTATAATTGGTTATCCCTTTTTTGAAATTGTTACAATCAGTAAAGGCTGATTCAATAGTTTATCCAGTCGTTTAGTGTTCTAATGTTTTCTACGTGTTCTGTATTTATGTTTTGCTTTATGGCATGTACCTTAGATCCAGGATGAAGTGATAGCACGGGAAATTGTCATTAATGATGCTGATTCTAATGTGCGCTATAAGCTCACAAAGCGGCACACTCAGGAAGAGGTAGTTCTATTTGTCTTTTTCTATTAGTTCACTATTGGGAGGTTAGAGACGCAGTAAATACTGCATATGTGCTGATGTTTGCATATGCCCTGCAGATTCAGAAGGTTACTGGTGCCGTAGTGATTACAAGGTTAATTAATATTTCACTTGAGTTTCTTAAGATGTTCTTTCCTTTGTTTTTAATACTCCATCCATTTCATATGTAAAAATGAATTATGCAGGGGAAAGTACAAGCCCCCGAACACACCCCTTGATGGTGAAAAACCACTGTATCTCCACATTTCTGCTGGGGCTCATGTAAGTATGGTGTTTACAATTCCCTTTTTGAATTGGTTTTTAGAAATTTTCTACGCTACTGCCTATCCACAATAGGCAAAAACTTTCTTAAACGGTCAAAAATGTACACTGATTATATTCATTCTCTTGTAAGACAATGTAGGATTTGTTGTGGTTAACCAAACCTTCGATATTGTGTCCTTAATATTGAGAAAATGAAGTTGTTAAGTCTGTGATTTTGTAATAAATGCATTTATTACTGTGAACGCTTTCTTAATTTCATATTTATTGTTTGCCTCAGTTGGAAACCATGGCTGAAAGGATTAAAGCAGTTGATCGTGCAGCTGCAATGGTGGAAGAAATGCTTAGACATGCATCTTTGGTCTCTGATGTGAACGTAAGAATGCTTCATCATGTGGAAAATTACTGCAAGCTGATGCCATTGTGTTAGCTTATTTTTTCTTTCCTGTTTTGCTCTTTTTTCTTTTTGATCAGGTCAATCGCAGCCTAAATGCCTGTGTATACTTGGGCTTTGAGGCGGATCCATCATTGAATATTGCTGCTAGAATTCGTGGTCCAAATGTGAGCTTCTTGTACCTTCTCTTGCTTGTCTTCCATCATTTATCCTTTTCTTGCTGTCACCTTCTCTGACGGTGGTTCAATGTGAATTTCCCCTTCTATTTTATTTGTCGATTACCATATGATGGAAGCTAATGGTTCAAGCTCTCTTTGTCATCTCCAAACACTTGGGAGAAATTCTTTTTGTTGTTTCTGGTTGTTTTTCTTTACGCAGGACCAGTATGTAAATCACATTATGAATGAAACAGGAGCAACAGTCATACTAAGAGGACATGGTTCAGGAAGTTTTGATAGTGCACCAGCAAGTGGTAGTTCCTATTTCATCTAGTTTAATAATATCTTCTTGTCATATTTGTGTGTTTTACGATTTTCACCTTCCTTGCAGAAAGCCAACAACCTCTGCATTTATTTTTGTCCAGTAATAATTTGCAAAGTCTTGAACGTGCAAAGCTTTTGGCTGAGAATCTTTTGGATACAATCAGTGCAGAGTTTTCAGTAACAAGGTAATTATCATTTATTTATTTATTTTTTTGAGTGTTGAAAAAGATTGAAAGTTGTGGAGTTTATTGACACTACCTCTGGACGGGGAAGCAGCTCTGACCCCCTACCTTTGGATCCCTTTTCTGCTCTCTTTCTAAACTGGATACGTTCATTTGCTCCTTCATGAAATATCGTTCAGGAACCTTCTTATTTTCCCTTAACTGTTGTGTTGTCATAACACACTTGTTATATAATCAGTCACACTTACAATATAAAGAAAAATTGTTTATTCTTCATATATTTTGAACCTGGTACTTGTTTCTGGGACATTTAGGTCGAAGACTATTATATTGGTTATTGCCTTCTCTGCATGTCAACTTTCTGAAGCTTTGTCTCATGCATAGTATAGGATAGATTGTTGCTGTTTTGATATTCTCAGCATCGTAAGTTTGTCTTCAAGTGAATGACTTCTTTGCTGTTCTGTATCTCAAAGGTTTTCCTCATCTAAAGTTTATGGTGCTGTTCCTCCGCCACCACAGTTACTTGCTGAAATCCAGAGCTCCATGGATCAGACGAATGCAAATGTTCAACAACCCTCCCCTTTGACTGCTTCAGCTTTGGGTGGCAATGCAGTTCCATTGGTGACAGTTCCTGCTGCCTCTGTTATTGCTTCAAAAGGGCAAGTTGGACATCTGGGTTCAAATTCTGGGACAGGCCTTCCTCCAGCCAACTTAGGTTCCTATTCCCACTGTACATTGTCGCAAGGAACAAGTTATAATGGTTACGGTGGTATATATCCCAATGCAACACCTTTGCAGCAAGTTGCTTTAGCCCTTAGACATTCAACTTCGCCTATTACCACTTCAGTGACCCCCATTGTTACAAATGCAAGTACTGCATTATATGCTAGTGCAAGCTCCTCAGTGGAGAAGGAAAAGCGTCCTTCGCAGAAGAGGAAGTTTCAGGAATCTCCTGTATTAGTTAAAGGGCTTGCAAATCCGAATCAGGTAATACTGTCATCCCTAAGTATGTATCCAGTTCATGTTGCTGCCGCATCTTATTGTCTGAGGTACCCACCTTTGCTCATTCAGAAAAAGAAAGTTGAAAATGCTCGGCTTTGATTTACTCGTTTCTGAGGCACATCATGTCGTCTTTCAAAAATGTTTGTCCTGAATGTGCTTTAGTAAAATGACTATATTTTAAGAATATTACTGACGCAACTAAATTGTTGTTCCAGGTATTTTCTCTGACCTTCTATAAAGCTTACAGGATGATTATGGAACTCTCTTTCTGTATGGCATTTATGTGCTACTCAGGATTTCATGTTTTGAGGTTGATATGCAGCTTGGTGTCATCAGGGATTTTGTACTTGCTCCTTTCCTGGAGCCATTTTTTGTTACACTCACCTTGCTTTAGTTTCTGTTCTTTGACAAATGTCTTGCAAGTTTTATTCAGACATGCTCCCTCAATTTGTTTGCAACAGCTGGCTGTTTGTGTTATCGTGTATGTCCTATTAAGTCGAAAGTTAAAACCTCTTTCTTAGGCAGTAGATGTTGTGAACCTGTTCACAGTTGGATGGATTTGATAAAAACTTTTTGTTGCTTACTTCTTGGTCCTGTACATTCTACCATTTGTAGATACTTCTTGTTGGCTTTGAAGTATATTTGTCTGTGTTATCTGTATTTTGAACTCAGTAATTTCTGCTAAATGCCGTCACACATTCAAAGGTTTTTATTTTGTTTTTGTTCCCTATCGACCTGCATTACACACTGCTGTTGTTGAGTGCTTTGTTTGGACTCTTTCCAGAGTTTATTGCAGGTATCTGAACCTGCAAAACCATGTGAACTAACCTCAGATGCAGGTGGAAAAGATGATAAACGTTTAAAAACAATGTCGAATGGGGTGCTTCTAAATTCACCTAAAGTGATGCCGCCACCTCCACCAAAATTTACCGCATCATCATCTGGAGTTCATAGTAGTTCAGAAAATGGATTGCTTCCAAACCCACAAAAAGCGATGCCGCCACCTCCACCAAAATTCATGGAGTCATCAACCGGGATAAATGGTGGTTCATCAACAAATGGATTTATTCCAAACCCACCAAAGGTGATGCTACCACCTCCACCTAAATTTACTGAGTCATCATCTGGAGTCCGGAGCAGTGCAAAAAATGTGAACAATGAGTTGAAGCCGGAGAGTGTCCCTGGTAATTTCTCTTTTACTGTTAATTAGATGGTCTTAGTTTAAATGTGAGGTACCAAGTTGTGGCACTCTGAAGTAGTTTCTATTCAAGGCTTAGCCTCCAAATTTTGTGTTTCCGATGTGATTTTGTGTATAAGTTTTCCGGCTGCATATATCCTCGTTATTTTTTGCTGACCCCCCGTAATTTGCCTTTTAGATACATTAATAAAGTTGATGGAATACGGGGATGAAGATGAGGATGATGATGAGCCTAACCCGCCAAGTCAAGAAAACCTCAAAAGAAGCTCGAGTTCGTCCACAGGTACAAAACCTTTCTGGGCTGTCTGAAGTTGGAAGCTCTTGAACTCGGTGTTCTGATGGAAAAATCTTAAATGGTCTTCTAAAATTTACTGTATTTTGCTCTGCTATGTAGAAATCACTAAGCACTTCCAATGGAAGATGTGGTGCTCGTAGCGCAACTTACTTTTGCTAGAATTATTAGGTTTTAGACTGATAGATGAAAAGAGATTATCAGTGTACCAATTCACAGAAGATTAATCTGATTATAAAGTAAGACAATTGCCGAAATTACATGCTAACACTTTAATTTATCAACATATTACCTCTTCTTCAATCACAGTATCACCGTATAGTTCCTGAGTTAAGCAATCTAGTATAGCATATACAGCCTCCGCTTCCAAGTGAGATCTGTCACTTGATGTAAAGGTATGGAGTGTGTTAGATACATGTATCCAACTGGAACCGGCAAGCTTCTTGACTTCTTTCCCTCTCATCTTCCTCATTATTCTCCCCATTTCGTCCCACTTCCCTTCAGAGGCATAAATGCCGGCCAATTGTACATATCGAGCACCATTATCACCTTCAATCTTCAATAGCATCTCCTCAGCAATTTTTGCTAGTTCTACATTTCTATTCATCTTGCAGGCGTTTATGAATGTGCCCAATATCACTGCATCCAGTTCCATTGGAATCTTTTCCAAGAAATCTGCAGCCTTTTTAAGTTGATTTGCCCTTCCGTATAAGTCAATCATGCATGCATAGTGGTCTCTTTCTGGTAATATTGAATAATCTTTAGTCATAGAGCAGAAATACATCTCACCCTCTGCAACTAAACCTCTGTGGCGACAGGCAGATAAAATAGCAATAAATGTCACTGCATCGGGTCGTTGCCCTCTTTCTACCATTTCCTGGAAAAGCCGCAGAGCTTTGTCTTCATACCCATGGTGCGCATATCCAGCTATCATCACATTATAAAGGACAAGGTCTCTGGTTGTTAATCTCCAAAACAGACGATCTGCAGATATTATGTTCCCACATTTTGAGTACATATCAACCAACGCGGTGCATACTTTAACATCCATCTCAATCCCCCTTCTCAAAATGCTCGCATGGATTTGTTTTCCGGGATCCACAACAGCATGTTCTGAGCAAGCACCAAGCAGATTGAAAAACATTAAAGCATCATAGTCTTTGGAATTCGTTGTCATCAGCTGGCGAAAAAGCTCAAAAGCTTCATCAGACTGTTGTATTTTGACATAGCCACTTATCATAGCAGTCCATATAACAGAGTTCCTGGCTCCCAATGAATCGAAAAGACTTCTAGCTTCCAACATATTCCCTTCTGCTGCATACCCGACAATCATAGATGTAGCTGCAAAAGCATTCTCCAATGTAATCGTTCTGTAAACAGATTCAGCGTGCTTCATGTTACCACACTTGCAGTAAAGGTCAACAAGGCCACTTGTGATGAACGGATTCAAGTCCACTCCTCGCTTTAATACCCAAGTGTGAATTTCTTTTCCCATCTTTAAGTTCTTGATACTAGAACAAGCATCCAAAATGCTAGCTAAACTGTATTCATTCAACTTAAATCCCTCTTTTATCATAGATTTAAATACCTCAATTGCCTTTCCCTCTTGTCCATTTTGGGCAAGCCCTGAAATGATAGTATTCCAAGACACAACATCATTCATCTCAGGTTTACTTAAGAAAAGGTTTTCAGCTAATTCCAGTTCACCTTCTCTACAACATGCCGCCATTAATGCATTCTTCGAAACCGGGTCAACCACGCCGTGACCAACTTCATCAAACACTCTCCACGCGTTGTCGAAACTCCCACATTTCGAGTACATGTCAATGAGAGAACTGACGGCAAACCCACTCAGATCATTAGCAGTCTTCACCATTAACGAATGAAGCTGCTGTCCAATCGATAACTGACCCATCTTAGCCGCCAAGTTCATCATAGTAGTCAGCGTGAATTCATCAACTCGAGCTCTGTCAATATCGAGGCGCATCATGTGGAGAAATAACTTGACAGCACGATCTTCGGAACCAACCATCTTGGCATAGCCAGATATCATTGAATTGTACGTAACTGTATCTTTCTCTGGAGCGGCATCGAAAAGGGTTTGGGCTTTAGAGAAGTTCTGAGCTTTGACCTGCGCATGCAGAATGGCATTCCAAGAATAAACATTTCGTTCAGGCATTTCCTCGAACAGTTTAGCAGCTTCATGGATAAGGCCATGTTTCGAGAACAAATGAATGAGTTGGTTCGTGGTAAGAATGTCTGCTGTAAAACCAGATTTTATGGTTTCAGCGTGCAATCGAAGTGCATCTTTCAGAGACCTCGTCAACAACATATACACATGAATCTTTCACCTTAGTAACCCCGAAGTAGCACCAAAAAACTGGGTTAAAAACGAGGAAAATCTGGAACCCACAAAAAGAAGACCACCAACAATAGGTTTTCTGGGGCTTATGTTTTAGAAGGTGATCATTTTGTCTTAACAGAGCAATATTTATTACACTGAATGCATAACCTCGATTTTTTTTTTTGTTAATATATATAAATTATGCCATTTTCAGGACTCAAAAAAAATGTAATTGGTACAAATTGGGACAAAGAATCCACCATTTAATCTTCTGGTAGTTTCTGGGAATCGATATTTTCTCGTATTTTTGCCCTTGGATTTTAAGTATTTGTAGGTGTAGCTGAAACGTATTTATGAGCTGCACATGTTATAAAAGTTCTCACTCTCTTAATTCTTGTTTGTTGTTCTGAAACCATATAGAACGAACAAGTATTCATGTCTAATTTTTTATTCACCCCAACTACAAATCTGCCATTTTCCACGAAGAAAGTGAGGAATGTTGAACAAGGACTAGCTAAACATTCACTGCATTAGCATGTTTAGTCTGAAGATACAAAGGAACTCCAAAAAGAGAAAGAATAACCATTGGGGCAAAAAACCAAGAGCAGCATTTAGCGCCAGCACCCTGAAAGGTTTTCTACAAGTATCTCTCTAGATTGAGATTCAAGTGGATTGATGAATTTCAAACCGCAGCTGCATGCATACCCGAATTAACCACAAAAAGAAAAAAAGAAAATAATGTCATAAAACTTTTATTACAATTGTTTTAATTCCTCAAATTATCTCTAGACTTGTTTACAAGATGATCCCCAAGCGTGAAAGAGGGAAAGGTTAGCCGCTTCTGTTGACATAATCGCTGGGTTCCTCATTTTTATCCTTGTCTTCTTCATCAGAAATCCCTGCATCAAACTGACCGTTGCCCCCAGAAGCAAAGTCATCAACCTCCGTGCTAGGATCATATGGTCCCCCTACATTTCCACCACCGAAGCTGCTGGGGGTACTGTCCACATTAGCATACCTACCGCCTGGATTTCCACCATCACCAAAGTCACTGTTACCTAAACCACCTCCGAAGTTGCTCCCACCAGGGTTGTAGTTACTCCCACCAGGGTTGTAATTGTTTGTAAAGTTTCCTCCATCGTATCCACCCCCTCCACCACCACCTCCATATGGACCAGTTGGATAACCATACCCACCCCCGCCACCACCAAAGTTACCATCAAACCTTGGAGCACGAGGCTTCTCAGTTGCATAGTTCACCCTCAACCGTCGACCATGAAGATCCTTAAAAAGCAGAAAGCAAACTGTTGATTTCATTTCTTACTACTCATAAAGGAAATGAAAAGCTTAACTGCTCATAACAGATGACCAGAAACAAAATCAAAAAAGGCAGACAGACCTAATATGGGCTAACCAGCCATTTGGCTTATTCAAAAGACAGACCAAGAAACAATTTCTAGTTGTCTAAAATTCTCTCCAAAATAACAACTATCCACTTATATCATACATGGAAGGAGTGGAATGAATAAAAAATAAGACTATAGGGTAGCCTCGGAAAGCTGTTCCTATGCAAAATCTCATCCTTCTGGTTCTTCCACACTGCAACCCCCACCTCTCTTCCTCATCAAAATAATAGTAAGGCAAGAGCAATGAACATTAGTACCTGACCATCCCATGCCTGCATTGCTTTGGCAGCATCTTCATTTGATGCAAAAGTAACAAACCCAAAACCTCTCGATCTTCCACTATCACGATCAATAATAATTTTAGCTGTAAGGAAGGGAGGAAAAGCATAGTTGTTAATCTCTGGCATGATATAGAAGAAGCACCCAAACAGCTAAGAGAGGTGAAAAGAACCACTATACACATTTAACAGAGGTAAAAAGAGATAAAGAAAGTGTTCACAAGTAGCACTCAAACAGCTGAAGCAATACCTTCAACAACTTCACCATGTTGAGAAAAAGCCTGCGACAAACTTGACTCATCCGTGCCATAAGAAAGACCTAAAGAGCAAACCACATAAATAGACAGAATACCGTGGAAAAAGGCAATAAGAATTTAAAACAAAATGATCATTTGCACCTCCAACAAAGAGCTTTGTGGACATGCTCCTTATAGCCTGGTAAAACATCGAGTTTGAAGCAGCAGATGATTCCAAGCCAACATGCTTGGTCAATGTCTGTTTAAGAACATTGCCAATTCTATTGACAAAAGCCATATTTCTGAAGCAAGAAAAAAAAAAAATTGCATAAGTTCACTGAGCAAGTACTTCTCAAATAAAATCCACAACTTTCTAAACTATACTTACAGTCACAACAACAATCAACCCAATAAACGAATTAAAGAAAAACATTCGTAATGAGAAAAAAAAAAAAAAAAGGAAGAAGCAATATCTAATTCAATCCAAACAGAAAAATAGCGCCCCGCAAAAAAGATCACCTATAACAAGACAGAACCCATTTTTACGAACACACAGAGCAATCCATAACATAAACTAAAACCGATGATTTTGACGAAAAAACGATCATTTAGCCCAGAAAACCAGAACAAAATCATAGGAGACCGTAAGAACAAAATCGCAACCTTCGGCTTGATAAAGCAATAGCACGTTAAATTAGAAGGATAGAAACAATAAAATCAAGCACCTCGAGTAGAAAATGGAGAGAAAAATATATTTTCAGTGATCGAAGGAGTTAGGGTTTAAGCAAGAACCTGAAGGGCAGATCTTTGAACTCTGAGTTTTGACTGCTTGTAAAACGGCTGTGTTCTCAGCTTCGAGGGTTTTAGAGGAAGCAAAGGAAGCGCGGATAATGTACAACACCCCGCAAGTTGTTACGGTGAGGCCTTCTGTGAAGATAGGTTTTCCACCGTTGGATTAAAAGATGACAAATAAAGATGAAGTCAAAGTCAAAGATATTTACTAATTTGCCTTTTAGTTTGTGGAGGAAAATTAGAATATGATGCATATTAATTTTAGAATTATCTAATCGGATACTAATTTTTATTTTTATTTTTTCACTCCCTCTGTCCCAAAATTATTGTTCAATTTAGGATTTCATTTTTAGTACAATTTGACCTAGAAATGAAAACTCAAAGCGGACAATAATTATGAGACGGAGGGAGTATTTTTTTTTAAAAAAAAAGCATCTCTCAGTCTAATAATTTTCCATTATGAGAATGAGTGAATTACTATTTTTTTTAACCGGATTAGACCAAAGAAAAAAAAAACAATGCTAAGATTCTAAGTTGTGAAAAATCAAACTTAACTAAAATGACTATGAGAGGCAGAGAAAAAATAAAATAAACTAAAAAAGGTAATAAAAAGTTACATGAATGATAAGCTACTGTTTCGAAATCCCAAATTATTGTGATAAATAGTTGGACTTTTTCTCTATTACGCTCGTCCTTGAATTCTTTCAGGAAAGAGGAAAGAAAAAACTGAAATGAAGAAGATATTATTGTTTACTTTGTATTTTTAAATGAAAAAACTACTCTTTTGATGTAGCAGTTGTACTATGAAATTGTCCCAAACTCTTGTTACTTATCAACTGTGCAGGGGGCGCTTTCAGCAACCGATGATTGCCTACTAAGTACTAACATTAGGAATTCATACACAGAACAACTTGAAATTTCAGGCTCAGATTTTTGCTGTCAATGCTTCAAAATGTGGATAAACTCTTTCTCACAACACAAATTATAGCTACATTTAATAAAGGACACATACATTTTGCTTGCACTTCAAAACTTGTACACATATTTAACAGACACAACCAGAATTAGATCTTACAAAACTGATGAAATTACTCAACTGATGAAGTTGAGGATATAGAGTGGTACACAATGTTATGGACATGTTAAAATAGGAGGGGAGGGGGGGAATAATTCCATTAATCAATGCTTTCATTTCCTATGAGACCCGTGTAACGATTTAGGGGATCCTTCAAAGAAATCCAAGATAAGATCTTCTAAGTCATCAGCATTGTATTTTATATGCTTTTCACTAATGTAGCTGGTGTGTCTTCCCACAAATGTTCTATACGCCTGTATTACCTTGAGCGATATTGAGATCCGAAGATCTTCACGAAGCTGACCGTCTGGAATTGACCATCCTGTCTGGCTCTTGTACACCTCCTCAAAAGCTAGATAAAAGCTCTGCAGTTTCTCTTTGAGGAGAGTCTTGGAAACAGAATTCGAGCCAGGGTTTTGTATGCCTTCATCCCGGAGTAAAGAAAGGATTGAACTCCATGTCGCCCTCTCATAGTTCATGGCATGTTGCTGGAATTTCCAGTTATGCTTGCGAATCCATCCATCGCCTAATATTGTTCTCAGCTTGTCAGACCCCTTTGTTTTTTCAGCCATGTAATGGATGTTGTTCATGAGGAAAAGGTGCCCCAGCGAATCATCCTTGTATAACCTGGACTTGTCGTCGAGGTTGCACTCCAAGATTGACAGGAGAGATCGAAAATGTAATGTCACAGGGGATGGAACATAAGAGCCGTCACTGCTAGTGTTATCTTCGTCGCTCACTGGGCTTGTATCTGGTGAAGGTGAAACTTGGCCGGCTTTGTCATTGTCCTTCAAGAGCACATCAAGAGTAGTGCAATAGTCTGCAAGAAATTTAATGTAATTCATAACATATCTTGTAAGGTGGTGGATTCCACCACCAGGAAAAGCAGTAGCTGAGATGTTTGCTGCCACAGCATTCTCGAATTCAAGAAAGGTTGCCTTTGCACAGTCACCCAACCTCCCCAAGACGTCTTGGCACTCCATTCTAATGCTTGAATCATCATCACCAAGATATAATGCATCGATATCAGGAATAAGATCAGCAAGAACCTCATACATATCAAGAATCCGAAACAACTTCTCTGGTTGATGGGGACCAATAGCTACCGCATCACCGAAATTCAGCAGTTGCAATACTGAAGCCTTAGATGATTCAGTAAAACATCCTGAACTAACTGTATCAAGCTCCCCAAATATCTGATCACACAGCCATTTTTCGCTGGCAAGATAAACTCGAACAAAAACCTTCATTGCCCGGACCCATCTCCTGATTTTGGAGTTCAATGAGTTCCATTCCATCTTCATTACATCCTCAACGCTCAATTTGTCCACAAGGGTGAAGAGGTAATCATCAAGGGCATCCTTCCGGATACCAACATATGCTTGAGAACACTCAGGTCCATACCCTGAATCAAACATCAGAATGGCAATGGATTTGAGATCAGGTATCGCATCAGGATGCACCAATTCAATAATATAATCCTCTGGTGCTCTGCTGAGACTATCCCTGGGCAGTGAATCCTCGACCGATTCATCCCCAAAGGACATAACTGAGCGATCATCCAGTATCTCGTCTTCACTGGAACGGAAGGACATGTGCTCAGGCTCAAAAGGTTGCCTGTTCTGAACAAGTAGATGCTTGAACTCATCCTCAAGCCTAACCATCCCAGTATGAAGAACATCATGAGCCCTTTGCAGAAAGCCATCTTCCCTGCTATCTTTGGCAATATTCATACTTTCCAAGCTCTCAATCAGCTTACGAGTATCCTCGACGGCCTTCAGATATTCACAAGCTTCATCAGGACCACAATCCCAAATATTAGCTTGATTTTCCTCCCATTTCATAATCTTATCCTGCACTCTATTTAGCTGCTCCTCAACTTCATCCAGCCTCTCCCCATCATCTTCTTCCTCTTCTTCCCCATTTTCGCTGACTCTTGCTATACTAGATAGCTGGCTACCAAGATCTGCCAAGATTTTCCTGGCATCAAAAGTTAAATTCTTGTTTGTCTCTAAAGCTTTTACTATGTTCTGAGCTGCAGCAATTAAGTTTTCCTCCCCCTCTAACATAGGAGAGGCAGGGGCAGCAGCAGAAGCAAGAGGCTCACATTCACCCATAACTCACAACAGTTCCAAAACAAGAACAACTTCTAAAATCCCAAAACTAATCCTTGACTCCCCCAGGCAAAAGCAACTTACTCTACAGCAAACACTGAAGCTCTAAAAATTCAATCTTGAGAGCAACTCAAGCAATCCCACAAACTAATCAAGTGGGATTTTATGAATATCATTATGAACTACTAAAAAACCTAAACCTACAGTACTTACCCTATCCTATTGAGGAAGAGAAGCAGGCAACACAATCGCCCCAATCAAAACAACAGAAAATAAACAAAAACCAGGAAAACGAAGAAGAAACCACCAAAAAAGAAAGCCCCAGGAAGCCAATAATTATGGAGATCTGCAGCTGATTCTAAAAAAGTGCCAAAGAAAACTTTTCTGTAGACATCACAGATGCTAAAAATCTTTCCAATTCCACAAGCAAAAGAGTCACAGGGAGCTAGTTAGGCAAACCTTTGACTAGAAAATGGTGGCCAAGTGGAAAAAATCCAGCATCTTCAAGAAGAAGGGAGATCCAAAAAACCTAAGTAGTAGTATGTCGGAATTAAATGCCTAGTTTTCGTCTGAAGAAGGCACAAAATGATAGGGAGAGAGAAAAAAAGAAAAATGATAAAAGGCACAGTTGAAAAACAGGAAAATAAAAACCAGTACACAGTAGACCTGGGCTGCTTCTTCAGTTGCTAATTGCAAGTATTATACTTGAACTTAAATGCAAATGGCCGACTTTTCAAACCTACAATACTTCATCTGCTTACTTTTATTTCTTTCTTTTCTTTTCTTTTTTTTTGGAATTTTGCAGCCTTATTATTGTAAATGTATTATTTGCCATTTCATTTCTAAGAGATAAATATTTTTTAAAAAGAAAAAAAAAAAGAAAACAGTGTTTTTGGTGATGGGTGAGGTGTCTTTGACCTAGATGGTCCTCTGTCTCCACGCAGAAAAAATTGGTTTTATTTCTGGGAAAGACTCAAAGAAGGTCAACCTGTCATCCTGTGGCTCTTTGCTGACTTGACTGGTAAAACAGAAGTAGAATTCTGATTAATTCAGTCCATTCTTTTCTTTTTACAGTCGTATTATTTTATTAAATTATAAGGCTAACGGTAACGGTTATAATTGTTAATTAACTGTTAACTGCCACGATTAATTTTATACTAGTTCAGAAAAGCTGATGGTCACCACTTTTGTTCTCATCAAAGGTTTTATACTTTACAGTATTCCAAATTCCGGCCGAAGATGAAAAATCTTGTTCGTTATGTTCATATTTAATTTTACAAAATGAAACTCTTATCTGTATATATCACCGTATCCGGTGTCTGAAGCGGTGTCTAAAGTCTTTGCTTTAACTAATAGAAATTCGAATCGGATAAGTCTTTTTCGAAAGACAAAATTCTCCTAACAAATATTTTAATTACTATTGTATATACATACCCAGATTTAATAACAGGTCATAATTAACATGATCCAATACCTTTATCCGTAGATCCAAGTGGTTAAGAGGGCAATATCAATTTTGAGTAAAGGTATGAAAGTTGCTTGCAATTTTGTCAGATTCCAAAAGTAGAGCCAGCACGCCAAAATAATAGAGAAATGGACTAATTGTGCGAACAATGATGCGGTGCATTATGCAGCTACTCAGAAAGTTAGGATGATTTTGACGTCCGATAAATACAAGGATGAAATGGCACATCAACAAATTGGTTTAACTGAATTGGCAACAAATTAAGAGAATTTCTATAACAATATAATTCGGTTGATGATTCAAGTTATCAAATCAATTTTCAGTACTTACAAATTATCGTATCTATTAAATTATTGACCAAACCATTCATTCGGCTCTAACTGTTTTTTTGTTCTTTCATCCTCCTAACATTCGTGTCATCTCGGTATAGCAATTAATTGCGGATCTTAAGCTGAATGATTAGCAGGACTTGTTTAAAAGGGGAAGTACAGAGAATTTTGGAATGGGACATATTTTCACTCAAACCTGTGTGGTCCATTCTTAGCCATATTATGTGTTCTGCTCCACATGATACCAAGACGTCCCAACACTCAGAGTTCGACATGTGCTTTTTTTATAATTTATTCAACGCTCATACCGACCTCAATGCCGATTCCTCATGTCGATGATCATATATGGAATTGTGATGATATTATGTTAAGTAATTATTAAAATGAGACGGTAAGAATAATTTTTTTTAACATACAGTATCATTATTGGTGATTTTAAAACGTGTTGAGTTACATTTAGATCTCGTATTTGTATGTACATAGTACAAATCAATAGTCCTGAATATTCCTAGTAATGAACCATTTTTCTTATCGCTGAACTAATGCTATGCCCTAAGGTGAGGAATCTTGTTTTTACCTTAATACGAATAGGAAAAAGGACAAAAAGACCAAGTCAAGATAAGGAAGTGAGTGATGCAACCTAATGAAATCATCAAATTTTTTTTCCAGATCGTCACCTGAATTAATAAATGGCAACTGGAAACGAACTACATATAGATTGTGATTAACTTCCAAAAATAATAAATTTTATTTAATTGGGGTAAAAAAGAAAAAAGAAAAGCAGGGAAGTGCGGTGAGTTCTGACCAACTGCGAAAATGATACGGTTCAGATAGAAAAAATGGTTCAGATCTGAAGCAATTAAAAAATAACACAATTATTAAGCATTATTTTAATGAGAGATAGAGAGAGAGAGAGAGAGAGAGCACAGGATGTCTGTTTTTCGGTTTGAGATGCACTGATGGATGATGGGTGTACTATTATTATTTGATCATACAAAAGCTTGCTGGCAACATTGAACTCGAGGACTCGAGCCATGTGGGAACTGGGAATCACTCTTCCTTCTATGCACAATTTAGTTTGTGAAGAGTTTTTTTTTTTTTCTTTTTATACACACTGTTACAAGCGCTTAAATAAACTATAATATTAAAAGATTTCATGCGTTCATGCCTCATCTCGGATTTAGGATGGGGGCGCCCCACCCTAAACCTTTATTATATTTTAAATGAATTTAATTTTAATTAGGATTTTTAGTTAATTATTATTTAATTTACTATTTTTTTTTTGTAATTTGGGCTAAATGTTTAGTTTATATTTCACAATTTTTTTGGTCCAATCAAAATAATTCAAATCCAATGTGAAATTTTACATCATAATTTTTTTTTTAATCAAAGTTTGTAGTTATCTTAACAATAATCAAAATAATTATACTAAACTCAATTCAACTAATAATGTTATGTATTTATAAACATTGCAAACAGAATATTCAATAGTAATACATTTGTCTTATATCATATCCTTAAGATCTTTATACAGTATGTGCCAAAAAGGAGTTGTGAAATTTAATTTTTTTCTTAAAATGCATATAGAGATATAGTCATTATAGAAAGAGTTTTTTCTTTTCTTAAACTAAAATGGTGAAAAGTCATTTACATTTTTGAATTCAAATTTCTTGAATATGAACATGACTATGAAAATTCATAGTGCGCACTAATATAATAAGTAGTATATTTTTGGCTCCCACTGCATTCCCGTTCTGAATCCGTTACTGCCTCATCTATATGCCTTCTGGTAAATTTGCAAAAAATGACTAGCGATTTCTAATTGTGAAGAGTAACTCATAACCTCGCAGATGGATGTTATGACCTTTTATCACTAATCATCCCCTGTTGACGTGAAGAGTACTTCTTATTTTGCAAAGAAGCGATCACTACTTCCGTCCCAAAGTAAACTATTACAATAAAGAAGATGAAGTAGCATATTAATTTTGATTCTAGTTTTGTAGCAGCACTCTCATTTATTGTGGAAAGACTCAAAACTCGCCCATCGGGACCAAAGACTTGAGAAATCGAAAAAAAAAAAAAGGAAAAAAGATAAAAGGCATCGTCTCAGGGGTCGGTCAAGTCAGTTGAAGTTTGAATTTTGAACTCAAGACCTATTAAATTCTAAGGAATCAGCTTTGATGGTTCGTTTGTCAAAATCAAAATCTTGATAAGATACGATACAAATTTGCTAAATCATGTGAGCTCCACTTCTAGATATGATGTTAGGCTTCAGGACACAGAATATTATACATATAGTTTTTTATTTATTTCCATTATCTCAAGTTGCTTTCTTGCTATTTTTTTTTTCCACTTTTATTTTTTCAATTTTGTTGGATAGAACTTGGAAGGTTCATTTTCTATGGACAAATGATAGTCGAAACATGACCTTAATCCTAGTTTGTGACCTACAGAAGGTATTCATTTTACCACTTATTTGTTCCTTTCTTGTACCAAAGAGTGGGGGAAAAAATGCATTTTCACTAACATCTTCCACAAGCCACTTCAATATTGATGATTGTCATGATTAAAAGACAACAAGAAATGGTCCAAATTAATCGAAGAGAGTAACGTTGAAATAAAGTTGAGCTTAGTATATAACAGTTGTTACATACCAAAGGATATCAAAGGAAGGAAAAAATAGTCTTAAATCCAAGGAAATAATTTTGTTCCTTGATGATATCTTCTTTGCTTGAGTACGAGGAACACTGCCGGTGCAGTAAAGCAGGACTGGATGGTTGATGTTGAGGGCTACGTTCTGCATAAGTCACTGGCGGTTTCACCTGGTTTCTGTGGACAGCCAAATTCCGGGGAGCTGGCACTTCGCGATTTGGTACAATTTCGCTGGAAACAGTCCTTCCATTAAACCTGTCCAGTGAGCTCCAGTCAAACATCAGGTCTTCTTCAAAGTCCATAAATCCTGGAACTGTAGCTGAATCTTTCGGGAGCTCTTTCTGGCAGTATGCTTCTGTAATTCCCTGAGATGTCAAGTCACTAATGCCTGACTGCTTCTTGCGGTTAAGCTCATTCAGTTCAGTTGCTTTCAAATTGTCAGGAACTGGGAAAGTTTTAGCCTTCCTTCTTATATGGTCAAATATCATTTCTCCTGTCAATTGTTCGGGTACAGGAGGACCTTCGACTAGCTGGAGAAGTTCATCTGGATCATATAAAAAGGATGCATCAGATGTAAAACTTAAACACGTGTAAAATACAACCCAGCTTTTGGAATAGAAATCTCATTTAGAGACTGACCTGTGTTGTTTTCTGTGAATTGTCCAGAAGAGTCTTGGAAGAATGGATCCAGATCAAGTAGTTCACCAGCATCTTGAGTTGCCATATTCTGGCGCAGTACTTTATTTTTAGGATTTTCATCCTGAACTTCAATAGAGTCATGTTCAAGATGCCGATCACGCATACGCTTTCTGATGAGTGTCAATGTCTCCAGTGATGGGGAACATGTGTTATCAGAGAAACTGGACAATGCCAAGGCAGGCAGATTTTTAGACTTTTCGCGTATATGGTCAAATACTGTTTTCTCAGACAAAATCATGCAGTCGTCATTCTCCATCTCTACAGCAGGCACCTCATTAACACTAGGTACTGGAAAATCTTCAACAACCAAGTTCATTAGTCAGATTGTAATGTAACAAAACCTTGTACAAAGGAGGAAGATACAAATAACCTGAAATCCTGCAAACTCATTGCAGTCCTTAAATTATTCCAAATAACAGAAGCAAGGTGTGTGACATTAGATTTTTTACCTTCTAATTCTTCATCTAAAAGTTTGAAACTGGGCCTGGTCAACAAGAAATTATGTGACAGTCAGAAACTACAATCACATTGATGAGAATGCTACAGGAAACGACTGATAAATGGTGTCCCTGTATCACTAGAGATTCTGTTTAGAACTTACAAATTTTCTTGCAGTGCTTTGGATTCATTTGACGTTCTAGATACTCCCAGTTGCGATCTATCTGAAGTATTGTTCCGATTAGCACCATCTTTAGTGGTATGTGTGCCTTTGGGATGGGTATTGAGAGGCTTCTTGGGTCCCATTGCGTGGTTGGCATGCGAGTCGACAACATCCTTTCCTATTGTCATGCTTTGACGAATATCAACACCAACTGTAAAAAATTAACTAATGAATGAGATCAACTGTGATCACTCTCATGTCAGTAAGGACTACATGTAATTCTTCACAGAAGTTTACTGAATTCTTCAAAAAGGAGATCTGCAGTCACGGTCAGCTTTCCATGACGGGGGACAGGTAGCATGACTGTTGCACCGTATGGGCTATATCAAACACCAAAAGAGAAAATTATATCAAAATATAGGGATTTTCATATATTTTGTAAAAGCAAATATGCACGTCTCTGCATTATTTTCTATCAATGAAAAGGCTTCAGGATTTTGGTACTCGTACCTCAAAAAATCGTCCACTCTGCAGCAAGATATGAAGTATGTTTTGATCCACAAATATGATATTTCTCCCAATAAAGAAAACAAAAGGAAAAAGTAAATAACAGTTTGAAGTGACTCCAGTAGGTGCATGACAAACGCAAATCCCTTGACAAATTGCAACCGGGACAGATAAGAGAAGAAACTAAGTACTGAAAGTCTAATCAAAGCTATGCTGAGTTCGTCTAAAACTACAAGCTTCATTAGTCATACCATTTTACTTGGGAAGAGAAAGAAGGCCATTTAAGTGGGAGGAGGGCAGGAGGAGGTATAAAACATGAGCTGTATTTCACATATTGTCAAAGATGTGCCTCATTTGATGTCTAGTAGTAAACAGGAGGAGAACTATCGGAAACCCCAGAATCACCGTTGTAAAATATGTTATCAAAGAATTATATGGAACATTTAAGACAGTACCTTATCCTTTCGTGGAACAAGATAATGTTTTCTTCTTCTATGCTAACCACCTGTACATTATAACATCATTGTTATATAAAGTAGGATTGAACATATAAAAATCATACTCAGAAGATATACCATTTCAGCATAATGTCGTTTGATGGATGCAGTAGATTGTGATAGCCTGGTTAGAATTACCCCTAGCTTGGATTTTCCTTGCTTTTGGTACACATTCTCCTCAAATTTCAGCTCTACTTTTGGTGGCAGAGATAATAACGACTCCTTAATATGGTTACCAAAAGGAAATTTTCTACCCGTAACTATCTCTATCTTCCTCGGATCCGCATCAAGAAGGGTCTCAAAAGAATTGATGCCCATGGAAAGAAGTGCCTGAGTTGGTTTATATTTTCAGAAGGTGGAGAACTGTAGTGCTGAATTCATTTTTCCATATGCCAGTAATGAGAATTTTGAACAAACCTTTGCAGTCACCATTCCAATGCCGGGTAATTGTTTCAGCAAGTATGGACTGTCATCCCAGAGCTTCTGATGTAAGGACTTAGCCAGAAGTGCAGAATTCAATGCCCCTTTATAAATCCTTTTATGGATAAAATACTCTTTCATGCACTTTGCCACTCTACAACCATTTGTGCAGATAGAATTCATGTCCTACAGAGCATTACACATGAATTGTTACATAAAAAGGGGTCTGAGGACACGGAAACTTGCTTCATCTGTTAAAGCCATACAAGTAAACTAACCTGGTTCATTGATAAATCACGCACTGAAGGATCCCCAGTAAGACAGTCATTTGCAAGAATGAATATCTTCTCTTCCCTGGTCTGGATGCGCTTCTTCTTTTTACCTTTATCAGCTAGGACATGAAAACGAAGCCGGCCATCTTTGTCCAAATTTATGTCATTTAAAAGCTTCTTCTCATTGCGCCTCAGTTGTATCCCTTCATTTACCAAACAAATAAAATGCATCATAGACTATTTAAATTTGAATGGAACTATCAAAACTGACTTGAAATAGTTAAAATTGAATGGTATATTGTGTGTTGATTGTGCACGACCTCATGTAGTGGGAAAAAGGACTTATTATTGTTGTGATATCAACTCTAATATTGTTCATGTCAATTACATTAAGCTGAATACATACAAGAAATTTCCTCTGCACGGCAAATGGTATGAAGTGCATCTTCTATGCTGCAGTTGGCAGGGGTCAGCATGATATGCTTCATTGTATCAAATTTCAGATAATACTTTGTCATCAGCACGCCAGGTTCTGAAACATGAACCAAAAGTTAATATTTTGATGCGGTGAGCAAAAAATAGATATCAAACAGATTTATATTACCGAGGGGTTTTAACAGAAAACCATCTTCATCAGTCCAGATCATTTGATAGCGTGATAACTCAGTGATCTTCTGAACACAAATATCTGACAGAAAAAGCATAATCAAGCAAAGATAATTATAAAATGCATTGAAGCTTGATGCGCAGATTACCTTGCATGTGCTTCTCGATTAGGTTACCATGGAGGCCTTTCTTTACTGAATAGTTCTCAGGATTCTGCTATTCCACAAAAAATTTCAGAATATGATTTCACAAGGAAAAAGCGAACTTCAAAACAACTGAATCTACCTTTTTCATTCTCACGTACAAAAATGAGCATTTCATCCATTCAATTGCCCTTGTGATATCTGAAATGCTGAGTTGAGCTATCTCTGCAGTTAGGTGCTCAGTCAAGCATGGAAGCAGTCTGACAGAAAGGGAAATAATTTTAGCAAGCAACATAATTAGTTCTTTATATGTTACAAACATTGAATACCCAAGACAAGAATATACATACTGTGATTCCACCATTTCACATCCACTCAACAGGTTCTCGTACAAATGAACCTTAAGAAAGTCAAAGGAACATTGCAGAGAACATGAGAAACAAGAACTGTGGCTATTTATGTGATGATGCCCATGAGTACTGAAAAGAGGAGAGGCAGGCAAGTGAAGGAAATGAGATTAACTGTTTCTCTTCTGGTCATGATTATAACCATGCCTGTATCTTCAAAAGGAGGGCGACCTGCCCTTCCGCACATCTGCAAAATAGTCAACTTAGTTATTATTCAATGGAAAGGCCACATGAAGAAACTAAAATGTATTCGTCAGTACATGTAGGGAGGGTTCTAGCAGTGATGGTGGACCTCAAGACCCTTCTATACCCCACAGAAAGACCAAAACCCCAAAGGCAACAGAGAAAGCAAAAGAGACAGGAAAAAGGTCTGGAATTCAATCATCCCTCGATGCTGTTTCAATCAATTTAAAATAATTAACTTCGACATCATCACACACCAACAAACCTACCTGTAGTATCATGGATCGATCATATTCCAAATAGATGCCCTTTTCCTTATTACTGCAGAAGCAAAGCAGACAATGAACTGAAAGAAAGGTTCCTTTGAAGTGGAGCTTAGAGTAAATTGTTACACATACAAGTATTGTGTTGATTTAATCACTACAGTATGTGCCGGTAGGTTGATTCCAAGGGCAAGCGTATTCGTTGTGCAAAGAACTTGAAGATCTCCATTCAGAAAAAGACTCTCTATCAGGCTACGATCTTTCAGTGACAGTCCACCATTGTGATAGCCAACTGTAAAAAACAACCAGCAAACACATTTAATCACCAGAAGCAGTATGCAGTGTGTACTATGAATTGTTAGCATCTAGGGTAAAAACCCTTTCATGCTTCTCATTTCAGAAGGCATCCATTCCTTTTCATGGACCAAAATGGCTACTTGTAAAAGTTCCACTGTCTAATGGTTGAAGTACCATTTCTTTTGTTCCGATATAACTGGAGTTGCAGGTGTTGAAAAGTTAAGGTGCTTACCACCATAAAGGATATATGATTGCATTTGTTTGTCGCCACATGAAAGCGAAGCTTCCCTTAACCTTTCTTGTTGTTCCATGCTTTTCATAAAAGGATTTGAATGACCATAAGTCATTGCTGCTTGAGCGAGTTGTTGAGCTGCTTCTTGTGCTCCTTTTCTGGTGGAGCAAAACACAAGCGCAGATTTTCCTCTAGAATATTGCATCAGAATATCTGTATAACAAAATAAAAAATTGGATCCATGTGACGCCAGATCATGGACAGATTACATTGATTGCTTAGTGAAGACTTACCGAATACGTAGTTCTGAAGCCGCTGGATGACCAAATGTTAGAGATGACAGAAAGAAATGATTTTAGCTCATGATAATTGTACGAATATCATACATCTACAATAATGTACACAAGCAGATTTACAAATAAATTTACCTTCTCAAACAAGAAATCATTTTTAGCTGGAGCATATCCTGCAAACGGCAGTTTGATCTGTCAAACTCATGAAGGAAAATGCAACATATACATATTTTGGGCCATAAGGAATATGTGACACACCCAAAACCTTTGTAGTCAACTTCACAGGTCTCATTTCTTCCCCAAACCTGTAGAAAGATGGACTGTCAGATATCATCCAACAGGCGCTGGCTTTGATAATTACAGAAATTGCATCACGTACCTCTTAATTCCATGATGGGGAACCATTAGCCACTCAGCTAGAACAATGAATGATATTAATGAGTAATGACAATAACAGAGTTCAGTTGTAATCAATTATGTTGAACTCTTGCAGATAGTAGAGGAAATTTACCAAGATCGTCTATATTTGGAATAGTAGCTGAAATAGCAAGAAAGCGGACTTGGGCCAGCGAACTTGATCTCATTTCGGATTTGCAGGCAAGCATCTTAAGTCGACTAACTATTGCTTCTAAAGCTGCTCCACGGGGATCATTCAAGAGGTGAACTTCATCAAGAAGCACAAGCGCTATATCTCCAAAAAAGCTCAGGCCTCCATCTCTTGCACGATATCGAGTTACTGCATCAAACTTCTGCAGGAACAATGCTACTTTCTAAGACATATGCACAGGACATGAAAATATTAAAATTTACTGGTTGAAAACAAACCTCTGGAGTAGTAAGAATGATGTCTGCATCCTGTATATTCCTGAGGCTGTAAGTTTCATTGTCACCCGTCAATTCCAAGCAATTTACACCCAACTGCCCAAATTTCTGGTTCCAATCGCGGACTTTCTCTTGTACCAAAGCCTTTGATGGAGCTATGTAAATCTTTGATATCACCAGAAAGGCACAGTGGTCATAAAATGAACAATATCAATATGATCTGGTCACCGAACATATCGCAATTGGAAGAAGGAATAGTTCCATGCAAGTAACAAACAAATCATTTCTTAATATATCACCCACTTTAACAGAAAGGAGTCTGAATGACATGCAATACAGGTGCACTAACTTTATTACAGACAGAAAACACACACACACATAAACAGGACAAAGAAAAAGGAAAACACCAGAATAAAGGTTTGATGAAAGACATTTCACGACTTGAACTGAGTACAGCCTTTTCAACAAATAAATTCACAATGACTTCAGTCGCCAAAACTTAAAACATTTGAAAAAAAGAAATAAACACCAACAGTTGCCATATTATGGCTAGAAATGCAGCTCAATCAGATAGATGTTGGCGAGTCACTTATGAAGTCAGTGAAACACCAAATCAATATCAAGCGTTTAAGAGACTCTTCTTCTCAGTACTGAGTCTGAGCAAATCATATACTTCAACAACAAAAATGCTAACTTACTGTTTTCATAATCCCCTTTAGAGGCATGAAGTTTCCATCTCTAGAAATGAACTTTGAAAAAATCCTCAGGATGCATAGTTCAAAAAGCGCAGTCTTCCCACTTCCTGTAGGTGCTGAAATAACCATGTTCATGTCGGAAAGAAAACAAGAAGAGAAGCACTCACTCTGCAATGAGTTGAAATATCTGCACAACAAAGAAAATCATCCTGATTCACATTTATCATCGAACATCCCATGTCACTCTTATATATGAAGGCAGGGCAGCTTTACAGTTCAGACATTGCAGTAACTCCTCTAATTCCACCAAGAAAGCAACAATTAATTCAGACATACTTAGCCACCCCCACCCCGTCGCTTTTTCTATTCGCTTCTTATCTTCACACATCTTAAGCATTAGGAAGACGAAACTCACTGGAGAGCATATATGCATGTTCCAGTTATTATCAATAACAACAAGAAGGTTCCAGACAACAGCGCTTTGAAGATAAATGATGTCCTTTATACCACCTACCAATTCTAAACTTTAGCATATCTAATAATCAGTTCGGAGGACCAAACGGAGCGTGAACATGTATCTAAAATTCAACAGCGTACAAATTTGAAATTGAATGATTCGCAAAAAGATGCAACAGAAGAAAATGCAATAAGGAACTACCTGAAAGTAAAAGCTGAACGAAAAGGAGCTGGTAGGTCCAAAACCGATCTCAGTGTGCAGTTATCCATGATTTCTGAAAGCCTTGAAACTAAGCTAGCACGATCTTCTCAATCCAACGAAATGTATACGGAGATTGAGGAATTATCCAGCTGCTCCAACATTAAAACACTCAGATTATCATTAATTATTTAACCGGAATACGAGATAGATATAAATTATTCAAGCAAAGATCAGAACTATCCATCATACCGCGCACAATCCAAGAAGCGTTGGCCATAATTGAGGAGAAATCTTATCGGGAGATAGCTGGAACGGATTAGGAATTCAATGGCGTCGTCGGTCGTCGTTCTTGCAGGAGGAAAGAGGAACTCTCTCAATCGCGGTGGTGAAAGCTGTGAGAGGTGGTGGTGAGGAGGCGGGAAGGAGAAGAAAGAGAATGAAGAAAATGGGAAGGAGAAGAAGAAAGAGGATTTTTTTCTTCTTTTTTTGAAAATTGGGGCCAACTTCAAAATTTTTTATCTGAAAATTCTGCATCGAATTACTGTAGTGCCCTCATATTTTTGTCCAGACCCATTTTCTTGTCCCAGAAATTATTGTCTAATAATTGTGGATTTTCAGTTTTTAGTTGAGGACAAAAAGTGTAAAATTGGAGTTTTTTAATTTTTTAATAATTGGAGTTTCAAAATTGTCTAATTGGCGTCCTTTAATTTTTTTAATTATCTTTTTGTCTCCATTAACCAACCACAGGTAAACCTAACACTATCTAATCCAAGTCAGGTTACAACTTACAATTTTGTTCCAAATTGATTCTAACACTATTAAATCAAACTTAAGTTAATTTTTTTAAAAAAACTAAATGAGCTGTTTCCGACCTTGGGATCAAGAATTAGGCATTGATATTTGTATTATTTTCATACATATCTCAAAAACCAAATGTAACTTATTATTTTAGGACAAAGGGAGTACTACTGATCATATTGTATCTATGTGACGTTAGCTCAACCGTTTAATACACATTTTTCTATTTAGTGTATACACTTTATATTTTGGTATTAGTGTGTACCTTTTTTTCACAAAATCTGTGATGAAAAAAAGGTTTAACAAAAAAAATTATTAATATAAGTGTAGAATCAGAACGAAATTCAGACATTTAGAGCGTTTAAAGACATTAGATCCCTTGATCAAAAAGTCACCAAACAAATAATACTACCTCTATCTCAAAAATAACATTCACAGTGCCAAGATAGAGAGAAAAAAGAACACTCCCAGAAAAGGATTTAGAAAAAGAGTGTTTAACAGGTCTTTAAATAATTGTAACTCCAGTGCACTAACATAGATGGCATAGTTTGATGCATAGTTCCCATTTGATTGATGCATAGTTTGCAGCATCAACAGATGGCTTCATAGAGGACTTTTTTGTGTTTTTAAGGCTTGGGTTTCATTCTGCAATTTTCATTCACATGGATTGATCAGATAAAATGGCAAACGCAAAATTAAAACACATTTTTGAACATCCCTTTTAATTATTTCCGACCTTAACAATCACCCCAAGAAACCTTAAAGAAACACATTTTCAGTCCAACCTAGCTACTCTTTTTTTTTTTTCCGGTCCACTTCCCTCATGCATCATCCTTAATCATCTGCATGGTTTGAATAAATCAAAGTTATCGGGGGATTTCGATTTTGTTACATATGAAACCAGGAAAATTTCTCCAAGATTTAGCTCATCAAATATGTGTTTGATACTTCGATTGATCATGCTTTTGGAAGGGGTTGTCCTGCCAGAAAAGACTTGAGAAGTTGAAGTGCAGCTCTAGGCTTGAAAAGTGGCACTTCATGGCCTGCTCCTCGTACTGTTGCAAATGTCAACCCCTTGTACACTTCTGTCCAACCTCCCACCTAATAAAACCAGCAAAAATATCAGTATCAAATGAGAAACAAGTCAATTTGAAAACGATATGCTATCCATAATTGTAATGCAAAACAGAGATTTTTGGATAATGATGCAAAGAGAAGTCAAAGCACAATCTAGCCATCAGAGCTAACAAATCCAACAGAGCACATAATTCAATCTAGTAATTAAACAAAACAAGAGTAGAAGCAAGATCGCTGACCTGTTTCTTGACATACCAAGGATACCATGGAATAACTGTGTTCAACTTCAATTGTTCCAGGGCATACCTTGTGGCTGTGACTGGCACTACTGAGTCTACGTCACCACTGCAATAAGACAAGTCAGCAACAAACAAATTGGGATTTTCTATTTAGCTACTGATAATGTGAAATAATTATGCAGTAATGATGGACTAAAAAGGTGACAAATTGCACCTGAAAACCCAAATTCTCAATCCAGCAGCTATCAGTGATCGATATATGGGAAGCATTGAATTATCCGTATCATTCCAGTTTCGGTTCAAAGTTTCACTGCAGAAAATCAATCACATTCAGCTGAAGCAGTTTGTGTAATCTGGACTAGTATAAACTAATTTATGGTTCAAGCTGACTCAAGACTGTAACTTTTACCTGCAGGCAGTCCATTTATATGGAATCCCTGTTGTATTTGCATGAAGAGCTTTCTGCACGTCTGGCCTGTTGTAGTAAGCTTCGGCGTATCTTTCAATACAAGGATCATATCCAGAGAAATGATTGAATACCTGCAAAATGTATGCTGTAAATCTAAGCAAATTTCATGATATTCTACAGTGCAATAATTCGACGTCTTCTACTTTAGAACACACCGGACGTGGTTGGTGTGGCAAACGCATATGATGCCTTGTTGTTTTACTACCATCGGATTTGTTACAAGGCGGAGCATATATGTTATATTGATCAATGTTGCCAAATTCTTTGTCCATAGCGTAGTAGTAAAGGGATTCACACTCATCTGACTCCTTTTGGCGCCTGAAGTCACAAATGTTAACCAATTGCTTATAAGTCCTGTCTGAGATCATGGCGTGACTCCACCAGTATGTCACAGTCCCCAAATTGTCATAGTAATTATCCGTAACTGCATTGCCGACCTAGAGTTATCGCAATTGATGAACAATGCTAAATCAGAAACATGGACAAATCCTCAATAAAGCTGGGAAGATAAACAAGTCAATGATCAATTATTACCATAAATCCTTTGATCCGAATAGGGTTCTTGGACTTGGCATTGTAGTTTACTATTGCATTTGCCAGCTGCGGGACATAATGGCCAGCGTAGCTCTCTCCAGAGAGATAAACATCGCGGTTCTTGTAGCGTGGGAATCGATCCATCCATCGGATCAGAAACTTGAGTGAATCCTCAGCTGCATAATTATTAAAAAATCATATCATCAATATATGAGTGACAACTTCTGTCCCAACTAGCACACTCATCACTGGTTTGCTTCTTGTAAAATCTTGTCATCTTGTCAAGGAAAAACATAAAGTGCCATAAACACTGTAGCTATGACAGTGAAACAGAATGGACTGAAAATACATACAAAGACAGACCCCATGATTACCAACATTACCCACAGTACCATCTTCCACTCTGTATTTTCCTATCCACCATCATTAATTTTACCAGAAGAAGTCAACTATGGAGCAAATACCAGCCACAAACCAATGTTCATTCCACCAATGGCCAGCCAATTTGGATGCTTCCAGAGGCTAATAAAGCTATCTAGAAGATAATGTTGGATTTCTGAAAGGACACTAACAAGTAACAACAGTTCCCTCAGATTGGTGCACAAACAAAAAAAATTTCGAAAAAAGACAAAAGGGTCATCGTTTTTGTCACTTACCAGTGCGATGATCACCGGTGTCAAGTAAATCAGAAGACCTGTTGCTATATGAAAAGCCAACGCCTGCAGGTGTTTCCAGGAAAAGAACATTTGCCAATTTGTTCCATGAGAATTTGTTAAGGTATAGACCAGATGCTGTCTTGTTTATCCGAAATGGTCCAATTTCTTCAGATGCTCCATATGCCACAGAAGAACATCCTGGACCTGTACAAGTAAAATGTAATTATATATCAGTATATCACTCTCAAGCAATAGTCTTTTTAGCTGAAACACATAAGAGAGGCAAAATGTATTAAAATTACCGAAAAAGAAAACATTACAATATCACGTTATATCCAAGACAATCATCAAGGTACTATGAAGATTCACAGAAAAATCTTCATAGTCATAGATATATGGATAAACCTGCAGTTCTTGATTAACACTAGGTAATGAAAGCGACAACATAGCTTTATTACCGGCGGGGTACAACGTTACAAAACGAGCAATATTATTTTTTGCATATAGTGTAATTACAGATGCTGACAAAGGTCTCAATCAGCGGCCTTAATGTTCGGTAAGTCATCTCCTGTAGTATACTATTAAGTCATAAATGATGACTACTTATGAAGTTGCTTTCAAGCAAAAAAAAATACGTAAAACCATGCAACGTAAATGCGGGAAGAGAAACAGGGGCCCCTAGGGAGTAGGCGACGACTGAAGAAAATGAAGGAAACCCATTGCTTCCTTGCTAGAGAAGAGATCCTCTGTTCATATTTTCGAAATTTAGTGTATCAATTATGTCTCATTGGTTAAACGAGACGAAATCGACTCAATAATGCATACAATTCGTACTAAAATGACACACCGTTAGTCCATTACATCACAAAAATATCAAAATTGGGATGGAAAAAAAAAATTGATTTGCTTCCATTGTGATTTTTGTGAATCCAGAAACTTGGTACATATGAATCACTAACAACGTGTGTTAGTTGGGTCATACTGCAGTATCTGCCTATATGTTTAACATTTGAAAAAAAAAAAAAAGAAGAATTGTACATTGGATTTTGCAGCCCAAGTTTCCAGAGTTTCCAAATTGAAACAGAGAAGAAAAATGCAAAACCAAAAACAAAAGTCTCAAACATGGTAGCAAAAGACGGAAAGATGCAGTCTTTTTTTCCATAGATGTCATTCTACATTTCCCAGAAAGGTAAAGAAAAGCAGTTCTTTAATCTTCATCACTTGACCCGTACAATATCATCTCTGATGTCACTAAAAAAGATCGTATATAATTTTCCTTGGATTATAATCAAAGAGAAAGATATGAAGGAATTCTCGTCAAAGATACCAGGAATAATAATAATTTGAGCAAGTCCCGAGAGAGAGACCCCTACCCAAAACAAAATTCCAGTTTGGCTGACGTTTTTCTTTCTTAATGAACACTCAAAATTCAAAAAAACTCAAAAAATTTCGTATACAGAGTGAACAACAGAAAGAAGATGCAAAGAAAATATAATGTTTACCTCCATTAAGCCAAACAACCAATGGCTTTGACAAGGGATCATCAACAGCTTCAGTAAGCCAATAAAACAGAGCTCTCCCTGCAACTTCATTCACCGTCACATACCCTGAAAACTGCTGGAATGAAACTTTTGGTTGTCCAGGAAGAGACGTTATCCTATCTGCTTCCTCCTCTTCATTTTTACCATCAACACTAATACTTCCAGTTCCAGCAATGAGAAGCACAGCTAAGACCATAGAAACCAGCAACTTTTCTCTGGCCATGATCTCTCAGTTGTTTAATGCTGCTGAAGCAGCCTGAAAGAATGTAGTATAATTCTTGTGGGTTTTATTTTCTACTTTACTAGATAAATAGAAATTCGTAAGAAGAGGGGTTAACAATCTGCCGGTTGGAATTGGTGGAAAACTGGAAATGAAGAGGTGAAGAGATGAAGAGGCTACTCTGTATTTATGGTTTTATTGGGAGGAGTTAACTCTGTTTTTTTGGAGATATGGGTAGTGGGGGTGAGGGGAGGATAAATAAGAGGGAGATTTTTGAGTGTTTGCATTTAATCTTCTTTAACAGCATCATGCATGAATGTACATTACGCACGCGCAAACCCCCTGCTGTAAATACTGCTTTTTGCCAAAGGCACAGTTTTGAAAAACCTTTCAACATTTGGAATTTGCTGATCAAATTTGCAAACTTATTTCTCTTTTGTGGAATTGTTTTGACATCATCGTAGGCAGTTATGTTAAGCAGTAGCAGGCACAGTGGTTTGACTGTAATTTCAATTTCTAGCTTACATTTTTTTTTTTTGGTTCAATAAAAGAAGAAACAAAATTAGATTATTATATCGGGTGCGAGATACAGACCACATCATGTTCTAGTCACGAGTTAATACCAATTAGTGTGGTCAATGGGCTTTCCGCCTCCAATGAAGCTATATAATAATCTGCTGCAAAATTCTAGCTTTATTTTGGATAAAAAGTTGAAAATTTGCCAAAGTTCAAAGAAAAATATCGTGGTTGGCTACTTTTAAGGTTTGTTTTGGCTAAACTCCAAAGATTATGGCAAAAAGTTATCTTTCTAAATTTGGAGGAGGAGACAAAAATTAAGACCAAATAGGAGGAGGGCTATAGAGAAACTAATCAAACTAACCTTACTAAAAATAGTAAGGAATCAAGCAAAAAAAGGTAATGCTATAACAACATTGGCTTATCCTAATCGCTGATCAAAATCTCGATGATTAGATTGGTCATTCAGAATTGCAAATGGAATAAAAAAGAAACCCACTAGCAAGGGAAAGCCACTATCTCTACTCCTGGCCGTGGAAAATTGGAGATGACATTAATTCATCATCACTATGTTTTTTATGCGTACCTTTTAAAAGTATGACTCCTTTTTTTTTTTTTGGTATACATTAGCAAACTTATGGAACTTTCTTTGTGACCCTGATTTTTTTGACTTTGATATTTGGCCGATACATGATTTAATACGATCACAGGACAGTGTTCCTTCCATAATTTGCATGTGGGGTGTTTGCAAATTTGCTGATTTGGGACTAACAATGATTGGTGGATGCGAAGTTGTACTTGGCCTAGATTAGACGGATCATAAGACTGAGAACAGGAGATATTAAGGATTATGGTCCACTTGGTTTTAATCAATTTTGTGATCTATATATCCACCCTTCTAACATGCCAGTGTTGTCTAGTATTGTGGGAACTGGAACTATAACATTGGAAAGAAAGAAATTGCCCTGACTAAGAAAGCTAGTTAGTACTGTACTAATTTATTACTCCTCCATTCCAATTCAACAGGCTCACTTCTTTTTTTTAAATATTTCAAAACTTAATCCCGCTTCAGACAATTAATTAAATTTTACTATAAACTCTTTAACATACTCGTTCTGCTTTTACTGAAATTAAGAACATTTATTAATTTTTAACAATTATTCTCTCATTTTAACTAATAACTCACTAGTCATTAATAAAGGTGTAGTAGAAATTTCATTTAAAATTAACCACATAAACTATATTACCCTTTTTTTTTTTAATTTTTGTATATGTCTAAATGAGCCTATTGAATTGGAATGTAATAGTAGCTGATTGTTGAAATTAAATGGAGTAAAAGCTGTAATGGTTGAGGAGGGCTAGCTAGCTAAGGGCAGGGGAAAGGTATTAAATGATGAGAAAGACGATTCAAAAAGAGTAGTTGCAAAGTTGCAGAGATCTCAAAGCCACAGCCATTTGCTGCCATTGTAATCCATTGCAGTTAATGTGGAGATATGGGAAACCAAGCAAAAGAATTTCAAATCGATCAGCTGCTCTGTAAAGTTGCAAACTCCCATAAAAATGCTGCTGCCTTTTATTTTAAAAAAGGTTAATTTAGCAAAACCTTTGATCCATCAGAAGGTTAGTACTAATGTTTATACATTTTTCCTTCCACTAAAAATTTAATATATAGCTCTCTTCATACACTATTTTTTGGGACGGATGAAAAAGATATATCGTACCTATTTTATCAGGTATTACCAACACAATGTAAAAATGTATATATTCTTTCAAGTTGTTAACATAAAAACATTACTCCTTGAACCGGATCATACATAACACACTATTAGTACTGGAAGTAAAATAGTAACGAACCCCAATTTTGCAAAATCAGATCAAACTATACAGTCTATACAGAGGTTACTGAAAAACAGGTAACTGGAGACAGCACTGCACAGAACTGCAGAAGTGAATTGCACAATGAAAAAGGGTTCCCTCTTTTCTTTCTAGAGAGAGAAGTTCCTACTTCCCTTTAGAAAAAACCCACTCTTTAAAATTTTTTCTTCCTCTCTCATCCACCATTAATGGTGGATGGAGGAGCTCAAATCTTTTACTTTGCTTTCTAGTTTTAGCTTTGATCTTCCAGTATGTGAAAGTTTTGCTCAACCTTTATGGGTATTGCACTTCCATATGGAAGTTTTTGTTCATCCCATTTGAGAGAGGTTTTTTTTCTTTCTCTTCAAATGTATTTTTGGTAGATTTTTTTCAACAGATATGATCCAGAAGAAGAAGATCCACAGCTCCCAGAAGAAATTAAAGATAAATGTGAGGTTAAATGATTTTGCAAGTGAATGATCTATATAGATATGAGATTTCTAGACAAATAGATCTGATTTTTCGATTTAGATATGGAGTTTTAATCCCTTCTGAGCATGCTTGGATTTCATTTATAAAAGTGTATTATTGTTATCTTTGTATTTCTTGAGCTTTTTGAAACTTTCTTACTCTGTAATTAGAAATGTTGCTACAATTTAGTCAGTTTAGCTTAGCCTATGATTGAACACAATATTGTGATTGACCGTCTCTTCCTCTGTAGCTAAGTATAGCGCGTATGGCAAATTGTAATATTTCAACCGTTGGTTGGTTGTTGTAGCTCAACACATTGTGATTGTACTTGGTTAATTTTTTCTTTATATATGATTATCGTTTTTGACAAAAAAAAAAAAAGAAGAATTGCACAATGAACTACTTACAATCCATCGGTTTCAAAATTGCAGTGTAGTTTAGTGTTTTAATTTACATAATTCGTCCCAAATCAATGTCTTATTTGAATTTTCATTTTTAATTTGTTATTGTTCAAATTGGGACAAAAATAAAAATTTAAACTGGACGGTGATGTTGGGATCAAATGAATTCAAATTATACAAAAACTAAAAATCAGAACTGAATAACTATTGGGAGACATATAAAAAATATGAACAACAACAGCAACGTTGCGTACAGTAATAGGCATGCACATACTCTGCTACCACAAAGAACAGGGAGGGGCACACGTGCAAGTAAGTCAATTCTATACAGTGCATTTTATTTATTTATTTATTTTTCTTACTTTGACGTTCACTCAACTAAAAAAGATCTTCTCTTTCGCCTCAGACACAGTAGAGTCAGAGTCTTTACGTCGGTGATGATCAAATTTGCATCAGAAAGCAACCGAAAACCCGGACAGAGGGAGAGGCCTGGCGTACCCATTTTCTTTTCTGCTTTTATCTCACCATCTTTTATATGCATATCAGTAAAACATTTGTAATTATTGAGTGTAAAAATGGCCAATAAAATAACAAAAATAAGAAGAAACCAAAAGTATAGTTTTTTCACTGTTTGATATACATTTGTCGTGTCATTTAAGGAAACTGTAGTTTGGTTTACGTAAGATCGTGGTACACTCCCAACACATTAATCACGTATTTTTTTTCCTCTCTATTATCAATGTGGTACATAAGTCAATTATGCCGCCGCCCCCCCCAACTCCTGGATTTCTGAACTGTACAGTACAACAAACCTTGTTGACCAGAATTCTACTACTACTACTACAATAGTTTAATTAATGGTGTAGTAATACCAGAAGTTGTCCCTTCGTTTCATCCAATTCACAGCAATTTATGGATTCGTTGACTCTTTTGACTGTGGCCGCACTTCTCCAGTCCACTTGTTCTATTCCTTTTCAACTTCACATAAGAGCAAAATAATTTTCTGTTCTCCAAAAAAAAAAAAAGAGTTTGTGTTTTCTATAGTGAGGCTGATGTTTCCCCAATTTGATCAAATTAAGTAGTACTACTATATCTAACAATTGTATACTGATGAGTGATGATGAAGCCTTTAAAATTGTACTATTAACTCAATTATTCCCACAAATGATTTTTCATCAGCTTTGGGGAATTTTATTTTTTTTAAAAAAAAAACAAAGAAAAATAAATAAGTGAAATTCAGAGGCCAGACTGGACCAAAATGGGGCATACATATTTGGACAGCCCAGTTCTGGATAGAACAAAAATGCTTTCCTTATATATATATGTTTTTTTTTTAAGCCCTGTATTTTTTAACCTTTTCCCAAATTTCGACCGTTGAAACCTGAAAGTCATCTACTCTCCCTCCAATCAACTCCAAACGGTCATTTCTCCTTTGCCAAACACTTAAAATACCCTGCAAAAGTACTCAACTATTTGTCATCTGTAGCTCGTTTTTTTTCAGCTGGATTACTCTACTCAATTCTGCTGTTGGAGAGAAAAAAAAAAACTCCATTTCATTCCATTAATCGAATTCACATTCCAATGGAGAAATTGGTCGAAGCATCAGTGAATCAAACAGAATCCATTTCCAATCCCATTGTTGCCAATGAAGTTGAACAGAACCAGGTTGTTGAAGTAATCAAACCCCAGAAGCCAGCCTCAAACATACTAAAACCAGTTACCCCTGATCGACTTAAGGTCCCTAAAGCATTCAAGTACCCAGAAAGGTTCCTTCTTTATTTCTAACCTCATCTTTTCTCTAGTATTTTTAGTGCCATTTGGATTAAATCATCAGTGATGGGGTGTCTTTTTATTCTTTTTGTCATCTGTTTGCAGGTATACAAGTCCAACTGATCTAATGATGTCTCCAATTTCAAGAGGGCTTCTCGCTAGAAGTAGAAAGACCACCGCACCCGTGCCATTATCGTTGCCGCTGCCGTTGCCTCCCTCAGCAAAATCAACCACTTCTATGCTGTCAACATGATTGATAAATTTAGAATCTTTTTTGAGTTTTGGTTCCTTGGTCCAATAGGGATCTTGTGTTTTTCTTCCTTTTCTTTTTTTTTTTTGTACTCTGTTCTGTTTGTATTGTCAAACAGCGGGAATGTACCATTCCTTAATGCCTTGCCTCTATGGTAATTTAGAATTTAATCTTTTTTTTTTTCATCTTTCTGGCTGCTGAAAGTTTAGTTCAGATGATTGATATCTTGCAGCTTGTCGCAATGCACAAAGTATCAAGAAATTGGCCTCGTGTGCAAATCGGAATACAGAATCAAAATTAATTGCTTAATGCACAAAACTTGCTCAGCTACATTATATAATGGGACTGAATCAACAGCAATTTCAAAAGTTAAATTCATTCTTCATTCAAGCGAACCTGGTACCACTGAATGGAACCAACATCTCCATCTATTTCGAGTTCACAAACAAAAGTCACTAAGAAATGAACAGCATCATCAATGCATTCGAATCTGCTGAGGTCAGGAGGCAGAGACTTGCCTGGCCAATTCTCTAGCCAACCTTTCAATCTGCTTCTTAACTCTTCCTCTGTCACAAACACCTCATCCTCTCCTGGCTCCAATAGTACATATGTTCCGGTCGAAAGGTCCGCTCTTTTCCTCCTCCTAACCGCACGAATCTGATCCCCTCCCCCGGAAAAATAAAACCGGCCACTTTCATTTAGCATATTTTTCACAAATTCACAATAAGAAAAAAAAACCATCGACTGATAAATGAAAAGCAATTGTCACCTTGGATGGGTAAGTTCTTCGTTTGCTTTTTATATTGGTGAGTCCTTGGAAAGAAGAACAGCTCAACCCATCAAATTCAGCTCGGATTCTTGATTGAAACGGGGAGAACGTATATTGATAGCTCCTTCTATTACAACAACGTTTGCCTGCTCAGAAAAATCATGTGTCAATAACTTCCTCTGTTATGTTCCTTGAGATTTAATTTCGTAAATGTATATAGAACATGGGACAGGTTAAAACTAACCGATTATGCTGAGATTTGCGTTGCTAAATATCTGCATGTCAAGAAGCCCCTCCATTGCTCAGCGACTTTGCGTTCAGAATTCAGAATCTTTTGGTTTAGCAAGCAGAAAAAAAGAGTATAGAAAGCCACTCCTAGTTAGCTTAGATAAGATGAATAACCACCTCAAAAGTCTCAAACTTGTACTTGCATTATTGGCCCCTCGTTTTTCTTCATAATTGCAATGAGTGCCTTTTATTTCATTACTATAAACACTTTCATCGAATAGTAAGTGAATTTATTTGTTTCTTTATCTCATAAATACTAAGGACAATAGTATATAAATGTCACAGTAATATGTATTTGGAGTACTTCTATTTGTCAATAATGAATCATAGAACCGCAAAGTTGGTTCATTTTACACAATCATATAAAAGCTACAATACGTTATAGATTTATACGCAATGAGTTTAATCTTGCAGAAGGTAGAATTAATTTTGCCACTAGACAAGAAGATGTAATGCATTTCAAATCTAAGCACTTGTCAATTCATACTTTACATAATTCAATTTAAATTTAGTGTTAAATTACATCGTATAAATAAGATTCGATAATGCTTCATTTTTTTTTAGTACAATGAACGAGGCAAATACCTTGAATTATAATTTATTATAACACGTTGGTATGAAACCCTAACGATAAGATTCGATAGTGTTCCATTTTAAATGGCATTGTATCCAAATCTTTCCAAGATATGAAAGACAAACTACTCAGAATATACATCTCTGTCTCATAAAATGGTCTAGCGAGTTACATATATTTATGCCTAAAGGGAAAATGAATGTAAAAGTTATTTTTGTAAAATGAAATATTAGCTGGCCCATGATAACAAACAATAAAATTCCCGCGTCACGAAGGTGGATTGAATAGCCAGCCAGAGAAAGAAAGAAATGACAAAGTATCAAACCCCGAAATGGTCGGGTGGCCCTTCCTTTAGGGAAGCAAATTAATTCGATGAAATTTCTGGAGAATTAAACCCTAAAATTCTTCTTCAATCTTTTTTCCCCCCTGAATCCCTCCTTATCCCTTCTGGCATTCCCCAGATTTTATCAACACGTCATTGACTCACCCCCTTTCAGATTCCTTTTTCCCTTTGTTTTGTTTTCTTCCATTTTCATGAACCCATAACCTTTTAGGACGTGAAATAGTTTTCAAGACATAAAGGACAACAATTACAAAGCTAGTTGATCGTCATCGTCGTCATATAATCGTCTCCATCGCCTTCTGAATATCTCGCGATTGAAGGGTTTTTGTTGAAGATTTAGGTACAGGTGAATGTTACAATTTTTTTTTTCATTAATCCGTTTTTTGAGTTTTGGGGTAGCCCTTTTAAAAGTTCTAACAAGATTAAGGATAATCGGCTGGATTAGAATACATGCTTGAGGTCAGGCTTGACAAATAGATTTTGGTCGGTTTTTTTTTTCTTTAAGAATGTGATAATCCGTATCCTGATTTTAGTTTCAATTTTAGAGTCAGATTAGGATTTATTTTGGGTTCAAATTCCAAGAATTTAAGATCCCATTTAAATTGTACTCTGTTTCCCCGGTATGAGAATGGGATCATTATGTTCGTTCAAAGGTATTTTCTTTGGTTAGGGATTGGAATGTAAACCTTAGCCACGCCCATAGAGAGTGTAATTTTGTAGCGGATTCTTTAGCATTGATAGCGGCGGAGAATCCGGGAGGACTTGTACGACTGGATTCACCTCCGCCACGAGTCCAACCATGGCTATTACGTGACGTTTTAGGGGTATCCTACCCCCTTCGTGTCGTTGTACCTTCTGACTAGCATGGAATATATCTCCCTTGTTTATCAAAAAAGAAAAAAAGTTATTTTCTTTGGTAGGAATGTTAAAAGTATGATCTTTTGGCATTTTGCTGTCATATCTGAAGGATATTGAATTATTGATGGAAGTAAATCGAAAAAGAAGAAGAAAATAAAGGTGGATGATATTGCCGGAAAACGGTTTGAGATTTTCTCCAAGTTAAAATTGATGCTCTTCATTTTTGGAATGCGAAACATAATGAATCTGTTGTTCACATTTTGCAGGACCCATAGCAAGCAGGATACGGTCATTTTGCTTGAGGTTTTCCAAGTCATCTCAACTGAAGGCTTGGATTGATCAGAGAAGAAGTAAATGGAATCCCACCAAGCCATTGGAAATGATAAGCAGTCAGAAGAACCGAGTCCCGAGCCCAATCATAAAAATCCCAGTAATCTAAGTATTGAAGTTCCGGCACCAGGTTTAAAAGTTCATATTGGCAATAATTCAAAGGACGAAGAAACAAATGAGGGCAAGAAGGAGGCTAAGAATGATGGCAGTGAAAGCAATGTAGAAGTTTCGGCTTCCTGTTTATCTCGTTCCTCTTCATCTTCATCATCTAGCTCAGATAATAATGAAGATAAAGCTGAGCAAGAAGGATACCAATCACCCGAACCTGATATGCCTCAATGGAGCATGGTGAGTGCATCTCCCCGGGGAAGTGGGCCGTTGAATCTACCTTCATCAGATGGTTTATCCAGGACTCCTGATTGGGTGATGTTCCAATCTTCAATGATGAAATCCCCTCCACCGATCCAAGCAATGGGACGAGGATATGACCCGAATCGGATCCCCTCGTCGATTTTCTCTACCAAGCCAGGAACACCTTTGGATTGGAGTGTAGCTTCTAATGAATCCTTGTTCAGCATTCACATGGGGAACAATAGTTTCTCTAGAGACAGCGCTATTCTTCAGGGTCTCGAGTTCGGTGGGAAGCCCGAAGATTGGAGCAACGTTTCTGAACCTAAATTGAGCGAGTCCAATAGCTACACCCCGAATTTACCCCCTGTTGAGGAGACACCAAGACGAAGTGATAGTAGTAGGCCTAGTAATGTATATGTTAGGCCTGGGTTGGAGGAAGAATTGGGTGAAACGCCGAAGGTGGCTCGAGGTGGAACAGGGGAAGATCATTCTCAGGAAAAGCCTCGTTTGTCTACTTCCTCTGCATTCTCAGATGGAAAAGGAATCGGGCCGCGGAAATCTAACGAGAGCACGCAAAGCAGTGACTCCTTTGCCTTCCCAGTGTAAGCTCTTTTTTTTTCTTCACTTATTATTTTTTCCTGTTTCTGGTAACAAATGTCATTTGCAAACCTTAAATGTTGTCTTAAAACCTTGGTTTTGAGCCCTTTTAACCCTATTGATTAGCTTCAAGGTGGATTTTCGATGCGCTGAAATATTCGCCTTTGCTTTTGTTTCCTTTCCAGTCTGCTAGGTGAAGGGGTAAAGGAAAATTCCTTGAAAGTGCCTCCTACTGAAAAGCCACCTCAGACACCGGAATCAAAATCTCAGGAGGAGGATCCTAAACCTTCAGAGGCCACGGAGACACAACCTCCTCCGGCCGCTGGTACAGCAAGCTGGTTTTCTTGCTTGCGATGTTGGCCAATGACAACATGCTGTTGAGATAGTGGAAACAAAGTACTGTAATATACATTGATAGTACAGTTTGTTGCAATTAAAGTAAGTTGCAAAATTCACCAGAGTGGAAGAGGCCTGCTATTTATGATGTCCCTTCCTTCTGAAGAGCAGCATTTTCTTTGCTTATTCTAATTTCGATCTCTTTTAGAAATCTTGATGATTAGTTTAGTCCTACCCTAATTACATCAGAAGTCGCTTTAATATGGGTCTTCCCCCATCACCTAAAGCCAGCCTAGGATCGATGTATGGATCATTTAGATTATATCTTTACAGTGGCAAGTGAACATTCCTTCCTAGAATTCTCTTTGTCGCCAAAGTTTGAAAAAGATGGCATTTTTTTCCCTCCTGCAATCTGGTTGTGACTAATGAATAGAAATGATTCCAAGAGGTTTTGCTTCACTATCAGTTGGCCGATAGGAGTTGTGGATTATAATAAAGTGTTACTTGCATAGATTCAATTATTTAGTTCCATCCCATGTGTGCCCATGTTTTGAAGCACTATTCGAAATTGGGCAACTGAAACCTTTCTGTTTGGCGTTGGTTCCATCCTGAAAAGCTACTACCAGTGGGAAATAACTGGCTAGCTATTATACCACCAATGTGTAACACGATCCAAAAAATAGCACGAACATGAAGTACTCCCCGTTTAAAATTATTTTTCAGTTTCGATTTTTATTTTTAATTTAATTTGTATTTATAATTAAAAATAAATTATATACTCCCCCCGTCTCATAATTATTGTCCACTTTTACTAAAAAATTTTGTCCCAAAATTATTGTCCAATTTGACTTTTTATGGATCAAGTTACATATTTGTCCTTAGTAAAAAACATTATCCATAAAATCTTAGTGGTTAAACAGTTACTTATGTAAGGGTATATCCAGTTGTTTCAGGTAAAATATAATTAAGTTTGACCAAAAATAAAATCTTTCATTTTAGTAAAACTGGACAATAATTATGGGACGGAGGGAATAATAATTTTGGGATGGAGAGAGCCACCGAAGGGACTAGGGTGGGGCCCTAACCATTTATATCATACATATAGTACTTTTTTATTATTTTAATATGATCACAAAATTAATAACTGATTTTTAATGCAATTTTCACCCATTTTTTTTGTCTTAGTTTACATTCTTTTTAGTTGCATTTTGGATTGATTAGATATGGTTATCCGAAGTGAATTTGTATTACTAAGTGCTATATTATTAAAAAAAAAATCAGATAATGTTATAAATTAATTGTAAATTTATTAATGATGCATAATACAAAATTGTCTTGTTTCATGATTTAGAAGCTTCCGTTGTGTTCAAAATATTCATAATTTCTTTTGTTTTGTTTTTTGTTTTTGTTTTGTGTGTGTACATGTACATGCGTAGTGGTTTGTTGAAAAATTTTGATTTAAAAAAAATTATGATTTTGCTTATTGATCTAATAATTGTTGAAAGAGCTTTAAGTTTTGAACATAATAACATTTGTATGTGTAACAAATACATAACTCTTGAATGGTATGTGTACTAAATTTAATATTGAAAAAAACAAAATTGTAAGACACGCTGTAAATGTTAAAGCAGTTCAATAATTTCATCAAAATAAGAAAATTTTGTGTAATTAACAATAATATGATGATTTTATGAAATTTTTTCCACTAATATATATGACACCAGTAAAAATTCTCATTATAGATCCGTCACTGGAGGAAGTACTAGCTAGCTATTATACCACATTACCACTAATGTGTAACACGACACGACACAGATTAATACATGCCTTTTGGATCCATTTTTTATTCGCTACCTGAACATAACTCAGCAGAAATTATGAAAAAGTCAGTTTCACAAGCACAATGCAGTTGGCATATATATATATGTGTGTGTGTGTGTGTGTGAAAACTAAAACGACATAATCACTGAACTACTTGAAGTTTTAATTAAATCAAAGTGACATTGGTAAAGAAGGAAGATGGCAACATTCCCGGACAGCCCATTGATATTTGCCGCGTAAAATAAAAAAAATAAAAAAATAAATAAAGAATGAATCATAAAACTCTATCGATGAAGGACAAGGCAAGAAGTAGTAGTACTTCACATGCAAGATGCTTTTGTTTTAATGATGATTACCTACCTTATTACTTAATTCATGTGTACTTTCAATGGCCATCCTTAATTAACATAATAATAGTAATACTTCAGCTAATAAACAATTCATCTTTGGATAAGACATTGATGATTAATATTTTTTCTCCAGGTTGGTCATGCACTATTGTTTTTTCATTTCCTCCTTTCCCTCTTTTCTAAAAGCTTATTCTTTCGTAAGTAGCCATCGGATTCGGGTTTGCACGGTCGAAGAAGTTGTTTATTTGTTGGAGTGGGTTCATCAAGATCAAATGCATTAAAATCTGTTTTTACTATGTGGTATCTAAGTTTAATTTCATAGAAAAGAGGATAGCCTTTGAAAAGACAAAAAAAGAAAGATCAAGTAATGTTTAGTGTATGTGTGAACGGTTATAACGCCTGTTGTAAAAAGGAAAAAACACACTATAATTAACTTTTTTGACAAAAAAAAAATATTATGCGATATAAGTATGAGTAAAGAAAAATCCCTCCTAATTTTTTTTTTTTGTTTTTTTTGAAGAAGAATCCCTCCTAATTAGTTGTCCTGGATGCATGGAGAATGGAATCATGAACTCATTGAGAGGCAGGCTTACCTTCCAGATTAAAACGACAGGGCAAAGTGAAGTGACGCTGGCTGCTATATAATTCATTTGTCGGCTCCTTATTATTATTATTATTATTATTATTATTATTATTGTTATTTTTAAAAAAAGATGTTTTACAGCTTACTCTCAGATGATCAATTTATCGAAAAAAGGATACTTCATTCATCTCATTTCAATTACCTGTTTTGTTATACTGACTACTCTCTCCGTCCCATAATTATTGTTCAGTTTAAATTTTTATTTTTAGTTCAAATTGTACTAAAAGTGAAATCTGAAACTGGACAATAATTTTAGAAAAGAGGGAGTAGTTTTTATTAAAGTGGAACCAAAAGAGTAATAATAATTGAAAGTAATGGAGATTGGCTAAACAAACTATACTTTTTAGACTAGATAGAGTACGTGATTATTTGTTTCAATAAGTGAATTTTTTTTTTTTTTTTAACTCTGCATAAAATCAAACTGGAGTCTTTTCTAAAAGTCTCTTTATTAGAAGAAAATGATACTCTAATTAAATTACCCTACATTGATTAGAATATTAAATTAAGTCTTTTGTTTTTTTTTTCCCGTTTGTGGCTTTCCTTTGTAGAAAAAGTACCCGTAACCATCATGTGGATGTCGGAGTATTAAACTATTATTAGTACTAATTTTATTTACCTTAATATGGAGCGTTGATTTGTATGATCGCAGCATGATCTCATCAATCTGTCATGTTAAAATTTTCATTTACTTTGTGTCCCTTTTAGGCTTTTTATCATTCATTGGAGAGACTTTTGGAGTCAATATTTCCCTATTTTCTACCTCTCATTTTTTCTACATCAATGCCTCTTATTTTAAATTGAACTAAAATTCAGACGGTAAACCGATTAGCAGGTGGTTATTATTTTCTCTCATTTCTTCTTATTCATAAAGTGTATGGAATAGTAAAAAATATTTAAAAAAATGCAAAACTCATGTAGATTTGGTTAAATTTAGACCTACTTTCTCCGTCCAGAAATAATTATCGAATTTAAATTATTTCTTTTAATATAAATTGCACAAATTTTAAATTGTATAATCATTTTGGACATTATTCTAATCACGTTCCGAATCTATGGAAGGCTACAATTTTGAATAATAATTTCGCAGGAAATATACATTACTACTAACTACAAAAAACCAGACCGGTTCAGCCGGTTTAGCAACCCAGCATACGGCGTTGGCTGTGTCTATGGAAGACTTCAAAAAGTGGAAGAACCGAAGAAGAAGAAGGGGGTGAGGTGGGGGCCGGAGGAGGGGGACAATTGACCGCTTGACGGGCTGATGCATTCATTGACCGGCAACGGTCCCCACTGGTTCACCCTCAAAACACATTAGAAAAGTCCCCCCCCCCTCTTCCTTCACTAGTCCCTCTATAAAATGACAGCTCCACATATTTCCATCAAATTACTACTTCAATAGCACACCAATTTACCATAGTCGATTGGTGAAAAAAAATTACTCATATATACCTTTGGTTTCTTCATTGTTTCAGACGAATTTCATCTTATAACCAATTGAATTCGTAACAAGATGACATTTTATGGTGCAGTAATAAGTGGTGGGAGTTTATAATTTTACCCGTTAGTGTATCGGTGTTGTTGTACCATTCGTCGTACAGAATATTTTACTGTTTAATAAAGAAATTTTTGTCTTTGAAAGAGATTTAAATTAGATCATCAAATCTAGCTAATTTGAGTGAAAAGTAATTAGTTAGAGTGTAATATATATCCGCTTAAAATTATTATCTTATCTTACCGTTAAAAGTAATAAATCCATATAAACAAGATTTTGAAATCAAAATTGAAAATACAAAGAAAGAAAGGTGAAACAAGAAGAAACATTACCCAATTAGGCCAAAAGAAGACACAAGTAAAAATGTAAAAGAGAAAGGAAGAAAGGATGTTGGAATTTGGAATTTGGAAAGAGAGACGCGTTTTCCTTCTTTACTCTAATAATATCATCATACACACAGACACACAGTGGTAAAGAAAAAAAAAAAAGAAAAAGAAAGAGAAGAACAAAAACAAAAACAGCCCACTGTGGTGTTTGGTGTTTTTTTTTGCCCTTTCTCTCTTCCATCTCTCTTCTTTCCTCTTTGCTTTCATTTTCTCTTTCTATCTCTCTCATCTTTCTCTTTTTACTTTCTCTCTCTTCACTCTGTTCACAAAACAAAGCAGCAGAAAAGTGACCCCCAAAGATTAGGGCTAGGGTTTTTATCTTCACGCTCAGCTTGAAAAGGGAAGAGACCCCTCTCTCTCTTGCTCCCAAATCAACTTGGGGAAGAGAGAAGAATTACACAAGTTAGGGCTTTTTTTTTGGAAGACCCTTTTTCTCTCTTGGGGTGGGGGTTTACAGTAATGGGTCGTCGTTCTTCTGTGATAAAATGGTACCATTTGAAGCTCTTGATTCTCATCTGGCTCTGCTTTATTCCTTCCAAAGATGCGGTTTTTGGGTCAGATTTGGACAAATCAGCTCTCCTGGACTTCAAAGCCTCTGTTTTGGACTCCTCTGGAGTGCTCTCCAGCTGGGATTCCACCGCGCGTCCTGATCACTGCTCTTGGTTTGGTGTCGCCTGTGACGCTACTTCTCGTGTTGTGGCCTTGAATATCAGCGGTGGAGGTAATTCGGGTTCTCTCTCTTGTGCTAGAATTTCTCAATTTCCGCTGTATGGGTTTGGGATTAGAAGGGCTTGTTCAGATAGTAATGTTAAGATTTCGGGTAAATTGCCGTCTTCTGTTTCGAAACTCTCTGAGCTTCGGTATTTATCGCTGCCTTTCAATAATTTGAGTGGTGTAATTCCTGCTGACATTTGGGGGATGGAAAAGCTGGAAGTTCTTGACCTTGAAGGGAATTTCTTGTCTGGGTTGTTGCCACGTGACTTTGGTGGTTCGAGGAACTTAAGGGTCCTCAATTTGGGGTTCAATGGGATAGGAGGGGAGATTCCAGACTCGCTTTCCAACTGTTCGAGTCTGCAGATACTGAACCTAGCTGGAAATGGTTTTAATGGAACTATGCCAAGTTTTATTGGAGGGTTTAAAGATCTGAGAGGGCTTTACCTGTCATTTAATCAGCTTAGTGGGGCGATTCCAGAGGATATTGGGCTTTGCTCAAAGCTTGAGCGTATAGAATTGGCGGGTAATGTACTAACTGGAGCTATACCTAAAAGTTTGGGGAATTGTAGAGGGCTGAGGTCGCTAGTTTTATATTCAAATATGTTGGAGGAGGTCATTCCAGCAGATCTTGGTCAGTTACAGCAGCTTGAGATTTTGGATGTTTCAAGGAACAGTTTGAGTGGGAAAATTCCATCCGAACTTGGGAACTGTCCCAATTTATCCATTCTTGTGTTGTCTAACTTGTGGGATCCTTTGCCCAACATTTCAAGAACAGAAGGGGAGGGATTATCCGGCAATCTAGCTGTCTCCAATGAGGAGTTTAATTTCTACGAGGGCACTGTTCCACCTGAAATCACCGCTCTTCCGAGCTTGAGGATGCTGTGGGTGCCTCGGGCAACTCTTGATGGTTCTTTGCCTACTAATTGGAGCAGCTGTAACAGCTTGGAGATGGTGAATTTGGCTCAAAATTATTACACTGGAGAGATTACTGACGGATTTAGCAACTGCAAGAACCTCCATTTTCTTGACTTGAGTGGGAATAGGCTGACTGGGAAACTTGCTGAGAAACTTCCAGTTCCTTGCTGGAGTGTATTTGATGTCAGCAGGAATTCCTTATCTGGCCCTATTCCAAAGTTCTACAACATTAGTTGTGCAAATGTTCCTTCTCTGGACCGGGGCACCACAGAGCCAGCATCTGCATACTTGTCTTTTTTTGATGAGAGAAGCCAAGCTGAATTTCCTTTTGAGTTGTTTGTTGATAATGGCGGATCTTCTGTACTTCACAATTTCGGCAACAACAACTTCACAGGTACTTTGGAATCAATGCCTATTGCACCCGATAGATTGCAAGGGAATACTATTTATGCATTTTTGGCTGGTAATAACAAGCTTTCTGGGCAATTTCCATGGAGTTTGTTTGAGATATGTGGTTCACTGAGTGGTATGATTGTAAATGTTAGCAATAATGGTTTTGTGGGTCAAATTCCTGCTGATTTTGGCACAGCCTGCCGGTCTCTGAGACTCTTGGATGCCTCTGGGAATCAGATTGGTGGGATAATTCCTTCCAGTATCGGAATACTAGCTTCAGCAGTCTGCCTTAATCTGAGCTGGAACTTTCTTCAAGGTCCCATTCCAAACAGTCTGGGTCAGTTAAAGAATCTAAAGTTTCTTTCCCTTGCTGGCAATAACTTGACTGGTCCGATACCTACAAGTTTGGGGCAGTTGCAGTACCTGCAAGTGTTTGAACTGTCATCAAATTCTCTCACTGGGGAGATTCCCAAGGACCTCGCATATTTGAGGAATTTAACTGTTCTTCTTCTGAACAACAACAAACTATCTGGACAGATCCCTCCTGAATTAGCCAATGTGACTACTCTTTCATTATTTAATGTGTCCTTTAATAACCTGTCGGGACCACTGCCTGGGAATGAAAACTTGATGAAGTGTAGCAGTGTCATTGGAAACCCTCTCCTTCATTCCTGCCATATGTTTTCTTTAACAGCTCCATCTGCCGATCAGCAAGGAAGAGTTGGGGATCCACAAAGTTATGCTGCTTCTCCATCAGGAACTCCTGTTCAGAGAAGTAGCAATAATGGTTTCAACTCAATTGAGATAGCATCTGTAGCTTCTGCTGCAGCCATTGTGGCAGTTCTCATTGCTCTGATCATCCTTTTCTTCTACACGAGAAAATATAATCCGAGGTCTAGAGTTGGGGGATCTACCAGGAAAGAAGTTACAGTCTTTACTGACATTGGAGTTCCATTGACATTTGAGAATGTGGTGCGAGCTACTGCAAACTTCAATGCTAGTAATTGCATTGGAAATGGAGGTTTTGGAGCAACTTACAAGGCTGAGATCGCCCCAGGAGTCTTAGTGGCCATTAAGAAGCTTGCAGTGGGCCGTTTCCAAGGTGTTCAACAGTTTGATGCAGAAATTAAAACACTAGGGAGACTCCGCCATCCCAATCTGGTGACTTTGATAGGATATCATGCCAGCGAATTTGAGATGTTTCTAATTTACAATTATCTGCCTGGTGGAAATTTGGAAAAGTTTATTCAAGAAAGATCTACAAGGGCTGTGGATTGGAGGGTGTTGCACAAGATTGCTCTGGACATAGCCCGCGCACTTGCTTACCTTCATGATCAGTGTGTCCCGCGTGTCCTGCATCGCGATGTGAAGCCCAGTAACATCTTGTTGGACGAGGAGTACAATGCATATTTGTCAGATTTTGGATTGGCACGGCTGTTGGGAACTTCAGAGACCCATGCCACAACAGGTGTGGCCGGAACCTTTGGATATGTTGCGCCAGAGTACGCAATGACTTGTCGGGTGTCTGACAAGGCTGATGTCTACAGTTATGGTGTCGTGTTGCTGGAGCTAATTTCGGACAAGAAAGCACTTGACCCCTCGTTTTCTTCTTATGGTAATGGTTTCAACATTGTGGCTTGGGCATGCATGCTTTTGAGGCAGGGCCGTGCAAAGGAGTTCTTCACTGCTGGGTTATGGGACGCCGGTCCTCACGACGATTTAGTTGAAGTCTTACACTTGGCAGTTGTGTGCACGGTGGACTCCCTTTCCACCAGACCCACAATGAAGCAAGTTGTAAAACGGCTGAAGCAACTGCAGCCACCTTCTTGTTAGCTATAGGAGTTGATGGACATATAATGATTCATAGTGAGAGGTGAGCGATTTGTAATTGGTGGTCTTTGGCACTGTAGATCTGCGACAAGGTTCAGATTTTAAATGTTAGGCACTTGTAAATTGTAGTATAGCTTCTGCCCCCATTTTTCGATATCAATGTTGCTGGTCGGGGGTTTCACTGATGATGGATCTGCAGAAGAGTGCAGATATTTGTTTCTAAGATTGTATACATATATCTGATTTCTGTTTTTCCCCGTGAAATAAGATCCAACCAAAAATTGAATCATTCTGCATCTATTGTAATATGCCCACTCAGCTTTACATGACCTGCAAATATCTGTTCATGTGGATGAATGATGATGTTCTCGTTTTGATTTTCGTTTTTGTTTTGTGTTGTGTTGGAACAAGATGAAAAGGGTATTTTAAACAAGCAGGAGATGAAAAAAAGAGAGATGGAATCCCCCAAACTGCCTAAGCAATCAGTTTTCTGGAGTATTAGGCCAGTATACTATCTGGCGTGCAGATGGCCCATTCCTCTGCCTTCAAGGCCAGTGGGATGCAGAAAAATGGAAAACATAATTTTTTTAGTACTGCACTCCGGTCCAATAAGGGAGATTCCGTAGAGTGATTGTGGTAGAATGGAAGGGACTTTTCTACCCTTAACCATAGGTCGAGGGTTCGAACCTCGCTATGGGCATGGACTCCCATTCATCGAGGTGCCTACAATTCAGCATGGGCATGGGCTCCCACCCATCGAGGTGCCTACAATTAAGCAATGGGGTTAATCACTGTTACCGATAGTGGACACCGTGCAAATATGAAGAAAAAAAAAAAAATATATATATATATATATATATATATATATATATATATATAAATAAAGGAGATTCCGTTGCTATTAGCATGCTCTTCAACCCATGGATAGGTATTTCATACTTTTCCTTGGGGTTCATATTCTCCTATTTAACAGAAGAATCTCTTGTAATTCTACACACATTTGGGATCTTCAAAATCAGATGCCGATGCGAAGCAAATGTTGTTAATAATTTGTCCAAATAATTCATTATCCACAATAATGGAGTCAGATTTGCTACTTATAGTATAGGGGTTCTCTCTTTTTTGAAGTATTGCTCCTGGAGACTTTTTGTTGCTGCTAATTTCGTTATATATTATTGTATGTATCTAACGCCAAATATCACATTTCCAGATCAAAAAGGAGCGTAGCTAGGTGGAAGAGCAAAAGAAGGAAGACATTATCAATCAATTTCAAAATCAGACAGATCAAAAAGAAAGAAACTTAAAGGCGGAATAAGTTAAATGTCCTCTAGCCCAATCAGCTCTGTAGGTTTCGCTATTGCTAGTGCACTTGTTGTTACAAGACAGGTGATGGGTTAATGACTATATGCCTCAATGGGTTTTCGACTTCAGCACCCCCGGCATGCTTGATAAACTCAGCCGGAGACAGAAAACTTCCATGGCAAACGCACACGATTTTGACTTCCTCTCCTTTCCCATATCTGTATAGAAATCCGTCGACTCTTCGACCATTCGGCCCGCTCCCGATTGTCGTCACGCACGGCATTTCAAGCATAAAATTCTTGAGCATCTTCTTGGCCTCATCAGTTGCCACCTTATTTTCAGCTACACGACCCCTATCAACTTTTGATTGGGGAGCCTCGGCAGGTTGCGCAATCGGAGAGTTTCTAGACTCCATGTTCCTATCTGTTCCGGCAGTAATGTGAGTAATTAGTTCACTAAAAATCAGAGTTCTGTAATACTCATAAAGAGAAAAACTAAAAACAAATTCTATAATTTCCTTTTCATCTTTTTTGGAAAGGGAAAGGCAAACACATCAGGTTAGTTCACCGTCCAACTAAATTTCCTCCTCCAGATGGCACGCATACACTGAAAATAAAGAAGACTTGAAACTGACCCCTTGATCTTACGGTCGAGCAAAGTTCATTTCATTGTACACCTAAATAGCTCTTACAAGCACAATTTCACTATTTCAAAAATCTTATTTTATGATATACGAGTCCAACAAACATGGAAATCATTATGGAACGATGGAGTATAAAACCCATCAAAGTCTAGATAGAAATTTATTTAGACTGTGAATTTGAATGGAAAGTTGTATAGATTTTTTTCCTCTCTATTAAAACAAAATACTCAGTACTTTTAACTTTACTATACTTATAAAACAAGCATCCATTTACGTGCGTGACACCACTATGTTTTTCAGCCTCTACCAAACAACAGGCCTATTCTGAACTAACACAAACAGATGGCATATTGCAGTTAATATTGCCTAAAAACTTCATGAAAATAACTCCTTGCAGAATAATATCAGATTTGAATCCTAATCAGCTGAACAGTTCAGCCAACTGGTCATTTTGGGGGTTATTTTTTCAGGTAACAAATTCCTTTCACACAATGAGCAATGAACATCTAATCTAAATCTGAATAGATCAAAAAAGAAAAAGAAAACAGGAAATTTTATCAGCTCAGGACCAAGGACAACTGAAAAATGGAACCAAAAAAAAATGAGACCATTCTTGTTGGAGAAAGACAAAACTTTTCTGTAGCTAAAGCCTCGCACTTTGACTACAACATTAAAGTACAAGATCATTACAAAACATCAAATCATCTCAAAAAAAAAAAAAAAAGAAAGAAAGATTATAGTACCTTGAATGGGTTGACTCTCCAATTCAGAGAGACCGGATGAACTGCTGCTGCCTTGTGATCCAACAGATTTCTGCGACCACGGCGGCGTCCCATTGCCGTTAACGACAACTGGACCATTAGAATTGTTACTACTATGATTACTTCCAGTTTCTTCGCTGGAATTGTCTTCTAATAAATCAACTTTCTCCCTCCCACCAGACGATCTCAAAATCTTAATCTTATCCATTCTTCTCCGTTTAGCCTCCAAACGCCTCAATGACTGCATCTCCTTCCGTTTCTTCCAATTCTCCGCCTCCGCCTCCGTCGGAAGGGAATACGTCCTGGACAGGGGTGGCGGCGTATAAGCGGCGGCTGCAATTGGCGCCGCCGCTTGTGGAGGCGCGTGGTGGTTGTTGTCTCCGCCGAACAAGGAGAAGGGTTGCACCGAAGACGAACGCGCTAACTTTATCCTATCCTTTTCCGGGTCCACACCGAACCTTCCGTTCAATGAAAGTCCCAAACTTAACTCTAATCCTCCGCCGTCTTCCTCCGCCTCCCGCCTTGTATTGTGAGAACTATATCTGTCACTGAATTTATCAACTAAAAGATCTTTTGTAAACCCATTCAATCGGGCAGATGTTTCCTGATTATCCCTATTTTCTTTCTCCATATAGTTGGCAAACATTATTCTTTTGAATGATTTGGTTTCACTTATATCTGAAGTAGCAGTGGTTGAGTTGAAGTAGCGGTTTTGGAAAAGCCCAATATGAAGAACACAGAGCAAAAACAGCACAAAAGTTTTGTGATTTGGGGATTCTTAAAGAATTGTGAAAGAGGGTTTAAATTTCAGGATTTGAAAACATTGAGGGAATTTCTCAGGCAAGTTGTGAATGAGAGGCGCCATAATCAGAGTAAACAGAGGAAGAAAGAATAAGAAAGTAAGAAGGAAACAGAGAAGAAAAGGGCAAATAAACAAAACTAAAATCCGATGAGTGACGCAATTAAAAAGAGCGTAGAGGAATTTGTTAAGTGCCCCCAATGGCGGATGGCCAGAAGAACCAAAGTTAATTGCAAGCAACCACCTCCAACATTTTCACACCTTAGGTAAATTCCCTTTTTAAACTAAAAAAATTTACATTTTACCATTGTTTTTTTTTTTGTTAGATAAGGTACCAAAAATAATATTGAAGTATTGAACCAAGGCCCAAGGGAGTACATTAGAATCTCCTATTAAAACTAAAATGAATTTTAATTTGTGTTTTATAAATAAAATTGTGAAGTGTCCAACAATAATACTTCGTATTTTTCAAAATTATTGTCCAATTTGAATTTTCACTTGGAGTTTAATTTATATTAAAATAAAAATTTAAATTAGACAATAATTTCAAAATCGAAGAAGTAATAGTCTCTAAATGTAAGAAAGGATTTTGTTTTACCCAAAATATTAGCATAAGAAAACCCATTAATCTAGATTTTCGCACTAAATTAAACATGCAACAAATGCATAAATCAACGTAATTTTTACTCTTAAGCTATTCATGGTGTGTTGAAGATAAAAAAATATTTCAACTTACTATGTAAGGTTGAAAAATTACAAACTTCTATGGGGTAAAATGTGAATAGGTGAAAGTTTTTGAGATATGAATTTGAATGAGGGGACGACACGTGGAGATGACGAAAAGTGTGATGAGATCCCATGTGGGTAAATGTCTAAATGAGACAGCAAAGCTGTGGGTTTGAGGGGAGAGAGAAGAAGAGAAAGAGACGCTAAAACAAGCGTCGCCGTCGGCTAGCACCAAATTTTAATGCTGTCGCTAAACCCCAGGACGAAACGGAGCATAACGGATGTTAGCTTTGGATTGAACACGTGTTCTTAAAGCAGAGGATAACGATAATTTTGGTTTTGCCACGTGTCTAGATATCTCGGCCTCGTTGTGCCGCGACGTCTCAGCTGCAAACTCCGTGCCTTTGTTTTTTCTTTTCTTTTTTTGCCCTCTTTCCTTCCTGTCCTAGGCATGTTCACGGTTCCGGTTTTGACCGAAACCGAACCGAAACCTAGCCTAAGGTTATAGTTTTATAACCGAAACCGTAATTGACGGTTTTAAGAACCATGATGAAAGTTTAGTTATGGTTTTAATGTTTAAGAAATCAGTAATCGGCGGTTTTAGTCGACAGTTCTAACCGGTGGTTTTAATCGTACTAAATCGTTGTTTAATAATAATTTTATAAAAAATTAAAAATTGTAAATATATGTACGTGTTCCACGTATTTCGTGTCTAATTCTGTAAACAATGATGAATTATATTTTTAATGAAAAGAATAAGTTGATCTAAAGATAAGAAATGGTGCCATTGATAATTGTCTAATTTATACTACATTGTAAGTTAACAAGTGTTTCCTAAAAAATCTTTTATACATTTATAATTTAATTTAATTCTTCATGTTCTATAGGATATTTCATTTAAAAAAGTGTCTGAATAATTTGAAATTATAAAAGTCTTCATAAAATTGCATGAAAACTGACACCAAATAAAATTTAAACGAAAATCTAAACTTTTGGTTTCAAAACTCAACATAAAACTCAAATGAAAACCACTCATGTTAGAACCGAAATCAAATCATAACTAAACCGAAATCTGTGGTTCCAAAATAAGAACCGGAACCGCAGTCTCAAGGTTCGGTTTCGGTCTCATTATCGTGGTTCTGGAACCGTAGACATGCCTATCATGTCCTCTTTACCGGTAGGACATCGTGAAATTATAAGCTTTTTTTATTAAAAAAAAATTAAATCGTGAATTATTACGTAAGAAACAATGACATTTATTTTTGGGGCAATTTGAATTATGGATTCAGAAAGTACAGTGATGTATGCCTGTATCATATCGGTTAAATTTTATAATGGTTATATTCCAGTTCGAATATTTATAAATTATATACACCCTTCTATACAATAACCTAAAATAACAATGACATCTTATTCTACTTATATGATATGGTCACATATGATACAGCGAAAACCTCTTGGATCATTTAGCATTCATTGACAAAGATTTATCTTTCGACTAATATAAATCATAGTTGGGTAGTTTCTGAAAGGTAAAATTCTCTGATTTTTTTTTTCTTTTTGAAATACACCAATAAATATTTTAATTATAGGTCCATATCTCAGACGTAGAAAATTCACAGGAACCAAATACCACGCGGTTATATTTTTTAAACCAGTACTGTAGGAAGTTTACAAGAATGAATTAACTTTATATGAAAAATGTGACAATTGACAAATATATATGCCTTTTCTTTTCTTCAATTAAATTAATCTGGATTATTTGAAGGCCTTTCTGGCAGTGACACGGCTGATGTCTGCAAAGTGCATATAGTAAACCTCGTCCCAGACCTATTGATTAAATTAATATTAAACTCTCCGAGGATCATTAGAATCCTCTTCCAATTTGATTGGTCAATTATTAAGAGTATAAAAATGTCTAATCACGTAATATTTGCAGGTAGATATGACTTCTGATCAATCTCTGATTTCTTGACTAATGACCCCTCCATTGGTTGGGCATCTGATTAAGCCTTGTATATTTATGTAATCCTCTCTCTCACCCCAAACGTACGACTATGTCTGTCTGTATATATATATTCATTATTTCTTTTCTCGATTATAGTATGATAATCTTATAACAGTTTAGTTTAGGGTTTAGAGATACTTCCTATGTCCCAAAATTATAGTCCAGTTTGAGATTCCACTTTTAACATAATTTGAATTAAAAATGAAAATCCAAACTCGACAATATTAATTATGAGACGGAGGGAGTAAAAAACATTGGGACAAAACAAATACACTTAGATTATGAACAAAATATACCGCACCAAGTAAGAGGGTTGTAAATGATAGTGAAAGCATACTCTTTTATAAAAAATAAATGAATTAATACAAAATTTGCTTCTTGTATTGTAGTCTCAAATAGTTAGGATTGGCATTTTATTTTTCTGACATGGGTAGGGGAATAAATTTCTTTGAAAGAGAGGGGAAAAAAAAATTAAAGCTCAAGTTAATCAGTTAAAATTGCTGCCTTTTTAGGACAAAAAACAAAAACAAAAACTGGACTAAAAAAATTTACTACTAACACTTTCTTGCGTCTAATTACAAGGCAGGTATTAAAAATACATTTAGTTTGAATAAGTAAATTGGTAAATTTAGTCGTTTGATAATCAGACCTACAAAAAGTGACAGCACGCTAAAAAACTACTAATTAAACAGATTAAAAAGCTAGCCAGATTCACTGGAAGGAATTCGTTCGTTAAATAAAAAAATGAAAGAGCGAATTAAAAAAAGGCTTGAAATCAAATGGGATAATACAATAATATTGATACCATCTCAAAAATTTATTGGACAACCTAACCGCAAAGTGGAGGAATCATCACAAAAAAAAAAAAAAAAACATCATGTGAGAGTGAGACCAATGTGGATCGCAAACTTAAGTTTCAAAATATTGCTGTCAAAAGGTGAGTTGTGTAATATTATGGTATTAAAACCCCTGCAACTTGGTCACACAATTTGCATTACTTTAAACCTCAACATCCCATCATGTTATCCAATTTGCAATAGCAAAGCGTCATTCATTAGTTTAATCAACAATCCTCCCAGATCACACTCAAAATGCATTATAAGGTGAGAAAATCATTTTAATATGAACCTTAATCGAACTGATTTCTTACTAAATCACCTCCTAAATAACTCAGTCATCGCAAACTCTTCAACAGGCGTATATGGTTCTGTGATTATGTAAACATCAATACTCGTTCGAGTATGCTGTCATGACTATTTTTTGTCAGACATTAATTACAAAAACTAAACACGTACTCCCTTCGTCCAATAATTATTGTTCAGTTTGGGTATTTATTTTTAGTTTAAATTGTACTAAAAATAAAATTTTAAACTGGACAATAATTTTAGGACAGAGGTAGTAGTTTTGTTTTTTTTTTAATAAAATGATAGAAAACTTTACAAAAAAAGGCGTAACATAAATAGTTTAATCGGTAATTTAAGGAAGGAAAAAAGTGTCTAATCAAAATTTTCGTAGATGTGAAATATTAAAGCACCAAAAACCTTTATAAAAAGGAAAAAAAAAAACTTTAAAGTGATAGCGTGACACATTATTCCTAAAGAATGTGATGATATATCACGCAAAGTTGGAAAAAGACTTGGAAGATCTCAAAAATCCAACCGGATCAAGCAGATGATAGATTTGGTTTTGACCAAATATACATATATGGTTGAATCTCATGCTTCGTAGTGGCTTCAATTTTGTCATTTAGAAAAAAAAAATAAAAATAAAAATGATGAGTAGTAAAAAAGAAACACCCAAGTGGGGCGTGTGGCCGGTGTGATTGTTTCTCCCTCTCCCCCAACTGGTCCAAAAAAATCTCTAGAAAATAATGCAACTTGTGAGTATACTATATATATAGACTTGTGTGACTAAAGAGAGTAATATTATTAATTAATAATTATTATACCAACTGAAAAACGGAGCCCGCTGGTGGCCCGCAGGCCCGCAAGTTGCAGCAAAATTTTAAAAAAGTGAGGAACTGGTTGGTGTCTGCCACGTATAAAAAGGTTGTCGCCCATTCCACGTGTCTAGTTCTTATGGCAGTTAACCAGCTCAGCTCGGAAAAATGAAACATGTTACATCAACCAACTTGGGGCGGCTGGGCCCGCAGTTTGATCTGATTTGCTTGCTTCTTCCTCCTTAGTAGTCACATCAGGTAGGCAAGTTGGCCACACTTTTGGGCCTGTTCGTGGGTCTGGTCTAGTGTGTGACTGTGTGTTTCTTCCTTGATGATCAATCATAAGTTAATACACCCTTCACAAATGTTGAATTGGGCTGTGGATCATTTTGTGACTGGGGGAAACTGGATCAGCAGCTCTTCTTTTTTTTTTTGGACAATGCTTTGAAGATTAAAACTACAAGAAATTTTGCATAGTATTATTACCTAATTTTGCAGGGATACATAGTTCTTCAATAGACATGTTGTCTTCATCTAAGCTAACACTGCACCAAATTCTTATGCATCGATGCAGTAACCGAGTTGACAACAAAGAGTCATCTTATCAAATTAGGGGGTATTTTAAAACTGTTTAGCTCCAATTCTTTTTGTACTTATATACTTTTATTATAGTACCAATCATGTAGAGTTTGGGTGTTTTTGAATTTTAAATGCTAGTCACCAAAGGAAGAAGAAGAACCACAGTCTTTAACGAATTACTTAAGATTTACTTGATTAGAACTAATTATTGTCATAAAGAGTTATCAGAATAAATAAAAAGATTAGCAGAATGGGAAGAGTTTGAAGAAGTGGTAGGGACATTGTGTTTTTTCCAATATAAATTTAAAATTACTACTTTGGAAATAGAACAACAAAACTCCTCATCATCCTTAATGGGCATTTATTATAATAATAATCACATGTAACTAATTAGTATTTATTAAAATATTAATATTAATTCATTTTTGTTCTTAATTAATTACTTTAACGGATTACTATCAAACTTTTTCCAAACTCACTCTTTATAGTATATGTTAATGAATAATCAAACAAACGTTGGTAAGTTGTATGGTATACTCTTAATATACTAGTGAAGGTGCACCGCACGAGGTGCGGTGTTTGGTGATAATTTAGCCGGAGGAACAACAACAATCTATGTAGGTTACTTCCAAATGACCTTGAAAATTGATGTTGGAATCCTAATTTGTAAACAGTTTCTACAAACGACCTCTAACAATACCAATTGTACATGGTAAAACATTCTCTCTTGTTCAAAAAATATTCAGCACCCAGCAAGTTTTCGGATTTAAAGTGTGGTAAACTAAGTAGCTTTAAAACTCGTTTTTGTAACGTGAATTGCTCTCCAATTGATACTTGGTAGTCACTTCAGTAGAGAAGATCAACGTTGATGGATCTAGTTTTGTTAACAGTGATACTACCATAGAATTCATCTCAAACATGCATATCATCAAACATATTACCAGCATTTGCAAATCCTGCGCACATCAATTCAGTAAAACAAAATAATTGGACCTTATGATTCAACCAAAATCATCACCATCAATTATGACTTCATCTACTAAGAATCTCAGTTCTTCCCCTCCCGTTGTCCACCCCCACACGGATTCCCCTGCCACATTTGAGGATTACCGGAAAAAAAAAATTAAATCAGAAGGAATTGTGATGGGCAAACCTAAAAGAGTGGTTCAACAACCAGAGAAATTGAGGCGCGGGGAAGAAGTTTGGCCTCCATTCACTTGCTTTCACCAAAGGTTTCTTCAATTTTTTTGCTCAACCAACTTGGGACAGGCTTATAATTTGTGAACCCACTGGAAATCAACCTCCCAGTACGGCGGTGTGGAATCAGAAAGAAGAAAGGAAGAGGGGAAGAGGAGAGGAACTCAAAAGACTGTTTACTCTGATGATTACAGCAAATCCATCTGTTCATCTTGGTTTTGAGGAGAGGAACGATGAAACCGGCAACCAGAAGAAATGGAGGGGAGCTAATTAGGGAAAAAGCGACAAAAAATTGGGTAGGTCGAATTGTTCATTGCCACGTCATCGAATTCGGGGGGAAACTGGCAAGAAAATCGGGATTCCCTTTATATTAAGTAGATATTACGAACCAAGTTTTGAATAAAATCATCTACGTAAAATGAAACAAACTAACAAAAATTAAATTTAATAAAATTTTCACTAGTTTAGTTATTACAATAACTTGAAAAATCATTTTGTGTTCAATAATAAGTTAACTGATGTTGAATTATGGTTACAAACTTGATTTTATGTTTTAATTGCTCAATGATTTTACATTTTTATTTCATCCATTAGTATTTGATTTTAAGCAATTGTTTTTTAATATATATTGCCCTTGTGCTTAATCACATAAACAACTTGTCATTATTTGTTATCCCAAAACTGAAGTTTGAAAACTATTTTTGAACTGAATTTAATCTATTTTTGGAAGGGGGGTTATTTTTAAAAATATAAAATAAAATCAGAAGCTGAAAATATTCCCCCTTTTCATTTTTATCACTAGCCAAACGAACCTTAATCAGCTGAAGACAGAGCTCGATTTTCCATTCCCGACGCGATTGCAATGGCAACAGGAGCGAGATCTTTCCTCCAATCCGTGAGGCGTTACATCAAGAAGCCATGGGAGATCACTGGACCATGTGCCTCGCCGGAGTTCCAGGAGGCTCTTCCCAAGGCCACCGATTACCGGGTTCACTGCCCCGCCACCGTACCCACTCAGGCAATTGTTCCTACTGCCAACCCGGAAACGGTTTTCGATATCAAGTACTTCTCTCGCGACCAGCGCCGTAATCGCCCGCCGATTAAGCGGACCATTTTGAAGAAAGCCGACGTTGAGAAAATGATGAAAGAGACCAGCTTCGATGTGAATGATTTCCCCAGACCTTATTTGACTACCACAATCATTGAGGACGATAACGCCATCGGCGGTGGATACCAGAAATAGAGGCAAGCTAAGGTACTCCTTTTTTCCAATGAAATGTTATTTATTGCTCTCAATGTGAGTTAATAGAACTAGAGTTCTGATTGATTTCGATTCGAATTAGGTTTAATTGATCTCTACCACCAGATGTTATCGAATCATGTAATGTGTTGGTCTAAAAGATTTCATTAATTTTTAGATTCTCTTTAGAGTGTTCGCCACAGTTTGAAAAAGATGTCATTTTTGCTCCTACAATTTGGTTATGATACAAATTAATAGAATGATGCTGTGCTGGGAGGTTTGGTTCATTATCAGTGGTTTGCAAGGAGTTGTGGATTATGATAAAGTGCAACTTGCAAAGGCTGTAGGGTAGTTTAATTTGCATTTATTTGATTCCATCCCATGGGTTCCCATGTGTGCAAACACAGCTTGAAATTGCACAACTCAGGCAAAGGCTCTGCTTTCTGATTGGTGTTAAGTTTTAAAATATCTTAGTATCGTTCCAGCTTTTGAGCTGTTCAGGCTCTTTGTGTTATTATCATCGCTATAAAGAATTGGCATTGGCCGTGTACATGTAAGTTGGCATACACTGAAGTATTCTTGTGGAGATGTAAGAATTGAAAGTCATCTTAACTTGGGATAGAAAAGGATACTACCTAGTATTGGTCCTAGATTAAGGGGAAAGGGCCATATTAATTGTTACTTATTTGGTGCAGTTCCAATCTCTTTTACATGGACGCATTTTTGCGTATCAGGTGCGACCATAAGTAGAGGTGTTAATGTGTTATACTCTTTAATTTCTGAATGGCAGGCCTGCGGACATAGGATAACAATTGTGGTGTTCCTGAGTATTGTGCTGTGTAATGTCTTCACATTTTAGAACTTATATCTATCTCGAAGCATGTGACTGTCTTCTTAGGTAGGAAAGGCAGAATTAAGATTGCCAGAGCATTATTATATAGCTGTATGGCAACTAATACTATAATGATCTAATATTTTTACTGTTCAGTTATTGAGTAATGAATAAATTGATGTGGGTGGTTTTAATTTGCATTTAATGGCCAGTAGGAAGTTGTGGATGGTGTTGAATTTTTACTTTACTTTTTTTTTTTTTTGGGGGGTGGTTGCAGAGTTTAGTTTGCAAATTGCAATTACTTGGTCTCATCCTTTGTGGACAAACAGCCCAATGGATACTTTTTCTCCTTTTTATACTGGTCCTGGATAGATGTGATATAGATGGGCCATGTTAACTGGAGCTTATTTCGTTTAATTCCAATCTTGCATTAATCTAGTGAATTGTGATGCGTATAACTTCATAGCTTAGAGAAGCGCCCAATCTTAGATCGGAAAGGTGGTTGTAGAATTAAGTTTAACATAGAATCATGTGGCCGTGCTGATAAAGTATCCCATATCTCAAAAGTCTCCTGTATACTGAAAAAGGATTATTAAAGTCTTCTTTGCATGCATATTCCGTTACTCTACAACGCAGAAGCAGCCAAGCCTTTGTTCCATTACATGGGGTTTAATCAGAATTTTTGATTTTCTTATGTGAACATGACTCAATCTTCATTTAGTTTTTTGTAGTACAATATGTATTGTATTGACTTGCTAGAATTGGGGGCTGTACCTGTGGTTAGATGGGTGTGCTGCTATAGGATGTGTTTCAATTGCAATCCTAACTTTCATTATATAAGTGTGTCGATCAGGGTAGTGTCAAGTGTGAACCAGGGTACACAGCCTGAAAAATTGAGTCCTCTAAAACACTGGTCCCAACGCCACTTTTGTATAGTGTGTCGTAATTATGTAGGCATCCAGTATAATAATGTGATCTATCAGGTTAGCTCACTTTATTTCTGGCTTTAGCGGTTAGAATCCTGGTTTCATTACTTCGTAGTCCCAGCTTGACTTGTAAATGGCTGATGGCTTTGTTACAAGTTACATAGTTCTGCATTTACTTTGGCAAAATTGCAGGCAAAATCCAGAGCACACCTGAGAGTGAACTTATGGATGCAAGGGAATTGTAGATCTGAATAGTGTTGTGATCATTCTTCTGGTTCTAGTTCATTATGGTTTGGGCAGAAATACTGAATGTAACTTATGGTTTTAGTGGATACAATGTTTGGTATTAGTTACAAGCTAAGAATCTACCATTTCTATTTTGATTTTTATGGAGGAGAAAGCATAATTTGTCTGTACGCGAGACAAACAATAAGAGATGAGATTGAGGTGTAACAGACTCTTGCTCTATAGGATGAGAAATGTCAGTATACTAATAAAAAGAATTATGTTTCCATTAATATGTTGAGCTTCTAGGTCACTGTTAGCACTCTGTATCAATCTGTACTAGTTCATTTTAACTTTCATATTTTGCTGTACATAATTTGATATTCTTCTCTTGTGTTATGGTTAGGCATGTGAGCTGTCTTGGGAGTTGGGAGAAAGCATGGTTCCCGATAATTGAGGAAGAAAATGGTTCAATATTTCAATTGTCATCTTGTATAACCGGCAGAAATATCTGATGTATTGTGCCTAAAATTCATTTTATCTTGTTTTAGTTGTTTTGCTCATAAATAAAAAAATGATATATTAACTGAAAAGTTTCAGCAACGTTTGATTGGAAAGTTAGCTCAATTTTTGCTTTGATTATCCCAGTGTATTATAAACAGTTGAGACCATGGATGCTTTATCTTTTCTGTTGTTGTTTGTAGGATGCTTCACCTTTCCCTATTATTAATGATTTGATGCAATGCAAACATTGATGTGAATGGAACAATGGTTTCTTTCAAAACTCTGAACCTATTTTTGATTCAAATGAAACTAAGATAGCTAAAATGTTAACCATTGTTACTTTTTGTTATGTTCATGATGAGAAATAAAACCCATGTAGCTCCTTATCTGTTGAGTTCTTTATCTGAAGTTATGTTGGAAACCGAGGATATTTTGTTGTATTCATCTATGAGAATCATCCCTAGGAATGTTTACTGCTGCCCCTAGTAGATACAAGTTGGTGAATGAATCAAGGTTGTCCTCACCGTCTTCATATATAGCCCAAATCAGTCTTGTTCCTTAGAGCAATTCATTGGACTTTTCTTGATCTAATCAGCAGGAAGAGCCCAAGTGAGAGTTGGAATGATACCTGAAATTTCGAAATACAAAAGGGTTGATTTCATGTCTGACTGCAAATCTAGGTTATAGCTAAATGGCACCCGGCCTTCCGCCAATTTGCAGGTTCAAATCCATTGGTTCCTCTTCTGTATGGAATAAAAACAAAAACTTTCACGAGATTGTGTAAACAGTTAACACTAAACAGCAGGAGGAAGCTACATCACAGAGTCACAGTGTCAATTTCTGAGCTCTTCTTAAGGTCTCTCTTTAACTTGAGGTTTTTCCTTGGATCTTTGCAGTTTTGTCTTAACTTTGGTAGTGATGTATCATCGATGGATGGACCCTCCTGCAGGGAACCTTGTTTGTGTAGAAAGGTTAGTGCTGTTTGGGACATTCAATTTACCATTTATTAAAAATAAAAAAATAAAAAAAACAGAGTTTGTGACAAGTCGCATAAAGGTTGCTCTGCTGTGAGCACACACAGTATCATATCATGCACTTTCTTTTTTCATAGGCTGCTGTTTTAACGGCTTTGGTTTCACGCATGCCTACGTTGGCTTCATGATTTGGGTTCATTTTCTTACCATATATGGCAACTAGGTCATGGCTGATTCACCTGATGTTTGGTTTCAATTTGAAGCAAGTCTTCTGTAGCCCAATTGAGAGCTTTTTTTTTTTTTTTTTTCCCATTTCTTCTACTGTAGCCATTTTGTTAAAGAAGAAGGGGAAAAGAAAACAGAGGGCCAGATGTTTTTGTTACGTTCTTGAAGAAGGGACCCCCCCTTTTTCGGAATGAATCTCTGGCCAGTTTCACTGTCCTTATCACCATCGTTATTGCTTTGCATATCCATCATTGTTGTTAGAGACAATTGGAAAAAAGAAAAAGAAGGAAGACACAGAAGAAGCAAAGTTCTGTACCCAATGGGTTCTGAAATAGTTTGCTTATCTTGTTGTTGAACTCCTTCGTTCATCACAGTGGTTAAAAGAAATTTAGCAGGAACAATGAATTTACTGTAAATTTCTCTTTTCATCGGCATTGATTTAGGCTTTTACGTCTGCCAAAAGAAAAGGGAGACAAGAACATAACACCAAAAAGAGAAGAAGAAAGTTTTAAGGGGAGAAAAAAAAATAAGAAATCAGAGCGTGATATGAAGGAAGGAGAGTAGTGAATGGCAACAGTTTGATCATAGGAGGGGAAAAAAAAAGGCTGGCACTGGAAGAGGACTTGGACTCTCTCATAACATCATATTATCCCTTTTACCCTATTAAAGCAGAAAACAGGATGCTGATGTGCTAATTTCTTATTAAAAGGTTTTGGTTCCAAATGCATCATATTGCATAAAACATTTTGCCACGTGTCACCTTCTTTTAAAAACAAAAAATATATTTACAATATTAACGAAGAGATCAGATGATCATGTTCATTCAACTTTTGAATTTGACAGTGAATGGAACTTTCTTTCTCCACTTATTTAGGACTTTCTAAAAAATTAATTTTCGATCAATCAATTATCTTCATCAAAAACTAAATTCATTCCTAATCAGTTTTCATTATTTACATATTAATTTATTAGGTAGGAGGACGCTCCGGGCATTTGCCCGGGACAAGCATCTAGTATTACATTAAAGTCAGACCTTGTGTCTCTGTATTTTACGGTCATTATAATCAAGCACTGTTCTTAAATCCTCCTGCGCGCCTTTTTTTATCTGCGGGAAAATGAAGAAGAAGAAGAACACAGTGAACTGAAAGGGAAGAACATAATGGATTTTGTACCGTTTTACATACACGCAGGTTTCCTTTGGGCATTATTAATTACCCATATAACCATATTCCAATAGTTTGATTTGTACCAATTTTTTTATTTTTATTTCTCTCAATGTCACGAAATTATTGTCTGGCTAAACAATGATAATATAAATTGGACAATAATTCCTGGACGGAGGGAGTATATTGTATGTTCGTGATCAGATGAGACAGAGGGAACAATTGAGATAAAAAAAGAAAAAAAGAAAAAAAGAGAAGCTACTAACAAAAAGGCAGGATCCATACTACCACTGCACCAAACGCCCCACTAAAATTATTAAATCAAATGGATTCATTTGTAGAAAAAGGATACGTTACAGATCTAAAATATTGTTTCCACTTTGACTGGCTTGACATTTGATTTTCTTAAAAGCTTGTTTCCGATTTGACTAGATCTGATATTTGATCTTTTCATTTCCACAATAGAAGCGTATTTTGGAGGTTGGGACATTAGAATTCTCAACTTCAAAGTCTTCGGTCTAATTTAATCATTTGTTATTCATCACACGATAGAAAAATAAATAAATAAATAAAGGTTACAAGTATTCTGTTTGAAAGATTAAACGATTTAATATTTTTATTTTAGCATTTAATATTCAGAATTAAACAGTAACTTTCAATACTTCCGTTTTAAAATTATTGTCCAATCTAAATTTCCAGTTTCAATGCAAAATGAACAGAAATGAAAATTCAAACTGGATAATAATTTTGAAACAGAAGGAGTATTAAACAAAATCTGGAACTGTGGCTTTTGGTCCGTAATTCAGAAAAATGAATGGTTTCGTCCTTGATGGGCAACAATCCTCCGCTTGGAAGATCAATCCGGCGGATGCAATGTCCCTTTCAGGCTCGTTATTGCAAAGCCTATACTCATCATTACCGGAGACAACTCGAAGAAATGCATGCGTGGGGATCAAAACTCAAAAGCATTCAACCATCCTAGCTATCGAACTTTACAAGAGACTACGATATCTCAGAGGTGTCAATCGGTTCGCAGTTTGTATTACAAGTCCAAGGTTGAGATCAAGAGAGGCTTTTTTTTTTTATAGACGGAAGGAGTACTCATGGAATTTGAGAACTCTTAGCTAGGGTTACGGCCATTGAAGAGACGAAGCTTTAGGAGAAAGATTTGGGAATTTAATCTTTTGTATTAATTGCGTAAAAATGATTGAATTGTAATGTCGGTACAAAGACAGTATTAATACACCAAATCTAGTGTGGCCAATCAGAATATACAACGCCACATCAGCATATATACAATTGAATCCTATCATTTATATTCCTGTACAATTGAGTCCTATTAATTTGTAATATGTTCACTTCAGTCCTTGTGATCAACAACTGCTGGAACGTTTCCTTCATGTTCTTCGTCCTGCACAATATGCATTTTGTCTCTTAATTCATAGAGAGTTTGTAATAATATAGGTACGCAATGTTCTCTCTTAACGGGTTACTCCTACAGAAGTAATTAATAAGAACTCCTGCAGAAGTTATCTAAATTTCACCCTCGCATTTCTGTTATTGCCTATGCTGGCAAGGATTACACTTAAACAAATGTAATTCTTAGATTCTTTTTTTTTCCGAAATTATATGCATATATGAAATTAATAAAGAGGTAACACTTAATAACACGTGATATTATATGAAACGGTTCACGATTACATGCATGATTTTCTAACCATGGTTTAAAAGTAAAATAATGTTAGGAGGCATTTTCGTCGTCCTCCTGATCCTGGCATTTGTGAGCGATGCTGTAATTCCCCATGCACGAAAGTAGGACTGTCCGAAATAAAGAGATGTTTGACTTTAATAATTTTAGCAAATTCAAAGTTCAAACATATGATATGGAGGAAGTCAAAATGGTTACCTAACATACATATGGTTGATTAATTATATTTAGTTTAGTTGTCAATTTTTTCAAATAAATACTTATGTGGCTAAACGAAGAACCGCCACTAAGACCAACCCCGATTAACTTGTATCCAGTACTGTCACGTCGCAATCAGAAGTCGTGATTTTTGACTTTCTTCCTCAGATCGATTAAAGACGGGAGTTTCCAACTGACAAAATGGTTTGATTAACTTGATTTCTTGACTTTGCTAATTCATCTTTTTCTTTTCTTTCTTTCTTTCCCCTTTATACATGTAAAGATTAAACCCACATAAATCCATGAATCGTTTACATGACTAACATCGATTCGTTTTTTGGCAAAGATTTTGATACAATTATTTGGGAAATATTACCAGTTTAATGAAATAAGATATGGTGTCTAAAACCTGCGCTGTATATGATTACTACTTACCTGATCTCTCCTCTTAAAGAAGATATGTAGTTCTAATACTTGTCAATTTCAATCTTCACCGGTCAATGTATCGGATTTCCGTCTGAAAAGAATATATGTAATCGAATATACTTCATTCAGTCTTATTTACTCCATCCGTCCCATAATTATTGTCCAGTTTGTCAAAAAATTTTGTCTCAAAATTATTGTATTTGACTTTTTATGGATTAAGTTACACATATACCTTGAGAAGTTATTCCGGTTTGGGAACTAGGTCTGAATTTATCCCGTTTCTCAGATCAGACGGAAGAAGCAACGGCAAACCAGAGAAAACACACACATTAGCATTTGCAGCTGTTTCGATTTGAAGAGGAGAGGTTTTGTAGACATGAATAGTAGAAGGATCCACGTAATTACAAGAATTATGATTATTATAACTGTTGTTGGCGGTGGTGGCTGTCACTAAACCGGTGGTGGAAGTGGCGGAGGTGGTGGTGGTGGTGGAATAGTTGGGCACTACGTCGAGGATTGTGCCATCACCAATGGCTCTAAAATCAACATCCGGTGTTGTCGTTAGTGTTGGAGTACGATGGAGAAAACGGCCGTGGCCGACGGACAGCGACGGGGGCAGATCTAAATCGAAAGCAGTAGTGAATCTTTTCTTCACCATTAGCGTTGGAGTACGACGGAGAAAACGGGCGCCGGACGACGAGGGGAGCTGATCTAAATCAGAAGCAGTAGCGGATCCTTTCCTCACCATCAGCATTGGAGTACGACGGAGGAAACGGACGTGGCCGCTGGACGGGGACGGGAGCTGATTTAAAGATTAAACCAAGTATACAGGGGTATATTTAGAAGATTTACTAAAAATATGGTTAAGTTTGATAAAAATAAAATTTTGGATCTTAGTAAAATTGGACAATAATTATGGAACGGAGGGAGTATACAATATGAATGTTTCAACTTAACACCTCCGATATATCTTGATGAAGTTAGGTTTTTATCACTTGCTATCCGCATTGTATATGTTACCACAATAATAAGATAAGATAACACTTTTTAGGATTCATCTAATATCAAATCAGCTAATTATATATGGTTCCCAAAGCTATAGTATAGATGAGTCCTGGGCGGTCTTAAATTTTGATTTGAAAAGACTGAAATGATAAGGGGGGAAGGAGTACGGATACGCAAAATAAATAATGCTGCCCAATCCAAGCCCACAAATTGACAAAAAAAAAACACTTGTATGGCTGCTAAATACCAGATAAAAAAGCATATGATAAATATGGACTTTTTTTTCTTTTTGGTTGGCGGCCGGATTATATATGGTCTGAAATCTGAATGAACCAGGGACGACGTCCGTTGGTCATTTTGCCGGCGCCGGCCATCAAAGCCCACGTCATCAATTCTCATCACATGAAAATTTATATGTATATATTTTTTAGTTTATATTTATACATATATAAGAACAGGCAATTGATTGATTGTGCAGATATTACATCAGAAGGGAGGATAGTACATTTGTTTTCTTCTGGGGGGTTCTGGCCTTTGTTTTGAGGGGACCATTGATTTTGTGCAATAATGTTTCTCCCTGCAAACAAAAACCAAAAAACACAGGGTTTGTATTGATTTTGTGTGTTTTTATGTATTGAAAATGTTAAAAAATATATTAAAAATGTAAAAAGATATGCTGGGATGGGACAACTATTAATATATTAATCTGAAAATACTGTCAAGAAAAAGAAACAAACAAAGCCTCAGGATCTCCAATCCCCATGGGATTACTGACTCACTTACTACCCATCAAAATCTCACTGCCCTTCTCTTTACTCCTCCATTTTTTTCTCTTCTTCTTCCCTTCTGCTCTGTCCTTTCTTCCTCGAGATCCCCCACACTACGTATTGCTGCTCTCTCAGTGAAGGTTTCTTCCATGGGATCAGTATCTTTTAGGACCACCACTTGTATGTGAACTTAAATGGATTACGATTCCACGACCTATGAATGTAACCTAATTTTTTTTTTTTAAATGCATGATCATTTAACAACATGGATTATTCGTTTTATGAGACATTGCGAATTTATTAAAACACATTAACGAAAGCTTTTATATAGTATACATGGAGCTGTTTTTCTTTGTCGAACAAAACACATATACTAAAGCTCTGTTTGGTTTGTTTTCAGTACGTCTTTTCAGAATCAAATATTAAAAACTGTCCCATTCAATTATATTCTTTTTTTTTTATATATATTTCTAATATGTCTTTTATACATTCCAATAGAAAAAAAAAAACCTAAAAACACACCGAATAAACGATCCAAACATACCTACCTTAAAATGATTTTGTTCATTTCACTATTTGTGTAGCGCGCAATGTTGTTTTAAGTGTGTAGGTCTAGCATTTATACATGAATGGTAGATGTATAGAGTTTACTCATCTCAATTTAATAGTCCTAATTAACAACCGTCATAAAATTGATCATTATTGAGGAAGAAGTATATATTCGCTCTGCCATTTTGAAATAAAACATTTTCGTTTAAATATTCAACTAAAATAATAGTACACAAAACAAGAGTCTTTACACTTTTTTAGAGGGAAAGTGAGCCAATTTGCTATCAATTTGTAGCAGCCTTCGTGTCGACCATGCAATATTCTTGTAGCGGCTAGAATTTTCATAATGTGGAAAAATGCTAGCTTGCCTGCCTTCTTCTTGCATGGACGTCGTAAATTAAATTAAATGGCTTTTTTTTTTATAGAAATGAAAAAAAAAGGGAGTAGTATTTGACATTCCAACTCGAAATCACTCAATGCAGAAACAAAAGGGAAGAGGAAGAAGAGATAAGTGGTCCAAATTAGCTTTTTCTTTCCTTTCTCTACTAAGTAGGCGATTTAAAGGAGAGAAGACGTGCTCCAATTTTGGTCCCTCCTCCACACACACACACACACAGTCACGCACTGATATTTGTTGAACTACTACTAATAAGCAATTAAACCACCCCCAAGAAAAAAAAACACTTCTCTAAGAAGCCTACTCTCTCTTTTTTTTCTTATTGTACTCATTCATAGATACACATCAACATGACAGTACTGCTTTCACCACATTACATCGAAGATGACACAACATATTAGCTTCTTTCTTTTCTCTAGGCAAACTAACTTTCCTTATTAAGCCCTCCTTTTATTTCTTTTTGTCTCCTACCTTACCCTAATTTCTAATCATTTCTCATCCAATATTTGCTAGTGAAAATGAAAAATGCATGACTTAATGAGATTTTTTTAAAATTTTTTTATTTTATCGCGCACCGTTTATTATGATGTTATAAGCGGTCTTAACAATATTTGATGCCCTATATTATATGTATAAGACTCCGTTTGTACATAAAAATTGAAGTTGAAAATCTCATACGTACCAACAAAGATCAAAGAGTGCATGTAGTATAGACAAATTAATGGCCTCACTAGTATTTTAGGATATATGATCAATGGTCAATTGAAGTTGCAATAAATAGAATTTAAGAGACCATTATTATGACATTGAATATGAGGATGAATTACTTACTGCTACTCGGGCTTTTTTTCGGGACGTTGAAGTTGGAACATTAGTAGTTATCAAGAAAGCATTTAGACCAAACTTTCTTCCTTCTTTTTTTTTCTTTCTGGAATTCCGGTTGATGGTCCCTAAGGTTGGAAATTTTGGGCCCTTTTCTTACTTAGAAGCAAACTTAAAACTAAACTTGTCACTGTTAAACCACAACTAGCTATAGCACTTAGTACAACGAAGATCACAATGGATGAGTAATAAGGTCGCAATTTTATGATTGGAATAACCATGACATTTATCTCAAATCTCAATCCAACAAAACGTGCTTCAATTTATAATAATATTCTAAATTGACTTGAAAATGATCTTATGATGATATAAGGCGGTATTAAGTCGTTAGATGCGACTACATTACACGTGGAATAAGACACCCCTACATATATCATAATGGATCTAAGAAATCATTTCACTCATAAGATTCATAAGGCAGCCAATATATAGTCCAACATACCCTCCTTCATATTGTAGTTAGCAATTGGTCATTTTCCTAGTTATTAGAAGGACGTACCGGAGAACGCACATGAGTAATTTACTAAAAGTTAAACTAGGCAATTGCCCTAAAAATCATCCCTAATACTGAATGATGAACAGATAGCCATAATTCAGAAATATTGCATCAATGAAGTTATTTTGTTAGTATCTCTAAGACAAAGTTATAATGCACTCTCTATTTAGCGAGAGTACGAAGAGATCGACTTTTATATTACGCAACCTTACTCTTGTAATTTCACGAATAATGAATATATTTGTCATTTTATCTCATTTCATGAGAGATAATGAACAATGATAGTTCCAAAGCTTTGAAAGCTCCCAAAGCGCAGGCGTGAAGAGAAAAAAAAAAAAAAAAACTTTGATAAGGATATTGACTTCCACACTCACAATTTCTATTATCTTTGTCAGATGCCAACTGCAAACGTGGCAGCCTATCTGCCATTGCTTTGCTTCCCTTTGGTTTTTCTTTGTTTCCCCATTGAAGAAAGAAGGCCCGATGCATGGTCGGTTCAACTCCGGCATCTTCTCTCCACAATCACACAAATAAACTCAATAACTTCACACACACACACACACACACACACACACATTTCATTTAAGTATATTCTCTTCCTCTCCTGCAAACAATGAAACTCATCATCATCAGTTTCCTCTCTGCTGTTAACTAAAGTACTTCAAACTTTGTTAGTTATAAACCCACTGAAATATTCCGACGACAAACACCACTTTGTTCTCATCTTCCTGCTCATCTATTAACCAAACCAAAAACTCCATTCTCTATCATCCAGGTAATTTCTCATTCCTTCTGTAAAGAGAGTAATTTGGCTACTAACAGAACTCTTATTTTGAGACGAAAGAGTTTTTTTTTTTTTTTTTTCTTTTCTGTATCAATTTCTTATATCGATATTAGAACTTAGAAACATGGCCTTTATCTTATTAGGGCTCATTTAAAAGCTCGCATCTAGGGAGATCTGATAAACAACAAGATATAGAGTTTTGTATAACATGTCATTTTTGGGAATTTGCAATTTTTGCAGGGAAGTTTAAAGAGAAGATTATATAATACACAAGAGTGGTGGGTTCATGAGGTTTTAAGAAGCCCCCATCAACTATGAGAAACAACAGAAGATGACAACAAGAGAAACAACAGATGAAGAATTTGAGGCAAAACAGGAAGAAAACAACAACAACAACAACAACAACAGCAACAAGTTAAGTGATGAGATTATTATCAAGGCTTCAAATAAGTCTAGGGCTTCATCAAGTACTGCAACTACTACTTCAGCTGCTGCAGCTGCTTCAGCATCGTCATGGTCAAGGTTGAAAGATCCAAGAATTGTAAGGGTTTCAAGGGCATTTGGAGGCAAAGATAGGCACAGCAAAGTTTGCACGGTAAGAGGGCTAAGAGACAGGAGAGTTAGGCTTTCTGTTCCAACTGCAATACAGCTTTATGATCTTCAAGACAGGTTGAATCTTAATCAGCCCAGTAAAGTTGTTGATTGGTTGCTTAATGCTGCTAAGGATGAAATAGATGAGCTTCCTCCTCTCCCAAATATTCCTGCTCCAGCCAGCTGTTTTGACCATAATCTCCATCCAATTTTGACTTCCTCAAACAAAGAAGGATCACTCAGAATTGGTTCTAGTCTCAATTGGGATGATAGTACTAATAACACTCTTCCTACTGATCATCAGCATACCCTTTTCAGGCCTAAATCATCCAAGGAAATTGCAAGAGATGATGATGATGATGAAGAAGAAGAAAGGAAACAAGCCCAACAACAACATCAACAACAAAGCCAAAGTCATGAGTTTGAAAGTCAAAGTAGTGCTAGTGCATATTTTTCATCCAACAATTTTTTCTCTAGACTTGACCAGTCTTCAGCTTCACCAGGCTTAGGATTTCTGAATGGCACAACTGCATTGCCATCATACAGCTCTTTGGTCAGATGGGATCCTTCCAATTTATCTCTATCTCAATCAGGAGGATCATCAAGCTCAGGATTGAATACAGTACCCCAACAACATCAAGAAGATTTCCATAATTTCGGCGTCTTGCCATTACAATCATCCACATTGATGACACCATCTGGACCTCATCCTCAGCAGGTTCTTGTGTATCATCATCATCAACCTGGTTCAGCAACAGCAACACAGCCTTACTTCCCTTCCGGCCATGTCGCGGAGTATGTCGGCGGAATTAGACCATTTCACTTACTAGGCACAACTGCAAAGCTCCTACCTTCACAGAGTGATCATCATCATCATCAAGAGAAACAAAATGAAGATGACAATTTCCATTCAAGGTAATTAATGTTGTTGACAGAAAATAGTATAATATTACCAAGTGTACGTGATCATGAATGTGGAATGGTGATTATGATTTTGAAATGGCAGTTGTAACAGCTATAGTAGCTAGGTAGCTGGTACAATTCAAAGACAGATCAATGTCAGCTCTTAAGATATAGTAGTATAAAAGTTTTTGTCATCAATTAATGCTGAGACTTCACAGTCAATAGAGTGTGTTAGGCAAATTTTTCTCATTGAAGATTGAGCTAGCTGATTTAGCTGTGCAATGAAGGACTCTTCAAAGAGTCTGATTAAATATTACATATTTTGATTAATTTACTTAAAACTAGTGTGACAACATGTTTAATGTATACTATATATGTTGCTTTGATACTTTTTTTGATAATTAGTTGCCAAGGAAGGATCTCTTGATCTCCTGTATATAGTTTTGAAGAATGATTGTAAGGATGCATGTTAGACTTTTACATTCTAATCTCCATTCGGGTCGGATGACTATGACTATGTGTTGTTTCCAACATTTTCGCCATTAGGACGCTTGCGAATTCCATTCATAAACACCACTTCAAAAAAATAGTACAAATTGAGTTTTGAGATTTGTAGGACTATTTTTTTTGGGACGATGGGAATAATATGTTAGTTTGAATATGATATTCGAGGTGGGCTAGATAGATTGGGACAAAATCGAGTTCAGAAGGGGGAATGAGACAGTTAAGCGACTTCTATATATCTACTACAATCATGCATGCATGCATGACATATACATGGTGGCATGCATGCATGTGGTTATTTCTGAGCAGTAATGTGTACTGTGTAGTTAAAATCTTTCATCTACTATATCTTAGCACGAGATCCAACAAAACATATGTTAGAAGGGGAAGGAGAAGGACCAGTTTTTTTGGCAAAGGGGGCCGCCCGCCCTCCTTTAAAAGTGAGGCATAAGAAAAAGCAAAAGATGAATGTAGATGTGGTCCTTTTGAACTCAAGAACATTAAATTAGTAGTATATGGGAGAAAAGGAAGAAGAAAAGAAGCTATGGTGGTGGGAATGGATGATGATATATGGTACTTACTAGTACAAGATTTGGATGTAAACTTAGGGTTTGGGAAAATCTCTCTTCTCTCTGCATTTTTCTCTGTCTTTTTTTTTTTTTTTCTTCTGAGATAGTATAATAGCTAGATTGGTAGCAAGCATTGTGTAGCTCCTGCTCTAAAAGAATAAAAAAGATAAATAAAGGGACCACTTTTTTGTAATGCTAATTAAGTAAAGTTTCTCTTTTGCAGTCGTCTCTCTTTAATTTGTGCTCCTCTATGTAATTGTTAGAGTAGCATAGCAAAGCTAACTACTTCTAGGGTTTGGTTGTTTTTTCCTTATAGGGATAATGTGTAATGTCCCGTGACTTTAAGGATAAATCATGACTCTATAAGTTTTAAATTTATAAAAAAAATACTCGTTTCCTCCTATTTTAAACGTCCATATTGCATTCTTCAAATATAGTAAACTAGACTATAAGACTAAACAATAGGTTGTGCCTGAATAACATATCTTTGATTATTGATTCTAATCTACTAACTGCTTTTACTAACAGAGCAGCTTCTACTCCTTAAAGCATTATTGCTGTTGATCGGACATTCATTCACAATTGCATTATTTGAATGGAATGGCAACAGTCCCAATCCCTGCGCAGGCGAATCTATAAGACAACATTATTATACTCCATCTGTCGCAAAAGTATTGTCCACTTTAAATTTTTATAAACTAAATAATAATTTTAGGACAAAGAAAATAATCATTATTGTAAAAGTACGGATTTTGGGACCTCATCACATCGCTAGCTAGCTAGCAGCGGTATTTTCAAGTGTCAACGGAGCTAGCCACCTCTAAATGAGTTTACCATGCAATAATTACCTCTGAAGTCTTATACTAGCTCTTCGTCCAAAACTCTAAATTAATGTTAGTGATGTAATACGGGAATTTGGCGAACGAAACTTGCCCAAAAAATTAATTGTTTTGAGTTTGTGGGAACGCGAGGGTTAGAATCGAAGGAGATATAGTACGTTGCTTCGATATATTATCGAAAGCTTTGAATATTAATAACCAAAATCATGGTAGATTTCGGCCCTTGTAATATACTATCGAAACAACCAAATCATATAATGTCCTTGAACTTATGCATCCCTTTTTGGCATCAAACTGTATCTAAATTCTCTTGCGATAAACTTATTTCACTAATAATAATAATAATAATAATAATAATAATAATAATAATAATAATAATAATAATAAAAGTGGCATATGTAAGCTCGTTTAATTTGTACAGAACAAGTGCACTGAATCAAACTGGTTAGTCATTTGATTGTAGCAGAAGGGAGACCTAATTAATGTTGGGGTTAATTTCACACCCACTCTTGTTATGCCAATGCCAATCCGAAATTTGCAATGGCTAGGTACACAAAATAATAGTGATGCTTCTAAAAACTATAAATTAAAGAGTGCGACATTATTTGTGGGGAGGAAAGAAATTTATTTTTATGATTAACTTGAAATTAAAAATATATCGAGAATTTTGAAAGCAGTAAAGAAAAACAGAAAGAAAGAAAAGAAAAAAAGAGCAAAGAGTAAAGAAAAACGGAAGAAATGCAAAAAAGTTTTATTCAACTTGTGGATTGACAAAAAGGATTCTGGATCTGAATAGAGATTAGTAAAGGCCGAAATTAACCACGACGGCCCAAGCCCAAAATGATGGGCAAGGTATGAAAAAGTTAAAAGCTCCCGGCGAGGATCGAACTCGCGACCTTTCGCTTACGAAGCGAACGCACTACCACTATGCTACGGAAGCTGGTGTTGTGCTTACAGTTTATTAAAATGTATTTATCAGATAGGATATTATTTACAGCTTCATGGAAATAAATGATAGATTACACTTCCTTGCAAAGAGCGGAAAAAAACCCGTTAAAAAAAAATGAATTTTTACGGTCTCAAAATGTCATTAAATAAATGAATTTTGAATTCATGGTAATTAGTTTGGTTCATGCAAAGTGTTGGAATACAAGCATTTAGTTTGGTTTATTCACAAATGGCATATAGTCCACCAAAATGCTTATTTTTGAGGTTTAAATAAAGATCCCCAAAATCAAAATTTTCTTCTTGGTAACATTCAATTCCAGTAACGAGTTAAAATTTTAGGCTAAATTGAAGCCACAAAAATTATGGATGAAGAAAATAAAACTTTTGCATGCTAAGAAGATTTTTTTTCTCTTAGTAGCATATACTTTTACGTTCTAAAATGAATAATTTTTTTTTACTTTCAGTACAAACTGCATTGAAAATAAAAATTCAAAATGAATACCATTTTTAACAGTGCAAATGCAAGTAAAAACTTGCAAGAAGTAAAGTTAAAATCATGGGTCAAATATTTTTCAAATTCAACGAAACAATAAGGTCAAAGGACACGTGTCACGTGTTTATCGGCCGTGTCCGCTTCCGGGCACCAATTTCTTCTTTCTAATTTACCCACTCGGATCCCACAAATAGCAATCAAACTCGATCGCCGCTTTCCGTCTCTCTCCGCCGCTCCGCCACCGAATCTGCTCAACTCAAACAGTCGGAAAAATTCAAAAAGAAGTTTGTAGTTCACCATAAACCCTAATTAAGATTCTCCGGGCAACTAATTTCTTCAGTCTCCTATTTTGAAGTATAATTTCGCTACTCTGCTGAACTCAGCTAGCTAGCTAACTTCAGTTTCCGCCTGCAAAAGTCAAACCATAGAATTATCCGGTAAGTGCAGTCCGTTCCACTGTTTTTTCTTAGATTATTTCTACTATTTTGGAAGTTTGAAGTTTGATTTTTGCTCCCGTAACACCCATTTCAAGATTCAGCACTATAGGTTAGGGTTTCTGCGCTGGAAAAAAATTATCTGACTTTAGCTTGTATTATTATGGAAATAAATGTAGTAGTTACCGGAATTATAGTTCGAGGTTGGCACTGATATGAAGTGGTGGTGGGGTTGTGGTGGTGTTGGTATCGAACATGAGCGATGGAGGTGGAGGTACCATAAAGGAAGCTGAGATTAATAGTAACTCGACTAACTATCGCCACTCTAAGAAAAAGAGATCTCGGAATGTTGATATTACCCATTCCGTTGCTCGAGTTGCGGTAGCTCAGTTATTGGATGATGCCGGTTTCCAGAGCTTCCAACTGTCGGCCCTGGATGCCCTGGCTGATGTGGCGGTACGCTACATTTGTGACATTGGGAAAACTGCAAACTTGTATGCAAATTTAGCTGGTAGGAGTCAGTGCAATTTGTTTGATGTAATTCAGGGGCTAGAGGATCTGGGATCAGTGCAGGGGTTTCCAGGTGCGTCTGATGTTCATCGTTGGCTTTCAAGTTCGGGTGTAGTGAGGGAGGTGGGACGGTATATTGGAGAGTCTGAGGAGATCCCGTTTGCATATTCTATTCCTGGATTTCCAGTTGTCAAGGCAAGGGAGCCACGACAGAGCTTCGCTCAGACTGGAATGACACCACCTTCAGAGCATATACCTTCGTGGCTGCCTGTATTTCCAGACCCCAAGACTTACGTGAATTTACATTCGGGGCAGGAGAAGGCTCTCCAGAATGGGGAGGGTGAAAATGAGCAGGTCGAGAAGGACAAGGATGGCAGTAAGGGTTCAGTAAATTCGCTGCAGAAAATTACTAATGGATCCGACCCGTCTGTTGCTGTTAACCTAGGGGATGCTAGAGGAAAACGCTCAGTGGGGTGTAATCCATTTCTGGCACCGCCTGTTCAAGCTGGGGAGAAGGAGGTTTCTCCAGTTGTCATCCCAGCCAAACTTTTGGATGGCTCCTTCATGCAGGGTAATGATCACGGGGTTTTGGATAATCATATCTCAGTTTTAGATACATTTGCACCTGCAATCGAGGGGCTCAATAATGGGTCGAAAATTGATCCAGATGATGGAAGGAAGGATGTGCCTTTCCACAGGAGTTCTACAGTAAAATTCAAAATTTTTGGTGTCAGAAAATCCTCCCTTAGGAGTTTAAGCGTGCCGAAGCAGGAGGTTGCGACAAGTGCATCTTGGTTAGGTGATGCTGACACTGAAGATGATACGAAAAAGAGGGCGGAGCAGATCCTAAAACAGTCATTCGAGTCTGATGGAGCTGACACTGTTGTAAATTAGACGTGTTCTGATTAGAACATGTACACGTAGCATGTTGTACGCAGATGTTAGTTTCACGATAGTCAGTTAGGATTGTTTGTAAGTGGGCTTGCTAGAGCATCCCAGCATAACAAGTTATTGAGGTACATGCTACCCTTTTTCCTCGTGATCTTTTATTTATTACTCTTTCTAGAATGTTTAATCTTGTTCGTTGCTATCTTTCTTCACAGCTTTTCAGCATTTATCCAACAGATTTGCTACTTGTTCATGTTTTCCTTCATTTATGACATATTAACCGAAAATGTTTTTGCTTAAATTGTTTTAATGTTGGTTTGAGTGTTAGTATGTGGAGGAATCATTCGTGAAAGTACTGTCCATTCTTGTTTCCATAAAACTGATTTATGATTCATTTATGACATGATATCTGGAAAGGTTCTTGCTTAATAGTTTGAACTATGGTTTGAGCATTACTAAGTTGAGGAATCATTCCTCAAAATACTGTCCAAACGAGAGTTCATAAAACTGATTTCTGGCCACAATCTTTTTCAAGATTAGTTCCAAATTTATAGCACAGTATGTTCAATATGGAAAGTCGAAAATATTGGCAGAAGAGTTTACATTATTGCTTTCTAAATAAGTGTTATGAGATATGGACGACCATGAAATTTTCGGGTCCTTCTCTTGTGCTTTTCCGTGCTTTCAACTGAACTTGTTCCTGAAATTGGCTTTTAAGTGATAATCAGTAGCAATTACTAGCTTATCTTGACAGCAGAAAGTGTTCTTCCAAACTTGCATTTTCAAGGGATCTTAAGTTGGGACTCGTATTGTAGCAACTTTTGGAATGTACAGTGTCATTTACAACGACTGTGCTAATTAGAGGTCATAATTACTGATTCCTGTCACCTTCTCAGATGCACAATGGATAATCTCAAGGAATCGGGTGAACTAGCATTTTCATCATTTTTTATTCCTCCTGGACATGTAATTGCTTGAACTAGTTTTATGCAGAGACGTTGGTCACTCGTGAAGCAATACAACCACCCTAGAGGGATTCAATTCTTGGAAAGACCCTGTTATATTTCATGTGCAATGGATTTTATTGACAGAGGAGATCTATTATTTACAATCGGGTTACTTGGTAGCTATGCTCTATATTACAATGCCTTCTTAACTGAAACAGAAGCTACATCTACTGGTATCTATTCTTACATACAGGGAAGAAAGAAATGTCAATAAAAGAAAATAAATGTAAGTAGTGTTTACTAATTACATTTCTGTTGCATTCTCGACCAATCAGATAAGCTGAAGGCTTCGGCAGTAATAACCTCGGTGACTAGGTCCTTGAAGATTAGTCGCTCAATGTCCAATACCACTGCAGGGATTTCACTCTGGTTATTTATCCACTCCTCGGGTTGCTGCATCATATCTTTATTTAGGATACTTATGGATTCATCAACATCATCCAGGGTGGATTCGGATGTTGTTTGGAGGCAATCCACTTCTGAGCAGAGCTCCCTCAAAAGCTCTTGCCCAGTTTTTATTCTCTTTCTTGGTGAGAGGTGAACATGTGAAGCTAATTTGCGGATGAGGATTTCATTAATAGTATCAAATACTATCTTCCTGTGAGCTTTCTGGTCAAACTTCAAGGAAGCATTTCCTTGTTTCTGGTCTGTAATAGCTGATTTGCTGCTTTGCTCAGTTTGTTCCAGGACATGGAATAGATCCGGATTAATCAAATTGCCTGGTGACTGAAGTTGAATAGCTGTTGAGATGGGGCCAATGTCTTTAAGAAGACCTGATGCTAGAAGTACCTTGGTAATGTATCTATGATCAGGGGTAGGATTCTGGCTAATTGAAGCTACTTGATACATGCTCGCTTCATCAGGTATGGTGGTCAGCATTCTTAGCTTATCAACCAAATGGTTTATCTTCTCAAGTTTCTTCTTGTTCTCATCACCAAGATAATGCCATTCTGCTTCATCAGGATTTGAGGTCTCGTAGTCTGTTAATAAGAGGATAGCCCATGGAGACACAAAACCGTTAGTTACAGAGCACCTGAAAAGTTTAATTTCAAGCTTATTCTCTGTATATGTCTAGATGTTTTTGGAAACACTGATTCTTATTTGTATTATGAATACCTTGAAAAGGAGTTGATATCTTTCTCACAGGAGATGGTGAATCTTCCTTGTAGAATGAAGCATCAAGAACAGAGACTGGACTTGGTTGTTCATTTGGAACTATTTTGAGTTGAGCCAGAGGCATGGACTCACTCGACCTTACTGACGCATGCTGAAGGGGTTAAAGAAACATAGAATCCTAAGTTAGGATAAATTCAAAAGAAAAAATGAGAGGAAAATAGGTCTCTTCCCCGCCAACAATTCAGAAACCTTTAAAGAAAGGAAGAGATAACGCAATTTCCTTTTACTTACTCTTTCGCTACGGCCTTCTTGATGTTTGGTTTTGATCTCGGTGGAAGAATCTGTGCTTGTAACTTCTGTTTCTGTCAATGAGGCTAAGCTACAGTTGCTGTCAGATCGGGTGGATGCCGTATCACTTTGGATACTCAAGTTGTTGCTGTCAGTGGGACTTCTTGATTTGTTCTTACTTTGGTGAGAAGCTGATTGTTGTCTCACTTTTCTCTTTGAGGAGTCCTTTTCTGTGCATTGTCCACCTAGCTCTCTCTTTCCTCTCAAGTCTGGTGCTGGAGTGGTGAGAGAAGACTGATATTCACTTTCATACTTTCTCTGTTGGAATCTTGGACTTGCACTTCCGAAGGCAGTAAACCTTTCTACTTTCATCAGCTGAGGCCCTTTTGCTGTATGCTTTAGAATGTCCCCATTTGAGGACTTGTCTGTGAGAGACCTACTCTTACTGGGATTTTGTCCAGTGTATTTCCTTGGTGTTTGATCATTTGTTGAATATTTGTCCACCGAATCCTCTCTTGTGCAAAGAATCTCACGAACTCCAGACTTTTGGAGATGAGACGCATCAGCACAAGTGACAACTGAGGCAAGTGAAATCTTTCTATTGTCAGTCATTCGTGCTGATTTTGTGATCAATACTGAAGAGTTGATCCTCTTTGGTGAACCAGAGCCCTTGATTAGAGCTAACTGATTTGCATCATTTCTTCTCAATTCAGGTGCTTGAGAGTTGTCTGGGTTGCCATCTCTGTATTCTGAGGTAAACTTGTTTGTTTGAGACTTCAACTCAGTTTGTTCTCCTCCTTGATACTCTAATCTCTTTCTTGTATTTTGCATTGCTTCTAGTATCTGCTTTAGAGCCCTGAGATCCTTGCCGGATTTTTTGAACTCTAGTTCACTTATTCGTTTCTCAATTTCACCATAAACTGAAGTGGATGTCTCTGTAGCATTTCTGCTATTCTGAGATGTTCTCGGAGACTCATGGTTTGGATCAGGCTGCCTCCAGGGAGCTATTTCTAGTGGAAATCGTGGACTAGTAGTTGGTTTCATGCCTGAGCTTGCCCTCTTCGATCTTGGGGAGGCTGGATCCCTGTGTGCATCTTGTTGGAACACTGACGGATTTTTCTTACTGTTTCCAGACTTCTTCAGTGATCTTGGACCAGGATCTTGAATGGTCTCTGCGCTAACCTTTATGATCTCTTCTTGATTATGGGGAACATACTCGGGAAAAGCATCCAAACCCATTAGCTTTACAACCACATTTGATGGTCGCTTGTTGCTCCCTGGTTCTTGGTTTCCATTGACTATTTGGCTCAGAGTTCCATTTCCATTTTGCAATTCCCTCACCAGGAAATTTAGTCTTGATTCAGAAGCAGAAGCACTTTTCAAGGAACTTTGCCTGCTGTCTAGGGATAACCTTGGCAGCTCCTTGAGCTTTGTTGTAGGCTTATACAGTTCTCGTGTTTCTCTTCCATCGTAAGAGAAACGAGGAAGGTCCTTCCGCACATATCTCATAGAACCATCCCTATCTTCCTTGGAGATTTGTGGATTTTCTCGGAGCTTTACAAGAAGCCGGCTTGATCTGTCAATGTCTGCAACTCTGGGGTCTCCAGGTTTGAAAGGCAGGATAGGCCTGGGTGAATCGATGTGCTTCATTGTGCGTCCTCTTCCTTCTTCTTTTGCTGCATTTTTAACTCTTACACCACGTTGTTCTCTTTGCATGGAATCCTTTACCACGTCACGAAGATCAGATGAATGCTGGCTGTTATGCAATGCTGAACCTCTTTGTTGTGCCAGCATTTCAGTCGGGGTCTCAAGTGAACTGCTTTGATTGAGTGGGGATGGTCTGCTTTGAATTGCTTTGCCGTGATCAACCGAGGAAAAGGTAGATGAACAACCAGAGGAAGATGAGAAGGAGGTTCCAAGCGATTCAGTGGAAACCCGCGGTTGGTCCTGAGCGATTTCCTTGAAATTTTTACTCTGCAGCTGCAAATCCAACACTGTCATTATCTGTTGTCTACATTCTCAATCCAAAACAAGTCACATTCAAGATAACTTACTTGTAACCGTGCAGTTTCCTTTTCCGCTATATTGTTGGTTTCCTTGTCATTGTTGGGACCTAAACACAAATACCAACATTATAATGTTAAGACATTATGTTTGATTGGCTTGCAATATCTTGAGGTCCCAATAATTTTAGGAAACTTCCTTTCCTTAACACAGATTATGTCTTCACATAAAAATATGCATTTTCCATTTTCTGTTTCTAATCTTGTGCATTTTCATGGAAAGCTAAACAGATGTTAACAGGAACTTTTTTCAGCCGAAGCGATTATTGCTTCATAATCCATTCTACTTGGTCGGAAAAATGACAACAGTAAAAACAGGCAGGATACTGCAACAAAACAAGTAAAAAAGACTGTTTTGATGGAAATGGAAACAAAGCAGTAATGCTTGATGAAATCAGTTTAAAGTCAAATTTGCATATCAAATGCCAGTACAAAGAAGCAGAGGAAATACCTGGAAGCAGCCGTTTCTGGTTTTGGCCGGCGGAACGGCGACTAATAATGAAGTAATGGCGGTCAAATATCTGAAAGATCCCACTCATGCATCCTATATGTTTATGTAGATCTCTGCTTTCATCCCTGAAAGAAGGCAGAGTCTTTGAAGCCATCTTTTTTTTTTTTGTTGCCAAAACTCCAAATGCCAGAAAAAATTTCAGGGCTTCCCCTGTTCTTCCTCTTCAACTTTGTTTAAATTATTACTGCTGCAATGATGGACTTGAGAGGACCCCTTTGTTGAAATTTGGAATTCGTTTCAGAATGGGAAGGAAAAAAGAAGAAGGAAATTTGGCCAGTTCAAAAAGGCCTAACGGGGGGGAGTACAAGACAGATGGATCACAGTAGTTCAAATCATTAAAGCTAAGGAGCTATGAACGTAGAGGACACAGAGGAGGATTCTGTTCTGCAACAAGAATTTTTAAAGGGCAGTCCTTTTTTCAAGGACACTGATTCACTGAAGATAACGAACAAACAGTTCCGATTGCCAGACAATGTTCACAGTGAACTCCACTTTCGCCAGGAAAATAAAGCTGAACAAAGGGAACCCAAATGGAGCCCAGGAAAGCAAACAGTTTCCCCTGTATTTCTCCCTCCCCCACCTACTGTTTCTCGTATTTCTTCAAGATAAATAAGAAACTGGAAATCAATCTGAATGAAACAATCTGTATTGGAGAAAGGCGAAAAATCTACAAGACCCAATGAAATGATGTTGTGGGTTTTTTTGCACAAGAATCAAAATCAAGGTAAGATTAAGAACTTTAGTTGGCTGCTGCTGCAGCAGCTTCTGCTTGAGAAGTTAATGGTGAAATGGCAAAGTTTTCGGAGGGAAATGGCAAAGTGCATAATATAAAGACAGTCAAGAGTCAGCCATATGATTTCATTTGAGAACCATTTATTTAAGTGGAAATGGTAAAGGAGCCAAAAAAAAAAAATTCTAATACTCGGTTTATCTTAAAATGAGAGTCGTGTTTGTATATACTGAATTCTGTAAGAGTATATGATATAATATTTGGATAATACAATTGTTATTGTGATGATGAATTGATGATGATGAGTTATACTACTAATACTTGTTTTGGTTGGGGTTTTATTTTGTTTTTTTTTTTAATTTTTTATTTTGATTGGAGAATGTGTGGGACAGATCTACTGTGAATAAGTGGGGTCGTATCTGTATTGAGTCGTTTTCTTAGGGTTCCATGTGGACCAAAATAATGTGTAGGGAAGAAGAACTGGACTTTTTTTTTTAATTTTTCTTTGAGCTTCTGAGAGATTTATATAAAGACTTTGGTTCAAGAAAATGTAACAAGGTGTTCATGTGGATTTTGTCAGAGAGATGAAATGTAAGCACAGAAAATTGGTGTCATTTCATCATGTATATACTTCTTGGCTGGCTGGCTGGCCATTGCGATTGCCATCCCACACAACTTCCACTGTCACTATAAGACACTTTTCCACTCTCATTTCTTGCTTTCTCATTTGGCAAATTACTTGTTAACATATCTCATATACACAATAGTCGTGATCAAGATAAAATAGTTATTTCGAGAATATTTTTCTCAACAAAAAATTTACTCAACTTGAATCAGGTGACTCTAGACAGTAACTGTATTCTTTCAGTCCTAAAAGAGAGCCGATTTATTGTATTGTTTTAGTTTAAAGTTTACAGCAACTAAACTGTTTTTTTGGAAAGAATTATTAAGGATCGAATAGAAATACAAGTCACAAAAAAAAAAAAACCACAAGATTAAATGAATATTCAGCCAGTTGCAGAGTGTAACATCCGTTGTTTTATTGGCAGAGGACCATTTTTTTAATTGCGTATTTAGTAATGGCCCTTCAAGCGTACCAGGGTCTGAATTTTTATCTTAGTTTAACATTTATTCTCATTGTCCCTATTCAGTCCTTACTAGTACAGCACATAATAAGATGTACTAAATTTATAATTACAAAAAAAATACAGTATAAATTTTTTAAAAAAGAAAAAAAAATAGTAAGTACGTGACAACGAATCTGTGTTTTGTACTTCAAAACGTTTTTATTGAAGTTTATATTCTCAAAACAAGTGGTAAAATGTATTTTAACTCAAGTGATAAATTATATTAGAAGATCACGAATTTAATAGTCATCCGGTAATTTTGAGACAACTTTTACCCTTTCTTTCTAGATCTTGCTTTGTTTATTTAAACCTGTATTGCAGAAATTTTCATTCGCCAGATTGTTTTGTGGAGTAAAATTCGTTATCTATGTAATTTTTTTTAGTTACTTCCCGGTTAGGTTGTAGCCTTCTCAATTACGTAGAAATGTGGAAACAGTTAAAAAGTAGTAATAATCAAAAAAGGGCTTTTTGGAAAAACAAATAGGGTTGAAAAGTAGTAACGTTTGTTGACTCAAATTTTCCTAAAAAGACCAAGAAATACTTGATGATGAAGCATGTAAAATCGTGGAATGCATGGGAATCAGGGATGGTGCTCCATTCGTCGTCCCCTTCATTTCAATCTTTGGCTTCCCATTATGGGTTTTGGCTATCATGGAGAAATTTTGCTGCTTCAATTACAAATTAAAAAAAAAAAAAATTATTGCAAATTTCGATCTACTATTTCTTCATCTACTTTCTTGGTTCACATTTTGGAATTGAACATGAATTTAAGTTTAGGCTTCAGTCAATGATAATGTTGAAAATAATCAAAGGCTTAAAGTAGATCGACATACAATAATCATCGTTAAAATCTCTCTCTCTCTTTTTTTTTTTTTTTACTACTCTACAGACGATTCAAAGCGCCTTCTGTACAAGTTGCGATAGTAAAACTTTGCTAGCATCTACTAAAAAATGCTGAAGATCACACATACAAGAACAAGAAACGGAAGCCTCAACCTCAAATTTTTAGAAGGAAAAAAACAACATCAATGATTAATTTCCTTGAAAATCTAGATTTTGATGTATTCCATAAATAAACTAGTGGAGCAATGTGGTCCATTTAGAAAGCGCAAGTACCACAAGGCTTTTAATCAACTAAAATCAACAACTAGCTAGTACCATTGGAAGTTGTATTGGTGACCATATATATATATTAAAACCTTAATTGTTTAGCCCCAGGAAAGGGTTGTATGTGGGTGCACATTTAATTGTTTTTTCGCAAGTGTGGAAAAAGACACATCCTCTAGGGTTTTCAAAATTCTCCGACATTGCTATTTTCCAGTTGGACATATTGCATAGAAGCTTCATGCATATATATATAAGAGTTACTCTTTCATGAATGTTGCATCCAATAATGCTTTGCTTATTAGATTTGGACAAAAGAGATGGAATATATTTATTTTGATACCAAAAGAGTATTATAGGCAATCTGATGCGTGCGTCTGTTAAAGAGTTTTAATAAAAAAAAAAAAAACCTAAAGAAAACTTGCTTAGTCAATAAGTAGATATTTTCTTAAGAAAATGTTACGTAAATCTTTTTAATCTGCAAAACACAAAATACGATTTGATTATAACAATTACCAGAACTTGCCTACTAAAGAGACACAAATGTACTGTTGGATGATTCCCTTTTCATGAATGTTTCACTGTTGCTATCTAAGACATTGAATAGAGATTGATAGTCACATCGGTTTTCTTATCAACATCAAAGCAGTATCTTCTGATAGGGCTAGCCAGCCAAGGTTGTGTAATTGTTGAAATTAAAGGTTGATAGCTCACAATTCACATAGCTGTCCAAGTTCCCCAACTCCAACAACCTTCTTTGAAGAGCTTTTGGCTAAGGGCTTTTAAGGGTGGCATCTAACCCTAACATAATAGTACATGTTTTCATTGTTTCGTGCTCTTGCTCTGTTATTTAGAGACATAAATACATGGCTTTTCCGCTCTACACATTAAAATGGTGCGAAGAAATTGCACCCTTTATCGCTCAAAAAATTAAAGCTAAAAAATATTTAGACAATCCAACTTTAATGTATCAATCGTGTCATACTAGATATTATTTTATTAAAAAAAACTCGATAATTAGTACATTTGAAGTCATCTTATTTTCATTACACCAACAACTCCATCGGTCCTATGGTCACTAGTGTTTATATTTAATTCAATGGGAGAAAAGAAACCAAAGTACGTGCCCAAAAATTCAAGCTCTCGAACCAAATTGGTTGTACAAAATCAAAGAGTTAGGACCACGATATAGTAAGATATAGATTATATAAATATGAAAGTCTTTGAATTCTGACAAAAACCCACAGCTGTTTTTTTTTCCCCCCCTTTTCTTCAGTCAAAATTTTAATATTAAAACTGTAGATAAAAATAGATGGGCGATTTAGGAGGCATGAAATGATTGACATTTCGAATATTGTTTTGTAGTTTCCTTAATGTAGTTACTCTCTGTTAATTAAATTTGATGAAAATGGTATGTCCAAATTTTTCTTTCAATTTGATGTGTTTGACAGATTACCTACAAAAAATCAAACGAACCGGCAACATGGCTGCATGTTCTGCTGTGTGGTTTGGCTGAGGCTAAACAGAAAATAGCATCAATTAAAAGCTAAATAAATTACAGTTATATATAGTCAAACATATAAAAATTAAAGAATTTTTGGTCAAATTAACATGCAACTCCAGCTGCCAATTGTTAATTAATTAGACAGCCAGTTTGGGGGGTCTTGGCCTTGGTTAGTGTACATCTTTTAATCTGCTATGGGGGAAAAATTGATAATAACTTCTTTAATCAATATTATTATGTTTAAGGAAATGAGAAGGTAGGAGTTGGAATGTAAAGCGGGGAATAGTAAACGTGTGGGATACTATCAAAGTTGATATTTTGGTTACTAGAAGTGAGGAATTTCTCTTGATCAAGTATTTGAGAGTTTACTTGATCGAATTAATAAAAGTTAATGTGTACCTAATATGTCTACCGTTAATTAGAACCTAAAATTTTTTGTAGTAAAAGAAGAAGCGAAATACTCCAGGTAATTGTTGTAACGAAGTACTCTCTTTGTCCCAAAATTATTGTCCAGTTTGAGATTTCACTTTTAGTATAATTTGAAGTAGAAATAAAAATTCAAACTAGACAATAATTATGAGACGGAGGAAATACTTATTATTTCACATATTAGCAAACTGTAACTACACATTCCTTTGATCCACTTTACTTCGCCCTAACTTCTTCCAAAACCTTAAATTTAATAAGTCATACAAATATCACGATTGACTAAATGAGAGATCAAATTGAATGGGGTGGGTTTTTTTTTTCTTTTCACTTTTTGATTGTTACATTAATTACTATCAACTGAATATAATAAACCGAGCAAGAGAGAATGATTGCGATGCATGAGATAAGGAAAGAAAAGATAGGTTTGGGGAAGGTGCAAGATCACGTGGATAAAGTAAAGAAGGAGGAGGCCATGAGGGTTGCTTAAATTTCCTAAGGCAAAGAGGCCAACTATATTTCTAACCTTTTATATCTTTAATCACTCTATACTATGTTCCAAGAAAATGCCCTACCCCATTAGTCCACTATAATTTCCACATGATGTTCCCTTCCACTCATCTCTTAAACACCACCAAATCCAACCATGTGCCCATTACCCTTTTGCCAGTCAATTTTTTCTCTCTAGGGTTCCCACATCTCCCCTTAATCACCAACTTAATTGGTTCAAAAATCTCTAATGTTAGTGATATTATGTTGAATATAATGTCATTGAAGGATTATGCATTGGCTTTATATATGAACAACGTCTTGATTTTGATCAGTTTTGTGTACAAAATGTAAAAATATGTATTCGAAACTGTTCTAATCGAGATCAGATTCAGATCAAGTTCGTTTAGGGCAAATTTGAAAGGAAGGTATCAAAGGAGTTTGAGTTTGGAGGTAGAAAAAGTGTGGATTAATTAATCTATCCCTTGATATTTTGTTTTTGTTCACATGAGAAAGGAAGAGCATAAAAAGTGAAGGGGATATAAGCTGTGTGTTAGGGGTAACCCTACAACTACAATCAACTTGTTTGTGCAATTGAAATAAAAAGTACAATAATTTAGGGATGATTAATTTGCTATTATTAGGAAGAACACGCACGATAAGTTTAAGACTTCGTACGCCACCCAAGTACATGCAAATTATTAATTAGCACCAAAGCATGCTTGATGCTCAAGTCCATTGTCCACCTTTATTGGTAAGTCCTCAATACGCAAAAAATAAATAAATAAATAAATAAGCACTAAATTTTGTCACCCTATTTTCGTGAAAAGCAGAAGGAATTCATTTGTACTCTTTTCTTTTCTGTGTTAAATTGTTGCTAATAAATGCAAACACGAATCCACCACGAAAACTATCTAGTTCTACTAATTTATCAGCATTTTGACTACCTAGCTCGTCGAATAAAATTGTAAAAAGAAATAATTAATAAATCGCAGAATGAAAATTATAGTACTCCCTCCATTCCAAAATAAGTGTCGTTTTAGCAAAATGGAGAAATTCTAAAATAAAAGTCGTTCTCACATTTCAATGCACTTTTTGTCAAAATTTTTCAAAATTACCCTCAAAAGAGTTGATGCTATTGGTGGACAATTTTATAATGGGGTTGGTTGAGGATATTCAAATAATTTTATTATCTTATTTAAGAGTTTCTTAAATTATGTACAAAGTGTAGGACGACACTTATTTTGGAATGGAGAGAGTATCTCAATTCGGATTGAGGGGATTAATTAGGTAGCTTAATCTTGTTTGACATTTGGCAAGAAAAATTTAATTGGTTTTTGCGTGGATTCAGATTTGAGACAATGAAGCAGCCAGAGCATTGGAATCTGAAAGAGGTGATCCAGTTGGTCACGTGCCAAGCTGGTAAATGCACACCGATTCCTAGGCCGTGAGTGATATCACTCCATAATCACCATTCGCCACCACCTTTTGCCCTTTTTTGGGATCTCAAACCTCTTTTATTATTATTCATCTAACATAATCATCCTGCAATCACCAACTAATTATATTCCTTTGATTAATCCCATCATTATTAGGTTCTTATCCAATGGTTTTGGTTTAGAAGTCAGAGTAATAAACTAATAAACTAATCTATAAATTCATTGAGTAAATTGATTCAGCGGCTGATGTGATACACATAAAAAGACATAATACTTTGTTCGAAAAACTAACTTAGCGATTGATGTAATGTCTATATATTCTTTATTACATTTTACTATTTACATAATTCGCTACAGAATGAATTTACTGTCTCCATTACAGTTTTATAGCCAAGGTGAAGTCTTCACCAGGTCTCTGAATTGTGAATTGTAATAATGATTTAGGGGCCCTTAAGAGAAGTGTATGCTGATTGGCCGGTTAGAGGATTCTGAAAGATCGGTGTACCTTCGAATCTCTTTAAGAAACCAAACAAGATCCTAACCATAATCAAATCCCTTAAAGTAAGTAGCATCATTTCCCGTGGAAATGGAATAAAAACTTGGTTGATACTTCAAAGGGTTCTTCAATCTTTTTAGGATAGTAGTTTAATTAGTGACAACAGGCATGTGAGATCTGGAATTTTCAGGCCATACCAGTGGATGAGGTAACTGTTGAGGTTTTTTTAATGTCATTATATACCTACTCTATACTACTACTAGTGTTTTTCTTTTTCTTTTCTTTTTTTTTTTTTTTTTGGTTGCATGATGTACAAATGCAAAAAGGAAAAAAAAAATAAATGATTTTGAGCAGACACAATGATTGGAAAAAAAAGCCAACTGGCCCAATACACACAACTTATTGGGCATGCAATTTCTTCAAGAAATCGTAAGCAGCTTCAAAACGCTTTCATTGAATCAAATGACCGTACTATATTTAGTTCAATGTAACTCTCAATAGGTGGTCCTATATGCATGTTTACATCGACTTGCGATTAATTTGACTAAGAGTTAAGTGTTATACTAGTATCTTGTAAGAATGCGACTCTCCGAATGTGGCTAGCTTACCTCATTCCACATTAGATACGGAAACAGATAAATGACGTGTATCATTTTGATTTAAATATTTTGGGTCTAATGAAAACGAAAAAATTATGGAGCAATGAACTATGTCCTTGAAAGTGTAGAGAACTATCGACTAGCAAATTGACACCAAAATTACAAATTTTGTGGACAAATTGCAGCAAAGCAAGGAATCCACAGACAAGGGAAATGGCCGAATTATTCATTTGCCTTTTGGCTGTTTCCCGCGTTCTTATCTTTTCTTTTCTCCAAACCGATAAATATCATCAACTTAATGTCTCCAAAATATGGCCAGCCCTACCCAACATGATTGCAGCTAATGTAATTCTTCTCTATTATATGTGTATACACGTTCATTGCTCTCGAGCACTTTATTCATTCTATATGTTTGGCTCACCTTACAATCTAATGTACTTCTAATAATTGAAACTTTTTTTTAACTAACGAAAAAAGTTGTAATAATTGAACATGTATCTAAAATACTCGACCCACCTCACTTGGATACACTGTCCTTTAATTTGTACCTCAAAAATATAAAACTGAGGAATTAATATATATTTTTCTACGTAACTAGAGATTGCAGTTTCTCATCTTTCATTTCTTTTTCAAGTCGTCTAACTGGTGTTGATAACTTGATCTCAATTAGTACAAGTTAGGCTAGTTGTTTAGTTATACTTTCTTGCAGTAATATCGTGACTGGACTTTCAAGGAAAGTCTGCCAGTCCAGACCTAAAAGGAGGCCCAGAAGCCCAAGAACAAGAACAAGAAATAACTGAACAGCAAAACTACCAGATTCAGAGCAGTATGGATTGCACATAAACTGAAACTTCATACAAGGAAATTTCTAAATCAAAGCCACAGCAGAAGCAACCAATGTTGAATAACTTTGCATGAATGGATTCTGGTGAAATGTTTAACTTAGAACATAAAAAAGGACCTCTTTTTGTAATGGCTAAACAGAGAACCTTTTCTTTTAAGGATAAAATCTCCGTTTCTGCTGTTTCAATAAAACAGATACAGCAAAAGAAGAGAGGTAATATCTATCAGATAGGTCATTCCTAGCCCACATCAAAAATATTCTAGTGTGTATGGATCTAAAGTTAGTGAACTGTCTTTACTGTAAAAACAAAAGATCACCTTCCCTTGGTAGCTTACAAGAGTCTCAATGCCACGTTGCCAACAAAATTCATTACTCGTTCTCCCCACTTTCGAAGGAATGGCACTAAAATAAACAAATGAATGTCTATCCTTCTTCGGTATCTTTGGTGGTGATGCTGGAGAGCACCCTAGAGTAGAAGTCCCAATGGGAGTTCTTTTCATCAAGAACTCGTTGACCAAATGGATGTTGTTCAATGTAGTTACGTACATTGTCACATTCAGCAAGGCCTTCTAAGTAAACTCGAAGTTTCCCTCCTGGTCCTGCATTCAGCAATTTATTTGTCATTTATAAAATTCTCTGTGTAATTGGTCTACATAAAAGAAAGAAAGAACATACCTAATGACTTATCACTTTTATCTTTATAATGGAAAGAACATGGAAAGATTGCCGTGTGAATCTGCAATTGTATCCACAATAGAATTAGTTGAGGCTCCTCAAGAAGCAGAAAGAGCTTCAAGGAAACACAAAATGTCTAAAACTTACGGGGTTTAGTAAGGCCTTATAAGGAGAATCATCTATTAATAAAGTATTTGATTCATTATAATCTCCTTTCTCCCATGGTAGATAAGGGTCATCCTTTTCCCACAACTTTTTCAATTCTTTGAAGACCAAAGGCTTATGCTTGTTCTCTAGTGTCTTGAAGCTTGTTTGGGTACAGTGAAGCATATTCTGCAAAATACAGAATATCCCAATTAAAGCAGTTAAGCACAAGAAGTAGAATGAATGCCCATTTGCAAGAGATAACAAGATAAGATAGTGACCACACTCTATGTAAGGCATCTATATAACACATCAACACTGCAAAAATATTTGGGCAGAGTAACTGCTCTATTTAATTTATCTATCCGCAGTCAGCTCAATCATTAAACTCATCAAAACTTAGAAGACATCAGAGTAGCCCAAAAAAGTATCCATAAGTAGGACTAATAAAACTATTAAAGACAAAGGAAGAAACTGCATGGTCTGTCAATGATCAAAGGAAGACACATGAAACTCCAGGAGATAGTTCCAAAATGAGTTCATTCTTTTCAATAAAACACAGCAACAAATTTAGAAGGAAGAAAGACAAGACAAGGCATCAACACAATGACTAAATGGAACTAAAATTATGAAAGAAAAAATAGCTTCGATGGCATCTATGAATCTGTTCATCGGGTTTGGCTTTTCTTCTAGAATCTAGATTAGTCAGGTTTACTATTTTTCACGAAAATGATTACATTTAAGAGACTTCCATTGCAGTATTTCCTGTTTGTATTTCTAAAATTAAATTGGAGCCATGAACTAAAAGCCTCAAGAATTCCTGTATTTAAGTACATTTTGATGAGCAATATAAAATTCTTACCCAACAAAATAGCAGGTTTTGCTTCATTTCTCCCAACAAATAGTTAACCACGTTATCAACAACTTTCCTGCGCATTTATCATTAGGATAGTGCTTTCGATAGGTAACACATGAAGTCAAGCAGAACAAAAGCAAGGGTAGAAAACAAGTAATACATACTTAGATCTTGAAGACCAAATACCAACATCAAACCTCTCAAAGCAAAACACCAGAAATTCATGGTAGAAAGGTCTTTTAAAAACTGCACAAAAGGACATGGCAAGTTATTACCAATCAACCTTTCACATTGTTACTTCAAGATAAGCTCAGAAAAATGAACCGAGAAAGAATTGTGTATTGTTTAAACCACTCACTTGCTCGTCCATTAATGCGATTATCTGCGGTGCGATCCTTAGGTGGAGGCACAACTATATCTGCAAGCAGCCCATTTATATCAAGAACAAGAAGCTTTCCTTTCGGAGATAAATTGGCAAGAGATCGAGGAAAAGAACACAAGTTCGCTCCATTGGAAACACCCCCAACAGATCCGGAAGCTTCCTGTTTCTTTTTCTTCTTCTTTTTCTTTTTCTTTTTCGAGTTAACACCTTTTAGTCCTTCAGGTACATTTACCAAACTCAGATTGGATAAAATTTTTGTATGATCAATGCCGAGGAACCCATTAATAGGATCAACCTTCTTTATCACCATTCCTCTACTACTTTCATTTCCAGAATCTGTGGTTCTCTTCAAAGGATTATGCAAATCTTGATCCGCTGCTTTCAGACTAACATTGGAATCCACTTCTGTAATGATGGCAGGAGTTGGACCCATGGTTGTTGTGCAAGTATTTGGATACAAGGAATGTTCATCCTGATTGACTTGGCTATCGTTAAGTGAGGTACCGATGGAAGATTCTTCTCTCACAACAGATCCAGAAGCTTGCGATCTAGCTTTCTTTTTCTTTTTCTTTTTTAGCTCAACACCTTTTAGTCCATCAGATACAGGTATCAAACTCAAATTTGATATAACATTTGCATGATCGATGCCGAGGAATTCATTTATAGGATCAACCTTCTTTATCACCACTCCTCTACTAGATTCATTTCCAGCTGCAGGCTGCTCCAAAGACTCAAGCAAACTTTCACGCTCGGCTTTCTGTCTCACATCGGAATCAGCTTCTGTAATGATGGTGGGAGATTGAACCATGGTTGTCGGGCAACTATTTGGATACATGGAATGTTCCACATCGGGAGTGACTTGGTTAATGTTTTTCACCAAGTTCGTACCATCACCCATAGTATCCTGCCCTTTTCTCTTCCTTTTCCTTGTCTCTCTTGATCCTGGACTCACTCCATTGCATGTTGCATCTTGTTCTTCAATGCCAAGGGATCCATTTATAGGATCAGCCTTCTCGATCACCCTTTCCCTACTAATTTCATTTCCACCTCGATGCTCTGCTTTCAACCTAACATCAGATCTAGTTTCTCTATTGACGGCCGGAGTTCGAACTTTGGTTGTTGTGCAAGAATCTGGATACCTTGAATGATCCACATCCTGATCAACTTGCAATATGTTATCCACCAAATTACTATCATTACCCAATTGATTCTGCAGTTTTCTCCTCTTCCTCTTTGCCTTTCTCTTTCTTGATTCTAGGCCAACTCCATCATGTGCTGCTTCTTTCCCTAATTTAATGCTAGCATTTTCTATAACTGATCTTAGATTAACCACACCATTTCCTACACCCGACGCCGAATCCATTCAAAGTACTGACAGGTGTTCTCCAGGATGCTCATCAATCAGAGCAAGAAAATACAACTGGTGCAGTTTTTTGTTATCATAAAGTGGGAAATAAACCTAGTGGAATAATTAGCAAAAATCAGCAGGGCATGGGTGAAAATAAAGATGCCTACCAACAATACACAAACATTAATCAATCTTTTAATCACTCTTCAGATGCAAATTAGACGACTCAATAAGCCAGCTACTGGTCAGTGGTCAGTCCGTCACATTAATTCACCAAGCCCTCATCCACTTTGACACTCCCCCTCCATCCCAAAATAAGGGTCTTGCTTATTGTACTAGGAAACCACAACAAGGGGATCACAACAAGCCCGACTCAGATTTTGGGACGGAGGGAGTGTAATTTCATTCTTTATTTAAAGTACACGTATTCCAAAATCAACCTTTTAATACATATCAGATGCAGCTATTAGTTGGAGCTTTGATTTAATACTCCAAGGCCACATACATCCCAATGACTGACTGATAACATCCAACGAAAACGTTTCTTAGGTGTAATAAAATCATCATGAACGGTGCAAATCTAAAGACCTCAAATACTGACATAAAGAGAAAGCCACAAAACACATTGGCCTTCAAGTATAATCAACGCATCTCCCCAGAAATTTCTGCACATAAATACTTCTGCAGAAGTTGAACTAATATCGAAGCGTACAAAGTTTCCAAGCCAAAAAAAAAAAACTAAGAAATCATCGTAATCCTCAGAATCCAATCCATCTAATCGTGTTCTAAATTTAAAAAATCAAGAATGCATAACAAGGCTACTTGCCCTCGTCTAGCATAAAAGTCCTATGATATTCTGAAACAAGCAAAGAATAAAAGCTAAGGAGCAACACATGAAGATACATAGTAGATTTAATTGTTCGGAGTTCGGACCTGAAACGACGAACGTCGAAAGTATTCCGGCGGCAACTTGGGGAAGAAACGAAGATAAAAGCGCGGAGAAGGATTTGTAAATTTGTTATTAGGAGCCGCCACCGGGGAAGGAGGTGTTGTTGGGCGGCTAATTGGAAATTGGAAGTAGTGTTTTTTGGTCGTCAGTGTTAAAACGGCAACGTTTGGTATTCGTGTCAGTTGCAAATAGCGTTTTCTGAACCTCGTACCTGAAAATAGTTGTACTACAAAACCTTTTAAAAGGCTTTTATATTTGTTCTTCACCTTGAATTTTATTTTTTTTCCCCTTTCCCTATGATATTACTCCAACAAAAATTATTTATTTTTTTGAAACTATATATTCATTTTGAAATAAAAAGATTATTAATATTGGAATTCCAATTATTCAAGATATTTGTATATGAATGTTTTTTATTTTTATTTTTATTTTTTTAAATGTTATAGTGATTATAAAAACAAAGGGAATGTGAAAAAAAGATAGTTTATGTACTTTGTTTTTTTATATATAATGAAGAAGCTTAAACTTGAACTGCAAAAGCAGCTCTTCAAGTGAGAGTTGAATCGGGACAGTCTACGGCTATTTTTCCCAATGTTGAAGCCGGAGGTTGCTGAAATATGTAACCCCTCCTTACCTTGGCGTTTAATATATCCACTCATTGGAGGTCTACAGATTTCTAATCCTATACAAAATAATAGTATTATTCCCATGCGTTGTACGGTGAGTTTTAGATATTATTCCGTTAAAATTTAAATGATACAAGTCTCTATGAAAGGTTAAGTATAAATGGTAATTTTATATGAAAAATCTCAAGTACATCGCAATCAAAATCATTGCTAAAGTATAACAAATCGTTTTCCAAAGAGATGTGTTTTAAAAGAATGGTAAAAAAAAAAAAAAACTTTTGATCTAAAGAATACAAATGTCTACCTTTCAAAAGAAATTACATCTACAAATATTTATTAGAAACGAAGAGAATTAAAAATTTCAGCTGGAAGTACCATTGTTTCAATCTCATGGATTGAATCAACAATATGTTTATAATCAAATCTTACGTCGAATAACACTCATCTAACAATTGTAAAACAACCACAAAAAATAAAAAGGGATGAGTTGGGTTACCATGGGGGCGTCATGAGAGGGAATCTGGGCTTGATGGGTTGGGCTTCTGACGGGTTCTTGGCTGATAGATTGTGGGTTAGTTTTGGACTTGGAATTTTTTTTGTCCAGGTTCTGTCTCGGCCCAATGGATCAGACTTTCTTTTGGAGGGGGTGTTAGGTTCAACTGATGGGTTGGTCGTTGGCCCTTTAGGGTTTGGGTTGGAGTTGGCGGGTCGGTTATTCGTACCCTTACCGGCGCTGAAAGAGTATGACTTGTTGTAGGTATCGCTATTTCATAGTGAGTTAATTTTTGGGGGCGTTTGGTTCTTAAAGGCTCAAGTTATTCAATAATTCCCTTTGGTGATCACCTTATTCTATCCGATCTTACTATTGGCATTTTTTTATGGATCGCCATTTCAAGTATTGCTCCTATAGAACTTCTTATGTCAGGATATGGTTCAAATAATAAATATTCCTTTTTAGGTGGTCTAAGGGCTACTGCTCAATCAATTAGTTTTGTTCGAGTCCTGCCAAAACACCAAATGGATTAGTTAGCTTACCCGTATTTGCAGCGGATGAGTTTTTGACCGCCGGTCCATAGTTTGGTTGATATCTTCTTCCTTTTTTTTAATCGCATGACTCCATTCACCTATAGTAGGCGACCGTTGAGCGGGCATGGGGATCTGTGTAGGGACTACAGGGTGAGGATCGATGGGTGTTTTGTTCGGGTCCATGGGGTTACCGTTACAGCTGTTTTGCGGGTCAGATGGCGGCGGCGATTGGGAAGCATCGGCGGAATTGGGTGGAGCAACAGCCGGAGTTGAGGGATAGCCTTCCTTAAGGTGACCATACTTTCTACAAGAATAGCAAATTTGCTGTAAATCCCCATATTCAACTGTGAAAAGCTTACCATGGTTTTGCCGATTAGCGGCTTGGTCAGGTCAAGTTCAACCGCGATTCTGGCAAATTGGCCCCTTTCTACTGTAATTTTATTTCTATCCACCTTCAAATATTTTTTAAAAGGTTTAACCACACTCCTTAATAAGTCTTCGTGAAAGTAGTCAATGGGTAATCTGGGGATCCGGATCCAGGTTGCAACCTCACTGATATTTTCTTCCTTTGCGTTGAACTGCTGGCTCCAAGGGAGAACCATTATGTAATGGTCATCAAGGGACCAAGGTCCATTCAGTAAAACAGAGCAGTAATCTTTTTCGGTTGTCAGTCTTAGAAAGTGGTAACCGTCAATATGGTCAACCGGTTTCAGCTCACCCTTGATCTTCCGAAGACCCTTGAGTCTTTTGTGGAGTCGATCATGCATGAATTCTCTGCCTAACGGTCTGACAGCAACAGTGTAAGTCATTGCAATGACCATCTGTTTACGAACTTTTGGAGAAAATTTAGTTGAGGGGACACCATCTTCTACACTGTAGGTCACATCCTCTTCTCCCACTGTGACGCTTATCATGTGGAATCCGTTGGAGAACTGGTTGGTGTGACCCTGGAGAAGCCTGTCTTTGAAAGATGGGGTGTCCTCAGCTGGTGGGGATCGGGGTTGCATAGGGGGGGGATCGGAGTTAATTGGGATAGGGAGAGGGGAATTGCTAGAATGAGATGGAGCTTCTGGACGCGTTGCTTCTTTGTTTTTGACTTTCCTTGGTGCCGGGTTTCCATTGTCAACGGTCAGCCATCTCCGTGTCCATGGTAGATCAGGGGTAGGAAAAACGGGGAAGGTTCTATAGAGAAGTTAAGGCAAAGTTCAGGTTAATGAAGTTGAGAGTACCAATGGGAGTTTTTGTTGTTATCGTTTATTTGCTTCAGTGCTTGTAACGAGTACATCAGTAGTTGGACTTATTTTAGGCCCAGAATCCAAGCTAGTTTCAGCCCAAGAAACGAGGCCCATAGCTCTGCTTCAAAAACTCCAGCATAGTCTATGTACTTTGTGAACAAAAAAAATAATAAAGTGTGTTTTTTTTTCATGGAGCTAATACTAGTTTGGAATTCGAAATGTCCATGCGGGAAACGCTAGCCCGATGCACATTTGTATTTTGTAGTTGATGATCCAGTAGGCTCAAATGTTCATTGGGTGATCTTCGAGTTTGTTGTTACCATTTCTTTACCATGAAATGGAAAGGCTGACAAGAAATTAAGCCTTACGAATAAAGGCTAGCAGATTTATTAAGAACAAAATAAGTAAAATTAAATTTATGAGTACAATAAGTTTAGTTTAATCATCTAATGAGTACTGTCTATCTGTTCTTCCTGTAGTGGAGGTTTAGTGGATGTATTAACGTTGTCAACTGCTGATTATTTTAGCTGGGAAGTGGCTCAATCGCAAATACCCTCCCTCCGGCCTTACGTTTAAGACATTATTTTAACAAATTAAGGTTCGAGTCTGATATCAAATCATTTCCGAGAGATAAATTTCTCCAACAAGGTCCAAAATATCTTGGTAATTGCTGTTCAACTTATTCCACACATATATACATGTGAAAGCCTGAAAGGGGATATTAATAACAGAAAACATCTTGAGCCACCCTGTAAATAAAAGTATGTACGTACTACGTGGTGCTTAATACATCTTAAGATCAGAATGCAAGGAATCAGCTTCGTCACAACGTGAGTGAATTATGATGAGATCACTGAGAAGTTAAAAAACTATTACTCTTTCGGTTCTAAAATAATTATTTAGTTTGGATTTTTTTAATAATAATTTATATTATAAGTGAAAATCCAAAAAATAGATATCTTTTACGTCACGGAATGATTGACATGTTAATTTTACACTTAAAAGTAAAAGTTTAAACTGAACAGTAATTTCAACAGGGAAGAATATATGGTTAAGGTTTTTTAAAGCATAGTTTGTTGGTGTTGGTCCCATCTCATCTATGAATAGTTGTCCTCAACTATTTCTAATCTCTATAGTCTGTATTCACTCACTCTGTGAAAGATCAGAGATCGATCTAGCTTGCAGAAGCGGCAGATCCTCCCACCATTAATTATAAAACTGCAAATAACTGGCCACAGATCCGAAAATAGTAGTAGAAACCTTATGGACATTGGGAAGGCCATCGACAACTCTGATTAAACAGATAGCTTGATCAAGTTAAATCGACGTGGGAGCACGCTGCTGCATTTCGTATGATGTTTAAAACATATTTGGCATTAATTGGTTCTGGGCAAAATTAACTTGTGCATGCATCAATCGGTTCATTCGTCTCGTCTTAATAATCCACAAATCATCAATATATTGTTGAGAGTCAACAATTAAAGTTACTATGATGTGAAATGAATTTGGAATTGAGTTTCTATTATCAGCCAATTCCACACGTGTTTCTTGGCAAAGAAAGAGTTGTAAAGTCTCTATTTTTTTTTTTCTTTTTTTCTTTTGTTAGGCTGTAAAGATTATCATCCTTTCCTTGGATTAAAAGTATGGGTATTTATATATATCAGGATTGGACATATAACTTCTTCGTGATGATTTTCTACATCAATCGCAGCTAGGGTACGTTGTACTCCCTCTCAAACAAATTATATCTATTTTTATGTCAAAAATGTAAATGATCATTCCTGAATGAATTACATTTTATTTTATTAGAGATTCTTCTTATGGTAGTAGCTAGCTAGACTGTTTACTTTCCAAGTGAGCTTTAGAATTGAAAGGGACCAATTTGTAGTTGCCACCTTTTTCATGAATTCCAACAATACCCACCAGTTGTAGTTGCGATTAACTAATTAAACGGGCTTCAAATCCAAACGAATCACTATTTTAGAAAACAAAAGCACTGTAAGATTATATTTTATTATTTGTCTCAAATTTATTAGCTTATAAGTTTGTTGACATTTTGGACAAAAAAAGTATTAGTTAGCTGCTAGAAATCAAGTAGTTTCTTGTGAATATACACCTTAAAAAACAATTAAATGAATAAACAAGTATAATTATTAAGCAGGTAATACGAGACAAGAACCACCAAGTTACCAAGTAACAACAAATTTAGCAATATAGTGGCAATGATTTTTTTTTATAATGTAATGTGGGACATTTTGATATTAATTAATTTTCCTCCAATTAATTCATGACCTTTAAGTCTTTTTTCTTTTCCAATATACGTTTTATTGTCCGAGGACAAAAAGCCACGTCAAAGAATCTCTTGATTTTTGGTGTGTTTTCCATCTTGATTATTCCCTCCATTTTAAAATGTAAATCTTTTTAGATTTGGCACGTATATTAAGGAGATAATCATGTAACAATTAAATTAAGTGTTAAATATCTATTTTATCTCTTATTAATTACATTAAAACTATAAATAATACTAAATAAAAATAGATTAGCATCATTTATTGAGAGTAAAGTTGAAAAAATAGTCATTAATTTTCTTAGAATTTGTAAGACCACCTACATTTTGAAAAATTTCTCCAAACCTAAAACGACCTACAAATTAAAAAGAGGGAGTATACTATTAGTAGGAATGTTGCTTAATACTGCTTCATAAATGTACGTAACATGAAAGAAGCAGCATCAAGTTACGTACTACTAATAAATCATAAATGTAATGCTGCTTCTATCACATTCATTATTTATGATTTAGTAGTAGGAATTAATATTAGGGGTTTATGTATATGGGGCCACAATTATTTTATCATCGGACGCGGACTGCTTTTGGGAATGTAAGATACTTGTCACACTAGTTGTGAACTTGGTTTTTCAAAAAAAAAAAAAAAAAAAACCAAAAAACAAAAGTTGTGAACTTGAAATATGCATTTTAAAAAAAAAAATTATCTACGTCAGAATTATTATCATACTTGTTGTATAATGTATGCAAATTTCACCTACGCTTTAACTTGGTGATTGGAATCATACATCCGATTACCATTTCTATTACTTTTACTTATTTGAGAGATTAATTGAAGTTTTGAGGAAACTATATATATTATACACGGGTCAATATATACTCTAGGCGAATGATGTGCTTGTTGTCTCTTACCAACGTAAATATTATATATACATGATCAATACATATTACTCTTGGTTATAATATGATGTGATTGATATTTCTTACTGACGTGTTGTAACAATTTAATACTCTAAGCAAATGTTTCTTTTATTGTATCAAAAAAAATTTATGTTATATACGGGTCAATTGATAGAGTAGAACGCTAAAACTTAAAAGTCACTATTCTGGTAGACATCTTTTTAAGACAGTACCCATTATTGATTCTTCACCAAGTAACTTTCATGCATACCTAAGAAACTCCCCACAAATATTTGTTAGTCATTCCGTTTTGAGTTGTGATGTACATGTGTTATCAGCTATCAATAACGTTTTAAGCAATATAGTTTTTCCAAACTTTTGCCTTCTTTCAATGTACTAAAAAAATTTATAAGAGTGATTAACGTTTAAGTTATTATACATAACTATATATACCCCCCATCGCTGTGTTGACTGGATCTTAATTTTGAATAAATGGGCAGCTGCAATTTAAGAGCTTATTAGCAATATCCAGTTTTCATCAACTCAATTACTCAACTAGTATTAGAAGAGGATCAACAAATTAAGAATTAATGTTCCTAAAAAGAGGTCATGAAGATCTGGTTCTGGTCGAGGCTTGCTTTCAATGTGGGTGGGCTTCCCCCACCCACCCCCTCAATATATACAGAACGCTATAATAAAAGGAAGAATAAAACTATGGCTGCTTGTGTTTTTTATTTTTTATTTTATAGTACAATATTCTTGGTACTTTGTCGCGTATTTTTTTCTTTTTATATAGATTCATCATGAAAATCTTTTATTAATTTCTTAGTATCACTTCCAAACTCCCGCGCGCCAACGCCAAACCAAAATTGATATCTTTTGAAAGAGTCAAAGTTCATATTAATGGAGCGGATTCGATGAATAGTATATGCATTAATGCGTAATACATATTCTACTTAATACTCCATATTTTTTGTCTTTTTCGTTCTTCATATTATCATATTTTGGCACAACATTCGCATATATGAAACTTTCGTGTTTTTTTTTTTTCACTTAACCCATCACCTATTGAAACATTAATGTTGTATGAAACGAAACGTTTGTGAAACTAAAAACAACTGAAACACGTGTCAAGTAATGTTCATGAAAACGTAGTACCAACAATTTGACTTAGAAGCTAGAACCATGAGGAATATAATTAATTAATGTATTTTGGAATCATGGAGTTAATTCAAAATGGAAAAAGAAAAAGTCAACAAGGTAGGACTATGTTGGAAGATTACGGGACCGACGCTTTTGAAACCTTGTAAAATTGTCAACGTCTCCATTCTTCAAAACATAGTACATCATCAATACTGTTATTATCGTTTCTTAGAACTATTTTTTTTATAAAAAAAAAAAAAAAAGTGAATTTCGCCACAATGTATATATGTTTGTCTTCAATTGCTTAAGGAAAACAACACTGATTTTGTTTTAATTGTGGAGTTGACTCTGCCATATTTTTTGTGTTTTGCCAAATTTCAGTTATTCAACCATCCATTTCTACCATTTATGGCTCGAAAGGGCCAGCTTAGGACGTGTAAAACAAGTTCGATCCACCAAAAACAAAAAAAAAAAACTGTTACACATATTAAATAAACTACTTGTAGTAAAATTTAGATATGAACTAATATTCCTAAGTTGTCGTATTATGGGGAGAGAAAGGGCCAAATGAGAGTACTAAGATGTGGTATATTTTCAATCTACTTTGATCGGTGTCGACTTAAATTGAGAATTACCTACAATTACAAACTATGATTTCCCTCTCCAAACAGACCAAATTTGCTTTCGGTTAATAGTGCCAAAAATGACAAACCCGAGAGGATATATTAAATAGTACATGAACCAAAAAATAATTAAATTTATTAAGTAAAAAACTTGTTAATTTGTGTTATACGTTCATAATTAAATAGGAAAATCAGTTGTGAACTCGTGCTTGTGTATTTTCATCATCTTTTTTAGTCGAATTATTTCATCACATGGATTCACATTGTTTATTATGATCCTTTAAATTAAAAATATATAAAGAGATATAGTGGCATATATGTAATTAAAAACAATTTCAAATATTTATAATCATTTTACCAGGATTAAAAATTACCACCGAAGGTCAGACTGTGCGAATTCTTTTTTACAGCGTCAGTTAAGAGGTTTTAAAACAAATATTGGAAATTTTCGTAATTACTTTCCTCTTCATCGAATCTCGTGCGTCATCTAAAACTTCCATTACAGTGGAAAATACGAAAAGTACATCCTGCCTAATTTGACCGGCCGGAAATAGCTGAAAATTCAGTTAAAAAATTAGAAACTGTAACAAAATTAATCTACGCCCTCCATTTTCCAGTCACATTTACACACGTCATAACTTTAGCAGTAAATTAAACCATATAGTATTATATACTATACAGTACTATATTAAAAGCCCCTTTTTCCCCATAATTAATTAATAATTATGACAACAGCAACATTAACCATCTCTCTCAAAACCCCCCACTCCTCCACCACCTGAAAAAGAAAAAATTCATTATATAAAATATTCTTCTCTGAATTTCTCCCTTTTCCTCAACACAGTTCACATTTCTTGTGAAGTCTCCAACTTTACTGTTTCATGTGACCTTTTTCGAGTTTTTTTTTCGGGTTTTTGGAGAAATGGGGTTGTGTTTTTCGTGGGAATCCAAGGCTCGGGAGAAGCCGCTGCCCAGACGGCTGATTCATCAGTCTTCATCATCGTCGTCGGTGGCGGGACAAGGCGGTAATGGAGGGAGTAACAGGTGGACGAGAATTCGGTCTTCTAAGAAGGAAGAAGCCGTAATTCACGAGCGTGCTTTGGCTGCGGCGATTCTGTTGCAGCAGCAGTTGCAGAATGGCGGGGTGTCGTTTGATCGGTCGACTTCTTTGAGGTATTCTAATGGGAGTGCGAAAAGGAGTCAGACTTTGCCGAGGAGTTCTAGCTCCAGAGCCCGCTCTTTAACTGATCCTCTGCTGCAGCCTCACCAGCTTGTCAATCAGGTACTATTTCATATTTGATCATTGTTCAATATAACAGGAATTTTATTCTTTATTACTGTTGATTTTACATTTTGATAAAGTTGGTCTCAGTGTTGTGAATTTTGTTGGCCTTTGCATGTTATTGTTTGAGGCTTCAGTTTTCAGCTCTGTTTCTCGGCCTATGTTCATGTGATTGTTGTGAGGGAAAGTAATTTTCTGTCAGTAATTGTAAGGAGAGAAAGCCATTCAATAGGTTGTTGGATTCTTGAAGGATTCGTTTCTGTAAGATGGCTTTTTGGGTAATGTTAGCTTGTGAATTTGTTCGACCCTGTTGCCAAATCAGTTGCCATTAATAGGAGAATGACTAATTAGTGATCCAGATTTGATTTAGGAATACTCTCAATTCTTTTATTAATAGCGGTCAGATTTTCTTCCCAGCTAATTGTTGTATTATAATATTGAACAGAGTCTCTGTCTCTTGCTAAACAACTTATTCAAGCGTCACCTTGAAAATGTTCTTTTTTGGATTCTTTCCTATGTCCATGGAGCTCCTCTGAGTCCTATATGTGGGGTTTTCATGAGAATTAGATAATTACTAAGCAACGAGCAAATTTTATGGAAATAATCTAAAGATATAATTGAATGTATCTGTCCTCAATAGTTTGCCTGTACTGAAATGGAAATTGTAAGTTAATCTTCTTAATGACCATACCACCAAAGAAAACATGTACTCTTTGCCTTTCCTTCTTTGTCTGCTGGCTGATTGTCATATATGAGTTGTTCAAATATGAGGACTAACCTTTGGCAGTACAAAATGACTTCAGATTCTTCTGGATCTCAAATAAAACTTCCACGATTTTTATCTATTGTTATCTTTTGTGACGTAGATAGTTGAGCTGTTATCCATAATTTACAGTAACCGTTTTCAGTATCATATTCAACTGGAGATGGGTAAAGCAGAATGTAACTTGACGGCCAATCTCTCTATAGTTTCTTTTACTTTGTCCTGCATTAATCTTGACTTTGGGATATCTTTTTCTCTAAAATTCTCCAGGAGATAAAGCTTGAGGATCTTGAGACCAACCATTTGGTCCTTGTTCATGGTGGTGGTTTTGGGGCATGGTGCTGGTACAAAAGCATAGCACTTTTAGAAGAAGCTGGATTTAAAGTAACTGCTATAGATTTAACTGGTTCTGGAATTCATTCATTTGATACAAATAGTATTACAAATCTTTCACAGTATGTGAAGCCATTGACTGAATTCCTTGAGAAGCTTGTGGAGGGAGAAAAGGTCAGTATCTGGTCCACCATTTGCTTCCTTATTGATGAAGTATTTTAACTGCTGAAACTCAGACTTGTCTATGTAGTGAATTACAAAGTCAGCCACCTTCTTGCTTATAATTGGAGTAATGATTTTTCATAAGAAAGCATCTTGATTTCTTCAATTAAAACTCCTATTCGTTTTGATTAAATTATGACTTCTGCAATAGGTTAGCTCATATAACGACTTATACAGTGAAGTGTTCATACACACTGCACATAGAGGTTTCATATTCTTTACCCTTTCACTTTTGTGCAGGTAATTCTGGTGGGACATGATTTTGGTGGTGCATGTCTATCACATGTTATGGAGCTTTTCCCCTCTAAAATTTCAAAAGCTGTTTTCATTGCTGCTGTAATGTTGACTAGCGGGCAGAGTATTCTTGATATGTTTTCGCAAAAGGTTGGCCTTTAAGCTTTTATGCTCATACTCCCATCATAATGCTTTGACTGTAATCGCATGATTTACTGAGCCTAAACTTTTGTTGTCATTTTGAGGTGCTTTTCTTGATCACAGTACATGTCTTTGACCGGAAACCATTACATTTTGCAGACAGATGAGAATGATCTAATGCGTGAAGCACAGATATTTGTATATGCTAACGGTAATGGTCAGCCTCCAACTGCTATTGATTTGGATAAATCTCTCTTGAAGGAGTTGCTATTTAACCAAAGTCCATCTAAGGTACCATGCTGTACATATTTCCAAATGTTGTTGGAATCAATTAGGGTCTGGATACCTAAGCAGTGCTTCTCTGTAATTTGTCTTGCGTGTTAGTTGGGTAGAAGGACAACTGACTCAGTTGTTGAGGGGGAAGGACACTATGCTTTTTGTTTTTCTTTTTGTCATGCAGTATGTGCCATTCACTCTCTGATAATACAAGTTGAAAATTCCGCGAAAAGATTGTTGAACTTTACTTGCATAAAGACACACCCGTGTAGGCTAAAGAGTATTGTGTATGCACACATTGCCATAATGTGATTTCATGAGCTTGGCTGCTTGGATGTGGATATGCATGTCTATCAGATGATTTTGGCGGTGTGGGAACTTTGTCCGTGCTGATTCCCTTCTTATGATCCTTATGACAGGATGTTGCATTAGCTTCTGTTTCCATGAGGCCGATACCCTTTTTACCAGTTTTGGAGAAGCTCTCTCTTTCGGATGCTAAATATGGGAAGGTGAGGCGGTTCTATATTGAAACGCCAGAAGACAATGCGATACCCATTTCTCTGCAGGAGAGCATGATCAACCAAAGTCCTCCAGAAAAGGTTTTCCGCTTAAAAGGTGCCGACCACTCTCCTTTCTTTTCGAAGCCTCAAGCATTACACAAGATATTGATGGAGATTGCAAAGATCCCATGACTTGGACTGTCTTTTTTGAAATGGTCCATTCTTCCCTAATTGCTTAATGTGCCTGTGCTACCGCCATGACCTAAGGAAGTGGTACCTTGTGATCAATCTCTCTTCAGAGAGTCTGCAAGATCAGTGTACATGTTCTGTTTCTGTCCTGTTACCTAATTTTGTAAAGGAATATGTATATTTATTAAGTTATCAAGTTGGTGAGTGGGTATATTGGGAAGGAGGTTATGCTCTTTCAAGAAATTGGGAAGGCTGGCTTCATGATAGAGTTAAATTTGTTTTAAACATTTCCAAAATAAAATGTAACTCTGGTTATGCTCCCAATCTAAATTGTTCGGTACTCAGTTGTTTCCTCTATCCAAAGCAATAGTGAAGATTTTCTCACCAAAAGCCTAATTTAATATGTAACGGAATAAAGGAGATTCATTTGATATATGTTATCTCGCGTCCCAATTTCAGACTTTACTTTTCCGTGTTTATTACGTTTTAAAGTAGATTAATAATTGTTAACCCAAAATATGTCGTAAACCTCACAGTTGTTAACAGGACAGAAACAGATGGAGCAACTGGAAACGCCCACTAACTTTAATTTGTGATACGATAGTTTGGTCGCTTACTAAAGATAACTCGAATTCAACTTGCTTGCCTCTATTAGTATTTCTTATCGTGTATATACATCATATGATACGAAATTTACAGACAACCAAATTCATTTACAACCACTTGGCGGCCCAAACTAATCTGTTTGTCTAGTTCAGGAACACAATACTAGGAACATTTTTGTCCGGCAACAATAATAATGAGGTTACACGATCGAATGTTTGGCCAGCTGCAAAATGATCACTCAAGGGGGTGGTGGTGGAACAAATGAGAGATGCTGGTACTATGTAAGGATATTAGCATCTACAACAAAATTGATTGGTTGTGACTTGTGAGGGAGGAGTTGTAACCGAGTCATTCCGATCCGGATCCATATACAAACTGCAGGGTGTTGGTTGGTTTTTTTTTTTTTTTATGAATATCAAAGACTTTCATAAATTAAGAAGAAACGGAGGAATATAATTGTTGAAGACACGCTTTTGCTAACTTATGCGGATCTTCCACTATGTTCCTTTACTCACCTTTAAAAACATTACATGGGCAGGGGGTTGGTTTGTAAGTTTAAAGTTTAAAAACCCACCAATAATGGCACCACCGACAGACATCTTCACTATGTATATGATGTTACAACTTGTGAACAAATCTTTGAAAACCAGAAAAAAAGTGACGACCATTATATTCGTTCCTCCACTTAAATTATACTACCACCACACCTTTCCAAGTTCTACATTTACGAACCAACTCATTCTTTTATTATTCATTTATTGATGATATTATCATTCCACATAATAAAACGTTACTAGTACGGCACAAGTTCTCTCCTTTTTCATTGAAAAAAAATGAGAAGAAAAGAATAGGAATAAAAAAAAACACACAAAAACGGAACCATTTTCTATAAAGTGCACGTCACTGAAAGCAATAATAAAATGTTATACTTCCATCCATTTTAAAAGAAATTTTTCAAAAAATCACCAATGTTCGTTGAACTTTGAGAAGAATAATCGTTATTGTTAATTAACAAATAAAACGATCACTATGAGACAGGAGAGAACCTGAATCTGAGAAGGTTGGACAACATGACAATAATTGATTCTTATTACTCCCTCCCTTTGTCCCAAAATGATTGTCCAGTTTGAGATTTCACTTTTAGTACAACGTGAACTAGAAATAAAAATCCAAACTGGACAATAATTACGGGACGGAGGGAGTAATTTGTTTGAAAAAGAAGATAAAAAAAGATAAATGAAACAGGAACTTTTGTTTCATAAAATAATATTCGAGTGTATCACGTACAATATTGAAACATACTCCTTCTATTTTAAAATATAGGTCACTTTAGACTTTGCACGTAAACTAAGGAGACATGATCCCAACAATTAATCTATGTGTTAAATATCAGTTCTACCCTTCATTAATTATATTAGAACTATAAAGAAGACTAAATAAAAATATATTAGTATCATTTATTGAGGATACAGTTTAAAAAATAGTCATTAATTTGCTTAGAATTTATAAAACGATTTATATTTTGAAAAGTCTTTCCAAACCTAAAACGACCTATACCTTGAAATGGAGGGAGTAATTGCTTTCGTATTAAAGTGATAACATGATTTTCACATAGAACTGAATGAAGGACCTTAATCCATACACTGAATTTTCCCAAATTAATACATAGAAATTTTACGCTCTCATAAGCCAAAAAAAAATAAATTGAAAGGGTAGAAAAAGGAGGGAAATATATATATACAAGAATTGTGAGTTGAGGCCACGTACACAGGTGTACAACTGTATAATACGACCACATACACAGATACAGAAGAAATACAGGTACAACTGTACAAAGGAGGGAGCGTATGGGTTTCCGGTTCAAATAATTGCAGTTTACGGAGCAGTTATTATTAACATAAAAATTAAAACCAAAATTTTGCTGCAAATTAGTGGGAATTACGGTTTCAATTTTTAAAAACAAACAATAATCCTCTCAGTTGATTCCCCCACTCCCCTTTTCCCCTTCGCCTCCCTTCCCGTCCCTTTTATATTTGCTGCTGCTCCAGGCCCCGCGTCCTTACCCTTCATCCAATAGTACCAATACCATTACTCCTTTCTCTCTCTCGCTTTCCCTTTCTTCCTTGCTGCGTCTGCGTTAAGCGATTCCTTAAGGTACTGATTCCTCCGAAACGCTTCTCGATCTGTTCTTCTTTTCATTTTTACGTTTCAGATTTGAATTTCTACGGTTTTTTCTTTTTGTGTGTTTTTGTTCATCTCTGATTTGTTGTAAAATTCGATCTTGTTGTTTCAATTTTTTTGTCCTTACTGATGTTGTTTACTGATCTGATTGATATTCAGCATCGATTCGTTAGATCGATTTTTGAATGCTGTAATGCGGTAGTCTGAACAGATTGTTGTGTTGATGCGGATGTGTTTTTAGGATATTTGTAGGTTTCTTCAGTTGCTGAATTGTATTGTTCGTGTTCTGTTAGATCCTTTTGCTTTCCATTTTAGGTGACGATGTTGTTAGTGAATCGGTGAATTTGTTTCTTGGATTTCTTCTTACTGTACTGATGAATCTACGTGGTTTGTGTTTTGTAATCTACGGAAGGAGTGTCCTCAGATTAGTCTTTTCCCATGAAAAGTGTTGTTTAGTTCGGTGTGTGGCCTGGTTACATTTTTAACTCAATTGATTTCAAGGAAATGATTGAGGGGGAATTAGAGTAAAAAAGTTTGTTAATGGCATTTGATTGCTTTTATATTTATGTGTTGCTCAGACTAAGACATGGAGGCCTTTATGCTAGACATCACAGTCCCCACTTGATAAACTGCTGATTGTGGTGCTCTTTGTGCAAAATGATGTTTCGGAAATATTCTCTTCTTCGGGAAATCTTGTTGCGTAATGCCCTTTTTTCTTCATTTTTATATGAGATTCTCTCGGATCTACTGTCTGCTTATAATCCTTACAAATGATCATCATTTTGCCATTAAAAGTTTGTACACATCTACTTTTGACATTGTGATGCCTTCATCTTTGTGAATTACTCCTTATTTGTCTAAAATTAAGTTCATGGTGCATGCTGTTGATGTGTTTCCCCGATTTAATTGATGCATGATAACTTTCAAGTGCTTATGGTATAATCAGTGAAACTAAAATGCCATTTTTCTTTCTTGTATTAAGAAGCTTTAAGAGAGAATGGGTCGCGGAGTCAGTGCTGGTGGTGGCCAGAGCTCTTTGGGTTACCTGTTTGGAGGTGGAGAGACCACAACCACTACCGCTACCAAGCCCCAAGCCACTACTGAGCGCAGTGAGCCTACACCAAAACCTGCTGCTGTTTCACCACCTGCTGCTGCTACAAAACAAGTGCCAGCAGGCATTCAAAGTAGTAATGCAAATAACTATGTCCGGGCTGATGGGCAGAACTGTGGAAATTTTCTGACGGTATGTAACTGATTTCATCTTACAAACATTCTGTAGATATCTTGTTGACAAGTTATAGGGAGAACATATGCTGTTTGCAAGAGTGTGGTATAGGCACGTTGCTAATTCTGCTCCACATGACTTGCTTAATTTGGCTTTAGTTGGATTATTGTCATTGCTTTCTGTGACCTATATTCTTTCTTATGTGAGTCATGTTAGTTTTTTTCCAATCCTGTCTGTGAGTGCTCTTTAGTATCTCTTTCCATGGAGATTTTTGTTGAATGCTGTATAGATTTTGTGATGTATGATCTCCTGTTTCTGGTAGATTTCTGTGTTTTTGGTCAGTCACGTTCCATCTTTCTAGGATGCCGCTTTATTTGAGCTCAAACTGGAATATCTTTACTGCTGAATTCCAAAAGATTATCATTACCGTATAAACTTTACATACGGAAATTTTTTTCCTTGATAATGGTACCTGTATGAGTTCCATATGGAACTTTTTGTTTATATATGGAACCTGGTTTATTATAGAAGCAATAGGAACCTGTGCGGTTTCCTCTGCCTATGGCTCTGTACATCTAGATATTGAATGCTGAAGTTTTTATTTTTTTTTTATGTTTTTTTTTTTTTGCTGTTATGTTCTTAAGCAAATGCATTGAAGGGGCCTCCTTTGATTTCACATAGTATAGTGACTTGATACTGGCGTGTCTGCTTTGATCTTTATCATTTCTGTGATGTTCTGATCGTATGTGCTTCTAAATGCAGGAAAGGCCATCGACTAAGGTTCATGCTGCTCCTGGTGGTGGCTCTTCTCTTGGTTACCTTTTCGGCGACGGCAAGAACTGAGTTCTTCTGAAGTTGCCTCCCAGTTGTTTACAAAACTCCTTAAAAGTTATCTTTCTCGATTGTGAGACAAGGCCGTTTCACCTTATAACAGTGTACCATGTTTGTTCTGTATGGATTATTTTGACAAGGAGAGTTGCTTAAGCAATGCAGTCTCTAATGCATTAGCTAATGAAATTTATGTTCTGCTATTTTTCCTTCTGCCTCAATTTTACGACCTCTAATTCTGTTCCCTTGCCAATCGATATGAAATGTTGAAATCCTCTTTAACGGATGCTTGTTACACAATTGCATCAACCGAAGTTTTGAAGTCTCATTATTGTGTTAATTCCATATTCAAATAAGCAAAATTTGTGCATTCTCGTATGCATTAGCCTATAGGATGAGGTTATCAACCCTTATATCACTGTAATATATGCACTTTCTCCATATAAAAATTAGATTGTGTTGAAATCTCTCACTGACCATGCCTTGTATGAAAAATTTTCTCCATATTTTGGAATGAAGTAAATGATTTGAGAACGAAACAAGGCCACGAGAATCATTGCCCTGAATTGCAGTGTAAGTTCAAAGGGTGTACTCATTCTTGTTCGCAGATAATCATCAATTAAATGGTAATCAAGAAACTGGGATCAATAAGGTTTCAAGATGCAAGATAATCATTCAGAGTAGCTTACAATGATAGATATCCAAAAAAATAAAACAGTTACCTGTACAAGCATGATTAAGTTCAGAAATATTGCAGAATGATCACCCTGACTAAATAGCTTAGGCATAACAAGGTTTATGGCGCCAGTGAGAAGGTTGGTCTCCTTTCATTTTCGCAGAAGAGTATGAGGCAAAGCCTTATGGCAGTAAAACTGCAGCAATTACTGATTCCGAGGTTAGTGAATGGTTGGCAAAGAATGATCACACAGTCAAGTTGGTTGAGGAACACAAGGAGCATGTAGCTAAAATTGCCAAATTGGCTTCAAGAAACAAGAAACCATTACAAATCATTTCTGGGAGCTCACAGTGATGAAGGTTTCTGCTATTAACACAATAAAAATCCAAGCCCAGAACAAAGACATGTTGAATACCCCATTCACTGAAGCACAATATAGAACACAGACTGTTGTTTCTTGGCGAGATTATTGATGTAGGGACAAAATACTCTAAAACTGAAAATCAGAGCATTCACAAATGTTTCAAAGGCATCCACTGTACTTTATAATGCCGAACCGACTCATTAGCATGGCAAGCTCAAAGAGACAGGTTGAAAAATAACAAAAATGGAACGGCAAAAAGAAATCCTACTACTGACCATTGATACCACACGTCTTAACCAGCATTACCCAGACACAAATTACAAGTTCATTATTGCAGTCTAAGCCTATGTCAGGTCAAAAGGATTCTGATAATAAAGATATAAAAGATCTTAGTTCACAAAAATCTTCACCCATTCTGCAGAAAATACCTTTAAGCTTACATTTCCAAATTGGACAACATTAGAAAGAACTACATAACCCAGAATCACGTTAACCAACAATAATGTAAACAATAATGTAATGACGATAATAGGCAGCCAAAGTAAAGCACTAACAAAAAATAGTCAAAATGGTCCTTGAATTCATCCAATCCATTAAAATTATAATATCTACGACTTCAAAAGATGATAGCCGTCAGAAACCTAAAAAGCATAAGGAAACAGCAGTTCCAAAATTTAAACACCGCCATCACAGCTTAAACATTAAACATCTCACTACATAGCTATTAAAAATCCAAATTTTACGCAATAACATGATGAAAACACAGCAACACTGAGGATGGCGGCGGAAGGCTGAAAAGCATCTAAAATCCAAGCTTGGTGCGGCGCCAGTGGCGGCGCTTGGCGTTGTAGCGGATGGTGTTGTCGGTCCTCATCCTGATCCAGTACGGAATCGGCCGGTTCTGCCTCTGCTTCTTGGCCAGCTTCTTCTTAATCATGAAACTCTTGTGTGACGGCTGGATTCACCGGAGCAAAAAGAACGACACAACAAAAAAACACATTTCAGAACCAAAAACAAACAGAAATCGGAAATACATAACGGAAAATAGCTTAAGAAGATTAATCGGCCATACCATCTTCGGTTGCTGAAGTGGGTCTTCACTCGGTAAACAAAACCCTGGATGGATGGAGAAGATCTCTGGAACTGATGCGGCAGGGAAACAAAACCCTAGCTCCTCGAACCTTTATATATAATCGGTGCCTTTGTGGTCTTGGCCCATTTGACTTGTCTATCCAATTCCTTTCTTTTTACATTTTAGTCCTTCATTCCTTGTACCTATAAAATTCACACCGCCTATCATGTGTAATTATAATTTAAATACGGCTTTTCACTCGTACTAAATATTTTATTTAAATATTTTTTTTGTTTTCTTTAATTTTTAATTATAATTACACATTGTTTCAATGAAACTTAATAAATTTTGCTGAGAATTTTTATATTTACGTTTAGTTTATTTCCACTTAAGAAGTTATGAAATTATAAAATCAAAATTGCACAAAAAGTATCTTTAAACTTGTTATAGTTTGGATAATTTGTAGCATGAAACGATTTATATTTTTTGTACTACAAATTCTAAGTGTTTATTATAGTGATAAAATGTTAGGTATGAATATTCAACCAGGACATTAATAAAAAAATTTATGATTGTGATAATTGTTGAAACAATGAAATGATAAAACTACTAAATTAGAAAAAAAAAATTATGATTGTGATAATTGTTGAAACAATGAAATGATAAAACTACTAAATTAGAATATGTGAATTCACTTGTGTTTTGTCATTATATATATATATATATATATATATATATTCTACTATGCTTTTTGATTAAAAAAATGTATCAACTCGCATGATAATGAGATTACTGTATGTATTCGTAATGTTAATTTTTGCTAATTTATGTTTGCCATATTTAAAAGAAAATAAATGTCATAATCTTTTAGAATGAAATGATATTTTGTAACATATTGTTAAAAACAATTCAATTTGGAATAATACGATAATTACACTGTCTATTCAAAGAATACAAGAACGTGCAATATACAACTTCTAACTTGATAAAGCATTTTATTGTGATGTGATATAATTATAATAAATACGATGAATTGATTAAAAAATGTAAATTGGAGAATTTTTTTTTAACAATTTTGTTGCCAACTGATATTGATAGAAAATTATATTTTTACAAAATTAATAAAATTAGCGATGGCTGAAATTAATATGTAAAAAAAAAAGCTACTGAAATCCTAGGGGTCAATCTAAAATTATAGCTTGTTTGAAGGGGCGATAGATAAAAAGAAAAAAAAGCCCGGCAATTTCACTCGCCGCAGTGGGGGAAGTTCGAGATTAGGGTTTTTCTCATTTGCCGTTCCTTTTGCTCCTCACATCCACTCTATCCGACAGCTTCACTAGTGTTTCCGATCAGACCCTCGAAAGAACTCCCGAATTTGCAGGAATGACGACCGTTGTCCCCACTTCCGAGGAAGATCCCGCGCTCGCCGTCGTTAGATTCACGGCCGAGTTATCCTGGGCTGACGCTGGGCCGGAGGTATAATCTCTTTCTGCTTTCCTATGTCATGCCATTTACATCTACAGGCAGATAGTTTATGTCTGGTTTCGTGCTATTGGAGCTTATTTTTTGCTGAATTTTTTTTTAAAATTTTTGTTGTCTTTTATGGTAGTGTGTTTAATTGAGTTCAATTACTTGTCTTACTGTGTTTATTGTAATGTTTTAGGTAGCGGAGCCACAGGTCAGTAGATTGTGTCTTGAGGCGCAGGAATGCATGGTGGCGGGTAGATGGCTCGAATTGGCTTCACTCATGGTTACTTCTGCGGATTTGGTATTTTCCAAAGCTTCTGAAAAGGGTAACTTCTCTCTCCTTCTGCTCTTCCTGTAATTAACTTAAAATTCGAGTTAATCACCGTTTCCTTGCTGCTGATGATTTGATTAGATATTTGTTCTCTACACTTGTCTGCTTGGTGGTGGGGATTTGTAACCAGGCTTGAGCTATCTATCATTTAGTGCCTTGTCAAATGCAACAGATTTGTTTAATGGGTTGGCATCTCGAAGTTGGTTAGACAAGTTTGAACAGTGTTTGCATTGGGTCTAGATAGAAAATGGCCCTTTTTTCCTGTTGAATTCTTGCTGGGAAAAACATTTATTTTGTTGTTTTTGTGCCAAATATATGTTTTAATGTAATCAACTGCTCCTCAACTTTCCCCAGATCTGGAATGTGTTTTCACCGTGATCTGCAACCTTGTTAAGAAGCCTGAAAACCCTGATCAGGTTGATGAGATGGCCGATGTCATATCTTCAAAATTGTGCCAACAGCCTAGTGAGAAACCTGCAGTGAGAGTGAAAATGTAATATATCCTTGACAACTATGATTCCAGCATGTACGGTGTTGGTTTTATGCTTACTTGTTACTTTTAACGTTGCAGCTTGTTCAACCTCTACAATCTTTTGGAGAACTCGTACAGCCGGTTTGCTGTGTATCTGAAAGCGCTGAATGTAGCAATCAGTGGGAAAGTCACTGAACATGTCATACCATCTTTTAAGAATATTGATAGCTTCTTGAAGGAATGGAATCTTGGTGTTAAGGATCAAAGGGAGCTGTTTCTCATTGTCTCAAACATATTGAAGGAACATAAGGGGTAAGGGATTTCCCGAATTGCAAAGAGTCTTTTAAATAGCGATTGCACTAAAGTGATCTAATTTTTTGATTTATATCTGTTCTATATGATGGGTTTTCAGCTATGCCAAAGATTCTTTCAAGTTTCTTGCCAGATATCTGTCAACTTTTACCAGTGAAGATGCAGTGGCCATGAACGAGGCAAAGGAAGAAGCGGTTCGTGCAATTGCTGATTTTGTTAAGGCACCTGATATGTTTCAGGTAAGCTTTGTTGATAACTTGTTGAATGAAGTTAGTTGTTGATTTTCTTGTTTGTCTTTCATGACACATAGGTTGTCTACTTTTGAAGTTTAAAAAGTTTTTGTATCTGTCTGTTTCCTGTTTGTTGTGCATCCTTCTTGATTGCTTCCATGTTATTACTAGGTGGACTGAAGTTTATTGTATCTATCTTGATTAATTCCTTGTTATTACAAGGGGGACTCCGAATTTTATCCTTATTATTACAAGTTGGACTATGAGGTTTATTCTACTTTATCTTGTTGAGCAGTTTTGGGTTTCTTTCGAGCCTTTTGATTTGGATTGTTATCGTGAAAGTTTGTAGCCTTGTGTGCCAGAGTAGGGCTCGTTGAACAACTGATTGCTAGGTTTTCCCTTGTGGTTATGCAGTATACTCTTTATTGGTACAAGGATTTGTTCTTCATGGATTTGATTATGTCTGTCATCTTTATTAAGATCAGGACAGTAATTTTCTTTGACAAAAGCATGAGAGGTGGTTATAATTTACTCTCTATAGAATCAAGAATTCAAATTGGGCGGGTTAGGGGCCGACCTAAAAAAACTTGGAGAACTATAAAAAAATGATTTGAAATATTTAATTTGAATGATGGTGTATTGATGGAGCACGATGGGGACATATGATCCATATAGCCGACCCCACAGTTGGAAAAAGGCTTCTTAATTGATTGTAAATATGTGGGTTGAATAGTTTTCTGTTTTATTTCATTTACTGTCCTTTCACTTGGCTACTTAATAATATCTTTTTTAATGGTTTCATTTGCAGTGTGACTTGCTAAATTTGCCTGCTGTAGCACAGTTGGAGAAAGATGCCAACCATGCACTTGTGTATCAGCTTCTTAAGATTTTCTTGACTCAGAGGCTGGATTCTTATTTAGATTTTCATACTGCAAATTCTACTTTGCTCAAAAGCTATGGTAAATTTTTATACTTGTGCAATTGTTGCTTGTACAGTGGGTTGTGTCTTGCTTTCGCTCAATTGGATGCCCTAAATATCCTTTGTTTTTCAACAGGACTTGTTCATGAAGATTGTGTGGTTAAAATGAGGTTGATGTCATTAGTTGATCTTGCTTCTGATGATTCTGGTCAAATTCCATATTCAGTCATCAAAGACACACTTCAAGTAATTTTCTTTTACCTTTCCCGACACTGAATATTTCTGCATACAGGATTCCTAACTGTTTGGGGCAAACCTTTTGCAGATTGAGGAAGATGAAGTGGAATCCTGGGTTGTTAAAGCTATCACAGTGAAGTTAATTGACTGTAAGATTGATCAAATGAATCAGATAATAATTGTGAGGTACAGGATACACTTCCCTGTTCTTGTGGTGCGTGCTTAAGGGATACATTATGATGACATTTTTTTTGTTAAATATTTGGTATAGGCGCTGTACAGAGCGTGTTTTTGGGCAATATCAGTGGGAGTTACTCAGGTCGAAGCTTGCCACTTGGAAGGTAATTGTTGCAACCCTTTTTTAGATGGCATATACATTTTTTCATTTATGCATGCAGAAAGCAATCTTAGAAGATTCTCAAAATGTTTATTCTGCTAGCATTGTTTATTTTTCGTCTCAGGATAAGAATGTGACATGCTAGTTGATGAATCTAGTGCATGTGATGAAACATAATGCCTCAATTTTTGGCATCTAATTGTTAGCTTAATTTCTTGCAGACCAACATAGCAAATGCAGTTAGCACCATTCAAGCTAACCGAATAACTGAAGATAATACACAAGGAGCCCAAGGGGTGATGATTCGCTGAAATTTATTTTAGGATCAGCTACAAATTGCGGCCATTCTCTGTTAATTGTGAGAGTAATCTTGTCGGATATGAGCCTGGTAGTGGAAGAATACCGACTTGTTTGCTATGCTGGGATTGTGAGAGGCCACTACTAAATCTCAGATTTGTGTAGCCCCATCGTAGATTCGATTTAGCCAAACGTAAGTGTTGAAATATAGAAAGCTTGTACGTTGCAAATTTTGAAGCTATGGGATGTATGAATTCTCGCTTTTCCCTTAATATGTTAGCGATACTAAAGTTGACCCCAGGATACTTTTGAGTCACTGAGAAATTGTTTGTCAGTTGATGAATTTAGGTGTTTTTGGTCCTGAAATTCTTCGCCAATGCTAAATTCTTTTTGGTGGTTAACAACTGTAAGGGGAATTCTCCTTTATTGAATGTGCATAATCACCTAGCAGGGTTATGTAAAATTCGGTATCTTTCAGCTAAACTTGTGCTACTCCCGTCCCCAAGATGATAGATGTAGGGACAGGGAGAAATTTACTCGAGAGGTACATTGTTACAGGTTTAACAAAGTGGCAGCTTGATTCAAGATTTGTAGGAAGGCCCTTGACGAGGACACATTTTGAGAAGTTCGATGATTTCTTTTTTTGGAGATAGAAGTACAACTATATTAGTTAGATTAAGTGAAAGTATTGTGACTAAAATGGCTGTCGTTCCAGGGGGAGGGCCGGGGAAGATTCGTAACCATCGTTTACTTCACAATCTTCTACACAAGGAATACATGTGTCTTCATTTCTTAGCTAGATCTGTATGACTTGAAATCTATTTAGAAGTACAAATGCCAAATGGTAAGAATTGCTGTTGGTTAGGCCCAAGCAACAAAGATGCAACTTCTATCCACTTTGCTTCAAGAAGTTGTTGTCAAACGCTCTACATTGAAACAATTTCAGGTCTCCAAGCAAGAGGTCCTTATTTCTTGAACTCTATTCTCGGTAAATTGGTTTCGTGAGCTTCATTCCGCAATAATGAGATCATCCTTAGGTGCCTGCAATTGCCTCCTCACCAATGCTGTATATATTCCATCCCTACTAAGAAGCTCTTCGTGGGTGCCACTCTCTGCAATCTGGCCATCGGATATCACGGCAACTGTATCTGCGCTTTTGACCGTTGAAAGCCTGTGAGCTATCACGAGTACTGTCCTACCTCTCATTAGTGAATCCATAGCATCCTGTTGATATAGGAGTTGTCAGTGAAACTTGTCAGAATTGGTTCTACATGTGAATGAAACACATGTTAAAGGTTTCGAAGAAAACAAGGCAACAATCACATGCAGCTGTAATAGAAACACTGGATATGAATTTACCACACTAATTACAGTAATAGAAGTTAGGGAAATGAAATGTAATATAATTGATGGAATTGGTTTGTGAAGTACTAAAGACACGAAAAGAAGTCAGCTCACTTGGACAAGGTACTCGCTCTCTGCGTCTAGAGCGCTTGTTGCTTCATCTAAGAGCAGAACTCTTGGATTCATCAATAGAGCTCTTGCTATCGCTATCCTTTGCTTCTGGCCTCCAGATAGCCTCAATCCACGCTCTCCAACAACCGTTTTATATTTATCAGGAAATGATTCGATAAAGTCATGAGCATTGGCCATTTTCTGCAGTATGCCAACTCATTTTGTATTAGTACAAACATCAAGAAAATTTTTCAGAAACTAGAAAATCAAGCAGGGAGCAACAGCTGACTGAATAATCTTACGGCTGCAGTTTCTATCTCTGTAGTGCTTGCTTTGCCATCTAACCCATATGCAATGTTTTCTTCAATAGAGCAATTGAAAAGAACAGGCTCTTGGCTCACTATACTGATCTGTACACATATTGGATGAACACAACACTTCAGTTTACTTGCTAGAGATACAAAATCACCAGAAACTCACATATTGCTTGAAAACCTCAAACTTGGTGACATTTAGACTAAAATTACCTTTCTATGCAAATATTCATGTGATATTTCCACCAAAGAAACCCCATCAAGCAAAATCTTTCCCTTGATTGGGTCATAAAATCTCTCAATCAAGTTAGCTATTGTTGTCTGCAAGTGAAGAATAGATTCATTATCAGAAGAAAATAAAAGCAATTGCAAAACTAAAACTACAAACAATCGTTCTGATGTATAAAAAAGGAAAAAGGCTTCAAGAAGAAATTGAAAACCCGTTGTACCTTCCCTCCACCACTTGGACCAACAAGGGCTACTTTAGATCCAGGTCTCAACCTTAGTGTTATTCCCTGCACTTTCAAAACAAATTGTTCAATTGTCCTCTAGGTGTCAAAACAAATTCATGCGGAACCATTATAATGGGGTAAATTCTGATTGTGGTTTTCTAAGATGAACAGTCATCATTTTATCCTCAAGCATGAATGGCAACAAAGAAAAATCTCCTCAGATGAAGCACAATTTTTAGACAAAATCACCAACAAGACAGGATAAATTTCACTTTCGTCATTAGCATGCTGATGAATAAATACATTTCAAGAGGCTTTTTACCTTGAGTACCATATGGCTTGGACGAGAAGGATAAGCAAACCAGACATCCTCAATCGCCACATCTCCATCTGGATTGCTGAGCAAAGGGCCAAAGGATTGATTTAGCATGTGAACAAATAATCAAATCCAAAGAAGAAAAAACCTCAGGGGGTTATCCTGATCCGATGAAGTAAGTTCATTGATAAAATGGTGAATAATAACAAGTTTGAAAAGGGCCATATTCTTTGCCGTTTCTCCTCCCTCCTACGCACCATCACATTTAATACCCCTCTTGGTTCTGATGAGATACAATCAGGCAAATTTCTTCTAAAACTTATCCATGTGTAAAAAGCAGCTTACCCTTCTGGGCGTTTATCTCCAGCCTTAGGCATGGTAGACACACGATCTAGAATTTGGAAAACTCTTCTGCTTGCTCCTGCTGCTTTCATTGTCGTAGTATACAATCCTGATAATGATGATATTGAAGAACCAACTGCAGAAGGAACGAGGTGTCATTTAAAGAATCCATATTTTCAAAGTTGTTAACATTACTGCTAAATATAATTCATTCATTGTTACAACCATTTGAAAAAGTTGGATTATCCACAACAACACGAAGGTATTTAGATCAATTGTAACATCTAAAAATGAAAAATCATCAACTTGGGTAAAATACCAAAGGAACAAGTATCTAGAACTGCAATGATCCACTATTCTATTAATCTACTTTGGAAATAGTAAAACTACGCAAACCTTTCCTTTGGCATGCCTAAATCAAGAAAACCACTCAATATGACATTCACATTGGAGAGAACACGAAAAACTATTACCATATATTTTTTTTAAACAAGTGATCATGACTACCAAAATACAAAAAAAATTTCATCAGGAATTTATCAGCAATTCTATCACGGAAGGGGCAACTCATACAGCTGCATGCATCATCGGGTCTAGTGTATGGAACTGAATTCATTAAATCAAAGAGTGTACCTGTGAGGCTATAGAGAATGAAGGATGTAAGAGACCCAGCAGTCATGGAGCCTGTAATTGTCAAGTAAGCTCCGTATATAACAACTACCATGACCGACAATGTAGAAGCAGCATTCAATCCACCAAAGAATAGGCCAACCACTCTCTGTAATTAAAAAAGAAAAAAAAAACAGAAAAAATATGTCAGGAGTGCATAAAATGAAAGATAAAGTGGACTCAATTCATTTCGTTTTTGTTATTTTCATTTATCTCTGTGTGTGTGTGTGTGGTGAAGGGAGTCGGAAGGCTGTGGAAGTGAGGGAAGCCTTTGATGAATAGATAGTTAAGAATGACAATTCTCACCGCTTGTCGAAGTCCAAGCTTCAAGGTCTCGTCGACCTTCTCTGAGTAGCCTGAAATTGCATACTGCTCTTGGGCAAAAGATCTGACAGTTCGAATCGCCCCAAATGATTCCTAAACATATAAGCTAATTTGTTAAATGCATTATTGTTTGTAGTTACTAAATTCATCGTGGTGCATTATAACTTCGCACAACAGGATTAATTTCAGAATACACAGCAAAGACAAACCTCAGCAATCGAGGCTGCAACTGCAGCTGCTGCTTGAGTAGCATGTGATAACTCACGAAGATAGCGACCAAACTGACGAACTCCAACTGAAATTACAGGAACAACAGCCAAAGCCAGCACTGCACAAGATCCAGCAGAATATATAAGTTAGAAGGCCTCACAACATAGATTGTATGCTGCAGCCTAGAGAGAAAACCAAATCACTAACATGTTAGCTTCCAGGAAGATGAGAACATGAATCCAATGCCAATCATTGCTGTAGTTACATTACGTAGTGCCTCAGAAAGATTGGTGGTGGCAGCACTTTTTATTATTTGGGTGTCCTCAGATAGCCTACTCAAGAGTTCTCCCGTGCGTGTAACATCGAAGAAAGCTATTTCCTACAAGATTTTTTCACATCAATAATGAGTCAACAGCCTTATGAAGAATCATTATTTAAGGTAGATCTTTGAAGTGTTCCCACATTGTTATATGGTAAATTGGTAATTCCCCAACCTTACATCTCTATCAAGGGAGTTACGAGAAAGTATATTGGCATACATCATCAGATTACTCTAACATTTGCCTTCCAGAGTACTAGGTAAAAGTGGATTTAAAGATGTAATGTTACAATGCCAATAAAAGGAAGTCTTACTTGCTGGATAAGGTGACTGAATAAATTCTTCCTCAGCCGAGCAACTACCCTTTCACTGGCAGATGCAAATAGCCAAGATCTAAATGCTGTGGACACAGAACTAAGAAAACCACCGTATTAAACATCTTCATGAGTGCTTGGAGTTAGAATTAGCAGTTAAAAGAAACTGTCCATACCCAATGACAACTACAGAGACAATGAGAAGTACTGTGTTCTTGATGGCATTCCATGCTTCAGCTTGCTGTTCAGGAGTCCTTATGTCTCTTGATACAATGTCAATTATCATACCACCATATTTGGGCTGCAACACCACATTCAAAAAAGTAGGTAAGGTTTGTTATCTGAAGATTGCATGTGTCGAGGGATAAGCTACAAGTACTAAATCCTTACAAAAGCCATACTATGCATGAGGATAGAAAGCCATACTATGAGAAAGCAATACTATGCCGAGGCATAAGCTACAAGTACAGGATTATGCATGATGATAGAAAGACATACTATGAGAAGGTTTGTTGTGGATGCTATTAACAATGCTATAGTCCCAATAATTATCTTCCCAGCATCAGGTTTTGCCTAAAACAGAAGTACATCAGAAATATGTTAGTACAGGCAAAATTAGAAATTTAATCAGTCAATAAATAAACTTTAAACTCACCAGAAGAAACACTCTACCAAATCCAACATTGGCAGCCTGGATTGAGCAATAGAAAGCAAAAATCTCAGTTTAAAGCTATAGTTAAGGCGTACAAGAATCAGAGAACAGAACTAGGAGCTACCTCCCCAGCACCATGTTCCAGATCAGTTGCAGGATCAGATTCCTCGTTGCCCTTCTGTTTAGCCTACATACAGAAATACAAAGACCATTTCCTTTGTTAGACAACAAAACAGATGCTGCTGTCTGTTCTTCCAATTTTTTATCTACTTCTATAACATATTTTCATATCCTTCAACTATCCAGAGCAGACAATGATTAAAATTTCTCATCGTCAAAGGTGGACAACCATACGTTCTCCTAGTATTAAACATGATAAGGAGCACTCTACTCAATCAGAAAATGCAAGAGTTAACATGCATAGTTTAGTCAAATTTCAAACTTGATCACCCTAACCATTAAACAAGGAAGACTAATAATCATTCCCATGCTCCTGATACCTCAGTGAAAAGTGGGAAATTGAGCTATGCCCACTTTTTGCGGGGCATGCACTGACACATATTTCAATTGATATATGCCGAGCTCCAAGTTAGGCCTAATTGCAATCCAGCACTATGACAAACGCAAAGCTAAAAATAAAATGGGCAAGAAGCTCAAAATAAGAGATTCCAAGAGAACCAGAGGCCATTAAAAAATGGCTAAATGATCTGTACTCAAGCCGATGTAACGATGAGGTAGGGTGTCAGACAATCCCAGAAGGCCAGAAAGATGCATAGCAAGATAGAAAAACCGAAGGGAACTTTACCCCAGTACACAAAGCATGCTCAAAGAATTCCGGTAGAAAATCTCCAAAATAAACAGAATTCCAACAACATCAAGTGGTATAAAAAAGAAGAGAATTTCAGACGAAACCTGCCTGTTTGTTCAAAAGGGAGACTCTTTCGCTTCCAGTTGACATGATAGACTTCGACGTCCAATCCAAATGCTGTTTCTTCCCCATCAAAGCCTAAAAACCGAACAGTAAAATTCAACGAAAGAGTTGAACAAAAAATTTTATCCAAGCCAACAAATGATTAAACAGAACATTTCTTTCGTAAATAACAGTAATTCAAAACTTCCAACCACAAGAAATTCCACCATAACCGAACAAAAAACAAACCTCACTGAATTTTGACCTGACCTAACAAATGAAAAGCAACCCGGAAAAAGAACACACAAAACTTGGCGGAATTTGAAAGCTATAACTGACGCAATATTAGCTTTAGTGGGTCTGTCCCATCAGACTGGAAAAGCTAATTTCCAAAGTTTCGATTCCTGATTACCGATTTCTCCCCACTGATTCAAGAACCTAACTTTAATCTGATGCAAAGCAAAACAACGTTAATGCAACTTACACTGTACAACTGCTACACTAATACTACAATATTGAATATAGTGGGCAGTAAACAGTATATTCGAGGATCAGAGTCTTCTCAGGCAGGTTGGAAGCGTTGGGATTTTCACGTGCTTTCAGGGCCACCCGCTGAAAACTGAGAAATGAAAATAAGGAGTACGAAATACGTACAAAAGAGGGAATTTTTTGTGCTCTTTGGAAAATTTGGACAATTGCCTGGTGTCCTCTCACTTTTTGACTTTTACTAGTAAGCGTCCCGCGCTTTATGCGAGTTTGACAATGTTGAAAATTTATCTTTAAAAATCATAATATTTTATCTCCTATTAATCAATTTTAGATCATATCTATAGTACTTAATTAAAGCAGCAAAGGACATATATTAGTACTACAATGAAGATTTTCTCGCCAAAAGGCATTTTCAGTACATTATTTTTGACAAGTGACACTCTAACTAATCAGAAAAAAATGGAATAGATACATACATAAATCCCTTAATTATAGCTACATAAAAATCTCTTCATTATAGGTATATACTAATCTCTTAAAACAATAATATTTAATTAATAAAATCAAATATAAAGAAATCCCCTTAAATCAAGTGAAACACAATAATGTCTTCCCAATCTTCAATTTCAAAGAATATCTCCCATTCCGCTCCTCTCTCACACCCGGGCCTTTAAATCAATTACTTAAAATCTGACATTAATTATCAATCCATCTATTTCTACAACAGAGAAAAAATAAGTTGTCATGAAAAAAATTTGATTTTTTAAGAATGATTTTTTTTATTCTTCTGTTGTAGATATTGGTTTATGATTTATGTAAATCCGGACATAAGTTAAATGTTGTAAATTAAATGTTATAAAATTTGCGCATAGATTTATGTATAATAACTCACTTTCTGTCCTTTCAATCGATTTTTTATTTTTCTATTTTTTTATTCTTTTAAAAGTGATTCGTATTTTTTATTTAATCGATTTAAAAATACAGGCAGCACCCGGGCATTCGCCCGGGGCAAACATCTAGTTGATATTATTTATGCGATGTATATTCGTAAGATCTGGTAAAAAATATTACAATAAAAATTTTCAAAAGTTATATGATAAAAATTATCACCACTAACTAATATTATGTCCGGATTAAAATATATATTTAAAAAATGCATAAATTATGAAAAGGGACTTTGGGGATTAGATGTAGTTCTAATAAAATATGATACATGATTAATCGTTCTTAAAAATGTAAAATCGATAAACTTAAAGACTAAATAGCACACAAATAGAACTTTAAAGGCCAAAATGATAATAGATTGAAAATTTAAACTCGTAAATGAAAGAACTTCTGAAGACGGGGAGTTTATCAATAATTTTTGAAAATATTCATTTTCAAGCTCACAATCAAGAATTTGTAATATCTATAAAAATCTTATATAATAAATAATTTATTAATTGTTTACATAAAATTTTAACGCATTAATGATCAACCATTTATCAAATGACACGTGTTAATTGAGACTTGATGGTTTCAATGAGCGACACGTATCGATTATTTTTCTTTCCTTTAATATATATAATAATTATCTGTGCGTAACACTTAATTTAAAATTGACTAACCGTACTATCTGGAAGTCATCATTGTAATTTTCTTCGCATTTTCTCATCAGTGTAATTTCATAATCAATCACTGGACGAAACTTAATGTAAAATTAATTTAGTGTAGATGTCGTATAATCATTTTTGTCATCATCATTGACGGGGCTAAGTTAATTTAACCGATTGAAGTCATTACATTTGGTTCATTTCATGCCAACATGCATGTTCCAAATTGTAATATTTATTCTTTCTTTTTTTCAGCTTAAACTAATGTAATATGTAAGGAATTTGTCATTGTCATGTACCTTTGTACGTGGATTGTGGCGTATAGCTTATCAAACCAGAATCTATAGGTTCCATCGGGGAAAATCTTATTTGGGGTTGGCCTTAACTAGAGAAGAGAAGAATCAGACCAAGATAATGACAAACATGACGAGACAAATCGATTGGATAGCAACGTGAATGCTTGGAAGTTTAATGAAATCTCGGCCTTAAAGAAATATAATTTATATTGAGTTTTATATGTGATCTCTGGATTAAGTTTTTATGACAAAAAAGAGTGTTATATTCGGTCCACAATAATCAACTCAAAACTATTATTGTTATTGTATTATTACGATAAATAAGACAATTGGTCCGCTGTCTCTCTTTCTGTGGGTACAATTTGTTAGTATAAAGTTGTGTAAATTAATGTAACATGTAACCAGCCTTTCCCTAACCCCATGTGAAACTCCAGAAAAATGTTTGGTTATCTCAAAAAATAAATACAACCATTTAACGTACACCTGTTGTACCTTAATCGTCCTGGTCCAGTTCCTACTCAATATTTAAATAATTAACATTAGCAATCCATATGGGCATCTCAAAAGAACAGAAAAAGGAAAATAACAGCACAAATCATGCTTTTTATTTCTCAATTTATTTATGTAATTTTCAAAGCTGGAACGACCATCAGTATATTGTTTATTAGTATTTATTTGTTGTTTATTGTAAGCAGTAAATCTTTACGAAAAAAGACAAGTCGAGCGGTTCTCTCCTCTCAACGTCTTAAAATTTAATGCAATCATCTAAATATATTACTCACTCTAGTCAAAATGAATGTCTAGTTTTGATTTTGTTTTTAGGATTTTTATTTTTACCACAAAGTAGACAATTTTTTCACGTATTTTTTCTTACTACCAATCATAGTTATCAAATCGTGATGCATATCGTGTATCGGAAACCTAAATTTATGATACACGTATCGTATCGTGATACGTTTTAATATAATAATATATATAATAAATAATAAACATCATAAACTCCATATATAATTAATATATTTATGTATTTTTTAAATATTCAGCTATAAACAAAACTTGATTAAGTTGAATTCAATATTATTTGAAAGTTACACAAATTATTTATTTATTACATGAATAATGGTCGTAAAACCTATGTAATAAAAAAAAATACATGGTTTGCATGCTATTGCAGTGGGCGTAGGTTTATCCATCTCTGATGGGGTTCCCGACGTTACCAAAAAATAAAAAAAAACCCTATGTAATAAATATTATATTTAACAAAAGTTATTATTAAAACCATAAATTTAATAGTGAGAAGATTAATATAAACATGCATTGCATTTATTCAACATGCTATTAGTTGTACTTGATTTAGAAAATCATATTATGAATAAATAATGCTTTTAATTAATTTATTTTTTAAACTATAATAATTTATTAATCAATTTTATCGTCAGGGAATTGAATAACAGCTTATGGTTAGGTTACTGTCATTCCTGGTAATAGATCAGGGTTCGATTCCCACCAAAAATTGTAAGAGGATTTTACCCACATTTAAATGGGGTCCACTGAGGTAGATTTTTTTATTTTATTATCAATTGAGGAAGATTATATTTGTAAATTGTGAATAAAATAAATTAAAGGCATCTATTCAAAACAAATTGTAAATAAAATCTACTCTTAATTTGAAATTTAAATGGTCATTATGAAACAACAATTTGAATTCTTTTAAGAAAAAAATTATTTTTTGTTTATATTTTTGTATCGTACGATACACAATCGTATCGTGTATCGTACGTATCCTAAGATACGTGTCGGTAATTGACCAATACACAAACGATTGCGATGCATATTACGATACATATCGAAATCTTTGATTTTGATATGTGCGTATCGTACGATACTTACTACTATGCTACCAATTGCACAATATTTTAATAGTGATCTGCATTATGTATATGTTATTACTAGTAGTGTATTTTTTTTTATTTTTTATTTTTTTATTTTTATTATTATTTTTTTTTACATATTTGTCGGGTGTCCACCGTCGGCAACAATAACTAATCCCTTACCAATTACATAATATTTTAATAGTGATCTGCATTTTGTATATGTTATTACTAGTAGTGTATTTTTTTTAATTTTTTTATTAATTTTTTGTATATTTACAGGGTGTCTACCGTCAGTAACAATTACTAATTCCTCTCTACTCCATCACAACCACTTTGGTTTATTTTATTTTGCCTTTTCATCTCTTCAATAGTTTTTACTTGGGCCGACCAGTAGTATAGTCCCAGCATGAGCTTCCATTTGGAAAATTGGGCTTTGTAGTTTGTTATATGGCCGAATCTTTCTTCTACTAATTACTTCGTTGAGTTGGTTCTCCATTCATCGTCCACAAGAAAGTAGAAACCTGAATTTTGATTCGAAATGAAGCTCTGCAACACCCCATGACTTTATGAGAGCTCAAAACTGTGAAACCTGCCTTTGATGCCTGGATTTGCTTTTGATTGTTGTCTTTTAAAGGCTGCTGGCTTTGGTTGTGTGTTCTCCATTTTTATCAGTGCGGCATTTTGTCGAGCATCTTTCACTCAGCTAACCACCATATCTTCACCTATTGGTAAAAGACCTTAGTTTTTGTACAATTCGACTGAGTATGTGGAAATGCAGCCGGAGAATCATCGCCTTCGTTTCCTCTATTGGGAATAATGATGGTGTAATCTCCCTGTATGGACGAGTTGGCGTCTCTACGCCATCACTACTACCGGCTCATTCTTCTTCAAGGGCCTTAAGGATTGATTCTCCGGTTTTATCAGTTCTTTTTCCTTCGTATTTTTCATCTATACATGATGGATTAGGTCCAGGTTCTCTAGCTCCGATAAGTGCCGATGATGATGGTGACGATGATTTCGGGAGCAGGGGTAATGAAGAAGAGGAAGATTTTGATCAAGAAGAAGACGTTTGCAATGGTGGCGGTAGGAAAACGGAAACCCGGTTAGCTGATTTTCGCGATGTTGAAACTATTATGGGTATTCTTCAGAAATGGAGCAATGGCGGGAAAGATTCAGTAAAGAACAGACTAGAGCAATGCGGGGTTATGGTGTCTTCGGAGTTAGTGGTTGAGGTTCTGTCTCGGGTGAGGAATGATTGGGAAACAGCATTCACTTTCTTCCTGTGGGCTGGCAGACAACCCGACTATGAACATTCCTTGAGGGAGTACCATTCCATGATATCTATACTCGGGAAAATGAGGAAGTTCGATACTGCGTGGGGATTGATTGAGGAAATGAGAGGTAAATCACTTGTCACCCCTCAAACACTTGTGATTATGATCAGGAAATACTGTGCCGTGCATGATGTAGGCAAGGCGATCAGTACTTTTTATGCGTATAAGCGGTATAGTTTTGAGATCAATGTAGACGAGTTTCAGAACCTTTTATCTGCACTTTGTCGATACAAAAACGTGAAAGATGCAGAGCATTTGCTTTTCTGTAACAAAAGTGTGTTTCCTTTGAGTACTAAGAGCTTTAATATCATACTAAATGGATGGTGTAACGTTGTGGGCGATTTGCGTGAAGGGAAGAGAATATGGGAAGAGATGAGGAAGAGAGGGATACCTCGGGATGTTTTTTCTTACTCTAGTATGCTGTCTTGTTATTCAAAAGTTGGTAAGCTCCAACCTTTGCTGAAACTATTTGATCAGATGAAGGCATTGGATATTGCACCTGACCGGAAAGTATACAATGCAGTAATACATGCTCTTGCCAAGGCAAGACATGTAAAAGAAGCCTGGAATCTCATGAAAACAATGGAAGGAAATGGTATTAGTCCCAATGCCATTACATATAACTCCATAATTATGCCTGTCTGCAGGAGCCGTCAATTAGATGCAGCTCGTGAAATCTTCAATGAGATGATGGAAAGGAACTTGACTCCTAATGTCCGAACTTACCATGCTTTCTTTGGCATGCTTAGGTCAGATGAAGAAGTATTTGCACTCTTGCAAAAGATGAAAATGACAAGCTGCAAACCAACTCATGATACATATATTATGTTGATTAGGAAGTTTTGTAGGTGGCGCCAATTTGATAACGTTTTCAAGCTGTGGAACGAGATGAGTGCTAATGGACTTGATCATGACAGGAGCTCTTATCTTGTGCTCGTACATGGTCTGTTTCTTAATGGAAAATTGGAGGAGTCTTATCAATATTATCTGGAGATGCAGGGGAAACACATGTTACCAGATCCAAAGATTGAAGAGATGCTCCACGCTTGGCTCGCAGGCAAACAAGCTGCGGCAGAAGGGCAGGGGACCAATTTGTAAGACAATCAAGTAACTTAACTACTAGTGTACGATATATCTGGTAAAACCCTGTAATTTTGTATGAGAAAATGTAGCTGAATAAACTATCCGTGTAGGTTTGTACCGGAACCATAATTAGTTAGCCAGTTTTCACACAGAAGCTTGATTTCTTTTTTTTTTTTTTGTTAAAAAGAAAATTGCATTGCCCTGACGAGGTTTCCAAACTAACATCATCGTGAGAATAGCCACCCAATCCTGATGCTTGTATTTTTGACTTCTCAAAATATGTGCATGATTATGTTGCAAACAGTTGCATGATCTGTCTGCTGCGGATTTGTTGATACTTCTTTTTTTTTTTTTTGAAAGGCAAGTATGTATTTAAATTTCCATCTCCATCAATATTTAAATTTTGTTGGATTTGTTGACACTTAATCACTCATTTTAATATTTCCGAAAGCATATTATCCCAAAAATTATTTTGTGGAAGGCCATTGCAAGAGTTTATTTACAAACGATTTGAAAAATTAGCCAAGATAACTATAATCTGGAGTTGGAAATCATCACAATTATTTGAGTATCGCACCTTAATTATCCAGCTTTTAGTGTAGTAAAGTCAGAGCCGCCATAGAAATACTATATAGTTTTACACTTCATGTCACTATACGAAATAGACATATGGATGTTCCTCTTAATTTCCAAGAAGGTAATACAATGGCCAAATTGACCAACCAAAAAGGCAAAAAACATTTTTGCTCAGACGAAGACTTTCATATCCAAAGTTGACTGACTTTATATGCTTTTCTATCATCCTGGCCTGTGAAGTGTGAAGAATGAGAAGGGGCTGTGTCCATTGATCTCATATGCTTGTTGAGCAAATACAATCTTCTGTCTGGTTCTAAGTTGTTTAGTCACCCAATAGCATTACTACCTGAAATATGATTGCAGTCCAACTTTCAGTTACTATCCTCCTACATTGCTTTTTCTTAGGTACCAGTATTGCCAGCCTGCCTGTTCTTGAGGGCATTGCAGTTTCATGTGGTTTCTCTGGCAATGCAACTGCAGTCGATGGACGTGTTTGGGTTGGAGATACCGGTTCCGAGTCTTCCAAATGGCTGCAACTGAGTGGAAAATCAACCAAGTCAAGCGCTATCTGCAGTGCTGCTGCCTCAACTGATGTTCCGTACGAGACTGCTCGGATATCTAGCAGTGACTTCACTTATACAGTGCCTGTAAAGCCCGGTCAGAAGTTCATCCGTCTTCACTTCAATCCAACTTCATACAAGGGATTCAAGAACTCTAGAGCCTTTTTCACTGTCAGAGCTGGTCCTTACACACTTCTTAGCAACTTCAGTGCTTCAGGAACAGGGCCCTTCAGCAAGGAATTCTGTATCAATGTTGAGGAAAATCCAGCATCAATCAGTATAACATTCTCTCCTGTTGAAGGAAAGAGAGGGTCAGCTGACAACTATGCATTTGTCAATGGTATTGAGGTTGTCTCTATGCCAGCTGGTCTTTATTTCACTCCAGATGGTGGTCTCGGCGCCGTTGTTGTTGGCCAAAAATACAGGTTCTACATTGACAACAGCACCGCACTTGAGATGGTTCGCCGGCTAAACATCGGTGGAAACTCCATTCCCTCTGTTGAAGATGGAAACATGTTCAGAGAATGGAGTAAAGAACCCAGTCACATGCCAGAAACAGGAGGTAATTTGATTAAAAAGATCATTCCAGTTAATTACACATTCACACCATCATATGTTGCACCTAAGAAAGTTTATCAAACAGCAAGGTCCATTGCTCTTGAAAATGATCTTGACAAGCACAATCTTACATGGAACATACCTTTGGATGTGGGGTTCAGATATTTGGTTAGGCTTCATTTCTGTGAACTTGAATTGAGAATAAGAGAGTGTGGTGAAAGGGAGTTTTCCATTCTCATGAACAATCAAGTTGCCGAGGAGAATGTTGATATGATCAGGTGGGGAGGAACACACGGAGTTGCATTCTACAGAGACTATATAGTGTTGATGGAGGGAGATAGGATGCAAGGAATGCGTTATCTAAATATCACCTTCCAGCCAAAGTTCATTTTAAGCGAAAAGGAAACAGGTGGGATCCTAAATGGGCTGGAAATATTCAAGTTAAGCAACCCTGATAACAGTCTTGCCAGCATGACTCCAACCGAATATGTACGCCATTCATCATATCGGGCACGAGAGCAGAGGAAGATGCTGTCATCTGAAAGTAAGAACTATCTGGCAACCGCAGTAACTATAGCGATTACCCTGTTGAACATTGCCATGTATTACATCAGGTGTCTTTCAGAAATTGATTCTGCTTCGAGGAACTCTAGATCATCATCGTATGATAGCCATTGCCGCCAATTCTCAATTGCTGAAATCCGATCGGCAACCAACAATTTCAGTCGTGAGCAACTGATTGGCAGTGGTGGACAGGGAAGGGTGTATAAAGGAAGCATTGATCGAGGAGCTCCTGTAGTGGCAATCAAGCGGTTGAAATCGGAGTCTAGGCAAGGAGATAAAGAATTCTGGACTGAGATAAAGATGCTATCCAAGCTTCGGCATGTGCATCTTGTTCCTTTGATTGGTTACTGCAACGATGGTCAAGAAAGAGTGTTGGTCTACGAGTATATGACTAAAGGAACTCTTGCCGATCATCTTTACAAGATTGGTAGGCATGGGGGGATTAATCCCCCTCTCTCTTGGGAACAACGGCTTAAGATCTCCATTGGTGCTGCCCACGGATTGTATTTCCTTCACACATCTCGCCGAAGGGTAATCCACCGAGATGTGAAAAGCTCAAACATTCTGCTGGATGAGAACTGGGTGGCAAAGGTTTCAGATTTTGGCCTCTCAAAAATGGGAGCGCCTAATGAGTCAGTCAGCCATATCAGCACCAACGTTAAGGGGACATTTGGCTACATAGATCCGGAGTATTTCTTGACTAAGAAGCTGACAAGAAAATCGGATGTGTATGCTTTCGGAGTTTTGTTATTTGAAGTCCTTTCTGGTAGGCCAGCAGTGGATATCCGTCTTGAAGAGGAGCAACACAGCCTAGCAACCTGGGCAAGATACTGCATAAGAAAGGGAAAAGTTGAGAAGCTGGTTGAAAGTAGTCTGATAGAAGAAATATCCCCGGCTTGTTTAAAGGTCTTTGCAGGAATTGCTGGAAGGTGCTTAGATACCCACCCTCATGAACGGCCTGCTATGGCCGATATTGTGGTAAGCCTCGAGTTAGCCTTGGCACTGCAACAAAACCCCAGTTCCGATGAACAGATAGAAGAGGACAATATAAATGTTGAAAAAAGTTATAGTGATCAAAGTGATGGCGTTTTCTCATTCAATGATCTCAGTATTAATCCATCCAATGGTAGAACCGAGCAAAATGCCAATGTGGAGGTTTCGGGGACATCTGAAAGGACTGGAGAACTTGAAAGTGGGCAGCGTTTGAGGAAGAGTAGCAATGGCAACAATGCATCATCAAGATGGTGGTGGGATTGGATTTTGCCACGATCGCCTTCAAAACCAAAAGCTCCAACATTAGTTCTACAAGAAGGGCTCCATAAGTTTTCAGTTCAAGAGATCAGGAAGGCGACCAATGATTTCCGTAACAGTTTTATCATCGGTTCTGGATATTCTGACAGCATCTACAAGGGCTATATAGACGGTACTCCACCAGTGATAGCTGTAAAACGATCAAGCTCTAGACAGTCCAGGCATTCAATGATCTACGAGCTGCAAACAAAGATGGAAATGGGCCATTCAACAAGACACGCTCATGTTGTCTCGCTGCTCGGCTATTGCAGAGATGAAAATGAAATGATCCTCATCTACGATTCTATGTCCAACGGGAGCCTTCATGATCATTTATCTGATCCTAACAAGGATCCTCTCCCATGGAAGCGGAGACTTCAAATCTGCATTGACATTGCTAAAGGAATGTCACATCTTCATTCCACAATTAAGCACAGTAATCTCCACTGCAAATTGAGGTCGACCAACATTGTATTAGATGAGAACTGGGTTGCCAGGATTTCAGATTTCTGTATATCAGGAAGGCAACAAGTCAACGATGCCCCTGGGAGCGTGGGATTCATGGACTCGGACTACATACGTGATGATCAAACAACAGAAAAATCTTATGTATTCTCGTTGGGGTTGATGTTATTTGAGGTACTGTGTGCCACCAAAAATTCAACCCGCTGGTTGGATGAAGGGCAAGTGAGCCTGGCGCAATGGATAAGATCTGAATTAAGGAATAACCTCTCCGGCTGTATCGATCCATATCTTACAGGTAAGAAAATATCATCTGAAAGCATCAAGATATTCATAGACACAGCTGGGAAATGCCTGCTGGAATGCGCCACTGAACGACCGTCAATGAGTGACATAGTGTCAAGTCTTGAAGCAGCACTGAAGCAGCAAGAGGGTGCAGAAGATACCAAGGGCTATATATTAAGCCAAATCAGTTGACTAAGGCCTAATGCAAAAGAGTAATGAATTATTTACTGTACTTTGTTAAATGTGATTTTAGGGATCTGATTAGATTAGTTTTGATTTGATCTTATCCAGTAGTTAATGCAATTGATAGGATAGGAGTCAATATTCTTGTATAAATATACCAGTGTATCAATTCAATAAGACACATAATTTCGCACGATCCTCTGATATGTTCTTTCTATTTGATCCGTTCTCGGTTAATATGTCTAGTTCAATCTCTGTGAATATACTTGTTGCATTTGGCTGCTTAGAAAGTACGCAGAAAGTATGCGCATCCTTCATGTATTCAAGGAATCAGAAGACAGTGATTTTGTTAAAAGCTGCTTCAGACAGTCCTAACTGATACCTTAGCGAAAAAGCATGCATATTTTAGCTGACTCGTATGTGCAACTAAAAGCAGAATTTGAAGAACCAAAAAAAGGTCATCCTGAAAGCCAAACCAATAAATCTTCCTGAAAGCAAAATGCAGAAACAGAATGCAGTTCACTGTTAATAAGGTCGGGGATAACAATGTGCATAGGTTAACGATAGGGGTAAAAGAATGATTTCAGATATTCAGCAACTTCGTGGTAACGAACACAAGCTTTCAACTTGTTTGACCCGATAAGAACCAAGCTTGTTTTCTATACGCAAGGCGCATCTTTGTGAGTAGTATTACAAATGTGAAGATTGAGTTTGCCAACCTGGCGTACAATTGTTGGAAAAAGATTAACTTGGATGACCTAACTATTAGCCACAGAGCATTACAAATGGGAAGATTTGACATAGATTTTCAACAAATGTTGTTTAACTGAAATGGCCAAAGGGGGTCATTTTGTAGAACCTTTTTTTTGGTTGCCTTTCCAAATGGCTGGTTACTCACAAGCCCAACACCAGATTATTATCCAAAAGTTTCATATTGATACCGGGAATTACTACTTGTTTTATACTCCCTCCTTCCCATAATTATTGTCCAGTTTGAGTTTTCATTTTTAATTTAAATTGTACTAAAATTAAAATCTCAAACTGGATCAATAATTTTGGGACAGAGGAGTACTACTTCGAATTAGTTATAAGAATTGCAATTTCTGGAACGTTGTAAGTCATTGATTTCTGAAACCTCAATAAGAAAGGTCACTTCAACCACTTGAAAGAAGACTTGGTAAGTCAACTTACACACACTCACACAGTGACTTCTTCACTTTCATAGTTTCATCCTCCTCCTCAGTAGTTTTTTATCAGCTGGTGAGTGTAGAATAACTCTGTACTGTGTCCATTCTTCAGTTGCAAAAACAGAGCATTTAGTTGCAACTTATAATGATTTCCTTCCTCCTCTGCCTCTCCATTTTCCTGTACCCACAAATCATCAACGCTGCCTCCGCCAATCCACCCTACATTCCGACTGAACATATCCTGCTCAATTGCGGCTCGTCGTCGAATTTGACAGACGCCGATGGACAGAGATGGGACGGTGACGTGCCGGACATTAATAAGGCTAATATCTCATTCCCAGCAACAGCAGCAGAGCAAAACCCTTCCATCGGCGAGGTCCCTTACATAACTGCCCGGATATTCCGTTCTGAATTCTCCTACAGTTTCCCCGTCTCCCCGGGTCAAAAAATCCTACGTCTTTACTTTTACCCGGCCACATACTCCGGCGACCTCATAAAAAACCAATCTTTCTTCTCCGTTTCTGCCAATCAGTATTCGCTTCTCAGCAACTTCAGCGCTTATCTCTCAGCACAGAAATGGGCCACTCTTGTGAAAGAATTCATCATCAATGTCGGACAAATTCAGCTTCTTAGCGTCAACTTTTCGCCGTCGGCTAACTCATACGCGTTCATCAACGGGATCGAAGTTGTGTCCGTCCCGGTCAATCTCTACATGGGCAACCCAACAACCAGAAAAATCCACTCAAATTAGTTAGCGGAACTCGTGGTCTTTACACTACGAAATATTATTTTATGGGCAGCCAAATCCAATCACTCAAATTAAATGATAACACGACAGCTTTCGAAACTCTTTACCGGCTAAACGTGGGAGGACCGGCAGTATTGGCCGTGAATGATACAGGGATGTTTCGTCAATGGTTTCAAGATGATGAATTTATATTTGGTGGGAATCCTGGTAATACCTTGAGTAATGGTACCATCTCCCTTCATTATACTTCACAAATTCCCGATGACAGCGCGCCGTCACTCGTTTACACCACGGCGAGGGCGACAGGATTCACGAGTGATTTGACATGGAAATTTCAAGTGGATTCCGGGTTCAATTATCTGCTGAGGTTGCATTTCTGCGAGTTTATGCCTTCTTTTATTAACTCCACCAATCAAAGGGTGTTCAAGATCATCATCAATAACCAGACAGCTGAACCAGTGGCTGATATAATACGGTGGACCGGTGGTACCGGAATCCCTGTCTTCAGGGACTACGCCATATTCGTTCCAAATTCCTCTCACAGTAGCCAGAGCAAGAAGGACCTGTTTCTCGCCTTGCGTCCTGACTTTTACGATTCACCCTTCTACTTTGACGCAATCTTAAACGGGCTAGAAGTATTTAAATTGAACCGCACCGCCGGTAACCTCGCAGGACCCAATCCTGAACCTCCCGAAAGTTTGGGCCCAAATACCAAGCCACTGGAACGGAAGAAGAGCACCCGGCGCATCGGAATGATAGTCGCTGTTGTCGGAGTGGTTGGAGGAGGGGTCGTATTTCTGGCACTGTGCTTTTTTTTACTCGTTTACCGGCGACGAAAGAAAGAGTTTGAACGGAAGAGTGCTTCAACCCACTCCCGGTCAACAAAGATTAAAAAGCGTAAATTAGAAGGTAAATCATCGTACTCGACATCTCTTGAATTCCCATCTGAAATGTTTCTAAATTCATGCTTGCTTGCGTTCTTTGATGTAGAAGCTGAGATGCAACTGCGAGCTGAATACATACATCAATTAACATCCTCCGATGAAGTGCAAAACCAAACAAGTGAAGAAGGTGAATTGAAAATTTTCAGTTTCATCTCTATAGTGGCCGCTACGAATAACTTCTCGGAAGAAAACAAACTTGGAGAAGGTGGTTTCGGATCAGTGTACAAGGTGAGTTATACTTTGAATTCCTAGGAGGATTTTCTTTAGGTTTCATGTTGGTATCTTTTAATACAATGACAGGGGAGATTACCCGATGATCGGAAAATTGCGGTTAAAAGACTTTCCAAAACATCAGTTCAAGGATTGATTGAGTTTAAAAATGAACTGATACTAATATCCAAGCTCCAGCACACTAATCTCGTACGGGTTTTAGGATGTTGCATTTATGAAGAAGAGAAAATGCTAATCTATGAGTACATGCCCAACAAGAGCTTGGACTTCTTCCTTTTCGGTTTGTAGCATTTGCACCTCTTATGCATTTTATTTTTTGTAAATTCCAATCTAACAAAATGAAAAGCAAACTTCAATTTCATCCATTTTGCATCTCTGTTTTTTTTTTTGGTCTACCATTTTGCATCTCTCTGACAGCTAGAGATAAAAGGGAACAATTAGATTGGCCGAAGCGATTGGATATCATCGAAGGCATTGCTCAAGGGCTCTTGTACCTCCATAAATATTCCAGAATGCGAGTTATACATAGACCTAAAAGCCAGTAATGTGTTATTGGATGAGCAAATGAAGCCAAAGATTGCTGATTTTGGTATGGCCAGAATTTTCAAACCGAATGAGACAGAAGCTATGACTAATAGGGTGGTTGGGACATAGTAAGTTACATTTGTATTTCTATAATTCAAATGTTTTCTTGCAAAGTTTACAAGGTTGATGGTTCTTCTGCAGTGGTTACATGTCTCCGGAATATGCCATGGAAGGAAGTTTTTCGATCAAATCTGATGTTTTCAGTTTCGGGGTGTTAATCCTCGAAATTGTCAGTGGTAGGAGAAACTCCAGTTTCTACGATTTTGAGCACCGCACATTAAACCTCATAGGGCATGTAAGGTTTTCTAACCTTTTACAGTATCCTTCTTTAGTTATTATGAAAAGCAACAATAAGAAACAATAAATTGGAAAATGTGATTATTTTCAGGCGTTGGAGTTGTGGAAAGAAGGGTTGGCCTTGGAACTCAAGGATCCTATACTTGGTGGTTTGAGTGATGATACAAAGCAGATATTACGATCAATTCATGCTGGTCTTTTGTGTGTGCAAGAAAATGCAGCAGATAGGCCAACAATGCCAGAAGTTATATCAATGCTGAATAATGAGAGCATGAGTCTAGCAGATCCAAAACAACCAGCATTTTTCACAGGAAGAAGGGAACTCCATAACAACCGTGAATGATATGTGAATGATATGTCCCTCTCACTCATTGAACCAAGATGACATGAAATTGCTTATAGTTAATGTACTTGTTGAATTTGGCTGCTTAGTTCTCAGACAGCATGCACATCCTTGTTGCATTCAAGGAGTCAAATTACTGTAATTTTGTTCAAAGCTGCTTCAGACAGTCCAAATTGATACCTTAGCCAAACCTCATGCAATTTAGAGCGGAACCTTAAAGCCGAACCAATCACCATATCATTTTAAATTTGCAACACCAATTCAATAAATCGGGAAAATGGAGAAACAGAATGATATTCCCTCCCTCTGTTCATAAGCTAACTCAAAGACAAAAAACTTTTTTTGAGTACATCTTGAGGGAAAGGAAGGCGCGTTTTCAACTCGTTTGACCGGATAGAAACCTTTGTGAAAAAATTTTGAGGTCTTGATGGACGGCCCCATTTAAGCACGTCTTTGATGCAGTGTCATTTTCGATTTGCATTCCAGTCAAAAGAAAATTGAGGGGAGGAATTAAAAGAACATATTAATGGCCCTCGATTAGTATTGTGATCCACGGTTCAAATGATTGTGAGGATCTTTCCCATACAGAAAAATCCGGGAGGAGGATGAAACCCTGGAGAACCTACCCCGGTACTGTGATACTATTTTTTCAGAAAAACGACAATCATACATAGTTATTGAACTGAAAAATATGCAAAGTGACGATACAAAAGGCATACAATCATGTCAAACTTATACGATACGTCTTGAAACTTCAATGTCACTTTTAACACACGGTTAGATTGAGTTTCCCAACAATTATTAGAACGAGCTGACTTGGATCACATTATTGTTAGGAATTGAGCTTAAGCATTACAAACGTAGAACATAGATTATTTATAAAAGGATAACGTTTAATCGAAATGGCCATAAATGGAGTCTTTTTCTTTTACAATGGCTGATGTCGTTGTATAGCCACAAGCCCAACACCGGATTCTTACCCAAAGTTCATAATGATACTGGAAATTACTTGAAGTTTCATACTACTTTTGAATTTAGTTAAAAAGAAAGAATTCCATTTTCTGATACGTCGAACAATTTCTGAAATTGCAATAACAAGAGGTCACTTCAACGACTTGAATGATGAAGACCTAGTAAGTCAACTCACAGTCTTACACACACTCACACAGTGGCTTTCTTCACTTTCATTCTACTATATCCTTACTCTTACTTCTTCTATCAATCAGCTGGTTACTGTTGAATTACCACTTCCATTCTTCGGTTGTTGAATTGCAGAAACAGTGCATCCAACTGCAACTTACAATGATTTCCTTCCTCCTCTGCCTCTCATTTTCCCTCCACCCACAGCTCATCAGCGCCGCCAATCAACCTTACACCCCTACGGATCATATCCTACTCAATTGTGGCTCGCCGTCAAAGCTTACCACAGATGGCCAGAGCTGGGACGGTGATGTCGGTACAAAGTTCTCGCCGGACATCAATAAGCCTAATATCTCATTCCCAGCAACAGCAGCAGAGCAAGACCCTTCCATCACCAGTCAAGTCCCTTACATGACTGCCCGGATCTTCAATTCTCAATTCTCCTACAGTTTCCCTGTCTCCCCGGGCCAAAAAATCCTTCGCCTTTACTTTTACCCGGCCACATATTCCGGCAATCTCTTAAAAAACCAATCTTTCTTCTCTGTCACTGCCAATCAGTATTCGCTTCTCAGCAATTTCAGCGCGTATCTCTCAGCACAGAAATCGGCCTCTCTCGTCAAAGAATTCATCATCAACGTCGGGCAAATTCAGCTTCTCAACGTCACCTTTGCGCCGGCGGCAAACTCGTACGCCTTCGTCAACGGAATTGAAGTCGTTTCCATCCCGGACAACTTCTATATGGGGAGCCATGACATCAACAATAATCCACTCAAATTGGTCATCGCCCAAACTACCTTGTACGACTTTGATCAAAACAGGACAGCCTTCGAAACTGTTTACCGGCTAAACATCGGAGGACAGGCAATCTCCGCCGTGGACGATACAGGGATGTTTCGTCAATGGTTCCAGGATGGTGACTTTATATTTGGTGGGAATACTGGTAATCCCTTGAGTAATGCTACCATATCTCTCCAGTATACTTCACAGACTCCGAATTACACCGCGCCATCACTCGTTTACACCACGGCGAGGGCGATGGGAAGCATGAGCACAAGATACGATTTGACATGGATTTTCCCAGTGGATTCCGGGTTCTATTATCTTCTCAGGTTGCATTTCTGCGAGTTCATGCCATATTTATTCAACGCCACAGGTCAAAGGGTGTTCACGATTGTCATCAATAACCGGACAGCTGAACAATCCGCGGATGTAATATGGTGGGCAGGTGGTACCGGAATCCCTGTGTTCCGGGACTACGCTGTGTTTGTTCCAAATGCTTCCAACAGCCAGAGCAAACAGGACCTGTTTCTCGCTTTGCATCCTGACTTTGAAGCCAACCCCAGTTACCTTGACGCCATCTTAAACGGGCTTGAGATATTTAAATTGAATAGCACCGCCGGTAACCTCGCCGGTCCCAATCCTGAACCTTCCGGCACTTTGAAGCCAAATACTAAGCCGCCAGAGGAGAAGAAACGCAAGGGGAATAACGGAATAATACTTGGTGTTTTCGGAGGTGTGGTGGGAGCAGGCGTCATAGTCTTCTTTCTGGCACTGTTTGTGACAACCAATTCGCGGCCAACAAAGACAGCAGCGTCAGGTGGCTCATCATCTCTGCCGTCGCATCTCTGCAGATGATTCCTCCTCGAAGAAATTAAATCAGCCACATCCAACTTCGATGATGCCTACGTCATTGGGACGGGAGGATTCGGGAACGTGTACAAAGGCTACATCGATAATGATCTCACCGCCGTTGCTATCAAGCGATTGAATCCCTCTTCCAGGCAAGGGGCCCGTGAATTCCGGGCGGAAATCGAAATGCTTTCAAACCTCCGACATTATCATCTGGTTTCCTTAATCGGTTATTGCGATGAGAAAGGGGAAATGATCCTGGTTTACGATTACATGTCTAACGGCACACTCCGGGATCACCTCTACGAAACCGAGAACCAGCCCCTGCCGTGGAAACAACGGCTCCAAATCTGCATCGGCGCCGCCAAAGGGCTGCATTATCTCCACAGCGGCGCCAAGCACAACATCATCCACCGGGACGTCAAGTCCACCAACATCTTGTTGGACGAGAAATGGGTCGCCAAGGTGTCGGATTTCGGGTTGTCCAAGCTGGGTCCTCCCGCGGGTGGGCCTAAGAACCACGTCAGCACTCAGGTGAAGGGAAGCTTTGGTTATGTTGACCCGGAGTATTACAGAAGGCAGCAATTGACTGACCGCTCCGACGTGTACTCGTTCGGGGTGGTGCTGTTTGAAGTGCTCTGTGGTCGGCCGGCCGTCGCACTGTATTTACCAACAGAGCAACACTGTTTGGCCGAGTGGGCAAGGAGGTGTTATACAAAAGGGATTGTCCATCAGATTGTGGATCCAAACCTGAAGGTCCAGATTGCTCCAGAGTGCCTGTGGAGTTATTCCGAATTAGCATTCAATTGCTTGAAAGACCAAGGAGTAGACCGGCCAGCGATGAGCGACGTCGTTGGGAGCCTGGAATTTGCTCTGCAGCTTCAGGAAGCCGCTGACAAAGACGGCCAACATTGTCGTCCCATATTGATTCCTCTGAATTTGGATGGAAGAGAAGGAAACATAACCACGTCCGATGATGATACAGAGGCGGCGTTGACATCAGGCGAACTGTATTTGGCTGCGGCCTGGAACAAATTGAACAATCAAAGCAGTACCCCTACTGAAAGTTTTTCCACGACTAGCAGTTCCGATAATTTGAAGCCTGGAAGTGTTTTTTCTCTGAGCTCGTAAAACGTTAATTTTTTTTTCCTTTTTGGGTAAGTAAAACGTTAATTAAGTGCACTATTTTGTTCATAAACTTTTTTCCGCTGTATATCCATCCATATATAGGATCTTTACTTTAGTTGTTGTTGTGTCAATTGGAGGGCATGAAACTGACTACTGAGGGCATTATCATTTGGTAGTCTGCTTGACTACCAATTTTTTTGCATGCTACTGAGGGCATTATCATTGTTTCCTCCTCCATCAATAAAACTTTTCTACATAAATTTTGATGACTAGTAATACTTTACTGTCTCAAAGCGCCCAACCTGGCAATTGTAAACACTTATTTACATCTAGTTTTAGTAGTGTTTCCTTTAGTAGATCATAGTCGGTAAGAAATAATAAGGCTCATTAGTCAGTTCATTAAAAAAATTTATTGATATTCTTCTTTTTTTAAAAAAAACAAATAAAATTTGGATAGTCCCAGTGAAAATCGAACCTCCATTACCTGGTAATAACCATCTCCATCCTAATACCCTAACCACCTCACTCAATCCTCCTACCCCAAATTTATTAATATTCTATGTAATTATTAATTTATAACATTGACCGTGAGAGTTTTTTACTCCAATTGAGTTACGTTATCATTGTTGTTGTTGTCTTTGTTGTTATGTTTTGGATCACATCTCATCGGCAACTGAGCATTATAAGCGACATATATAGGACTTTGAGTAATGTTTTTTTTTTTCTCTCTCTCTAGTGAATCTCTAAGACTTAATGAGCCAATATTGTATAAGATGAGATCGACATATATGGGTGAAACAATTAAATCAATAAACAAAAACATTAGGTGGAATGAGGTCACCTTTTATAAGTCTTCTTATTTAGTAGTAGTAGTTTTTACATCACAAAATATAGTATATGTTTTATCAAATTATAAACAGAAAAAAAAAGTTAAATAGACAATACAATTACTTCTATTTTGGAAGGCGGAAGTATTATCCTTATGGGGTGATTCGAAAAAAATTTAAATAAAATAAATATGTACAATTTTTTGTGTAACAAAAGTAGTTCTCTTGTATTTATCAAATCCGAAAGCTAAGTTACTATAACTAAGTCGGATTTCAAAATTCAAACGTTCGAATCTAGCCTAAGCAATACTTCAAGGATAAATACACATCTTTTGGATTTTTGAAATCCAAATTCACTCTACTTTTGAATTTGACAAATCTGAAAATACTACATTTGTCCACCAAAAAAATAAAATAAAAAAAAATCTATCCATATGACACCTTTCCAAATTGCTCGTAGTTCAAAAGGTTATGGCAACTATAAATCTTTAAAGTTCATACTCTAGCTACTAACAGAAGTTTTTTTCCGATGATAAGGTAACAGTAGTTATTAAATTGCAATTTCTATTTTATTGTACGTGGAAGTCATTGATTGCTGGAATAGCTCAAAGACAAGGTCACTTCAACAACTTTCACTTGAGATCCCGTAAGTCAACTTTAGATTACACAAAACCACACAGAGGCTTCTCCAATAAGCTTATCCGGGCAAGCCTGACAAGCCGTCGTCATACTAGTCAAATATTAATTATCTACTTAATACAATTACTAATAGTAAAGTAGTAAGTAGGGTCGATCCCACAGAGAAAGATACCAAATACCAGGTTAAAACTATTTCTTATTATTATTTAGATTAACAATTTATCAATCTTAAACTATTCTAAACCTAAAACTAACAATTGCAATTATTTAAAGATATAAATAAGTAAAAGAAAAACTTAGGACAAAGGGTTCACCAACCGACTATTCAGTTTAATTTACTTTATAGATATGTGAGTTTCGACTCTCATTAATCTCTCTACAATTCACTAATTTAAGAATTATACACGTTCGTGTCATAACCATCTTACTTAAACCAATCCTATGACTACTCTCGTGACTATAGGGATTAATAAAAGTACATTAAGAACTTTGAAATTACTAGTCGCAAAGGCGTTGTTCCTACTCTCGTGGCTCACTACCTAAGTTTATTATTCCTACAAACTAATACTAGCCTCTCACTCTCGCTACTTCAGCTAACACCTTAAAGCATGTAAATATTGATTATGTATTCACATGAATGAAAAACAAGAATAATAAATTTTAATTAATAAAAAAATTACAATCATGAATTCAATTAAATTGAATAATACGGCGGCTACATCCAAAACTTTAGATTAAATAATTTAGCTACAGATCATTTCAAAAATAAATAAAACAATGAAACCCGAGAGAGAGAAGTCGCAAATTGAGTCGAACTTGATGCGTTGCAATATGCTTCCTCCGTTGATGATGATGTGCGAAAAGGATGAGGTGCTGTTTTGCGTGGGAATTGATATAGGAGTTGAAAAGAGGTGTGGTGATGGTGTGCGTAGAGGGGATTTGATTTGGTGTGGTGCGTGGGAATTGGTGGAAACAAGGTGGAGGAGAGGTGATAGTGCGTGGGCAGCAAGGTGGAGGAGAGCAAGGAAGCAACGGGGTGTAGTGGTGTTGCGTGAGGTGATTTGGTGTGGTGATTAAGAAGGAGGCGTGGGGTTGTGGGCTGCGGCAGGAGGAGGAATTTTGGTAGAAGGAGGAGTTTGGTGCGTGGGAAGGGTTGGTGATTTTAGGTTAAGTCTCTCTTAAAAATAAAATCATAACTTTCTTTTTATAGGCTTTTATCAAATCCTATTTTTTCAGGAATAAGAAAATTATTTTTTTTTCAAGTTAATTTAAATTAAAATTCAAACTCTTTAAATGTTTCAATTTCTTCCTTTGAGTTGCTTTTTCTTTTCAATTTAGTCCAAAGCCTCAACAATTCTTCTATTTAAGGACAAAACTTACAAATAAAGATAAAATCATATAAATAACATATTTGTACTCAAAATATATTATAAAAAAAAATGCACTAGGTTCCATCAGCCGTTGACTGTTGAAAAATTCCAAGCTCATTAGAAAAAAGAGTAAAATGTTTATTCAAAAAATAAAAAAAAATTAAAATGTAAGAAACATGAGAAAGCCATGGAAAAACAGAGCATTCAACTCCGACTTGCAACAATGATTTCCATCCTTCTCTGCCTCTCCATTTTCCTGCACCCGCAAATCATTAATGCTGCCTCCGCAATTCCACCTTATATTCCAACAGAGCATATCCTGCTGAATTGTGGGTCGCCTTCAAAGCTAACCTCCGCCGATGGCCAGAGCTGGGACGGGGATGTGGGTACAAAGTATTCCCCGGACATTAATAAGGCTAATATCTCATTTCCAGCCACAGCAGCGGAGGAAGACCCTTCCATCACCAGTCAAGTCCCTTACATGACTGCCCGGATCTTCCGTTCTCAATTCTCCAACAGTTTCCCGGTCTCCCCTGGCCAGAAAATCCTTCGCCTTTACTTTTACCCGGCCACATACTCCGGCAGCAATTTCTTAAAAACCCAATCTTATTTCTCTATCACTGCCAATCAGTATTCGCTTCTCAGGAACTTCAGCGCGTATGCCGCAGCCGACGCGCAGAAACCGGAATCAGCCTCTCTTGTTAAAGAATTCATAGTCAGTGTCGGGCGAATTCAACTTCTAAATGTCACCTTCGTTCCAGCGGCAAACTCGTACGCTTACGTTAACGGAATTGAGGTTGTGTCTATCCCGCCTAATTTATATATGGGCAGCCACGACAATAGTTACAATCCACTCAAATTTCTCAACGCCCAGAATTCCTTCTACGAGTTAGATAGTAACACCACAGCTTTCGAAACTCTTTACCGGCTGAACGTGGGAGGACCGGTCATATCCGCCGTGGATGATACAGGGATGTTTCGTCAATGGTTTCAGGATGATGACTTTGTATTTGGTAAGAATCAAGGTAATCCTTGAGTAATACCAGTATAGCTCTAGATTATACTTCACAAACTCCGAATTATACCGCGCCGTCACTGGTCTACTCCACGGCGAGGGCGATGGGAAGGTTGAGTACAATGTACAATTCGACATGGATTTTCCCAGTGGATTCCGGGTTCAATTATCTACTCAGGTTGCATTTCTGCGAGTTTATCCCTTATTTAATCAACGCCACGCATCAAAGGGAGTTCACGATCCTCATCAATAACCAGACAGCTGAACCATGGGCCGATATAATTCAGTGGACAGGTGGTACTGGTGTTCCTATTTATAGGGACTACGTTCAATTCATTCCGAATTCCTCCTATGATAGCCAGACAAAGCAGATCTGTTTCTTGCCTTGCGTCCTAACGTTGCCGACAGACCCATGTACTTTGACGCAATCTTAAATGGGTTAGAGATTTTTAAATTGATGAACAGCAGCCTCGCCGGTCACAATCCCGATTCCGACAGTTTGGTGCCAATTTTCAAGCCGCCGGAGCAGCAGAAGAGCAAGGGACAAATCGAAATGATAGTCGGAGGAGTGGTTGGAGGAGGCGTCGTAATTCTGGCACTCTACTTCCTACTGATTTACAGGCGGCGGCGAGGAATTAAGATTGCTTCAATCCATTCCCGGTCAACAAAGCGTAAAGTACAAGGTAATCATCATACTGTACGGTCTACATCTCATCAAATCTCACCGCTTGTTAAAATGTCTCTAAAGTCATGCATACTTTCATTGTTGTAGAAGCTGAGATTCAATTGCATGATGAATACATACATCAATTAACATCCTCCGATGAAGTGCAAAACCAAAGAAGAGAAGAAGGTGGCTTAAAAATTTTCAGTTTCATCTCTATCATGGCTGCTACAAATAACTTCTCAGAAGAAAACAAGCTTGGAGAAGGTGGTTTTGGTCCAGTATACAGGGTGAGTTATATGTACTTTGAATCTCTAGGAAGATTTGGATTCTATTTCATGTTGGTATGACCTTTAATACAATGATAGGGGAGATTACTCGATGATCGGGAGATCGCAGTTAAAAGACTTTCGAGAACATCAGTTCAAGGATTGATTGAGTTCAAAAATGAACTGATACTAATATCCAAGCTCCAGCACAGTAATCTCGTACGAGTTTTAGGATGTTGCATCCATGAAGAAGAGAAAATGCTAATCTATGAGTACATGCCTAACAAGAGCCTGGACTTCTTCCTTTTTGGTCTGTAGCATTTGCATCTTTCAGCATTTTGATTTCCTGTGAATCCCAATATAAGTAAACAACAAAATGAAAAGCGCATATTTTGCATTTCTTTGACAGCTGAAGATAAGAAGAACCAATTAGATTGGCAGAAGCGATTCAATATCATTGAAGGCATCGCTCAGGGGCTCTTGTACCTCCACAAATATTCGAGAATGCGAGTTATACATAGAGATTTAAAAGCCAGTAACGTGTTATTGGATGGGTGCATGAAACCCAAAATTGCTGATTTTGGTATGGCTAGAATTTTCAATCCGAACGAGACTGAATCTATCACTAATAGGATTGTTGGGACATAGTAAGTTACATTTGCATTTTCAAGCCTAGAAAACTTCAAATGTCTATACTTCATCTGTTTCTCGTGAAGTTTACAAGGTTGATGATTGTATGCAGTGGTTACATGTCTCCTGAATATGCCATGCAAGGAACTTTTTCAATCAAATCCGATGTTTTCAGTTTTGGGGTGTTAATTCTCGAAATTGTCAGCGGTCGGAAAAACTCCAGCTTTTACGATTTCGAGGACCGTACACTAAACCTCATAGGACATGTAAGGTTTTCTAAGCAACCTTTTTCAATTTTTTTTTTTTTTTAAGTTATTCTGAAAAGGGAAAAGCAATAGAAAAGACCATGAATTGGAAATGGAATTATTTTCAGGCATGGGAGTTGTGGAAAGAAGGGTTGGCCTTACAAGTTAAAGATCCTACAGTTGGTGATTTGAGTTGTGACACAAAACAAATCCTAAGATCAATTCATGTTGGTCTTTTGTGTGTACAAGAAAGTGCAGCAGATAGGCCAACAATGCCAGAAGTTATATCAATGCTGAATAATGAGAGCATGAGTCTAGCAGATCCAAAACAACCAGCATTTTTCAGGGGAAGAAGGGAACTCAACAACAACCATACCTCAAACTCATATGAAAGAGGAAATGGAGGGATTAATTTGCCTGCTTCTGTGAATGATATGTCCCTCTCTGTCGTTGAACCACGATGACATCAAAATGCCGTCCTAAATGAGTGTTGAGTCTGTATTGATGTTTGTTGTTGGGATTAAACAAACAGGGATTGAACTATATAGTATAATATGTAATTAATTAGCACACAATTCCATAATTTAATTAGCAAAATGTTGTTCATTTAAGGGCATATGTGTATCATTTACGCACGTTGAAATAAATCATGTCCCTTTTAGCTGGACAGTACAGAAAATTTATTCAAGAGTCATCGTCTCGTCTTCCACTATAAGTTCAAACCTGTGGCATCTTCACGTACTCCCTCTGTCCCAAAATTATTGTCCAGTTTGAGATTTCACTTTTAGTACAATTTGAACTAAAAATGAAATTCTAAATTGAACAATAATTATGGGACGGAAGGAGTATATAACTCTCAGTGTTGGAGTCAGTTTTGTAGGTATGGATTTTTTCTTAATCAACTGATGTCATTATCAAATTAAGGTACTACGTATCATTTTAGCCAAAAACAGTAGACAAGTAAGACATGGATTGAGGTTCTTTCCCTTTTGTTTTAGGTTAGTATCAAGAAGTTTTAAATGATTCAAGAACTTTGTCCCTGCAGTTTATTTTACGATCAACAAATGGTTGCTAATGAACTAATTACCCTGGCTCTAGTCTCAGATCGGTAATCAATAGTTTCTTTGTTATGAAGTTTTTAGCAAAGCAAAATTTTATGGAATTCGAAAAGCAATCTCATAGTAACCATCACAGATTCACAGTGATCTGTTTTATACTCGAAACAAAAGTTCATACTCTCCCAAAATTAAGTCTGTCAAATGTCTGCCCGACCGAAGGTACTCCATTTCAAGTACTTGTTTTGTTAACTTTTAAGTTGCAGTTAATCATTTTTATATATTGTCAAAATGATTGTTCCTTTTAAATTCTCTATTTTGACCAAACAAGATAATTAGTTTGGGAGGGAAGGCGTGTTAGTGTAAAAAGAATCTCTAATAGCGGCCAAATTATAATCTTCAACAGCCTGAAATTGGGACTTGGGATGACTTGCAAAAATATGTTTACGACTCTCAAATCTGAATCAACGTCTTTTTTTTATCCACGGTTCAAATGATTGTGCGCACTAGGATCTTTACTTTTTTTTTCACATAGAAAATGGGTCCCCGTACCATTCTTATGATAATTGGTCACAGTAGCATTATTGTTATTTTTGGATCACATATCCATTGGCAATTGAGCACTAGAAGCAGACATAGGACTTCGAGGAAATGTTTTCTAGGAAATGTCTTTGAGACTTAATGATTGAATCCCATAAGACGAGGAGGAGAATAGGAGATGCATATATCATATATGGATTAAACGGACAATCATCAGTAAATGAAGGAGATAACAGACATTAAAAATGGGCATTTAGGGGAATGAGTTCATTTTCATAACTTTTACTATTTCTCTTTATCTCCTAAAATTATTGTTCAGTATGAAATTTCACTTTTAACACAATTTGAATTAGAAATGAAAACTCAAATTTGACAAAAATTATGAGACGGAGGAAGTATTTATTTAATACTCTTTTGGTACTAAAATAATTATTAATTTATTATGTTCTTAGTGATATCATTTGCATAATAAACCAAATATATATATATATATATATATATATATATATATATAATTGCTTGTAATTCAAGTGGTTATGGGCCTTATGGCAGCTATAGAATATTCAAAGTTCACACTCCTGATTCTGAAATATTACTACCTAGTTTTGAAACTGCAATTTCTATTTTCTTGTTCGTCGAAGTAACTGATTGCTGGAATATCTCAAAGACAAGGTCATACCAACCACTTCCGCTTGAGATCCCATAAGTCAACGTTAGATTACACACAGTCACACAGTGGCTTCTCCACTTACCTTCTCCGGCAGGCCCCAAGTCCCCATCTCCTCCATTAAAAAATTGCACTAGCTTCCATCATCAGCTGTTGAGTGTTGAAAACTTCCATACTTATTCACTCGTTGAATTAGAAAAAGGGAAAAGGTAACAAACATGAGGAAAGAAGGAAATAAAATAACCAACACTCTTTCCTGCAAATTCAATGGGAAAACAGAGCATTCAACAGCAACTTACGATGATTTCCTTCCTTCTCTGCCTCTCCTTGTTCCTCCACCCACAGATCGTCAACGCTGCTACCACCAATCAACCTTACACCCCTACGGATCATATCCTACTCAATTGTGGCTCGCCGTCAAAGCTTAGCGCCACAGATGGCCAGAGCTGGGACGGTGATGTCGGTACAAAGTTCTCGCCGGACATCAATAAGCCTAATATCTCATTCCCAGCAACAGCAGGAGAGCAAGACCCTTCCATCTCCAGCGAGGTCCCTTACATTACTGCCCGGATCTTCAATTCTCAATTCTCCTATAGTTTCCCTGTCTCCCCGGGTCAAAAAATCCTTCGCCTTTACTTTTACCCGGCCACATACTCCGGCAGCAACTTCTTAAAAAACCAATCTTTCTTCTCTGTCTCTGCCAATCAGTATTCGCTTCTCAGCAACTTCAGCGCGTATCTCTCAGCACAGAAATCGGCCTCTCTCGTCAAAGAATTCATCATCAATGTCGGGCAAATTCAGCTTCTCAACGTCACCTTCGTGCCGGCGGCAAACTCGTACGCCTTCGTCAACGGAATTGAAGTCGTTTCCATCCCGGACAACTTCTATATGGGGAGCCATGACATCAACAATAATCCACTCAAATTGGTCACCGCCCAAACCACCTTGTACGACTTTGATCAAAACAGAACAGCCTTCGAAACTGTTTACAGGCTAAACATTGGAGGGCAGGCAATATCGGCAGTGGATGATACAGGGATGTTTCGTCAATGGTTTCAGGATGACGACTTCATATTTGGTGGGAACCCAGGTAATTCTTTGAATAATGCCACCATAACTCTTCAGTATACTTCACAAACTCCGAATTATACGGCGCCGTCATTGGTCTACACCACGGCGAGGGCGATGGGAAGGTTGAGTGATAAATACAATTTGACATGGATTTTCCCAGTGGATTCCGGGTTCTATTATCTGCTGAGGTTGCATTTCTGCGAGTTCATGCCTAATTTAATCAACGCCACGGGTCAAAGGGTGTTCACGATTGTCATCAATAACCGGACAGCTGAACAATCCGCGGATGTAATATGGTGGGCAGGTGGTACCGGAATCCCTGTGTTCCGGGACTATGCTGTGTTTGTTCCAAATGCTTCCAACAGCCAGAGCAAACAGGACCTGTTTCTCGCTTTGCATCCTGACTTTGAAGCCAACCCCAGGTACCGTGACGCAATCTTAAACGGACTTGAGATATTCAAATTGAACAGCACCGCCGGTAGCCTCGTCGGTCCCAATCCTGAACTTTCCGTTTCCACGGTGCCAAATTCCAACCCGCCAGAAAAGAAGAAGAGCAAGGGTGGTAATATGGGAATGGTAGGCGGTGTTATCGGAGGAGTTGTTGGAGTAGGTGTCATACTCCTGGCACTATACTTTTTAGTTTACCGGCGACGGCAAGCGAAAGACTTTGACCGGAAGACTAATTCAAAGTCATCCTGGCTTCCGCTTTCAACTGATTCAAGGTCAACAATGACAACCGCGTCAGTTGGCTCATCATCTCTCCCGTCGGATCTCTGCCGACGGTTCCTGCTTGAAGAAATTAAATCGGCCACAGCCAACTTCGATTCCGCTTACGTGATTGGAGCGGGAGGATTTGGGAACGTGTACAAAGGCCAAATCGACAATAATCTCACCACTGTGGCTATCAAGAGATTAAACCCTTCTTCAAGACAAGGAGCTCATGAATTCCGAACAGAAATCGAGATGCTTTCGAATCTCCGGCATCTTCATCTGGTGTCCTTAATCGGTTACTGCGATGAGAGAGGGGAGATGATACTGGTTTATGATTACATGGCTAATGGCACGCTCCGGGACCACCTCTACCGGACTGAAAACCCGCCGTTGCCGTGGAGACAGCGACTCCAGATCTGTATCGGCGCCGCCAAGGGGCTGCATTATCTCCACAGCGGCGCAAAACAGAACATCATCCACCGGGACGTCAAGTCAACTAACATCTTACTGGACGAGAAGTTTGTTGCCAAGGTGTCGGATTTCGGGTTGTCCAAGATGGGTCCCACGGGCGGGATGAACAACCACGTCAGCACACAGGTCAAAGGAAGCTTTGGTTACGTTGACCCGGAGTATTACAGAAGGCAGCAGTTGACTGACCGGTCCGACGTGTACTCGTTCGGAGTGGTGCTGTTTGAAGTGCTTTGTGCCCGGCCAGCGGTGGTCCCAAATTTGCCAAGAGACCAATTGAATCTGGCGGAGTGGGCCCGGAAGTGTTACAAAAAAGGGACACTCGATCAGATCGTGGATCCGAACCTGAAGGGCCAGATTGCGCCGGAATGTCTGAGGAGTTTTTCTGAAATCGCAGTCAATTGTTTGAAAGACCAGGGGGTTGACCGGCCGGCGATGAGTGACGTAGTTTGGAACTTGGAATTTGCACTGCAGCTACAAGAAGCTGCTGATAAAGAAGGCGATCAACGTCCGATATTCGTGCCGTTTGTATCGGAGGGAGGAGACGGAGACAGAACAACGTCCGATGAAGATATGTTTACGTCAGAGGAAGTGAATGGAGGTGTGGGTGGCGGCGGAGGCAAACTGAAGAATCAAAGTAGTACAACCGAGAGTTTTTCAACGGATGGTGTTAGTATTGACAAAATGAAGCCGGAAAGTGTTTTCTCTGAGATCCTGAATCCTAAAGGACGTTAAACTGAAGTTCTGTTGTTAATCCACAAACTTTTTCGTGAAGATGTATATGCATCCATTAATCAGGAAATTCACTCGGTGATCTGTAATATGCGCCGCAGCAAATTTCCTGTGATTTAGGGGCGTTAGGCTGCATTTTATTAGTGCAATTCCACAATCTTTCAATCCCTTCGTATTTTACTTCATAAATTTCAATTCAATATATAAACTTCTATAGACCTTCAGTAGTTATATATATATATATATATATATATATATATATATATATATTTTTTTTTCTTTTCGTGAAAAAGATCCTCAATTAAAGTATGGGGACCCAACTCGCAGGTGGTAGGTACTATCATATTTCAAAGTTCCAAACCATGATGAATTTTATTCGTTACATGAGTCTTATCTACCAGTTCATCAACTGACCAGATTGAAGCCTAAACAGAGGCCTAAGGGACCATTTTTTTAAAAAACCGGTTTAGCAGAAATCATTACTAACTTATTTATAAGCCGAAGTCTCATAAATCAAGCTCCCTTCTCCAGAGGTTATCTTGCAATAGGAAGGCTTTCCGAGTACCAAATCGAAACTTGCGCGCGCGGAATCTCCGCCTAGTAGTACTACCCCTTTCTCGTAGATTTCACCTACATGTAATAGATTAGATTTTTGTAATTATGTATAAAAAAAATAAAAAAAACTCCCTTCTGCAGAAAAAAAAAATGTTTATGTTATTATTTTAATTTAACAAGAGAGATTTTTTTATCTTGAAATGGAGGGAAAATAATTGTAAGCATGAATATATCTTGCGGCATTATATTCTTTCTTGATGGGTATGTGGAAAAAAATACTCGTATGGCTTTTTTATCGATGAACCTTAATACAGTGAGAGAGTGAGTTGTTACGTCAATTGGTAGACCAATGTGTGTGAAACTTAATAATCCTCCCATCTCTTCTTACTTTAGAAATTACACAGAAGCCAAACTTGTCTCTGTTATTCTTCTGCATGCTTGAAAAACTTGGTAGCTTGGAACTGTTTTCGTCAGCGAGACTGCTGCAGTCTATTCTCAGTTTTTCACCATCACCACAGAATGCAAACCTTTATTTAAGGTAAAGGCCTTCTTCAAAAAAAAAAAAAAACAAAAAGAAAAGGTAAAGGCTTTCCCGTCAACGAAGTGCGTGGATTGGCATTTGGAAGAGGTTGTTCAAAGTTTTGTTTGAGATATTTTTCATTGCATAGTAAGCAAGTGGAAGCAAAAAAACAAAAAATTGGGTTCCACTTCCACACGGTTTTATACTTTTCTTTTGAATTTGACACCATTCCTTTACATGTTAATATTGTATTATTGTTTGAGTTTTCTCTCACCTTGACGTGGAAAATATATACTCTCTCCAAAAATAATTTTCTAGTTTTAAATTTTACTTTTTGTACAAATTGTGTAGAATCTGAAAATACTATAAATTAACAATTACTTTGAAACGAAAGAACATGTTTTAGGTTCAATTTCGAGACTATATATTTATATATATGTTTTTTTGAGTGACTTTTGAGTTTAAGAGATTATCGTCATTAATTGTATATCTTCTCTAGATGGTTTGATATACAATGTGATTATGTTTTCCATCCAATACTATGTTGTACTCCCTCAATTCAATATATATATATATATATATATATTGGTAAACTGTATTAAAAATTTTACAATTCACAATTTGTAATAGGAATTAGTATTTTTTTTGGGAGTAAATTTTTGCTTTCTTTGTCGTATCATATATATATATATATGGTAAACTGTATTAAAAATTTTACAATTCACAATTTGTAATAAAAATTAGTATTTTTTTTGGGAGTAAATTTTTGTTTTCTTTGTCGTATCAAAATAAAAAGTCACCAATAATTCGTGTCCAAACACAAACATCAATTCATCCGCCCTTTTTCTTCCCTTTTCTTTTAACTACACTCTTTTTTCTTCAATAATTGCACAAATACATTTTGTTTTGAGGAGAAGCCTAAAAAAAGTACATGAAATCAACTACGTCAAAGCACAGCAGAGTCATTCACATATCATCCAGATCGATTTGTTTCCAAAAACAAAAAAGAAAAGAAAGAAAGAAAAAAAGATCGATTATAATATTGTAGAAATTAGTGACGGAACAATTGAGATTCGGGGCTGCATAGTCCTATAAAGATATTTTTTTGGTCTACATAAATGTTTCTTCTGTCCCAAAATTTTTACCCAATTTGAAATTTCCCTTTTAATACAAAATTGTACTGAAAATAAAAATCTAAGCTGAACAATCATTTAGGGGCAGCAGAAATATATTATTATGCATGATAAAAAGATATTTAATATGCAAAGAAAAAGTATAGGGAATGAACTTGTTTAACTGTTTGTGTCCAATTGAGGCACCAGAAATTGTAAGCACTGCTTTTTAGTTTCCTTTTATCCTTGCATATACACCTCAGTACGGATTCATAATACAAATTGTATAATTTTCATAACATATTTACTATATTTAAAAGTTAAAAGGAGAGTGTTAAGTGTAGCACACTGTCCACACAGTTCCCAAAATACTATGATTAAAGCACAACGGAAAGTATTTAAATGATTAAAGCATTAAAGAGAATATTGAAATAACAAAATTAAAAGATAGTTGAGAATGGAAAAAAAAAATGAATTGAGAGAATCTCAAATAATAAGTTTCAAGTCAGTATTAATATAAATTCTCTCAACTTATTAACAGTTTTTTAGTTTGCGAAAACTAAAAATCCTAAAAATTGAGAAACAACAACATTTGTGATATAATTATTTTTATTATTAATTTTTTCTTATTTAGATTTTTCTTTCTTTTTTTAAATATAAACATAATAATCATTTTGGGACGGAGAGAATGCAACAAATGTAATAATCATTTCGTGACAAAAATAAAAGGTTTAAAATTGAGAGTGGTGCAATTTCTTTTTTACGTATAGTAGACTGGTGGTTAACATTCATTTGATGAAATTTCAAAGAAACTAGTCCTTCCAAACGACTTGAGACGTGAGCGACCTGGCAAGTCAACTTACACAAACTCAGATAGTGAAGCTTCACTTCTGTTTTCTCCGGCGTCCCTAACAGTGCTAAATAAATACACTTCAGTCGCCGTGGAGTTTGGGGGGAAAAAAAGAAAAGAAAAAAGAAGAGTCGTACAAAAAGTAAAGATAATGAAGAAAGAAGGAGAAGAAAAAACCATAATCTTGAATGTAAATTCCATTCAAAAACAGAGCATTCAACAGCAACTGGCTATGATTGCTTTCATTCATCTCTGCATCTCCTTGTTCCTGAACCCACAGATCATCAAGGCTGCCACAGCCAATTATCCCTACACCCCAACGGACCATATGCTACTCAACTGTGGTTCGCCGTCAAGGCAAACTGCCGCCGATGGACAGAGCTGGGACGGCGACTTCGGCACAAAGTTGTCGCCGGACATCAACGAAGCTAGCATCTCATTTGCAGCGAACGCAACAGAACAAAACCCTTCCATCACCGGCGATGTCCCTTACATGACAGCCCGGATCTTCAATTCTCAATTCTCCTACAGTTTCCCCGTATCCCGGGGCCAAAAATTCCTCCGCCTTTACTTTTACCCGGTCACATACTCCGGGAACACCCTCTTAAAAAACCAATCTTTCTTCTCTGTCACTGCCAATCAGTACTCGCTTCTCAGCAACTTCAGCGCGTATCTCTCAGCACAGCCCACTCTCGTGAAGGAATTCATCATCAATGTCGGGCAAATTCAACTTCTAAACGTCACATTTGTGCCAGCGGCAAACTCATACGCCTTCGTCAACGGAATTGAAGTTGTGTCCATCCCCGACAACTTCTATATGGGCAACCACGACGTGATAAACAATCCAATCAAACTCGTCCCCATGCAGACTCCCTTTGAAGGTTTGGATAAAAACACCACAGCTTTCGAAAGTCTGTACTATTACAGGCTAAACGTCGGGGGAGGGGCAATCTCCGGGGTGAATGATACAGGGATGTTTCGTGAATGGTTTCAGGATCGGGAGTTTATATTTGGTGGGAATCCTGGAAATTCCTTGAGTAATGCCACCATAACTCTCCAGTATACTTCACAAACTCCAAATTACACCGCGCCGTCACTGGTCTACACCACGGCGATGGCGATGGGAAGGTTGAGTAAAGAGTACGATTTGAGTTGGAAATTCCAAGTGGATTCCGGGTTCTATTATATAGTCAGGTTACATTTCTGCGAGTTTATGCCCTATTTAATCAACGCCACGGGACAAAGGAGGTTCACGATCCTCATCAATAACCGTACTGCTGAACTAGAGGCTGATATAATACAGTGGACAGGTGGTACCGGAATTCCTGTCTTCAGGGACTACGCCGTGTTCGTTCCAAATTCTTCCTACAACAGCCAGAGCAAGCAGGAGTTGTTTCTCGCCTTGCGTCCTGACTTTGCAAACCCATCCATCTACCATGACGCTATCTTAAACGGGCTAGAGGTCTTTAAATTGAACAGCACCGCAGGCAGCCTCGCCGGTCCCAACCCTGAACCTTGGGTGCCAGATCCCAAGCTGACAGAGAAGAAGAAGAACAGCAAGGGGGGTCATATGAGGATGATAGTCGGTGTTCTCGGAGGAGTGACCGGAGGATGTGCCGTACTCCTGGCACTCTACTTTTTACTGATTTACCGGCGACGACAATTAAACAATAAAGATTTTGACCGGAAGAGTAATTCAAAGTCATCGTGGGCGCCGCTGTCAACTCGTTCAAGGTCAACAAAGACAAGCGCCTCCGGTGGCTCATTATCTCTGCCGTCGGATCTCTGCAGACGGTTCCTGCTGGAAGAAATTAAATCGGCCACGGCCAATTTCAATGACGCCTTCGTGATTGGGACGGGAGGATTTGGAAACGTGTACAGAGGCTACATCGACAATAGCCTCACCCCTGTGGCTATTAAGCGGTTAAATCCTTCTTCGAGACAAGGAGCTCATGAATTTCGGACGGAAATCGAAATGCTTTCCAACCTCCGGCATCTTCATCTCGTGTCCTTAATAGGTTATTGCGATGAGAAAGGGGAAATGATCCTGGTTTACGATTACATGGCGAACGGAACACTCCGGGATCACCTCTACCGGACGGTCAACCCGCCGTTGCCGTGGAAACAGCGGCTCCGGATCTGCATCGGCGCCGCCAAGGGGCTGCATTATCTCCACAGCGGCGCAAAGCACAACATCATCCACCGGGACGTCAAGTCCACCAACATCTTGCTGGACGAGAAATGGGTTGCCAAGGTGTCGGATTTCGGGTTGTCCAAGCTGGGACCAACGGGCGGACTGAACAGCCACGTCAGCACACAGGTCAAAGGGAGCTTTGGTTACGTTGACCCGGAGTACTACAGGAGGCAGCAGTTGACCGACCGGTCCGACGTGTACTCGTTCGGGGTGGTGCTTTTCGAGGTGCTCTGTGCCCGGCCGGTCGTCGTCCCGAATTTACCAAGAGACCAATTGAATCTGGCGGAGTGGGCCCGGAGGTGTTACAAAAAGGGAGCCGTCGATCAGATCGTGGATCCCAACTTGAAGGGCCAGATTTCGGCCGAGTGCCTGAGGAGTTTTTCAGAGATAGCCATCAATTGCTTGAAAGACCAGGGAGTTGACCGGCCGGCGATGAGCGACGTGGTTTGGAGTCTTGAATTTGCGCTGCAGCTTCAAGAAGCTGCCGACAAGGACGGCGAAGATCGTACCATATTTATTCCAGTGATATCGGACGGAGGAGAAGGAGAGATGACATCATCTGAAAATGATACGGTCGCGATGTTCACGTCAAGCGATCTGAAAATGACTGCGGCTGAGAGTAAATCGAGGGATCAAAGCAGTAGTACCACTGCGAGTTTTTCCACTGCCAACAGTTGTGATAAATTGAAGCCTGAAAGTGTTTTTTCTGAGATCAGGAATCCTAAAGGAAGATAATTAATTGTGTATTAATCCTCGGCCGCTTTCTTTTCAACTGTATATCTCATCCATAGACGATGGCGAATTAGGTTAGTTTTAGTTTTTGCACGTACCGGCGTCCTTGTAAAATTGCCTCCACGATTTTCCCCAGATGTTGGGGATCATCATTATTCTCCCCATGAATAAAAGTTAAAACAATTCAAGTATTTTAGTAATTAGATGTAATAATTTTAGACCCTTGATTCATATCGGCGCAGGACTACGTACCGAAACTGATAGTAGCTAGGTCAGTTATTCATTCATACAGGTGAAAGGACCCCCTAAATGTGAATCTATTCGCCAAGGCTAATATATAGTCTCATACATATATAATTGTTGCAGACAGAATTGACAACATGTGACTGTTTCAAAGAAAATAGTAAGAAAAATGAAAAGTGACAAACATGTTAAGAAGAGGAACTAATCTTTTGCCTCCATGCGAAACAACTATAAGTTCAACACGGGCGTGTGTTTTCTTATTTTCCAAATTTACCGACCGAATGAATTAGTTTGATGATAGCCTACGCCACAACTCTTATAAAAAGTTAAAAGGATCATCCTATACGACTACTTGCCATGCATGAAAAGGTTGATTGAGTTTTTCTTTTTTCAGTCAACCAGTATTAAGCAGATTGTAATTTGTAAGTTGCATTTTTTAACTAGGAAGGAACACAAGTGGAAACAAACTTACAAAAGACAAACTGGGTTCCACCATTAATACCTTTTATCATGTGGACAGCTATGAAATAAGCTCAACAATAATTGTGATTGATGATGGGACAAAGAAAGACTTAAAAGAAAAAAGTATGATGAAGCCAACCAATGTTAGAAAGCACAACCATTCGCTTCTCATCCAGTCCCATATCATATATATACACACACAGAGAACACTGAAAGCAGAAAAGAAAACACATTCCAACTCGAAAGAAAAATATATAACCAGCATGCTGTTCTTCATCAAGCTCTCATCTGCAGCTTGGCTGCTACTGATTCTATCCCTTCTCAGCGCAAACGTTCTGAAAGGCGACTGTGCTGCTGCCACCACGGCTGAAACTAGCCGCCCTTGGGGATGGGCTGTCGCCGGCAACCGCACCACCACTACTACGGAGGAGTACGTTATTGGCCACGATGACGAGGAAGTTATTGAGGATTCCGGATTCGAAAGTCTCATTATGACTTTTATGTACCCTGGTAATCCTTTAAAAAGACCTACAGCATTCAATGGACAATGCAATAGTAGAGGGTATGGTAACTGCATAAACCCTGCTTGCGGTCCTAAGTTTCCCGGTCGATGTAGTAACAATAAGCCAAGACAGGTTGACAAGAATTAGAAGAGATCGATCGTGATCGTTGCTTTCTTTAATCTTCCTTCACATTTGAGGTGCTCACCGTCGATGTTTTATTATTATCATGTCAGTATTAAGGTGCCAGTTACCATGTAATAATAATCCTATTTTATTTTTTTAATTTTTTCCGTCTTATCTTACTGTGTCCTATCTACTCCATCCGTCCCATAATTATTGTCCACTTTGCCCAAAAAATTTTGTCCCAAAATTATTGTCCAATTTGACTTTTTATGGATCAAGTTACACATTTGTCCTTAGTAAAAAATATTGTCCATAAAATCTTAGTGGTTAAATAATTACTTATGTAGGGGTATATCCGGTTGTTTAAGGTAAAATATAGTTAAATTGGACCAAAAATAAAATCTTTCATTTTAGTAAAAATGGACAATAATTATGGGACGAAGAGAGTACTTCATTTGAATTAATGTTCATGTGTATAACTACTTCGTACGGAATACGGATTCTGTAATGGCGATACAGAGTACCGTTCCAAGTTAATAATACAATGTTTTATAAGTTTATATATACTCAGATGACTGTTTCATTTGTAGTTTGTGTTAAAATTCTTTTAAGCTTTGAAAAACAAGTGCTTAACAACACAGGTGTCTCATGTTGAGCCATAATTACCGGGAGATGAACTTTGTGACAGATTACTTGGCGCCCATGATAACTTCCGGTTATGTTTGGATGATTTTTTTTAGTGTTTTTTTATATTAGGAATATAAAAAAGATGTATTGAGAATATAAAAAAATATGTTGAAATAAGATAAATATTAATTAAAAATTCTGAAAAAATAAACCAAAAAACGAACCAAACAGAATCATGTCCCGATCGTTTTACATACTTTGGTAAATCCCGCCTTCAGGAATTAAACTGTGATCGGAGTCCCACTTACTCAGTATCGCTCACTGTAGAAACCAAAAATTAGATCATGAATAAATAAAACAGCCACGACAGTGCTTGATCAAAGCACTAATAACAAAACCAATTTAATAAGTAAAGAAAGCCAAATTTGATCAAAGAAATACGTACGGCCAAACTTCCATTAATCAACCAAAGAAGCAAAACAGTGACGGCCGCACCGCACTACAAACCAAAAACACCACCGATGTACGTATAACTCTCTTAACAAAACCAATCCTAACCTATTATATTTATAGGCTAGTTATTTCCTAAACCACAAACAAATATGAAATTACAAAAACACCCCTAGACTAACTTAGTTTAATTTTCAACACTCACCCATGCAATATTGTAATTATTTAATTCATGCATAGTCTCTTCTATTGTAAAAAAATAAGAAAAGTGGTAAGGTAAAATGCATTCACCAGCTACTTCCTTTATTGAAATCACACGTATTATTGGGAATCAAGAGTAGTAGTTGATTTGAACGCACGCGTACTTTAATTTTAAAATTTAATAAAATAATGGAAGATAATAAATTAAGAAAAAAAATAAAAAAATATAGAAAAATGATGTTAAATAAATAATTTTATTTAGTAAATTCAATATCACATGTGATACTACAACACGATTAATAATTTTGTATTTACCTAAAAATACAAATACGCAACTAACAAACAAATTATCTACATTTAGATTAAAATACATTTCAATACATGTATAAATCATAATTGTAAAAAATTATACTTAAAACAAAACTATTCTAAATAACAAACCTAACACATGAAAGCGAATAATACTTACCTTCTAATTTGTACTTGCACTTCAATTCTCAAGTTTGCTTTAAATTTGCGATTCTAAAACTTGCCCCTTTTTTTTCTTTTTTCTTTTTAAATTCATATTATGGTAGAGCTTTCTATTATTCTCACTGTGATAGTGGCATCCATAGGAGCATAAAAATATCCCTACAACTGTGAGTGTGTTACTAGAATATAAAAAATAAAATAAAATAAAATTATTACTTAAACATTCAAACGTTCAAACAAATAATTTGCATGCTTATAAACGCTCAAAATATGGAGAACAAACATAAGAGACTAAATTAATCCAACATTTAAAATAAAATAATACCAAAATATAATATGCATAATTCAAAGGATATGAGAGTTGCAAAAAAATTATTTAAAAAATATTCAAATGATTTTGAATTCTTTAAATACTTTTTACTTGTTTTAGTTTAAAATTGAAATATCATCATAAAAGAAATTGGAATCATATACATTGTGCTCACTTAACTAGAGAGTAAAATATGTGATTCCTTTTCATGGAAATAGGAAGCCAATGAGAGATTAGACATTAGGGAGAAAATCCAAGCACAAAGGGTTAATATTAAAGAAATTACCAACCGAATGAGTTCTATTTAAGTGTGGAAAATCAGAGAGAACAAAAGTGAGAAAAAAAAGAATTAATGAAAAGGAAGATAAAACAAAACTTGTAACTCTAGGGATTGAATGAATTCAATAATGAATTAAATAATGAAACAATTATTAGAGGATTGAAAGAAAATAAAGAATTACATTAAGGACGAACCATTATTAGGAGATCGAATGAAAAATAAAAAACCGTAACGATGATGGTAAATTAGAGAAAACGAAAAAAATATGAACACAAGAGGAGAAGAAGAGAATTATACATGTGATGGTTTGCTACAAAAAATTTGTTTAAACTCATTATTTAAAAAAATTGAATGGAATCATATACATTGTGCTCACTTAACTGGAGAGTAAACTATATGATTCCTCTTTATGGAAATAGGAGCCAATGAGAGATTAGACATTAGGAAGAAAATCCAAGCATAAAGGGCTAACATCAAAGAGATTACTTGAATTTCAATACTTATCTTCTAATATGTACTTGAACTTCAATCCTCAAGTTTGTTTTAAATTTGTGATTCTAAAACTTGCTCCTTTTTCTTTTCCTCTTTTTTTTTTTTGTCTTTTTTTAAATTCATGTTATGATAGAGTTTTCTATTCTTCTGGCTGTGCTAGTGGCATCCACAGGAGCATAAAAACATCCATGCAACTGTGAGTGTGTTAGTAAAATACAAAAAAAAATTATTACTTAAACATTCAAACGTTTAAACAAATAACTTGCATGCATATAAACACTCAAGACATGGGGAAAAAAATATAATATACTAAATTAATCCAACATTTTAAAAGCAAATAATACCAAAACATAATATGCATAATACAAAGATATAAGAGATGCAATAACGTTAATATTTTCTCTCTAAATTTTTTTTTTCTCTCACCTCTCCCTAATATCTTTGTCTGAAAACCCTAAAGCTTATGGCGGCCAGTAAGCCGCCAGATGATTCCCAAGCCAAAAATCGAACGTTTGTACAAATCTTGAATAGCGCAAAGTCTAATCCAAGGAAGCTGCAGCAAGGGTTTGGAAGACCGCCCAAAGATGATATTGTTATACATTCTAATCCTACAGTATACAAGGGAGAACCAGCTTTTTTGTTGACCACGGAAGAAGACAATAATCTCGCGGAGCCTTTCAAACTGGCCTCATCGGAAAATTCTCGAAAGGAAGGCATGTGATGGATTATTTGTAGCATTAGTTCCAAAGGATCGGTTTTAAAGGTGAGTTATCTTTGGGAATGATAGATCACAAGCATGTATTAATCTGTTTTGATCAGGAAGATGATTTCCAAAGATGTTGGATTAAAGGTTTGTGGTCTTTCGATCATCATCTTATGAGGGTGCTTAAATGGACGCCGGAATTTAATCCGGAACATGAATCATCAATAGCTCCAGTTTGGGTAGCATTCGAGGGTTTGCCAATTCATAGATTCAATGAACAATACTTGAGGAAATTGGCTGGAATTATTGGCAAACCATTGAAGATCGATGTCCCAACTCTTAACATGTCAAGGCCTTCAACAGCACAGGTATGTGTAGAAGTCGATTTATTGCATGATCTACCTTAACGAATAAGGCTTGGAACAGAAGATCATTCATACTTTTAGCCAATAACGTATGAAAATTTACCGGATTATTGTTCAGAGTGCCGAAAAATTGGTCATTCTACGGTGGATTGTCGGCATGTGAAAGGGAAGAAATCAGAAACAGAAGACCACACAAAAAAAAGAGTGTTGCAGATGTTATCCCTCATGTTGTAAGGTTTGCGGAAATTTCAAAACCTAGGGCTCCGATAATTAAGACTGCATGGAAGCAGAAAGGAATTCGATCAGATCAAACTTTCACGATGAAAAAGGACAAAGGGATACGACCAGAACAACCAGTTTTGACGTAAAAGGATAAAGATGCTTCCACTTCCGGTTTAGCAGCTAGCCACAAAGCAACAATTCTGACGGATGTAGAAGCCTTAAGCCCTCAAGATAGACAGAACTCTTCTGCCAAGCGAAAATTCTCAAAGGATCAATTATTTCTATGAAAAAAATAATAAACAGCAAGAGATTTCAATAGATCCAAAAGAAGATGAGGAAAAAGAAAGAGTTCATATGGATGAGAATAAAGACAAACAATTAGTTCTCTATCAGGAGCAATCCGCGAAACCTCAGTTTGTTTCCAACTTGCGTTTCCAGGCATTATCAGAAATACAAGAGGATTAGGTATACAAGGAAATAAACGACGCAACACTTCACGTAGAGAATTTAATCCTGGAAACAGAAAATGAGTCGAACTCTGACGGGATAATAAGGAATCTCATTCAAAAACTATTTTGGAAACTGAGGAGAATCAAGAGAATGATCATGATAGTAATTCAGAGTGTGTTGAAGAAAATTTGACAGAAGCTCCAAATCGCATTGAAGAAACTACAGAAAATAGTTTATTGGGAAGGTCGATCAATGGCGATTTGCAGTTAGGCTGCAAAACGATAATGCATATATTCGAGGGACAGTCTCTGAAGGTGAACATGAACAGAAGAAAAGAGGGCGTCCAGAGGGCCCATAAAAAACACTTCAAATGACTGAAACTCGCCAGTCGGCGAGGCTCTAAGGTGACATCATTCCAAATGTTTAATAATAAATAGTGTTTTCATTTGGAATATAAGAGGTATTGCTAATAAAGCTTCTCAAATTAGGCTTAAAAATCTGATAAGCATGCATTCTATAAAATGTTTAATCATCTTAGAATCTATGGTAGAAAATGCAAGAATAGATGAATTCACACGTTTACTACATTTTGATATAGCTTTTCATCTTAGCTCGAACAAAATTTGGTTTTCTTGCTCTTCTCTTTTTTCACCTGTTTTGCTAGGAGGCTCGGATGTTGAGGTTTCGTTGCCAAATTTGGTT